CTTCCTATCTGATGCTAACCTCTCTAATATCACCCCTGCAAATCCGACGCTCTGGTCTCCTTGGGCATCACATGCCCAAGCCTTGTATATGACAACTTCGGAGGGGATGCTCCGTACACGGAGTACTCCGTGTACAATCTCGCCTACTTCATTTATACATCTTCCTGTAAAATATCAACACCCGGGTGTGTTAAACCACTCTCCGTAATAGGTAGGTAGCGTAACAGGGATCTCCCCGCGTGCCCTTCCCCCCCCCTTCCCCTCCCATATGCACTCTAAAAGTTCTGTCCCTCAATCTGGCCTATTGATCGCATTTACGAGTAGGGAGAGGTAAGCCGCTGTGCAATGAGCGCGGTCCGATCCCCTCGCGGCCCCATGTGGTTGGGATAAGATGATCAGTCTACAGAGGATGTGCAATTACCACATAGAGTTTGAGCAAGCGGCAGATACGAACAAAACAATGCATGTACGGAGCAGGGAGTACAGAGTATACGTTGCTTGTCTTGAGAAATAGAAATATACGACCCACCTGTTCCTATCAGCACATCGCGATGCTCTCGCAAATCAAGGTTAAATGCGGGTGAGACAGGGATGGTGATCATTCAAACCCAATAACCGCAGCGCCTGAGTCGATACGGAGTACGGAGTATACAGGACGGCTTTTCTGCTCGCCACGAGATCGATTTGTCGGGTGCATTCCTCGCTTCGTCGCTCCTCTTTTCTAACTTGGTATGACCACCAATGGTCTCGTACGGGCCCGAGACACGACACCCGGGCTTTTGGATCTACGTATTCATGACTGTGACCGGGGTCTTCACACCCTCCCGCGAGGGGTAGAACACATCCAATCACTCGCTTATCCGCCTGCCACCGACGACACGATCGATGCGAGATTGACTTTGGGAAAGGGGGCCAAGCTCTTGAGGTGAGTCAGTTACCCGCCGTCTCAATCAAGTTCCCGATTCGGTGCCTGGACTCTCCGGGTTCGGGGGCATCATGAGTAGATCAAACGGGTCTGGATGCTCGTTTCTTTTGCCTATGCAGGTGCAAGAGCCAGATTTGTTGTCTCCAATAGGCCTTGTGCAGCTTTTCGCCCGGGTACAGAGTACTGCTCTGCGGCAATGTGGTGTGCAATACCCCATCTGGTTGCCTAGTCCCCACTTCATTGGGATATACGGTCTCGAATGGGTGGCTTCTTTGGATTGGAGCTGGATCTAATCGCCTGATAGTATCTGGGTGATGTACAACAGGCAATCGAAAAGGCAAAGGCCGGGAGATCTGTATCGATCACCCAATACTCCGTAGACTAGACCGCGTTACACTGTCTCACCCGTCGCGAGATATATTTCGAGGTGTGTCGGCCGTGTCCGAGTGTATTCCGTACGTAGATGGATAGCACGCCGTATCGAGTATACTCTGTATCCAGGCGCATCAGGGACCACCCTGAGGTGATATTCCTTGCATGTCAGACATGTGCTGAGGTGCTGGTAATCATTCGACATCACATACACTATAGACGAATAACATGGCCACCCAGCGAAGCTCGCGAAGCCGAGGCACACCCACCTCCAATCAGCACCGTGCCTTGACGAAAAAACCAAAGAGAGAAGATGGCTCTCGCACATGCACGAGTCTATGCATCCATCCAATTAATTTGCGATCGACGCCCAAGGATCTCGGGAAGTAGATTGCAGATTGCATCCTCAAGAGCCGGAAGCCAACCCAAATGCCCCGATCGGATTCATTGAATGCACGATTTCGATCAATCACTTTGAATGTCCTCTTGGCACGCCGATCCCGAACAAGACCGTGAAGGTATCGTGCAGTATAGAAAAAAAAAAAACCATGCAGACAGGGCACTAGCCACTGAAAATCCGAAATCTGTCGCGTGAGAGAAGACTCCACGTAAAAAAAAACAGTGGATCATCTCCACTTGACTAGGCACAGTATTGTTTTTTCTTTTGCTTCTTACAGTACTCCGTACTGAGTCTTTACACATACAGTACAAAGCTGTGCCACAAAAGAAGCAAGAAAAAAACCCCCAAACGATCCACTGATTATATCTCCCCCACCTCACTAGCCACTATTCCCATTCTTCCTGGCCTATGGGCGAACGCCCTCACTCCCCCGAGATGACGCAACGAAATTCTCGATGGCCCAGCTCCACTCATTGAGGCGGTGTCACGATAGTCTCTTTTACCGGGTTTCCGAGAATGACGTTGAGTGACACGGCATAGCCCTGTCAAGCATCCCGCTTTTTCCCAGTCCTGATTCGACCGTGGGGCGAGTCGGGCGCTCCGATGCACTGGCTTTGGGAAACTGACTAGTTTGATCTCGGCTTTTTGGGGATCTGCGTTGCTGGACAACAGGGTTGGGATTTGGTGATCTCATTGGTCAAAGCACGCAAGGGAAAATTCAACCGGTGTGGTAGGACGGATTTCCATAGTCGGGGATCTGGTGCGAGGCTCAGACTTTGATTCGCAAATCCCGAGCGTATAGGATTTCGACGTGATTAGGTTCTATAGTCTGGTGGAGGGTGCAGATGCAGATGCATCGAGGGTGGTGATGCAGGGTCTGGTGGTTTGCTTCCTGGGAGAACGGCCTATGTACCTCTATACTCTGCCAGGCACACTCCTATGGTATCTCTGGGATGGAAATGTGGCGTATATCGAGTGGGCAGGTAGGTTTTGGTCTAGCATAGTGCGTGAGGCGTGGTTTGTGGGGGATCTTCTAAAGTTGAGCTCGGTCCGCTTCTTATGTCGGCTTCGTATAGGATAGTGTACAGGCATCGCCCATGCTCGTCTGGCTCGTGATAACTCGGATTAGGGATGGATCTGGATCAACAGTGCCTGAGTGATCCAGCCATAGCGGAGTGTTCGATGTTCTCTTTGGCCGTGTGTCGAGTCGGGGACCCGATTTGGTGTCCCGATGTGGACAGGATAGGTTTCGCTTCACGCAGCCACAACACCACTTGCTGAGAGTTGGTGAAGACATCCCTGGAACAGATGCGCGTTCAGTGACAAGGTTGACTTCTAGAATACCTTCCATGCAACTCTAGATACATACCTTATGAGCCTAACCAGCGAAAAAAAGAAAACACATTAGAATCCACCGGGGTATATCATGAAACACCAACCCGGCCTCCCAGGGGACGACCATGTAGAAGATGCACCAAATACCGCAAATTCTCCGCAGACCCGTAGGAAGTGTGTGGCGAGATGTGTTGCCGTCATAACCAACACGAGACTTCCCATTTAGTCGTGGTCCACGGTCTGCGATCTAAGTGTCGCTTAGAACCTGGCTTTTGGTGTTGATGCTGTGTAACGAGCGAACCAAAATGGGATAAGTTGAGATTCCGAGTACGATCCAGGCCTATTAGAAACCTGATATTAGCTGCCAACGAATGAATTCCTGGAATCTGGCGGGTTGGTTAGCGTTTGGAGCCATATTTGTCCGGTATATGTCTCAAATAAGCACAACAACCTCACATCTCCCGAATCAACCCACCAACATCGTACGATACACAAGATACGAACATGCACAACCGCATGAAACATAAGCCAAAAAACACATAATATCAGAACCCCCCACTCCAAGTTGAAACACACCTGTAGCACAGAAACCCACCTCAACCCAAATCCAATGTAAGGAAACACCAAAGCAAAACCCCGAACCCCCAATTAGCACCATTGCTAAACGTTCCCAATTTCTGATACGATGACACGAGGGATTTGACTTCCCAGACTCAAACGTAGATTCCCGCTGAGTGAAGCTTACTTCCCCAAACCGTCCATGTTAACCGAATACCCAAACAATACCAGCCCACCCAACAATCATATCTCAACAACCGGTTACGCAGAACCCTCGCGTGCTTGTGTCTCTGTAGCCATATGCAAGATCGGTTCCCGATACCCTGGGCCACACGGAGCAAAGCGTTCGGGTACTTTGCACGGACACATGGGTTGTACCCGAGTAACTCCGGATGGGAGGAGGTATGTACGGAGTCCTCCGTACCTCAGATACCTTGATAGCAAAAAAAGCCCAGATCCCAACATCCCGAAAGGGATAGCCTAAAGCCCAAGCTCTCATTCCTTGTTTCTTGTTCACCCTTGGTACGGGGTGTTTATACCGCGCAACGCGAGTCTAGACCCAGAGCTCAAGGTTCCGGTATCGTATCATACAAGGAGAAAAACTGGCTCGCCTGTTTATTCTCGATTTGGCGGATTTGTCATTGCTGTGCGACGTGTATGTGTACACGTGAGCTTTCGAGGCATCCCCGGTCGAGATGCGTAGGCCCGTTTTGGGGGAGTATGGATATCCCTAACTCGGCTGGTTTGCTCCGAGCGGGTGTGGTGCGTATAGATGGGGTGCAGATATGTTGTATGTTTTGGCATGCGTGGTGTTTACTTGTATTTCTGGTTTGGGTATGTGCGTCTTTTCGCGACTTACATGTACGTGATATGTACATGCATGGGTGTACATAGGGTGTATGTCCCGGGACTATACGCCCCGGACAGGGCCGAAGAGGGAGAGGTGTCAAAGAAGGGGTTGCACGACAGATTTGATTTGGGAGGTGATGGTGCGTGGGCTGGACGGATTGGGAAGGGGGGAGGGTCTGTGGGGGTTGTGGTTTTTGATCGTATGATCGGGCTCGAGGGTTGGAGCACTTTGTTGATGGTTTACGGAAAGGGGGCGATGAGAATGGGGGAGGATTGGGTTTGGATTTGGATTCGGGCGGGAAGAAAGGGAGTGGCTTGCCTGGCTGATACTCTATGGGACTTCTTGATGATTGATAATGATGTTGATTATTTCAACGTTTAGATCTACTGCTATTTGATTCGTCAAGTAGATTGATCCCGAAAGAAACTCCCATCATAGCATTGGGTATCGAGGGTACACTAGGTATATACAGATGGGTAAACATAGACAGTAGACAATAGACTGAATAAAAGATCATGAAAGAAAAATCATAAAAGTCACAGCCCTCAAAGCTAGCTCATTCAATCAGAGATGATACTCTGGTTTCGGTACATATCGCAAGCATGAGGGTGCTGCAAGCAATACTTCGGCATGAGAGCAGCGGCCTGGATACCATTGGCAACAAGGTATTCACGGAAGTTCAGAATACGCTGAGTGAGCTTGGTCGTGCGCTTTTGGCCGGTCTCGTCCCGGTTACCGGACCAGACGAGCTCACCCAAAGCAGCAGCGCGGGGCCAGAAGGTAGACGAGATAGCCACATCGTCGATGTGCTCAGTCCATAGAGGAGCTTCCGCGCCAATGATGTGTTCGGCCTCGGCATGGGTGAGGTTTGTAAGGAAGTCATAGTCGTAAATGCGCTGCCAAGACTTATATGGTGCACACCAGGAGCCACCATTGCCGCCGTAGTTGAAGCTCACGCCTCCAGCTTTGTTGTATTGCTCATTGTAGCGCGGGTCATTTCCAAGGCTGCTGTCACCAGTGCCGCAGTCAAGGTAGAGGAAATCGGCTGTGGAAACAACTACATCGTAACCAGCTGAAGTGAGCTTCTTGATATTGCCGTCGCCGCTGTTCCAACTCTGCATAACGATATCCTTGGGGACGTCGCGGGCGCTCTCGGTCGCAATTGTGATGTCCTCCCACATCATGATACGGCGGTTCTTCACAGTGCGGAAGATAGGCAGGACACGGTCAAGCCAGTATTGCATGAGGTCATTGTAGGTGCGCGAGGGATCGTCGTTAAGCCACTCGGTGATGCGAGTGCTGAAGTTGTAGCAGCCCGTTTGAACCTCGTCACCACCGGAATGGAACCAGTTGTCGGGGAAGATTTTAGACAAGTCTTGGTAGACATTGTTGACGACTTCATAGGTCTTGTCGTAGATAATATCAAGCTGGCCAGGGTTGGGCTGAAGAGAGGTGTGTTGGCCATAGCCATCATCGGACCACCATGAATCGGCACAGGCGACCAATTCTGGGTCAATCTGCTGCCAACCCGCCGCTGAGTGTCCCGGCATGTCGACTTCGGGCACGACACGAATACCTCGGGCGCGGGCATAGGCAACGACGCGGCGCATATCATTCTCAGTGAAGATCTCCCTATCAGAGTACGCGTCTTTGGTCATCTCGGGGTAGGAGCTGATCTCCATGGGCCAGGACTGAGCATCACCTATGTGCCAATGCAGCACATTGAGCTTGGACAGTGCCATGCCGTCGAGCTGTTCGAGGATCTTAGGAACTGAGATAAAGTTGCGACCGCTGTCCACCATGATACCGCGGTAGGGATACAGGGGGGCATCCTTAATCTTGACAGGTTGTTCGATGATCAAGCCACCCTTGCCGTCCGAGATAATAATCTGCTGCAGGGTGGTAAACGCGTGCAGTGCGCCCCAGACAGTCTGAGCCCTGATCTTGATGCTACCGCCGTGGCTGGTCACGTCGAGGGTATATGATTCATCCACGCCATACTGGAGATCAGCATGATTGTCTATCACTTTGACATCGACATTGTAGATTACGGCGGGCGATCGCTTGGCCTTGGCACCGGGGGTCTGGCTTGGAAAGGCTGGGTAGGAAAGGATCGGGGACTCGACGGCAGCGGGGACCCATTGCAGGGTGGTGATAGTTTCCCACGCTCTCTCCCAGGCGCTAGTGACGACGCGGTTGGAGCAGCCTTTGAGAGTTGGTTCCCAGACGTGGATTGGACCGGAGGAGCCCCAGGCGATGTTGCGGGGGGCGGGAAGTGGATTCACCTGGACGGCGGAAACGGCCGTCAGGGCCCCGAGCGCACTCAGGACAGTGGCGAGCTTCATGTTGATGAGTTGAGTGAGGACCAGAGAGACAAGTCCGACTGCCAGGAGACAGGCCGGACTATTTATGTTTCTCAGTATGTGTCTCAGCATGTTAGGTGCATGCCGATCTCATGTTGATCCTGGAATGGTCTGTGTCCACGATGCAACTCTGAACATCGAGACGCGATCAACAAACAGCTCCCTTGATTTACATCATGTTACATCCGCACTAGGCCTTTTCGAGGCAATTAGCGATCGGGAAGAAGGAAATTGGCGATCGGGAGGAAGTGCAACCTTCATATGTGACGGCTAATTTCCCCAGACAGGCCAGAGGACACCTCAAAGAGGGGTATATGGGCATAAGGGGGGGCTTATATTAGTCCAATTGAGAATAGCACTGTCACACTGCTACGAAGGTGACGACCTATCTACGACAAAAGCAACCCTGGAACAACTTGAAAGGCAGAAAATCCCCACAGGGGAGCTCAGGTATCATGATTTAATTTACTTCACATCCGCTAAGCCGACTCCAATGCTTTTTCGAACGCCATTCCTTCGCGGAACTCCTCCTGAATGGCCGCAGCGGCCGCCGCAGAAGGTACGACACACGGCCGTCGAGGAAGTCCACCGTACCCGCGGTAGGACTGCAGGCCACTCTTAACGGCGATGAAGCCACCCTGAATAGCTGCCCAGTCCGCGCGCGCAACAACGGCCTGGGCCCTTTGCGCCTCCTGAACCTTCCCAGCACGATACAGTTCCATCACACGCACACACGAGCGAGGAATCATATTAGCTACACCGCCAATTATACCCGCGCCACCAGCAATGAGCGTCTGCAGGGTGAAGTCCGCGGAGCCACCGAAAGTCAAGAAATCCGGCTTCGCGGCGGCGACACGGGCCAGTTTACCCGTGTTACCACAAGTGAGCTTGCAGCCGATAATATTCGGGTGCTCAGCGAGGGTGATAATATCGTCGGAGCTAAGGTCGAGGCCCGATTGCACCCCGGGGAAATTATAGATAAGAACGGGGACGGGGGAGGCATCGGCCACAGCCCGGAAGTGGGCGTGCATGGCATCAGTGCTCACTAGCGCCCGGTAGTAGCTGGGGGCAAAACGAGGACTGCATCAGCGCCTGCTGCGCCCGAGTCCTGACAGAACAAAATGGTTTCACGCGTGGAGGCTGCACCGCATCCTGCGATGACGGGCATGCTAGTGTAGCCGGCGGCGTCGACGGCGCGGCGGGTCGCAGCCGTTATGGCCTTGCGCTCTTCACGGTCCAGGTGCACCGCTTCGCCATTGCTGCCTTGGGTTACTAGTCCAGTGACGCCACAGCGGGCCAGATATGCAGCGTGGTTCTCGACCGTTTCGATGTCGACTTCTTCGTCGGGCTTGAAGAATGCAACGGTGGGAACGTAGACACCGTGAGGGAGGGGATTCCGCTTGGCGGCACCGTTGGCAGTCATGCTGGAGTCTGGTAGGAGAGTGTTGTAGTATGATCTGCTGACCCGTTAGTGCCTGATACCCCTGTAAGTCTCCCGGATTTCTTCATACCAAATCAGCCACTGAAGAAGAATGAGGGGATCATTGTCGGGCCTCCCAGCTATTTAGCTAAAAACTGGGGATTTATCCACCCCACGTCCCCCCCACTGTATCTGGGTTAGCCATTCATGATCTTGCTGGTTACAAACTGAACTCCGGTGCGTGGGAGGCATATGATGCGTTAAGTGGTGATGCTATTGGTGTGAACACTTCATCCCCCACGCCACGGTTATGCAGGGGTTGACACGGATTTTCAGTTGCCTCCGTTGCATGTCTACATGTAGCTCTGTTCTTCCAATAAATGCTTTCTTTGCAAGGTTCATCCTGGTTCCCCCGGTTGGGAGCATGAAACTGGAGAGATCTCCGGCCTCGTGTGAGGTCTGGTGCTACGATCTGGGTATACTCCTGACGGTGCATACTCGGGATATATTTCTGCCCACGTCACGACACAAGCCATGTTGCTATTTATTTGGAGGGATGAGGGCATATCAACTGGAAAGAACAGTCTTCACTTCCCTCCTGCGATCTTAAACAGTACTTCCCTCACATTGCCGTGACTCCCCCACGGGGCAATGTGGGGGTATTCCGGTTCCGAGCTTCATGTGTTTGGTTTTATTCAGACTCCGAAATTTTCTACTTGACAAACTACAAGGAATGAGCCGAGAGAGGGCATGAGAACATCCCAAAATTGGACTTGGGGTGGTGTCAACGCCATGGGCAAGACTGAGGGTGTCGCCTCCATTGTCCCCGAATGACTCTTTCGAGGCTCAATGCAGCATCACTGCAGCATCAATGCAGAATCAATACAGATTAGGGACAATTATGAATAGAAAAAGAACAAAGACTTGTGAATTGCATTGTGAATAGAATCAAAATAAACAATAGTCCTCATCAGGATTGACATTGCTATACAAAACTGCTTGATATCCGGCATCCGCCAAGAACTTCTCGCATGCCCATCGCCATCTCATCCTCCAACGTCGACCGAATCCCTGCATCAAAGGGACCCATCCAGAGCCCGAATCTTCAAACGCCTCACAATGACCGACTGATTTCCTCGCCAGCCCCCATTGTCAGACAATGGCCATCCTGTCGCGCTCCTCGCTCCGCGGCTCTGTGCGACGAGCGCCCGAAGAACCTGCCGACGGTCTGGCACCGCCGACGAAGAAACAGCGCATTGAGGAAAATGGCCCCGACGGCCGTAAGAGCTCCCCAGATTGCCTCGATACCACCCCGGACGAACCTCCGACCGCAAAACCCCGTGCCAATCCCTTGAAACCCGCGCGCCCGCGCACCTCTACCCGTCGCACTCGCCGCGACTCCTCCTCGTCTATTGACACGGTCGCCTCCGCCGCGGGGCAATTGGCGACGCCCGTGACACGTACAAATGGGAATGGGATCTTTAAGACCCCACGCGCCCGCCGCGACCCAGTTACCCCCTCTCGCACGGCGGCGGACTTGCTGCGCGACCTTCACGAGTCGCCAGACCCATTGGATACAATATCTCCAGCGCCATCTTCCATCATCCCGAAGCAACGTCCTTTTACCCCTGCTGCAAGTCTGGAATCTGATGTCAAACGACCCCTTTCGCCTGTGACCCGCCCCACTCGTCGCCACGATAATCGGCCGCTGGCCGACAGCAACGACGACAAGGCGACTAAGGAAGAGAAACCTGCCGGAAATACAACTTCAACACAAGACCATAAGACCAGAGCGTCCGATGGCGAGCAGCCAGCATCAGTGGAGACGGGGACGGGAAGACGGTCGTTGCGTTCGGCTGACACCGGATCACGGTGCAAGAGCGAGCTCGCACAGTATTTCCATAATTATGAACAGATTATCAGTTTAGAAGAACCCGAATCTGGTAAGTCTATTTTTGCTGGGGGATGGGGTTGAGTGTATGACTGACCTTGAAACACTACACAGAATTGCTTGCCGCCAAAACAACTATCACTCTCATTAATGATCTAGCCCAACCACCTTTCTCCTCCAAACCAGACCCTACACCATTTGGGAATCCGTTACTGAAACTTCATAATTGCGAAAAGATACTACTTCCCGAACCAAAATCAGAACCATCTGGAATCGACCCACTGGGCGAAGATACCTACTTCCGTGCACACCGCAAGTTCGAAAGACAGGAGAAACAATTGCGGAACATCGAGCGCAATCGCGCACAACACGAACAGCAAGTCCTGGAGCGTCTCCTCGAAGAGCTACGCGGCTATGACTGGCTACGCATGATGGGCCTGACCGGCGTCCACGAAAGTGAGAAGAAGCTGTACGAGCCAAAGCGCGACATCATCATTCAAGAACTCGTCACCCTGGTCAACAAGTTCCAAGCTTGGAAAGACGAGGAGCGCCGTCGCAAGCTAGAAAAAGACAAACATCCCCCAGCACCGGGTCTCGAGGCTGACTCCCAGCAGCCGTCACGCAAACGATCCCGTCCTGCCGAAGATACAGACAGTTCCCCGACACCGGGGACTGATATACAAAGCACTCCAGACCTAGATCCAGACCCAAGCGACGTCGATGCCTTGGCCGCTCGGCAACTTCACCAAGAAGCGCGCTCAGCAGGCGTCAAAGTGCGCAAGTCAGCACCTGCTAGACGCAAATCCATCTCTAAACCTACCCCCATTACCACAGATCCTGCCGCCGAACCAAAATCGAAACCAAACCCCAGTCCCAAGCGAAAGAAACCTGACCAAACACAACCAAACCCTACACCGTCTGCCCCAGCGCCCCCAAAACGACCCCTCCAACAAGCGTCTCTCGCCCACTTCTGGAACCCCGTCCCACGAGACGGCCCGTTCACATCTTTTTTTCGACAGCGCCACGTCCGCGACGCAGCCATCGCCGCAACGAACGGCATCCGTCGCAGCGGCTCGCGCTCATCCCTCGCCTTCGGCCAACCAGTCCCCGACCCATCCGAGCACGAATTCGAGCTCCCACCGGAGATCCTCAATGAGGACTCCATCCAGCAGTCGCAGCGCAAGAGGCGCAGACTGAAGCGACGGACTCTCCCATGATTTCATTATCCTGACATTGCATCTGAATTATCTATTGCATGAAGGTTGGGTGGGTGTTCTTTTCCTCTATCAACAATTGCTCTTCTTTTTCCTTGTTTTATATGTACCCATAGCATCCCTACTAGCATGGCGTTCTGTGTACTTTGCACTTTGCTTCAGGACTGGGAAGTCCGGCGTTGGGAGATGGGAGTTCTATGGCTGAGGCCATTTCTTTGCTGTGTACAAATAGTTAGCTAGCCTAATGGCATCTCAATCCGAAAGGATTGAAGAGATATTTGCGAAAATTGTGCTGGTTTATAGTAGCACGGCTGTAGATATATTTGGTTGCTCTTCGTATCTCCTGGGGTAGGCTGTTATGTTCGGGGGGTTCTTGGGAGCTTCTCCTTATCCATCTCAATTGATACAGCCTTTGTGTGGGCCTAATACTTGGTCCGTTGATGTGGAGTGAATTGTATATCTCCTAGGTTGATACCCTGCTCGCATTCTGTTAAAGATACAGAGGTATGATACAGCATATAGGGTTTCAACAATGGGTTCAAATGATACTAGGAATAGGATCTCTCATGGAAGTATTGAATTGTCTGAAGATCTAGATAATATCTGCCTTTTCCTGCTATTTATGCCCCTTTGTGTGCCGAGGATCGGAGTCCTCAATTTAGCCCCTAAAGGTGGGCTTTTCGGCAGAAAAGACAAAAAGGGCGTAGCGTTAATAATCCTGCGGATAAGAGAATCCTACCTTAGGCATAGTTCTTAACACGCCCCCTTAACGTGTAGCCGTTATATATCGTAAGATCATATTATTAAGGACTAAGATAAATAAGGTTTCTCAGTTAAAAGGTGTAGCTTTTAGACTATAGGAAGGTATAAAACTAGCAGTTTTGCACTACGAAAGACGTAGGGGTTTATTCTACCGAAAGTCTATATATTTTAGGGTCGAGGTTTAAACCTACGATAAACTCTATAAATTTAGGAGCCCCGAGGGGCTTTATTAGTCTATCTATAATGTTTTTAGTCCCTTTTATATATATAAGCTTAATTTTTCCCCTTTTAACTTACTCGCGGATCTAGTGCTAATATACGTTAATATATTTTAAACGTCCTAAAATAGTAGGGTTCTTCGTTATTGTAATCGTAGACTAGCTATCGCTATATAAAGGGATAGGGGGGGAGGTCTATACTTCCTTAGTAAAAATTAAGATCTTTTAGTAGTTTTCGTAGCTAAATTACCTCTCCGCTAGTAATTAAGAGGGCTATATATTTAGCTTCGGCGCTTAATTTTACTATACTAGTCTACTTTTAAGATTTCTATAATATTAGACCCCCTATAAGGAAGAAGATATATCTAGTCCTACTTTTGCTTTCTAGGGCTAATCTATATAAGGCGTCGATATACCTCTAGAGGTCCTAATTAGGTCTAGATTAGTATATAATTACGTAATAGCTAGTACGTTCTATATAAGTAATTACTCTTTATATTAGATCCTCGTATTTAGCGTTTAGGTTTATAGTAAACTACGAAAGTATACTTACTACGAGTAAGAGGTCTAGACGTATAACTATATTAGTATAGTTAATCGAGCCTATATCGGATTAGTACTATTTTACTATCTTACTTATAGCGGTAAAGGTCTCTTCCTTTATTAGGATAATAGATAAAGGGATTACGGGTCTTAAAGTTACGGTTTTTAAGAACCTTTCGATATATATTTTTTACGAAATTATTATTTTTCCCGCCTCTCTATTATATACTATTTTTATCGAAAGATAGTAGGATAGCTCGCTAAGGTCCGACGTAGATTATTTTATTAAAATAAGGTCCTTTATAGTTTTAATAAGATCCGCTATAGAAGCTATAATTAAAAGGTTATCGATATATATAAAAATATAGACGATCGTACCGGCGCCCTCTTAATTATACTACGTATAAAGATATAGGTTAGAAGTAGATCGTATAAAGCCTTTTATTAATAAGTAGTCCCCTAATATATTAAACTAGTTTACTACTAACTATTTTAGACTATAAAAACTCTTTTTTAGGAGGTAGACTTTACCTTAGATCTCTAAAAAATCGGTATTATCTTCGAAACCTTCGGGGTAGTATATTAAGAGTCTCTCCTTTAGCGTGGCGTTAAGATATATAACGTTTACGTTAATATAAGCTATAAAAAGCTTCTTTTATATAATTATAGTAAGGAGGATCCGTAGTGTAACGTAGCTACCTATACTAGTAAAGGTCTCGGTATAGTCTAGATCTTCCTATTATTAGAAACCTCTCGCTACCTAGCGAGCTTTAAATTTTAGGGGGTTTCTATCCGTATCGAGTTTTAGTTTATATACCTACTTACCGGTAAGGATACGTATATTCTTAGCGGGTACGGGGGTAGGGATTATCTCCTAAGCTTTAATTAAACTAAGCTATTTAAACTCGATTTTTATAGCGCGGTACTACTAAGGCTAAAGAGGTAAGTTACGTACTTATCGGACTAATTTAGGGTCTTCTATCTATTTAAGGTCTATATTTTTTAGGGTTATTAGTAGGGGTAAGGTTAGGAGATTCTTAGATAATAAGGTTAGTCTAGCTTATATATATAGGATAGTAGTATATTATATTAGATCCTATATATATTTTTTATCTACCCGAGATATAGTAGTATAGAAAACCTTATTTTAGATCTTATAATTAAGGTTAGCGAGTTCTTCGGTAGATAGTCTTAGTAGGTCTACTAATAGGACCGATTCGTTACTAGAACTCTCGTCGATAAGTCTAAGATCTCCCTCGGAGTCCGAAAAAAGGGTGCTTTCTTTAGCGGAAGAAGTTATAGGGGTCTTTTCGGCGGAAGAAATTATAAGGTTTATATTATTTATAGGGTTCTTAGGGTCTATAAGGTTCTTAGGGTCTATAAGGTCCCTAGAGTCTAGGAATAGGAACCTAGACTATTTTACCGACCGTAGGGTTTCTAGTAGGACTAGGAGATTAGGATTATTATATAGGGTCTAGTCGTCTCCTTCGTCGAAAATAACGTCTCTCCGAGTTATAATCTCTCCTCTATTTCTATCTACGTTTAAACGCTAGATATAGTATTATATACTATAGTAGCTACTATACCCGACGAGTCTACCTATCTAGGCGCGGGGCTATAAATATCTACTTATTAATATACTAACTATAGCCTTAATCTCTTCGGGGCTTCTTATAACGTAAGCCTTACTACTAGGTATCTATAGGAATAAGATATTAGGTTTTCTACCGAATTATATTTTATATAGTATTTAGTTTAGGAGACCGTCTCTTTTTCTACCGAAATAGATAGTAAGGTTACGGGTTATTATTACTATTTTTATTAGTTTAGGCTATAGTATATCTAGGAGTCTAATATCGTCGAGAATAGCTCTAATACGTTCTTATACTATTTATATTATTCTTTCGACTTTACTATTTTACCTATATATATATAGTACTAAGAAATATAAACGGGTATTAGTATCCTTAGCCTATTTTTATAGGCGGAAGTTATTAAACTCTTCTCCGTAATCTAATTAGAAGGCTCTAATCTCTAATCTACTAGGTAGTAATATTTTACTTCCTAGTACTAGTAGCGGGGGGAGATCGGGGGTTATAAATATCTTAATTATTATCTCCCTTTTAGCGGAATATAGTTTTACTATTTTAATTATAAGGTCTAGAACGAAGTCTTTATAGGAGGTAAACTATATTTCTCCCTATCCGTCGAAGTTATCGATACTAATTATCTAGTATTAGTAACTACCTCCCTAACCTTTAGGTATTTTACCCCCGCCCCCTAGATTAAGGTATACGAGATCTCCTATTTTACTAGATCTATATAAAACTAGGGTTCTACGGGGTACGAGCTAGGCCTTTCCGATTTAGTAGTAGCTATAGGGTCTTTTAGGGATAAGTAGGCCTATAATATTAATACCTTCTATAATTTTTACCGTTTCCTATAGGGGTTTAATCCCTATATAGTATAGTCTATAGTACTAGATATCGATATTAACCCTATCCTTTTTAAGCTTAGTAGGTAGCTCGCTAGGGGGAGTCTCGCTAGGAGAAGTCGAGGTAGTCTTTAAAGACTATTATTTTAAGCCACTAGACGAGTTTATCTTCTATATCTTTATTACTCTACGGGTAGCGAGTATTTCTACCTTTTCTACCTAAGAAAAGGGTCCCTTTTTCGGTAGAAGAGATATTACTTTTTTCGGCGGAATAGCGCCTTTCACTAGTTAGCTAGGTGAACTTACGGCGTTTTCTAATTTTTACGTACTTAGGCCCCCTAGCTAGGGGTAGGGGTCTCTTAGAATAACCTCTATATTATTAGTCTAAGAAATTAGGTATCCGTAGGTAGTTTTTTCGGCGGAAATAGGAGTATCGGCCTAAGTTTTTAGGTATCTAACGCCCCCTACTTCCTACGCTATTATTAAAACTAACGTTTCTAGATCTAGGGTCTAGTATTAGTATATATAGCGAACGTTTAGTATCTAATTTTTACCCTTTCGTAGTCCTTTTATAAGAATACTACTATCTAGTTTTCGGAAAATAACCTCGTCTCCGTATATCGCTATAATCCTATAGTTAGCGAGCCTAGGCTATAAGATAAGGTTACTATAGAGTTTAGGGAGATATATAGTCCTAGTAAGAATAAGATCTCTCTCTTACCTAGTCCCGTCGTCGACTATAATCTTAATATCTCCGATTATACCTTAGACTAGCTAGTTTATTAGGGCTATTTTAATTATAGTAGTTAGTGGTTTCGTAGTGCCTAGTATAAAATAGTCTAGCGAGCTAATTATATATTCGTCGTAGGCTATATCGTAGATCTAGTTATTAATTAAGATACTAGTTAAGAAGTTTTATACCTCGTAACTATATTCGACCTATATAATTAGGGTTTCCGTAGTCCGTTTAGGTACTAAATTAGGGTTTTTAGCTAGTATTTCTTAGCGGGGTACCCCTTCTTTTTATAGAAGGTATATACTAATCCTAGAGATCCTCGTCGTATATAGGGTCCTTATAGTTTTATAGGTTTACTAGTTTCTATAGATAAGGTCCTTATAGCTATCTTTTTACCGGCGGCGAGGTTATCTTCTTCTCTTTATAGTTCGCTATATAAGCGATCGAAGAGGTATTAGTCTAGCTAGTTAGTTAACCTACTAACTATTTTATTATAGTTAAGCTTCTATAGGTACTATTCTAGGCTATTAAGGTATACTATAAATTCTATATATTTTTCGAGTTCGTCTATTTCTTATAGCTTAATTAGTAGACTCTCGATTAGGGGATATATAATAGTTTTATTAGTCTATATAGTCTTAAATACCTCGATTAGGGTTCCGATATTATAGATATAGGATACGTATAGTACTTTTATTATAATAGCGCCTTATTCGGCGGTAAAAGTATCCTTTATATCGTATTAATTTTATAATTCCTACTAGATACGCTCGGGTTCTAGAGGGCTCGGCGGTATAATATTTTTCGCTAAGTCTAAGTATATAGTATTTAGGATAGTAAGCTAGGCTACTCCCTTCTATATATTTAGTATATAGTATTTCTCGTACGAAGGGGGTAATAATCCTACCTTACCGTCGATAACTTATTCGAGAAGGTTTTAGTTTAGCACTTACCGTATATTAGCGGCCTAGGTACGGTAATTATTTAATCTTATAAGTTTTAGTCCTTTATATTCTTCTTTTCTTTTAAATATTTTCCCGAGGTCCTTAGTGAAACTAAGGTATTAAAGGGTGTTTTCTTCCTCTTCTCGGGTATTATTCTTTAGGGTAGCGTAGCGGTTACGTAGCGAGAATATAGAGCTATCTTAATTAAATCGGTTTAGGTTATTAATCTATATTAATAGGACTTATATATTAGTCTCGATAGACTCGGAGACTTTAGCGGGGGGTCTACCCGCTACGAGCTACCTAGTTAGTCCTTAGGGCTACTAGGTATAGAGATACTTAGTCGACTCGAGTTCTCTAGCTAGTTAATCCGCGGGGTTTAGACGTTATAGGCCCTAGCCGGGGTCTATATTTCTAGTGCTAGCGGGAGCTATAGGACTATTATTTCCTCCTTCGTTATCGCTACCCTCGCCTAAGGCGCTACTATAGTTATTATCGGACCCTAATTCGTCTAGTCGGTCGGCGTCGGAGTCGAAGGGTTCGTAGGGTATATAGAGTGTATTAGGTGCACTAGATACCCCCCTATCTCGCTAGGACCGTCGGGTAATAGGGGTTATAATAAAATTAATAAAAAAATAGGTAGATCTACGAGAGATCGAGAGGTATAGGTATAAAATAAGAGGTAAGATATATGTAAGAAGAAGAGAGAGATCCTAGGGTAAGGACCTATATATATAGGTCTAGGCAAAGATCAGATAAAAAGGTGTATAGGGGTAAGCAAATATTTACTAGTAAATATAGCAAATAGACTATACTGCGCAATTTAGGTATTCCGGCTATTAGAGACAGCCGGGCTTATAACCTATTAAAGATATAGAGGTATGATATAGCATGTAGGGTTTCAATAATAGGTTCAAATGATACTAGGAATAGGATCTCTTATAGAAGTATTAAATTGTCTGAAGATCTAGATAATATCTGCCTTTTCCTGCTATTTATGCCCCTTTGTGTGCCGAGGATCGGAGTCCTCAATTTGGCCCCCAAAGGTGGGCTTTTCGGCAGAAAAGACAAAAAGGGCGTAGCGTTGATAATCCTGCGGATGAGAGAATCCTGCCTCAGGCATGGTTCTCAACACATTCGAGTTGATTTGACCTGGATATATTGCCCCTTGATTGAACCTTTGCAGTTGTTCGTCCATCTAAGTACCATCATCCCATGGTATACAGAACCATGATGTGGTTCTAGTTGTGATCAATCGTGCCGTGATATGCAGAATTAGGTTGGAACCTGGAGGAATATAGTTTGAATGTGGAAATCGGAATATTTATCCGTGCAAACTCTGAGTGGCGAGTGGCGAGTTACAGGAGTGCGGAGTTCGGTGCATGTCTATCTGAAAGAAGCGTATACAACGTACTCCGTAGTGGTATCGTCCATGCTTAATATATATAATACTCCATATCCCCAGAGAGAATAAAAAACGCTTTCTAAAAAGAAACCGGAGAGCGAATGTTTTAGTCTGATCATGTCGGCTGCAATAGTATTCTTTTAATGCTACTTCAATTCAAGCAGGATTATCCGAGATAGTATGTGGCGCGCCAATGTGTCGGTCCTCATACCATTGGCGTTGTAGTGTTGAGATTGTGCCTAGGTCTACCCCTGAACACTTGTCTCAGCATCTGGCAGCATCTGGCCCATGTTTGATTGAGTGGATATCGCATCATACGAGGTTCCATCTCGTATAATGGGGGCCGCTTGTGACCGACGATAGTAGATGGGACTTCATACCGAGTACAGATTCTATACCGAACAACTTACGTAGCTCTAGCCAAAATAATAGAAGCATAAAGAACGAATTAATAAAGGCATGCCGAGCCCATCAAGCCGGAACACCTCCGAGCCGATCTCCGAGTGAAAGTCGGCCCGTCTCCTGGAGATACTGGTCGGTGATAGGCTGCAGGGACAAAATTTAAGCTCAAAACGCATGGGAATCCTGCAGGAGCGGGCCGAGAAGCATCAGGCGTTAGAGTTTTTCTTTTTTGGTTTTTCTACGGGTTTTTTTACTCTAGGTTTGGCCTGTAAACTTTCAGAGTCAGAGACTTTTATATAGTGAGGCCGGCATCGGAGCGAAGTTTTCCTTTCCCCAGTTTTGGCAGGCAAATTGGTGGTCATTCGGTCCAATGAGCCAAGGTCTTCCGGACCTTTCTATTACGTCGCACTCTGGTGATTCGTCCCTCGAGGTCCGCGTGTCGGCGATCCACATCCCCTTTGGGTGGCGGACTCTTCAGTCTTCATTTAGACTATGGATTTTCATTTTCGATTTTCTACCTTTTTTTAGGAGTATTCTTCCTTTCGATTAATATCTCGGTCTTTCTTTTGCAATTACTTGCTAGGATTTGAGTGTATCCTTGGTTTTTTTCTCGTTACACTCCCGATATTCAGATCTACTACCCGAAGCTCCCGGTGTTGATTTTGATATTGGCTTCATTATGAGGTCCTCGCCTGCTGACTCGAACCTCGATTCGAGGGAGAAGAATCTGAATCCCGACCTATACCACGATCCCGAGAAGCTGGTGGAGAAATCAAAAGTCAGACAAGATGCCTTCGGTGATGAAGAGTTCGCCGAAGTGAAGTACAAAGTACTTACGTGGTGGTATGTTTGGATAGCTCAATTTGTGCATAGTTTGTGTGTAACTAACATCGATCTACTTTAGGCAATGTGGTCTGCGTATGTGAACAGATCCTTGTCGATCAATTTCAACCCTAAGTCTAACATCTCTACTAGTCATGGTCGCTGAAACAGTATCACTGGGTGTCCTGTCGTTGCCTGCTGCAGTTGCTGCCATAGGACTTCTTCCGTATGCTCACCCCTGACTCAACGTACAGGAGGTTTGAAGCTAATTCCTACCCACAGTGCCATACTCGTCTTGGTTTTCCTAGGCATCCTGTCCACATACACTGGCTACGTGATCGGACAGATGAAATGGAAATATCCACACATCACCACCGTGGCCGATGCAGGCGAAGTGATAGGCGGCCCAATTGGCCGTGAAATCGTCGGCACTGCCTTTGTCATTTTCCTCATCTTCGCCATGGCTAGTCACCTGTTGACCTTCACTGTGGCCATGAACACCATCACCAACCACGGCACTTGCTCCATCGTCTTCGGCATCGTCGGAATGATCCTTTCCTTCATCTGCTCTCTCCCTCGCACTCTCGCCAAAATGTCATGGTTATCTTTCGTTTGTACGTTCCTCGCCCCCCTCTAACCCTAACACCACTAACAAACACTCCCAGCATTCGGAAGTATCCTAACAGCAGTCCTAATCACCATGATCGCCGTCGGCATCTCCGGAAAAGGCGAGGGCGTCGTCGCAGTCGTCCACACAGACCTTTTCCACGGCTTCGGAGCAGTCTGCAACATCGTCTTCGCCTTCTGCGGCCACGCAGCCTTCTTCGGCCTCATGGCCGAACTCAAAAACCCTAAAGACTTCACCAAATCCCTCTGTCTCCTGCAAGGCCTCGAGATGGCCCTGTATGTCGTCACCGCCGTGGTCATCTACCGCTACGCAGGAGACGCAGTCACATCCCCAGCCCTGGGCTCCGCCTCGCCGGTCGTCGCGAAGGTCGCCTACGGCATCGCCCTCCCCACCATCATCATCGCGGGCGTCATCAACGGCCACGTCACAATCAAGTACGTCTACCTGCGCATCTTCCAGGGCACAGACCGCATGCACAAGCGCGACTGGGTCGCCACAGGCACCTGGATCGCCATCGCCGTGGTGTTGTGGGTGATTGCATGGATTATTTCCTCCGCGATCCCTGTGTTCAGTGACCTGCTCAGCCTGATCACCGCGCTATTCGCTAGTTGGTTCACCTTCGGACTCAGCGGTATCTTCTGGCTATTTATGAATAAGGGAAAGTGGTTCTCTTCGAAGAGGAAAATTGCTCTGACCGTGCTGAACTTGTTTGTTTTTGCTATCGGTGTCACTATCTGTGGTCTCGGTCTCTGGGTTTCTGGAAAATCTATCCATGATAACCCCAGTAGCTCCAGTTTCTCGTGTGCGAACAATGCTTAATTGCGCGGTTACTGTCGATGTTTAAAAAAATGGGTATAAAGGGCAGGTGGCGTTTTGGGCTTTTTTGGGATATAGATTTGGCATGTTTCCAAACCCTCGAGCTACGGCTTGTGTGGAATCCTTTTTTTGCGTTGCATACTTACACTTGCATCTACATAGTGATGTCGTTTGACAATAGACTTGTATGAATATAATTATATTTTGGAATATCAATGGGCTCACTATCGTAGACCTCAAAAAACAAGATCTCTCAAACGACTTGGCAAATCTCAGCACAGTGTTGTTGCTATATGCAATCTCCTAGCTGTGTGAAAATCACCCCGATTCGCTGGAAAGGCTGAGCCTTCTCAGGTGTCCTTGCTCGCATACTCCCCATTCGAGCCGGACAGCGCGTGGCATACCATCGGCAAAGATAGCAAAGAGGTTATTGACTGGTGACAGAACCGAGTCATTGGCCGGATTTTTCATCCGCGTAGCAGGTGGGCCGGTAGTCAACTGGAATGGATATTGCTTGTCAGGTGGTCTGTTATCCTTCAGAGACGGATGCAGATTGGTGAGATGTCGAATATCAGGAGCGCGAGACGCTCGAGCTGTCTTTTTTGCTGAAGAGTTGGAGCGTCAGCGGACATTTCTGGGGTCCAGTTTGGGGTATTTCTGTACTCCGTATAAATTCGACTATTGTAAATAGAGACACCTAGCAAGATATTCCTCCACAGCCGAAGGCGAGGAAAGCAACGAGTGATGGTATGTTCAGTGAAAGTGATGGATCTTGGCCTATCTTGGTTTTTGGTAGATTATGAAGGGAATATGGTAACTAAGACATGATTTTATTGTCTTGAATCTGGTTTGGATCATCGGATAAGCCAATGTAACTATTTTGCCTCTGGTGTAATGATGCAAGTGGCTAGGATATCAAGCCTTGACGCATTATCGGATGCCCCGGGGAATCACTATTCAAGTGGGTTGGCATGGCTGTTCATTCCCCCTGTGCGACTACGAATACCCAATGTCACCTTGACAGAGCATAAGATGTGTAGATAAGGTATCTGCTTTCGCAGGCCATTATATTCTCGATGACATCTCCCAGTCAAGTGGTGTTATCGATGCAGTCGTTGCCGGTAACCGAATCACATACGTGTTAAGCTGCACAGGTGACTTGGTTACCTAGTAAGTGCTGGCAGTAAATCCTGTTCGGATTTGACCAGGGAGTATTTGTCAAACAATGCAGTAGGCCCAAGACCAGTGAGCTTTATCTCATCAGTGTGCTTTTAGGGACACCCAGAGACAGAGAGGATTGTAATTTGATCCTAGACTGGCATAAACGTGACGGGCGATGCTTCCATCGAGCGAGGTACCTAGTCCGAGATTACACGAGACCTGACGAATGTTAGTCTTTGGACTCGACGATTCGGCACGCGATTAAGAAGATGGAAGAAGCCCTCAGAGAGAAGATTAGGGTCGTCAATGCCTCGCACATCCGCAGATGGTGTGGCTTTCCGGCTAAGGATGATATACGTGTGTTCATCATAAACGGGCAGGAGGAGAGGAGGTTGAACGGAGATGACTTACGATATCAAGTATCTGTCCTGCGAGGAGTGTAGATGTTCATTAATTGCGTCCCCTTGTGTCGGACTTCGGGGCTTCTGTCCGGGTGGTCAAGTTGTGGACTGGGGGGTGGGCTCAAACATTGTGCAATAGGTCAAGTAAGTCAGTCATCGTAGGAGATAATCCTGCGACTTTGGTAGGGCATCTGCGACACCGCTGGTCTTTCTGCGGCCTGTGGCTCTTGAGTGTCATCTCCGTAGTCCAGGGGCTCGGAATTTGTATCCTCAACAGTATGTTTCTTGGATCCTTGGCGTGGCCGTGATCGCTTCTTGTCACCACCCGGAGGATGCGACTTGTCATCCAGAGGCCGCTTCTCAGATGCATGATCTAGCTTACTCTCCGATCCATCAGCTAGCGATGAATGCATGCGAGATTCGTATTCTGCTTCTTCCTGTTGTCGCTGCCTCTGTCGCAGCAGAGCGTGTATCTCACTGTGTCTGAAAATCTGGATTTCTTCATCAGTGAGAGTGCGCTTCACTCCGTCTGGGTAGTATCCAAGGTCATCTTCCGTGGTCTCATCGTGTTCAGGAGGGAACGTGGACGGCTGTTGACTGGGAAAGTGCTTGGCTTGGAAGGCCTGGAGGTCTTCCTAGATATGACGAGAGATTAGAAAAGATCAAGATAACGAGGTTTGGGAATGCTCACCAGCGTTACAGTTGGGACCTGCATGGTGCTCAGGGGTTGACGAGAAAGATAAGTGAGAGTGTCGCAGGAAGACGCGATCAAATAGATACACAAAATTACCGTAATTACCGTATTGAACACAGGTCGACTCTTGTGACTTCTCCAGCCCTAACTTATAACGTACAACTGTTATTGGTATTGGTACTTCTTTACGTAGCTTTATGATCTTATCTACGACCTCTGTCGCTTTGAGTACGTGTTTGAATTAGCACTTCTGTGCAAATCCAGTCCTTGTCCTTTGGTAGCAACTCTGGGGGTTGCTTTGGGTATGTGTTTTCCAAGGTTTCAATCTCTGCGATGGAAAGATGCAAAAGGATGGGACTAATGAACATTTAGTGAGTTTACTATGCTGTTCCCCTCTCGCCCCTCTTATGTGCCAACGGCAAAGGGCCTGGATACAAGCTCTTCAGGAAATAATCAATTTTGCTTCGGTGCTACTAAAGGAAATGCGCCAGATCAAAAACAATCGCTGTGTACGCAGCTGCACAAACTAATTCCAAGACGAGACTCACCCAGCACTGATGTTTTCCTCACGAAATTATGCCCATTGCCACACCTGGTGGCGGGGTTATCGGTCGCATTGACTAGACTCACTTCAGTCATGGGAGGTTCTGATTCGATCCAAGAATTCTTTTCTAGGCAAGGTCGAGAGAACGAGGATCTATCTGTTAAATCGGACATTGTGACAGAGAGCGTTTCAGCGGTGGAGCTCGAATTATTTCCAAATCGGTCCCAATGTCTTGTCTCTAGGTATGACTGATCACTGCTTTAGCATCAGCGGATATGTCCCGGAAATACTCTACGGAGTCACACTAAAGATGGCACTTACTTTATTCTAAGTAGTGACTGGCCCTGTTAGTTCTGGTAGATTATCTTTCCTTCAAGCCTTTCTCGCCACGCTAAACCTCACAGATCGAAGATTGTCTATGGGCTCGGCAAAGATGACTGCCTCTCATCCCCCTTATTCCTCTACCACACTTACAGTAAATTTCCAATGCCCCTCTTCTCCATTCGTTCATGCTGGCAATGATTGCGATATCAATAACAGGGCAGCCTGCTTCTCCTCCTTCATGACCTAGACCCATCTCATGGATGAGGATTATCGTTTGAAACAAATCAAGGAAGCTTACGCATGGAAAGGACAAGCGGTGTTCTCCTTTTCATCACCCCTTTGTCACGCGATCGCCTTTTTCAAGTCTTCACTCCCTTAGCCTACCGTTATACTGTGTTTCCTTGCTCCTTTGTCTTACTATTTGATTTGCATTCCTTGATTGACTTTGCGTATTGTGTGAGCTCATTTCGCCAAGCTCTAAGCTTGTTACTGGTCTCATGTCTTCAATATTCCAGAATATAGCATTTCACAGACGAAGAGATGTCCCGAAGAACTCGACTTCTTTCGATTCGGGCTGAAGAAATCATATCAGAAAGTATCCAACTTCTTTCACCTCGGCTGTACATCGAGAATCACATATGTTTGAAGCTTTTATGAATACAGCCATTGTTCTAAATGGTATATTTTTTTACAGGTTATTAAGGAAAACTTTACTAAAGTCCTTAGGTTTTTACTATTTCATCGGGATTGAGGCTTCTTGAAACTGAGCCTTGATGCACTCTAATTACTGTGCCCTCATGGTAACTTGCAACTATCCGTATGGTTCTTTGACATATAACTCTAAGTTTGATGTTTGGTGTGGCTGTGCAACCTGCAGATAAGGTTACCGTGGATAAAAATAGAATCCGATAAATTTTAGGTTATTTTCTTAGTGTCCTTTTTTTAAACGCTTATCCCAGAAGTCAATTGACTACCGAAGTTCACATGCTTGTATAGTGCACAATGCGAAATGTGCCGATTAGCGAGGTGCGATAAACCTCCGAAGGACTAAGGCCCCCTAACACAAGGAACTGGGAGTTATGAAATCAACTTGACCGAATGATTCTCCAAAGCTATGTCGATTGGGGCGTCGATATTTTATCGCATAAAGACAAACCTGGAGTTAGTGTGAAAGTTGTTTTCAAATTCAACCCTTTGGGAAAGCCTAGGAAAGTCCAGATGGTCTGATATCATCGGTGCTTCAATACCCGAGCACCAAATCAGATCAAGTGGTCGCACCTACTGACTGCGCCTGATTACATTATGCCGTTCAAAATATAGCATGGCGGCGAAAAATACATGTGGAGGACCGGACCCCGAATCAGACGGAGTGCAATTGAGAAAGGACAACACGTTTTTCCTTGGGAGAAGGCACCCCAGATCAGGCCCTTTAAAATAGATGGACGGGCTGCGCAGACGATCTAACCGAATTTCCACACACATTGAATAAACTCCAGATCTTGCAGGCTACATTCAATACTGAATATAGTATTTATCGCTATGTTGTCAACCATTTGAGAATTTTTACGCCATGCGGGATGGTGGAGCCATGCGCGCCATGCTGATGGATTCTTTCACATACTATCGCGTGCTCGAATATGCCACTTCATAAATCAATATAACCACCATCCTTTTTGAAAGGACTTCACAATGTGAGGCCTATGTGGGCTCTAGATGAAATATATGGACGTGAAGAAGCATAAAGTACAATCAATGCCACCAAGAACTAGCGGATAGCTGGTAGTCTTACAGGACTTGACCTGACGTATATGAGGCAGAATCTCGTCTCTGTTCGTTAAGTCCACTGATTCCGTATCATATTCAGTTTGTCGCGATTGTCGCCCCCACTTTCTCCAGCAAAAGGAAAATGGAGAACGGATATTCCCTGCTGTCTGCCCGAGTAAAGTTCAGGATAATGTGTAGGCGATGTATATGTCCCTCCGTATTGCATATATTAACAAGTAATTAGGATCCAAGTTCTTTAAAGAAAACGCGATGGGACCGATGAATGGGTAACCTGCGGTGTAGATCGCAAGCACAACGGCCTAAAGTACGACATGTGAGGTCTACAAAAAGGTACACCCGTGGACGTTGCTGTAGAGTCACGCCTTCCTTCAACACGTCTCTTTTCACCTTCTGTATTCGTGAATCGGGTCTACCTCAGGCTATCAGTGGAGACGGAGGTCGGAAGCCACTCGGGCAAACGTGAAGGCGTACAAAGTAGATATGTGACCAACTCTTAGATGTGCCCCAGATTTTCGTTTTTTATCGCTTAAGGACATTTTTCCACTCGAATCAATAATTTCTTCCCTCCACAAAGAGCACATCCCGTCTCCTAGCCTTCTCAAATGCGCTGATATATCTGCCTTATCCCAATTTCTGGTAGTCGAGGGTTGAAGTGTGACCGCGTCATTTTCCCACCTCAGCAACTTGATTTGGTTTAACCTTCGCATTATTTCAGTCAACAAGGATATTTGTTCCGGCATTCCAAGGTTATCGCGCATATGCGACAAATGCGCAGTGCCTAACTGGGGGCTTAAGCGCCGGACTTATCACGGCCGAGTTTGCGTCCGTATGCAGATCGCTACTATATCCCTGCATCACGCGATGACCAACGTACATGGGAGCGGGTCGAGCAGTTACATTGTGACGTTTAAAAAAGGGAACAAAAAGGCGGGGACAAATATATCAGAAACCTTAGACGCCGATGATTATATTGACTTAATAACAGGATCCCGCTATTAAATCACTCATGCTATCTTTGCCTGATATCGCTTTGATGATGCACACCATTTGAGATGGGTGTCCACGAAGGCCAAAACGGTGTTTTCGAGAATTGCGTCGTGCTTCCCGGTCTGTGCACCATGCAGGTGCTCATACAACTGCATTGCAGATGCAAGACACAAGTTGTGGATACCGCATACTTCCTTGATAGTATTTGGTAGTAGCAGGTTGATTTGATCAACATCCGAGCCTATTTTTTCTTCCATGGATACCAGGACTGCGTTCATGGTCTCCCCATTCCGACGATCCTTTTCCAGGCCTACAAGGTCGTTTTGCAGTCCGAGGACCAGGCCAACACGCTCTTGGAGTTGTCGCAGGCCGCAAAGATATTCTCCTCTGATGGGTGGGTGCAGTGTGCGAATCAGAGTGAAGAAGGGATGGATTCCCATCGTCTTCCCACGAAATTGTAGGTATGTCTCGAGATCATTGGGCAGTATGCCTTGTCGAAAACGAAGTTCCTCGAGGAGACCCTCACACATATCACATATATCGTTGCTGAGCTCCCTGGCGGCAGCATCTGAGAGGTTTAATTGGTGGATGCAATAATCTTGGAATAAACAGAGGATTGACGCGACCTTGTTGGCCGGAGAGACTAATCATATCCACCAATATTAGTGATGGGGGCTTCCATTTACTCTCTTGCCTGACATACCGTGTGCCTGATTTCCCTCAAGCTTCAGAATTGTCTCTTCCAGGGCAAAGATAGCGTCATTTGGCGGCATAGCTTCGAGAATATCATCCGCAGCGCAGTTCGCTGCTAGCCACGCCGTCATGCAAATACGAACATTTTCCGATTGTACATTGGGGAAGAAGAGGTTGATAGCAGCGGCTTCTGCAAAACATCTCTCATAGAAGTCTTTGGTGTCTCCGGCTTTCTCCGGGTGAATGGAAGCCTTGAAATGGGCATGTGCATAGATAACGGCCGATGGAGGGGCTGGATCGACAGTGACTATCTCATAATGAGGAATCTTGAGCTACTTAGAGATTACTCGGTTAGTGATTGTTCGCCAATATTCAGGAAGGTAGATGAAAATGGCTCACCTGGAGGGAAACGTCTTGTATTCCCAGGGGAATCTCGCAGGACTTGAGGACAGGCCGATCATTCAGTCGCTTATAATCGGGAACATTGCCTATTACATGAGTTGGAAGATAGGTTCGAGCAGTAGGAACGATCATGTCATGGTGGCGACGAAGGGTATAATTGCAGGAAGTCATTTTGTTTGGATACCAAAGCTAACGTGGATATTAAACACAGCCGAGAATCCATATGCTTTATATAGCCATTCGCGTCCATAAGAACAACGAAGATCATGGATATTCTAGGGGGCTACCGACTGATTTTTGGAATCAAGGTAATTTCCTTTGTCCCCATGACGTTAAACTTCCTTTCAGTATGCACGTATAAAAGCCACCCCAACATCCCATCAACTTGAGAGGCTAGCTCATACGCCTAATGCAGCTCAATTTGAGCTAGCACTGTTCCAAGAAACGCTATCCACGCATTCGGCTTGGTTCACAGCCACAAGAAGAACATCATCGCTCTGGGCTATATGCACATAGCTCCGCTGGGATTTTATGCTTCACCGTATGATATTGGAGGATCAGGATGCGGGGCTTCTGTTATGTGCTCATGTGCACAAACCTGTACATGGCAGGATACTCGGGGGCGCCGTGCTTTGTTCCCCACTACCGGGTGGGGATCTGCCCAGATGAAGTAATGAATTATCCTTATGCCGATATCAGGAGATTGTCGAATTTCAGCGTTTTTATGAAAGCTAAATCAGAGCCGAAACAGCGATTACAGGGCCAGTGGTATACAGTCGATTCTGGATAGAATGGCCACTTCTCAGATCTTATATAGGATAAAACCGCCTAAAGCGGAAGCGGGCGGAAGGGAGCGTCCGTTGCCCAGCGGGAGGACGTGCGCACTTCCTTTATGAGAAGCTCATTGGATACAGCGAGAAGAAGGGTCTCCTTAGGCCTGCGGTAGTCCTCAAAGTCAAAGGAATTGACTGTTGCCTACTCCGTACACCGTTCTCAATGTATATTCAAATCCCCTGATAGAGGTTACTGGTGACAGTGTGAACAAGGCTATATGATAGAATATATAAGGCAGGTATAGGCCACATGGAATAAGTAAGAGTAGACATATTACTGTTAGTAAAGAGCACATCCATAAATAGTCTTCCAGAACATTTGACCAAGACTTTCACAAGGGGATTAGGCTCGATGATGTTGGGGCAAGGTAGTTTTATGTATATTACCACTGAATTAGTTTTCAAATACCTAGGTCTGATAAAATGTTTAGAAAACGTAGTTTATTACAAGAATGTTTCCTTGGCTGCCGAAGGTCAGAAGAGCCTTTTATGAAGCACGATGCCGGGCATGATGTTGCGGTTAGTCGTCATCAATTAGGCCGCTGGAGCCCTGGAGGCCTCATGCACATTACTAGAATTTGATTTTAATAGTACTCTGTCCTACTGAAAGCGCGGGGCAGCAGCTGATAAAGATCCTGTTGTTCACATGTACACGCGTTCCAAGGCAACATAACATGTATGGTTGAAATCTTCGAATGTCAGTGCAGTGGAATAGTTTTCGCACAGGAGCACGACCTATCCCCTGTGATCCACTCGTCAGCGTATAATCTTGAGGCCATTTATTCAGAGAACAGAACTGGGAGCCCAGCCATCGCCTCCATGCATGTAATATTCAATATCCTCATGAGGGTCCGAGGTATTTTCATCCAATCTCTGGCCATTTGTGTAGTTTGCAATCAGTTGGGTCGTCCAAGAGGCCCTTTCTCGGACTCGGAAGGGAAGGACCTCTCCTCTCTCATTCACGGCCATGAAAAGAACCCATCCCTCCTCACACGCCTTGCGATCGGCGACAACGAGCATGAGACACTGCACCATGTCTGACTCAACCGATTCCTCGATGTACCACGAAGGCCAATCTCGCTTCGATAGACCGTCTAATGTATCGGGTCTGTGCATTAGCGCGGTGATCATATATGATGGCACGGACCCTGGCGTTCCGCAAGCGACTCCATCCACGAAATCAGGATTGATATCTCCATTAGGCATGGTGTTACTGCCAGATCCAAATTCCTCCTTGTTCTCATACCAACACTCCTTTTCCACGAACACCTCGAATTCATCCTCATCCATGATCGCGCGTAGACGTTTGTATCCAGCATCGGCGGCATCCTGACTTGCTTGATCATCTTCTCGCCCAAACCACGTCCGAATCCAGAACACCCTGGTCATCTGGCCATCCGTTTCACGTTCTTCGTCTGAGATTAGATCTTGAGGTACATGAAGAGGGATCTCCTCGGGAAGAAGATCGTCACCATCTGGGTATATCTATTTTTCTATCCATCAGCGATGATGCCAAAAAAGAGAGCGGGTTCAAGGTTACATTGCGGCCACTTTTGCCTAGTCGTGTCCAAGACTCAACGAGGGCACGGAATTGCTGGGCTTTTGTGAGGGACGAAAAGGGGTCCCATTTGTCCTTTAATGAACAGTTAGTTATGACATCAGCCGGATTCCTGGTTTGGCTCTCGTTGTGAAAAAGCTCGTTTTGAAGCCGATCTTACCATAACATAAAAGTCGAATGGGAGGTGTCCGAAGGGCATCGGGTCACGACCGTCGGGTACGCTCATTTTGTAATTACCGATTAAGAAGCCTTCATTCCAATTTTTCAAATTCTTGATAGAAAAAAGAAAACTCGCACGAACTGAGAAATGAGCTAGGGGAGAAACTACGCACGTTGAGAGGGAAAAGAAAAGATAAAAGGCAAAAAGACGGATATATACATGTGCGTATCTTAGGCACCATCACGCGAAGTCACGGCCCTGTTTGGCTGATGAGAATTGCCCCTAATTATGCCCTGTTGGGGCTATCAACACTATGCCTATTTGGGCTCTCGTAGCCGTCTTCGGGACTCTGTCAGCTCTAACTGCCATGGTTGCTGCCTGCACAGCATGACGCAGTACAAAACGGTGGAATCGAAAGCAAAGTCGAAAGCTACATGTAGGTAATTACCGAGATCAGACAGGCACAACTGCGATTCAATATCTTAACTACCACAAATCGAGATGACATGTTTCCACTCAGACCCTCTCCCGGACCATCTAATACGGGAGCAGTTAGCCTACGTGAATGCACACCAGAGCTTAGCAAACTTACTGGTCAGCCCTGAAGCATATACAATGTCCCCCACTGAGTCTCAGATAAACGAAGTTCTTTTCCCATTGCGTCCTGAGATCACTATCCCTATGCCACATTCTCAGGCACTCTGGACCAATGCCTCTACCTCCTTTTTTCCTATGACGAAGGCAAGGCAAACCCGTCCGATTCTATCTAGCCAAGCAAGCTGGCCGCAGAGTACACCGGGCCTGGTGGAATTATCTTCGACGAGAAAGAGGTTTTCGGGCGGAGCGGAGCGGGTTTATTGTACGCTTTGGAGCTTACATCCCAGCGGGTATCGAACGCGCGGTCTATGCAGCATATAGATGACGGGAGAGGGGTCCAAAGAAGACGTAAAGCAAATTGAAAATGCACAAGCACTTTCTGAGAGTCACGGGGAAGGATATTCCGACGAAGTTAAAGCAATTATAGGCCAGCTTCGCTCAAGATATTGACTGTCCCGATACAGCTGGTATCATGCTGCTTTGTAATGACTGATTTCCTGTTATTGAGGGTGGATAGACACTTGCTCGCGACAGCTTGCTTCACGTCTCCTTGGATGTCTGTGGCAAAGGGGTTAGGAGTAGCGAATGTTCAATCAGGGAGATGGTTATCACTTCAATCGGTCGTGGAAGGAAGAAGTTTAGAAAGACAATCATCGGGGACTTCCTGCTACCTGATTGTTAGGGGAACAGATAACGTGGAGACAGATGAAAAAGATAAACTGCATTTGGGATTCTCTAGGTTGTTAGTGAAGGAGCATCAAGATCAAACGAGACAAATGCTAGCCCTGTGCCCTTCGACTGCGCCGGACTTGGATACCTTCCTATTCTCTTGTTTACAATTCATACCTTCTCATCTCCCACCTTCTTACTTCCACGTATCCACGCAATATTGCTCTGAAGTTCCTTCAAGCCTTCGCTCCCGTCTCCGAACAATCAGATTAGAATTCGATTAATCGAATTTCACTCCAGTGTGACTAGCTCGGCGTTCCAATATGGATACAGACCTTGTCCCCAATGTTCCAGGGCTTTTGCAGCATCTAACTGAACAGAGGCAAGCTCTCCTAGATGCACAGTCCAAGAAGGGTCAGCACCCGAGTGCAACAAAGTCCCGAGACGAGATAATAATGCAGTTCATGCATCAGAAGATGAGCAACAAGCCTCCAGTTGGATCGCATGCTGTGCAAACATCCTTTCTTCCTCCTGCCTACAATCCTTGTCTCGTTTCATTGAGGGAACTGAAGAAACTCATGATTAAGGATCTCACCCTCGAGACCCATCATCGTGCGTCCTACGTCCTGCTGAGGGCGGTTACCCCGACGGATATCATGGCCGCCATCATGGCTATTGTGGAAGATGAGAACGGAGATGTTGTTCTATTGACGGTCTATCATCATTTGGCAGAACATTCTCTGGACAGCCTTCTTTGTGAAGGAACAATCCTGGTTGTGAAGGAACCTTACTTGAAGATAAACGCGGATGGGGGGTATGGGATCAGAGTTGATCATTTTTCCGATATCATGGTTATTCCAGAGCAAAAGGACCTTGTTCCGTTAGCTTGGAGAGATAGGGCAACTGAGATTGAACTCACTGCCAGCGACTGGAAAATCAAGGGCAATGAACTGTTTCAAAGGTCCCGCTATCGTCTTGCTATCCAGTGGTAAGGTGACGACACGTTAGTTCTGACGACAGTATTAACCGAGATGCTAGTTACTCTGACGGCTTAGAGTCTGCTCCCACGAACGAAGAGGCATTGATTCTTCGACTCAATCGCGCGCTCGCTTCGCTAAGAACACACCAATTTGACGCAGCTCTTCGTGATCTTGAGTACCACGCCCCGGGGTCCGAACCATCCGAGAAACTGCTTTCCGTAAATACAAGGCTTTGTACTCGCTCCAGAGATTCCGAGAGGCCTGCGACGTTCATATTTTGCTGAGCAAGGCCTACCCACCTCGCCAGACTTCAAAGGAAGAATTTGATCGGGCTTTAGCACGACTTGCAGAGCAGAATAAAGGCAAATATCAATTCAAGAAACTGCATGATGAAGCCAGGAGAAACCGCCCGATCAACCTCGACCATGCTACATACATTGGCCCTGTGACTGTGAAGCCCACTGAGTCGTGCGGAAGAGGTCTATTCACCACCCAAGCAGTGAAGCCTGGCGATCTTCTCTTATGTGAGAAAGCCTTCTCTTATGCGTTCCAGGATGCCGACGAGCCCAAGCCCAATAAAAAGCTCACCCTTTTTATCAATCCACAAACGAACCGCGTGAGTGGGGATTCCCAAGTACGGCTACTTGAGACAACCGTCCAAAAGCTCTCCAAGAACCCATCGCTCATGTCAGCCTTTAACGATCTCTACCATGGCTCGTACAAGCCCGTTGAGATCGTAGAGGTAGATGGTATTCCAGTCGTGGATACGTGAGTAGTTAATGATATCTCAATTACTCAACTAGCTAACAAACTTTAGTTTCCTCTCAGAGTGTATCATCTCTTTGAATGCATTCGGCTGCCCTATCCTCTCTCATGAATCTCATATCAATGCTACGGCATGTGCGAGGGGTCCCCAAAGCGAGGGAGACCAATATCAGGCATGTGGGATATGGCGCCTGGCATCCTACACCAACCACTCTTGCAACAGTAATGCGAGACGTGCATTTATTGGAGATATGATGATAATCCGTGCGACGAGGAATCTTCCTCCAGACAGTGAAATTACCTTCTGGTACAAATCTCCTGTCGAAGGCGGGTCCACGGACGAACAAGTGGACCTAGCGCACTGGGGCTTCAAGTGCACTTGCGTCATATGCCATAACACCGACGAGACCCCGGGCACTGCCTTGGCAAAGAGAAAGAAACTCAAGGCCGATTTGATGGAAGCCTTTGAGTCTCCTGGTAAGCCCGACACAATCAAGATAGAAGCCACCATCGCTTCCTTGGAGGACACATATCATCGCCCACTCTCTGAAGTTCCTCAGCTCGGTATTTGGGATGCGTATTTGGCACTTGCGATGATCTATGCCGTGTATGACCGGCCTGAGAAAGCCATTGAGTCGGCTTTTAGAACGCTAGAATCACTTGGCTATGTCATTGAGGGCGGAAGGCCTCCCTTTCCTCCTACCGCGCCCCTTCTTGTCAAGAAATGGGGTTTGATGATGGATGGTCTCGTGGGCTGCTGGATGTGTCTCGCCGGTGTCTATCGGAAGAGGTACCCCTGGCTTGTGGCCCAATCAGAGGAGTATGCCAGGATAAGCTATCTGGCTTGCATCGGGGAAGACGAGACATTCAAGGAAACCTACAGTACGGAGTCGGGCCGACCTGATGGTCTTCGCGTCTCAAAGACCTAGCTTTCAACGATTGCAACCCCTGTAGTGGCTTGATTCGTGGTGTCTTGAGAAGTATTCGCTGTGTGAGATGGAGGAAGTACATATTCAGTGTTGAGATATTTGACTGGCATACGGCAGTAGAGGAAGCAACTCCAATATTTTCTTCGGTTTGCAATATTTCCAATGGTATTTGGAGGACTTGAGCTGGGTGCGGTGTCCCTGTGATAGCACTTTGGCCACTTTTCTGTGAATGACTGCGCTATGAGGTTCTCGCATTTGAACTGTCCTTGTCAGCTGTCAGTCCTATAAACGCGAAGTGTAAATCAAGATATCATGTTGATCTAAACATCTTTTCTTGCGTATATAAGCATCGAGGGCTGCGAGGATTGGAAGATACAATATTCCAATAGGTAGAAGCTGTCCAAACTGTGGCGTAAAGCTCATCGGAGAGTCCGATGACCCGGGTTATGATCCGCATATGATCGAAAAGCAGACCTAAGACAGCTCAAATGTGAATTAGAATAAGAGCCGAACAATTTCGCCGAAGAATGAAGATCCCAGTCCCAGGTCGTTTACTATGATACCGATGAGGGCAACATAGTATCTGAATCCACTCTTCTGCGCATTAAGTGCTATAATTATCATGTTCGTATTTAGGTCCTTTAAGCCATTTCTCGGATAGAATCTAACCAATCTGTAGCCGATACGAACAGTCCGTCCAATGGCCATTGCTACCAATAACTATCCCTTTCATGTGGGGATGGTCACAAGCTTGAGCGTAGGGTTAAGCTTGTGTCGCTTCTGTTCTCAGGGAGCCTCCACAGGGTGTTTTATATTTTGTACTAGGAGAATATGATAATTAGAAGAGACAAACATAGAATAGTGGTTTCTCAAAAAGTTCTTCACAGTGAATATGGCGATTAATAGCCAGAACAGAAAGTTACCCAAGCAGATGACTTGAAATATATATTTCACAAACATCATGGAAAGCCCGAGAGAATTACAATCCCTAACAACCTGGCAAGTTTTTACGATATCTGCATGTACATTTCGGATCTGACGAGGCATGTTTCATATACCATCAAGGTATGGCCGGATTGCAACGGGTGCTGGTCTAGGCACTATAGTATAGGGGCTACAAGGCCCCACATGAATCACCGGGATTGCATGGAAGAGCACGTTAATAAACCATTGATTCAATAGCCTGAAGTAATCTCCGATGAGTTGGGCCAACAACCTTGCGAGAATGGGCAGTTAGGCAGGAGTATACCAAGGCATTTGCCTTGAGGGACATGCCCAATGACGTCGGTGCTTCTATTCTTAACTGCACGAGCCACAAGTCTCGACACGTGTGGCGGAGAGAAAAAAAGAAGTCCGATGGAACAAAACGAAATGGAGCAATAAGGATGCCCAGATCCCACTCTTGGCACCGAGGAGGTCATTAGTAACCGGGTCACTGATGTCCAGTTCGCCCCCTGAGGCAGAAAGAGGCCCCCGTGTGGCGCAGCTGTTTGCTTCCGTTTGACTCGTCGTACGTAAGTCCGCCCAGTCATTCCCCCATTCCACTTACAATTACTCCCTTGCTAGAATTGCTTCTAGACTATTTCCTACTCTCTGTTTTAATTCCTGACTCGCAGCTCGTCACTCGAGTCTACTTGCGATTCAACTGACAGGTCAGATTTACATTTGTCGCCTGGGCGCGGGATCCCGAAAGGTTGACGCAAGATGGTAGGTGGCCTACTACGTTGCGCAGCAGATAAGGACCAAACTGACCCCGGAATTGCGCTATAGGGTCAGTCACGACGCCCCGTTGGAGGAGAAAAGAAGAGCCGCTTCGGGCGCTCCAAAGCAGTTGCCGATGTTGGCGACGGCCGGCAAGCGGGGGGCAACAAGCAGGTCAAGAAGGCTGCATTTGAGAGCAGCAAGAAAAAGGAGATTGGTGTATCAGATCTTACACTGCTCAGCAAGATCTCCAATGAGGCAATCAATGACAATTTGAAGCTCCGGTTCGAGCATGACGAGATCTATGTAAGATATCCTCACATGCGGACTGCGGGGTTGTGCGCGAACATGAGTACAGACTGACAGGATGCCATTAGACATACATTGGCCACGTGTTGGTCTCGGTGAACCCTTTCCGAGACTGTGAGTTGCTCTGCGAACAGAAAACGTTGCTGTTTTGGCTGACAGACATGTGATCACTACAGTGGGTATCTACACCGATACTGTCCTCGATTCATATCGCGGTAAGAACCGTCTCGAAGTCCCTCCACATGTATTCGGAGTCGCCGAGTCAGCATACTACAACATGAAATCCTACAAGGACAACCAGTGTGTCATCATCTCGGGAGAGTCTGGTGCAGGAAAGACGGAGGCCGCCAAGCGGATCATGCAATATATTGCCAGTGTTTCTGGTGGTGGCGATTCCTCTATTCAACAGACCAAGGACATGGTATTGGCGACGAATCCGTTGCTAGAATCATTTGGTAATGCGAAGACCCTGCGCAACAACAACTCGTCCCGATTCGGAAAGTACCTCGAATTGGAGTTTAACTCAAATGGTGAGCCGGTGGGAGCAAATATTACGAACTATTTGCTTGAGAAGTCTCGAGTCGTGGGCCAAATCACGAACGAGCGAAACTTCCACATCTTCTACCAACTCACAAAGGGAGCCCCACAGAAGTACCGCGACAACTTCGGTCTTCAACAACCCCAGTCATACCTTTATACGAGCCGATCGAAGTGTTACGATGTGCCAGGAATCGATGATGTTGCCGAATTCAAGGATACATTGAATGCGATGCAGGTGATTGGAATGAGCGATGTCGAGCAGGACAATGTGTTCCGCATGCTGGCGGCTATTCTCTGGATTGGTAATGTCCAATTCACTGAGGATGATTCTGGCAACGCTACCATTAGCGATCAGTCAGTTGTCGATTTCGTCGCCTACCTGTTGGAGGTTGATGCTGCGCAAGTGAACAAGGCCCTAACAATTCGTCTGATGGAGACCGCTCGCGGAGGGCGCAGGGGTTCTGTCTACGAGGTGCCACTGAACAGAGTCCAAGCATCGGCTGTTCGGGACGCTTTGTCCAAGGGAATATATTTCAACCTGTTCGACTGGATTGTAGAGCGCGTCAATCAGTCACTAGCTGCTCGAGGTTCCATCGCCAACTCGATCGGTATTCTGGATATTTACGGATTCGAAATCTTCGAGAAGAACTCTTTTGAGCAGCTGTGTATCAACTATGTCAATGAGAAGTTACAGCAGATCTTCATTCAATTGACTCTCAAGGCAGAGCAGGATGAGTATGCCCGTGAGCAGATCAAGTGGACTCCGATCGAGTACTTTGATAACAAGGTTGTCTGCTCGTTGATTGAGGATAAGCGTCCTCCTGGCGTTTTCGCTGCCTTGAACGATGCTTGCGCCACAGCTCACGCTGATTCCGGTGCGGCTGATCAGACTTTCGTTGGTAGACTCAACTTCCTGGGCCAGAACCCGAACTTCGAAAATCGCCAAGGTCAGTTCATCATCAAGCACTACGCTGGTGATGTCAGCTACGCCGTGGAAGGAATGACGGATAAAAACAAGGATCAGCTATTGAAAGACTTGTTGAATCTCGCCCAATCTAGTAGCAACGAATTTGTTCATACGTTGTTCCCCAACCAGGTCAATCAGGATGACAAACGTCGCCCACCTACTGCTGGTGACAAGATCAAGGCATCCGCGAATGACCTTGTGGCCACGCTCATGAAAGCGCAGCCATCTTACATTCGTACCATCAAGCCCAACGACAACAAGGCTCCCAAGGAATACAATGTTGGCAACGTTCTGCACCAGATCAAGTACCTGGGTCTCCAAGAAAACGTTCGCATTCGTCGTGCCGGCTTTGCGTACCGTCAGACTTTCGACAAGTTCACCGAGCGATTCTATTTGCTGTCTCCCAAGACTTCATATGCTGGTGATTACACATGGACCGGTGACGTGGAATCTGGCGCGAGGCAGATCTTGAAGGATACCCGAATTCCTGCCGAGGAATACCAGATGGGTATCACCAAGGTCTTTGTCAAGACTCCCGAAACACTTTTCGCACTGGAAGCCATGCGTGACAAATACTGGCACAACATGGCCATTCGCATTCAGCGTGCTTGGAGAAACTACCTCCGGTACCGTATTGAATGTGCGATTCGTATCCAGCGCTTCTGGCGTCGCATGACCGGTGGACTCGAGTTCATCAAGGTTCGTGATCAGGGTCACAAATTGCTGCAGGGTCGCAAGGAACGTCGGAGAATGAGTCTTCTCGGCTCTCGTCGCTTCTTGGGTGATTATCTCGGCGTAGGAAATACTGGTGGCCCTGGTGAAATGATCCGCAGTGGTGCAGGCATCAGCGGCTCAGAGGATATTGTATTCTCTTGCCGTGCTGAGGTCTTGGTCTCCAAATTTGGTCGATCCAGCAAGCCTTTCCCCCGTATTCTTGTCTTGACGACTCGACATGTCTTCATAGTGGCACAAAATATCGTCAACAATCAACTCGTTATTTCGTCAGAACGGACTGTTCCCGTTGGAGCCATCAAGAGTGTCAGCACCTCAACACTCAAGGACGACTGGTTCTCGTTGATTATTGGCGCCCAAGAGCCTGATCCGCTTATCAACTGCGTCTTCAAGACCGAATTCTTCACTCACCTGAATACTGTCCTGCGTGGCTCTTTGAATTTGAAGGTTGCCGAGAGCATTGAATACAATAAGAAGCCCGGTAAACTGGCAACAGTCAAGGCAGTCAAAGATCCGGGTGCTGGAAAAGTCGACAGCTACAAGAGCAGCACAATCCACACCAGTGCTGGTGAGCCTGCTAGCTCCGTCTCGAAGCCTACTCCCCGACCGAAGGCGGTTGCTGCTCGCCCTGTAACAAAGGGCAAGCTACTTCGTCCTGGTGGCCCTGGTGGCGGCCCTTCGAAACTCTCCCAGGCTGCTCGCAGACCTGCCCCAGCCGCTCAACCTCTTCCCCGGTCTACCCCACAACCAGCTGCAGTGCCACAACCAGCAGTGCAATCGCGTATAGTGCCTCAGCCCGTGGCTGCTGTTGCCAATGCTATACACACCCGGACCGTGTCTAGTAGCTCCGTGAGGGCTCCACCACCGCCTCCCCCTGCAGCACCTCGCCCAGCATCAAAGACACCCACCGCGAAGGTCAAGTATGACTTTAATAGCGACCGGGCTAACGAACTTTCCATCCGCACGGGTGAAGTTGTAGAAATTGTGTCTAAAGAAGGAAATGGTACGTGATTGAGTATGCTACAGTTTGATTATGACTAATTTGTCTTAGGATGGTGGCTTTGCATGAACACAACGACATCGACGCAAGGTTGGACTCCTGAAGCATACCTTGAAGAGGTTGTTGTTGCTCCTACGCCAAAGCCTGCTCCACCTCCACCCCCCGCGGTAGCACGCGCAAGCCCTAGCCCTATCCCGAATGGTGCTGGAGTTGCCGCTGCTGCAAAGAGCAAACCCGCCCCTCCTGCTCCCCCCGCCAAGCGACCCAACATGGCCGGTCGCAAACCCGCCCCACCGCCTGCTCCCCGAGATAGTGCCGTGAGCATGAACTCGGGCGACTCATCAGGCGCCAGCGGCCGTGGCACACCCAACAGCGCATCTAACGCCAGCCTAGCAGGCGGCTTGGCCGAAGCGCTGCGGGCACGACAGAGCGCAATGCAGGGCAAGCAAGACGACGACGACGAGTGGTAGAGTGTAAAGTCGATACGGATAGTTTCATGGTCGGTCGCCGAGTTGGACATTTCTGCGCTTAGCGTTGACCTTTTTGTTTTTGCGATTTATTATTACTTTGACCATCGCATATGCATATGCATCTGCAGGTCAGCGAGTCATTGTCTTTTATTTTTCTCCCATCACTGGGCTTTTCTTCCTCTACCATTCCCCGGTAGAGCCGAGTTTTCCATTATATACCGTTTGTCGCATGAATCAAAAAGAAATGTTCAAAGTTGTCTCATTCTGAATACACATATCCCTCGTATAGTCACATCAAATTTACAAGAACTTGCTCGCCAGACTCATCAATCCACTCGGACCACCAGTGCCCCCAACACCACCACCCTGACTCTTCAGGTACATCTTCAACGCCACCTCCGCAGCAGAGTTCACAGCAGACTGCTTATCACCAGTCTATACCCTGTTAGCAAAATCCAAACACCAGATATCAAACATATCAAACACATACCATATTACCCCCAGACCCAGACTTCTCATCCCACAACTTCCCCGCCTGAGCCATCGCAAGCCCAATCAGCTTATTCTTATCCATGCCCCCATCACTCTTCCCACCACTAGTAAACATCTTCAACGCCTCCATCGCCGCCCCCGCACCAACAGTCTTCGAATCATGTCCTCCAGACCCAGATCCAGATCCAGATCCGGATCCGGACCCGTACATCGCCTGGTGCGAGTTCACAGCCTCCTGCTCGTCGACGTCATCGTCGGACTGCTTGTTCTTCCGGTCAGCGAGGAACTTCAGCGCACTACTGAAAAACGACTTATCGTCGCTCTTTTCCTCGGCGGCGTGGCTGGCTGCGCTGCTGAAGTCTTCGTTGTTGTAGTTGCTGTTGCTGTTGCTGGAGTTGTGGTGGGAATCCTGACGGCCGTGCTGGCTTTGGTTGGAGCCGTAGTTGCCCTGGTTCTGGTTCTGGTTCTGGTTGTACCCCGAGTTACCAGAGTTGTTGCCGTAGTTGCCCTGGTTCTGGTTCTGGTTGAAGCCGGAGTTGTTGCCAGAGTTGTTACCGTAGCCACCGCCCTGAGAGTCCTGGCGGCCGTAGTTGCCCTGACCCTGGTTCTGGTTTTGGTTCTGGTTGAAGCCGGAGTTGTTACCGTAACCACCGCCCTGGGAGTCCTGGCGGCCGTAGTTGCCCTGGCCCTGGTTCTGGTTCTGGTTCTGGTTCTGGTTGAAGCCGGAGTTGTTGCCGTAGTTGCCCTGGTTCTGGCCCTGGTTGTTGTAGCCAGAGCTATTACCGGAGTTGTTGCCGTAGCCACCGCCGTGAGATTGCTGGCCGTAGTTGCCTTGGCCTTGGTTCTGGTTGTACTCAGAGCGACCTTCGTGGCCGGAGCCGTAGGAGTTGTTGTTGTTGTTGTTGTTGTTGTTGTTGTTGTTGCTGTTGTTGTTGTTACGGTTGAAATCCTGGGTGGTGTCGTAGTAGCTGCTGCTAGCGCCACTGTTGCCTTGGTTCTCGCGGTAGGACATTTTGGGTGGTTGTTTAGGTACAAATTTGTCCAGTGAGATAGATGTGTGTTGGAGATGGAGGATGTGGAACTGATTTAAAGTGGAAGAACAGAATGGAATGGAAGAGCTCTGAGGTTGGACGAGGGGTTGCGGGGCAGTGGACCAGGTCAGTGGGCTGAGTAGTAGGGTTCTTATTGGGTGGCGAGTTTCTTCATTTTTGGGTGTTTGGTGTTAGAGGGAGCTGAGGGAGTTGAGTGAGTCGAGCAATACAACGGTGTATAGATGCATGTTGAAGCAGTTAGGGCTGTAGTTGAAAGGAACAGGGCTGAAGAACCAGTCGCGATGGGATTCGTCGCGCGAATTATGGTGCATTTACATCCTACACAAATCATGAATCCACATCCAATACTCTATCAAACAAAAAAAAAATGAATACAAATAGCCTCCAACGCCATAGCCCAGGGTATCAGATGCAGATAAAAGGCGCAAAAAATACCAACCCAAGAGGACAAAAAAAAAGAGAAGAGAGTCATCGCAGAGATAAAAGAAAGTACAGACTCAAAGAATCAAAGCATCATGCTCCGCATCCGACATATTCCTCAAAAACCTCAATCCTCGCTCCCTTTTGCTCAAAACACACCTTGGATCCGACGCCAACTGCTGCTGCGTAAGCCACTCGCTCGGCAAATCGGTCAGTCCGACGCGCCGCCCCCACTGCCGGCGTTCGTACTGCATAAAGCCACCAAAGTGACGGTCGGTATTTGCAACCCAGATCTCCCCACCGTCCGGCGAGTAATCTGCACCGCCAATCTCGCCGAAGAAATCGTGCACCTGCCGCGAGCGGTACATCTGTGCGTCGACGATCGAGATGCGGTCGGCCGGCTCCGTGCAGAGAAGTGTGCGTGGGCCGCCGCCGACCGGTGAAAAGCGTAGCGATCGGTAGCCGGCAACATCGGAGTCGATGGTTTCGAGTGGACGCCACGTGCGTGCGTCCCAGATGATGACAGTTTTGTCTTGGTTGGAGGTTGCGATGTGGCGCATGTCGGGTGACCAGGCGCAGGCAAAGCCGAAGTCTCGATGGCCTCGGAGCGGGTGGACTGGTCGGCCGGTGTCGGATTCGATGACCCATGCGTCTGGAGAGTCGCCGATTACGACGCGGAGACGGCCGTCGGGGGATGTGGCGGTGCAATTTATTGGTTGGGACAGTTCTTGATCCGAGGTAAAAGTGTTTGTTTCTGTGTCTAGGATGCGGAGGTGTTTGTCGTTGGAGGCGAAGACACCGGTGGGAGAGGGGCCGGTGCGGTTGGGGACTATGTCAACGTGATTTGTGATACCATCGTTGAAGTCCGGGGTAACGAGGCCCTTGATGCCGGCGCCCGATCCGCTCGAGTCACAAACAGCATATTCACCGCAGAACCCGCCTGCGATGGTTAAGCCGTGCGCTGTTTTCATCGTGGAGATCTTGACGGGTCCAAGGAATCCAGATTCTGGGTCTGCCTGGCTCATGTCGATCAGGCAATGAGCGTCGCCGATAGTCGGGGTCCACGAAAGCACTTTTGAGCTGGAGGCGAAATGCACAGTATTAGATCCAGGAGTCGACATCAGATTACGCAGCTGAAAGTGCTCAATGGTAGCTTTGTGTGAAGTGTGCATGGAGCTTTCTCGGAAAAACGTTTCATGCTGTGAAAGACGCTTTGCATGACCGATCTGCGAGTAGTCCAGATTATGATATGAAGTGTACCAAGCATCACGCACCGCACGTGCATCGGACCGCGTCACTCGCAAAGTCTCTGTCCATGGGATCTGCTGCAGATCATAGAAATCACGTCTCCAGTTACGCGGCCGCACAGTCTCCCGTGGAGGTTGCCAACTAATCATTTTGGACAGCGGGCGCAGCTGTGGTGGAATTCGACTTTCAGTGTGGAAACCCTGCGGGATGGTGTTTATTGAGACCATCCAATGTTGGACGAATTCATCAATCGTAAGATTACGCTCGTATGCTAGAGGTTTGTTAGCCTAGTTCACGTATCAAAAGATATGGTATCTTACTGGATGTGTGAATTATGGATGCCGGGTGTGGACCAGGGAGTTCCAGGGGATCGGCGAAATGATTCTCAAAGGGATCTGGGACAGACGCTCCAGTTGGTTGTGGATCCACTTCAAGGTCTTCGTAGTTGATAGTGTTGTAGAAATCATCGAGATCGTACTCTACCACGTCAGCTTCGTGTGTCGGGCGTTCCTTGCGCTTGTAGTAGTACTCTTCTTCGTCTGGATAGAACCGAAGGAAATCCTCGAGTTCAACGCTAGTTGCAAGTAACGCCGCTGGGTTGTCCTCCATGGTAGGCGACTCGTAATCCATAAGCATATCCTTCTGATAATCGTCAATATTACTATCTGGTGCAATAGAGATGCTGTGCCGTCCTGCGGTGCGATGAATAAAGTTCTGAACACTGGATTCCATATTCACATCTCCGCCTAAATCCGATCCAAAGACGAATGCCGGGTCAGATAAGGTAGGCGCTGCCGGTGGCTCATGAAAATGCTGGTTTGCTGGCTGCAAAGAAGGCCCCGAGAAGTGTGGAGGACTACCAGTACTCGTCACAGCGTTGACGATTTCTGGCACAAGAAAGGAATCACTGTGGCTATTGACGGCATGGGGAAACTGGGCTACAGCGGCCAGAGCTGCGACCCCCACGTCATGTAAACGGCGATCAACCTCGGTCATATTGGTCGGAGCCGAAGCAGGCGTATTGTCGGATCTGGAAAATACTTCCGAATCGAGGGACGAATTCAAAGCTGCATCGTCCTCCCGACTGGACAATCCACCAAAAGAATGCGAAGGATTCATGACTCGCGGTTGAGACAGACCATCCATATCACATGACACATAGCGCGGCGATGCAGCGGAATCTCGCAAGACAGCGTAGTCGGATGACGGGCGATTCGGGCCAGAGTTACAGGAGCTGGGATGAAGCATCGCCCGCCATGGACCGATCGAGTCAAGAAAAAAGCAAAATAGTAGCAAACAATCCCACCGAGGGATGCTGACCTAGATGTCTCAAGTTTTTGCTCTCTCTTCCAGGCACCGTGCAGCAAGGCGCCGGCTGATCAAGTCCCAAATCAGGTCGAACCGCAGGGATGGCGGGCAGCGGCGGTCGCACAAGCGGAGGAACAGTCCAGTCACCAATAACTTAGATCCAGTCCCTACAGGTACCGCCTAATCACTGGAATTCGAATCCTGGGTGTGTTGTCTGTATGGGGTGTATGCAGTGAGCAGTCGCCTGGCAGCTGACTGAGTTCGCAGAATCCCGATCGGTGGACTTCTCCCCCGCGTACAGAGTACTGCACGGTGAGATGTGTGGCGCACTCGCTTCAAGTCCGCTTATAAGGCGAACAGGATGGCGGAAAGCGGAGAGCGGGCGAGATGGAAATGTCGAGTCAGCCACGGAGAGATGGAGAATCGAGGGGTAAGGTCAGCAGCTGAAGATGAGAGGTTGGAGCTAAGATCGAAAGTTCCCAGGTTTCGAGATCATCGACACGCTAGATGTGCTAGTGGGCTGATTAATTTCAGGGAGTGGCCCAACCCAAGAGTACTTCAGATATGATGCGAGGGTCGGACGCAAGGTCAGATATTAATTCGCAGGTGCATAGCGAACGTGGCGAGGAGGAGAACGTGGAGAAGGGCAATTCCGCCCTTCCGCCTTTTCGAGTCAGTTGATCGCGATTAGATATGCGGGGCTGCCAGGCCATCGGGTTTATAGAGAGAACGTATATTCAGTATGCATGCAAAGGGCAAAATCAGGCCAAAATCGATAGATAGAATCACACACATGCAGGGATTCAGGGAGACTCTCAGGGTTCACAGTCCACCGGCCGAGTCCGGAGCCGATGCGTTTCAACGTCTACATCGTGAGAGAGATAAAGAACAGGATATACTTCTAGTGGCTTAAGCATGTGAGGTAATCCTTAGAAATATTAACGCGCTCTTGATCTTGACGCTTACATTATATCCTCGCATATGTAAATAATAATGCAGGGAGTAACGCACTGCAGATCCAAGCCGGCCAAACCCGGTGACCGGCGCTTTGATCCTGTTGGGCACAGTTTGGGCTGACGAGTCTACAAGGGGGTGCTATTTGACCTGTGAGAAATCACTGCAGAGACTAACTTGGAGCTTATATTTGACAAGGCTCATCACACCAGATTAGACTTGACTACCAAAAACAGAGGCACTGTGGCCGATTTGACCGGACCTGAGAAAAATGCCTGAAATGGAAACGAAGATCGAAGAAGCAGGAAATGATCAAGATATGGGCACACGTCAGAAAAAAAATACCAATCAACTCGTCAGTCGTGCAATACCATCAAGCCCGCTCTGAACTGTATTACAAAAATGCGTTGAACGCCGGAAGGTATGTAAATGGTACAACAAATCACATCGAAACCAGATGCATCCGGAACGAAATGAGGATCAAAAATGGCAAGAAATCATGAAGAAAGAAAAAAAATAAGAAAAAAAAACCAGCGCTATCGCTTTCGTTAATAATGGGAATAGGTCTCGTAGTGCGACGGATAGGGATCCGTCGAGGCATTGGGCTGTGACCAAGCACTGCGTAGGCGACGTTCTGGCGACAATGTTAGCATGTGGATTGACATCGGAAACATGAGTACAAAACTAACCTTTTTCAAAATCACGCCACCTCTTCATCGTGATCTTCGTACTGTCGAACTCGCCCTCGGCATCACCGTGTCCCTTATCCTGCTCACCAGCAGTCTTGCGGGTATCGCCCCAACTGAAGTCATCGAACTTCCAGAACGCGTACATCGGTAGAACGAAGTTCCAGATCGGCAAGGAAAGCAGGTAGATCAACATCCACAGCACGTAGACTAATTTGTGCGCAGTGACCACAATCAGAACACCAGGTAGACCCAGAATCAAACCGAGAAGGACCAGCGGAATGACCTGGACGGGTTTCTTGACAATGGAAGAGATGACGACGTAGATGGTGAACGAGATAGCAGCGGGCAAAACGAGGGTTCCGATGAGCTCGATGAAGATGACGAATTGCATACTGAAGCAGAAAGTTCCGCACAAGTCACGGACGAGGACGAGCTCGAACAGGTTGTGGACGGTACTGTTAATCCAGCGGCGACGCTGAGAAAGCAGGACCATGAATGCATCGGGGACGACAGTTTTGCAGACAGCTTGTGGGACGAAAATCTGCTTGCGTTTCGGGAAAGTCTTGAGCATCAGAGTGGTCAGGTAACGATCCTCACCGAGGAGGAGCAGATTCTTCTTGTGGAGGGTATCAACAACGTTTTCGGAGTAGTGCTCAACAATATCCGGGTTCGCAAGGATAGGCACCCAGTAGTTCTGGCCGCCCTTGGGAGCTTTGATTCTGTACATGGTGAAACATCCTGGCAGACAGGTCACACCACCGAAGATGGATTCGAAGGATTTGGCTTGGTGGTGAGAAATGAAGTATCTGTCGTGCAATTAGTTATTGTGCTGGTTACACAAGGAACGGGAATCACTTACTCGAAGACCTGGATCATCGTTACCCAACTGTCGGTCTTGTTGGCAATCTTGGTTTCTCCACAGAGACCCATGATTTCTGGGTCCTTCACCATGGCCGAGACCATGTGGGTCAGACTGTCAGGGAATACTTTGGTATCGGCGTCAACCATGAGGACAAGCTCGTAGAAATCTGGCGGGATGCCTGTAACGTTCCACATGCCATTGAACATTTCAAACTCAAGTTCCGTCATGCGCTCGTCGAACATAACCTTTTGGAGGAAGGACATGAGAATGATCTGGCTGTCACGCTTGCCACGATTACCGGGCTTTGACTGGGTTGACTCCTGAGGAGTTCCAGACTTGACAACAACCATCATAGGAACGCGCTGTTGCTTCTCGAGCGGGATGATTGAATTGACGCCATAATCATAAAATCCAGTGTAAACCTTGGCCATGTTGTGGCGCTTGGATCCAGTAGCCACAGCCACATAGGAATAAGGCTGGACTTCATCGATAGGAATAACAGGATCCTTGAGCATACCCAACACGATGTCAGGTGTGGAGAACTCTTCTCCTTTACCCTTGATGATACCATCACAGATGACTAGGATAGTCTTGTGGCTGTTCGGGTAGTCGGTCATAGCAAGTGAATCCAGAGTCGATCGAATACCTTCTTCACCTTCAGAGTAACAAGTGACCAAGCAAAGAGAATGAGCCAGAGGATAGCCGAATGGCTGCCATTCAGGCGGGGGTTGAGGAACGACGGCCTCGTGGATGAAACCAGCAGGACCTGGACCCTCATAGTCCGTTGCAAGCGTTGAGTAGCCCTGATCTTGCTGCTGGGCTGGTGGGATCAGGCTAGTCCGACTAGCACCAGGGTTATGGCGAGTGTGGTCGGCGCTTAAAGTGCCTCCACTTCCATTGTGGCTTAATTTGTACATAGCCTCCGGGTTCGAGGTGGGCATGAGACGAGAGGTCGAGTTTTGGCTGGCCATGGTAACATACAGCGGCTTTTGCTTACTGCCAGTACTGCTGCTGACATTGTACGGGCTGGAGAAACGTGATGTGGTGGGAAGGAAACTCGCGCGCTTATTGACGCGATCGGAAACGACAGGATCAGTGATTCGTGGCGCAGGTCGGTAGATGTCGTTGGACCAGTCTTCGATTTGTTGATTGCGAGTCCTGGCATCGGAAGCCATGCTCGTACTCTGCGCAGCAAATCTGGGTGCCAGGAACCATTGGAAGATCAGGGCGAAACCGAACTTCACACCGACGATGGAGAGAATGAATATCAGGGACACGTAGAGGACTACTTTCGATGCAATGCAGCCAACGGTATCGGTATCGATGCTGCCGACTTTGATGATCTGCGCCAAGCACTTGCCAATCTTCTTGTCCTCTCCACTCTGGAAGTAGTACGTCAGATCAACGCCCCGAACATGAGGATTCTTGCGGATTTGGTCAAATTGGGCGGGATATGACACCTGGCTGTTGTTGAACCAGGCAAGAAGGTTAAGATCAAGTACATTTCCAGAATAAACTGCCAGATTCCGGCTCTTGTTCTTTGTATCCTCCCATGTGTAGTACACATCTCCGTCGCTTCGCAGCGTGTAAAAAGGTTCCCGAGCCTCGCGGCTGGTGTGGCAAGCCCAGCCGGTATAGTACTCAACAGTCAAATTCGGCGAGGATGATCCATCCTGGTTGAAAGGTGCGCAGGGAAAGTACCATCCCAAGTCTCCATTGGCGTTGGTTGGAACACCACCATCAGGCCGGGCTTTGATCAATCCTTTGCATGCACCATTGACCTGCTGGAACATGAAACTGCCATCCTGTCCCCCATACTTATGAGGCAAGTCATAGATGACATCTGAATCCTCGGGGATGCCAGCCGCGGCAGCGTGCTTGGACCCGCTTAAGTCATATGCCTTTCCGTGGAAGATCATGTAGTTGGAATTGACTTTGTTAACCTTCAACCGAACCGGGGGCGAGCCGCAAACTGTTGCTGTGAAACCAAAGGTCAAGAAACCAACGAAAGCACCGATCATCAAAATAATGCTGATAAGACCAATCTTCTCTCGCCAGGCAGTACGCTGTTCCTTCTCGGGCATGCCGAACCATTTCATCACAAAGTCCGGAATAAAGAAAGTGATCACGGCACAATATGTAGGCCAGAGTTCCGGTGGACCACTTGGTTCAATAGCCCTCCGACGTCTTTTTTCATCACTCGAAGCACCCTTGGATGACCGTCGTGAGCCTCTCTTCTTTTTCTTTGACCGATGTCTGCTGGGAACCCGCTCCATGGGTTTGTTAATATTACCTCGCGCTCCGTACAGACCCTCCTTGCTCTTCATGTCCATGCTGCGCGAGCTGTTTGTTTCCGCCTCGCCATCCCTGTTATCTGACAATGGCTCGTTTCCAGTTGCCGAGGGAAAAGTGGGCATATGCTGCGATCGCTGACGATAATGGTAGTTTGGCTGGTCACGGTCATCCTGCCGGCGCTCGGGTTTGACCATGCTCCTTTTGCGTCTCCCATCGCCGCCCCGCTCCATGCGCTCCTCGTCTATATCAGTCGTTCTTCGATGGCTTTGAGAGCGTCGACGACGGTGTCGATGGGAAGAGGGGGAGGTGGGGTCGTCACTGTAAGTGCCCGGGTCGTCGTCGCGGCGACGGCGCCGAGATGGTTCACGAAATGCGCGGGCTTCGTCGCGCCGAGGTGAGGGCTTGCCTGGCCTCTGCGGCAAAGACATCTTGCTCCTACAAGAGTTCCCAATGTCAGCCCACTCTTCCTAACACCCCACCGTACCATGGGGGCCGGTTTTGCATGTTAGAGCCGTCGCACTCACTTTTATTATTTCCTAATCATGCACAGCTGGGTGAATCGAGAAAACTGCTCAATAAATGGATCTGCGGGTTGCCGTCTGAAACATGTCAAATGCGCTGACCCGGTCTCTCCTGGAGAAATGCAACCTAGTTGACTCGTATTTCGCTCAAAATCAACGCTCTTTCAATTTCCCAGTCTCCCCATTGACCAGCAAGTAGAGTGTGTTGTGGTCTGCAAATTCACCGCGGCGAAAGCGACACGGTCGCTATGCAACGAGTGCCTCGTGGGTGCTCAAGTGGAGCAGAGTAAATAAAGTCCCACCCAGACGTCACTATGCAAGCAATCGAATGATCAACCCCAAACACAAAACGATGAAGCAGGAACGAATGTGTTGAACGCCAGAGTCAACCTCGGAGGGAGAAAGGGAAAGTGAACAAAGACGCTGTACACGGGACTTTGCTAAGATGGGATTAGCTTGTTTTACTCCAAAGTACCCAAGGCCATATTATCACTTTGCTATTATGTGTCCCCCAAAATAAATAATCTATTTCCTTGTCGCTAGGGGCAATACCCCTACCAATCACATCCAGCAGGCCAATCATCGCCCCTCATTTCCACCGTTAACCCGTGCTCCAAATTGCCTGCATTGGCAAATGGCGCCTTGCGAAGATGGCGAGATGGGGGAACCCCAGCCGAGGGTGTGTTTTTCTCTTTTGATCACGGGGTCGTTTCTATTCTGGGCCAAACTGTTTGGCGAGGTCTGTGGGGTCTCGAGTTCCCCGACCTAAATGCCACGCGGAATGTTCAAATTGCCACCTCGTTCCACTCCGATCTATATCATGGAGCATGGGCTCGGACGCAGCATACTCAATAGTCTGATCAAAAGCACACAAGAAAAATAAGACTGTCAAGCTCTTCTAGCCCCTGCGGTAAACACTATAACACCGCTGTGTGATACATCTCGAATGTGAGCTCTATGTTCTGTGGAAGGTCCTTCAGCATCTCAACCCCAACAATATTGGATAGCTGGAGTCGGTGTGGGGGATCTAGATTCTGCATTGCAGAACGAGGATATACTAATCGATAGACGATGCACGCCATATATGTGCGAAGCCTTGACGAAACACTATCTCAGGACGTGGCGTGCGGCGGATTTGTGCGACCTGTCTAGCGCCTTGCCAGCACCGAACGCGTTATACGATGTCCCAAAACCGAGTCGCAGCTGACAAGAATATCGATGGAAGTAGGAATACTGGCTAGCTATGCTATAACCATTCCGAATCCTCATGTCAAAACACTCAATGCCAATGCGACCACAATGATCGACCACTTGCGGCTGATCACCACGGCTATCCCCAGGATCCATACCCCGTACAGGACTTGGCCCCATAATATGTACATATGCGCCAATGCTTGTCGATTCCGAAGACACATTTTCCATCGACGATTCTGTTCAACCAATCACGCCACCACTGACCAGGAAAAGGGATGTATGACGTCGCACGAATGGCTAATTGCTCCCCTTTTTCCATGGCGATTCGATGTGATTTGAATTGTTCGCCAATTCCAAAATCGACCTGGCTTCGGATCTGCTAGGAATCGCGCGGAGCTTGGGGGCTCTCGACGGTGGAGTCCGAGATCCTTGTCGGGCCACGTTCTTCGGCTCTTACTGGAACGCTGACCGTAGCTTGGTAGGCGATTATCGGAGATGTCAGCATCGAAGTACTTCGTACGGAGTACGGAGTACATCCCCACCATCAAGTACCGTGTCCCAGTCACGCTAGGGGGTTTACACCATTCAGCGTCCGGAGTCACCGTGAATGGAATCTCGTCATACGGGTGGGAGATGAGAAGCTCGAGTCAACATGGACACATATCTTTGGCCCTGGTCTGTGCATTGACGGTGTGGTGGACTGTTCAGCTCGATGCATGCGCCAGCGCAAGGAGTACGATGTACACAGCCATCGAACTGATCGGGCCGTGCGAGAGTTTCCTACTGCTCAAGACTCATGGAATCAAGGTACGAGGTACAGAGTACTCCGTACTCTGTACCCGGATGCGTTACGGTGGACTCCATTGGCGGCTGTTTTCTCCTTTTCTCCCGTTCGGCAGAGACTAAGACCAACTGGAAATAGGAATGATAGGCGTTATATCGTTAATCTCGGTTAGGCTTGCCTTAAGCCGCTCTGTTTCGAACTAGGAGACAGTGCTGAGACCATGCCAATTGACTCTACGGTTTCTTATGAAGTTCCAGGTACGAGTATGGAGGCTCTGGGGGCGTCTACAGAGGACATGGTCTATACGGGATACTTCAAGAGGCTCATTCAACTCGTACGGAGTACTCCGTCCGGCTGTTTTAAGTGCCTCTTGCCACGCACGGAGCCCCGGAAAGGTCGGACTCTAAATATGCGCCTAACACAAAATGCACTTAGAGTTATGCCCCAGCCTACCGTCTCCACATTTTCTTCTCCAGGAATTTGCATTGTGTCTTCACCGTGTAGAATGTATTGGACTGGACCAGCCTATGTCTTATGCGCGGCCAAGTCATGAATGCTACGGACGCAGGAGGGTATTCTTAGATAGACTATGGCATGTCTCGGAAGGACTGTTCGGCCTCCGCACCAAGAGAAGTGGAGAATGTCAGACCTGGTGGGACGCCAATGGACACAGCAGCGGTTCCTATAGGCATCCCTTTTGTTTATTGGGTTGGGCTTTGGGTAGGTTATACGAGGACATCAGATCTCTGTGCAGACCATAAGAATAGATTCATACTCCACTCCACCAGATGCGTTCTCATTTGTCTGATCGAATCGAGGTATAGAATAATGCTCATAAAAAAAACAAAGAATAGCCATTAAACAATAAAGAAGAAAGAAGAAAAAATAAACAGAAAGTACTATTTGAAAGGAACTAGCGACGACTGTACGGAGTAAGTGGGACCCTACTTTTTCTACCGGTGTCTTTGAAACTGTTTCTCTTGCCCCTCGCCTCATCTCTTAATAGTCTTTCGCTTTTCCTGATTTTTGAGTCTTCTCGTGAGTCGTGGCCACCTGTTTGCTTGACAGTTGTCTGATGTTCAATAGCGTCCCCGTGTGGTCCACTCTTTGAACGGGGCCATCCCCAACTCAACCCTCGCTTTCTCCAGGTCCGAAACTCGGCTTCTCCATACAAGTGCCGTATTGGTCGCTATTGTATGAACACTTCTTGACTTGTCGCTCGTTATTGAATCAACACGCTGATCTTCCCCATCCGCGCACGACGTGACGCGTTACTCCACCATGGCGAGTCCTGCCCCAGTATACCGCCAGGCGCTGCCTTCTCCCCCACCAGCTTACCTCCGATCTTCACCCCAATTCACCCCAGCGCACGAAACAACACCCCGGACTATCCCGAAGCGGCCGCAGAGCTTGCAGCTCAGCCGCAAGGTCGTCTCATCTCCTGCATTGCAATCCGAAACCTCGGGGATTCAAAACTCGCCGCGCTCAACAGTCAAATTTGACTATGGCGCAGAACTTCCGCCGGCATCGACCGCCCGGATTGACGGCGCATACAGTGGTCCCACCACGCCACAATTTGAGCTCACCGAGTTCGCAGACATATCGCTCGATGACCCCGTCCAGCCACCTCAGCAGAGCTGGAATCCTGCCTATCCGCCACGGCGAGACTCAATGCGGGCTTCGCAGCACATACGGGCACATTCATACGGTCATACGCCGGCGGGCAGTGGAACGTGGCCCGTGGTAGAGCCGCTGAAAGATGATGCACAAGATAACCCAAAAAAGAGCGGCTCCTCTTTGGAGCACGGGGCTCAGAGCTATAACAGCTCTTCGCGGGGAAGCTTAGATAGCGCGGCGCACGCGTCGGACGGCTATGAACCTTTGGCATATCACCATCAGCAACAACCCACCGCAAAATCGGCCGGTAAACAGGCCCTCAATGTTGGGGATACCACACCTGGCTCGACCGATAAGCTGGCCATGCGCCGATCAAGGCTTGCGCGCCCTCTCTCGGCATACTCATCAAACTCGGATCTCGGAGGCCAGGGCCACCGAAGAAACCTATCTGCATCGCCGTACCTGCATGCGCGACCCTCTTCACGCAACTCAGGTGGAACCCCTGAGAATCGGTCTACCTCCTTCCTAAATCTGCTCAACACATCATACCCACAACCGGGCCCAACAGCGCAATTTGACAACTCGCGCCTGAAGGCCGTCGTTGGCAACAATGCATCCCTGCTCAGTCATAAAGAGACATTCGAGATGTATCTAGCGAACGTAAAGAAGACCGACGAGCCAACAGTGCTGTACGAATTTGCTGTGTTCATGATCAACTCAATGCGCGAGATGCCCGCTGTGGACCTCGAAGACTCCAGCCCCATCACCCGCGCCCGTCTCCTCCGTGAATCAAAGGCTATTTTACAGCGTCTTGCAGATCGTAGCTATCCATTCGCACAATACTACCTGGGCGATGGTTACGCGTCAGGCCTGTTTAACAAAGGCGTTGAAGACCATGACCGGTCTTTCCCGCTTTTCCTCGCAGCCAGCAAACACGGCCATGTCGAGGCTTGCTACCGCACAGCATTGTGCTACGAGTTCGGCTGGGGCACTCGCGCCGATGGCGGCCGCGCGGTGCAGTTCTACCGCCAGGCAGCGTCGAAGAACCATCCTGGTGCTATGATGCGTATGGCTAACGCTTGTCTTGCCGGCGATATGGGACTTGGCAAGCGGTACCGCGAGGGCATCAAGTGGCTGAAGCGTGCGACTGAATCCGCAGATACGCAGTACAACTCGGGGCCATACGAGCTCGGTGTGTTGCACGAGAATGGTTTTGGAGATGATGTCTTCCCTGATGCTACGTACGCAGCTCAACTATTCACCAAGTCCGCGGAACTGGGCCATGCCGAAGCTTGCTATCGTCTTGGCGATGCCTACGAGCACGGCAAGCTTAATTGTCCGCGTGATCCCGCCCTCAGTATTCATTTCTACACCACTGCTGCGCAAAAGGAACATCCAGTTGCCATGATGGCGCTCTGTGCGTGGTATCTCGTCGGTGCGGAGCCTGTTCTCGAAAAGGATGAAAACGAGGCGTATGAGTGGGCCCTTCGTGCAGCGAATCTTGGTCTTGCGAAGGCTGAGTATGCTGTCGGTTACTTTACTGAAATGGGCATTGGCTGCCGCCGTGATCCCCTCCAGTCCAATGTCTGGTACGTCAAGGCCGCCGACCAAGGCGATGAGCGGGCTAAGCATCGCATTGCGACAATTCGGGCTGCAGCAGAGGGTTCGCATCCCTTGCAGACTGGGCGTAATGGAGCGGCTCGCAATGGCCGGCTCAGGAAATCTGATCGCAAGGACCAGAATCCAGCTCAAGGCCAGGGTAAGTGACAGCCATCTAGTTTTTCATACTCCCGCTATTTTGAATCACTCCAGGTTCCCAAGGCTAATTTTACGATTCCCCAGAAACGGAAGCCGACAAGCCCGTCAAACAGAAACGCTTTGTCATTTTCTAGTCTCGCCTCAAACACCATTTATGACCTGATTTGTTCCCACGATCTACGGGACGCATATTTGCACTCTCACCCAGCCTGGCCCTTCTCTTCCCAAGCAAAACGAACCGCAAATGCACACACTGCACTACCAATCATCAAACCAGGCTACGACGCTAATACATACATAATCTCACTCCACCTCCTACCTCCTGCATACACTCATGCGCAGCTTCAGCACGAGCGTGAACTTATCCGTTTCTCCACCAGCGATCTGATCTCCATCTAACATGCCATATTGAAATCCCCGCGCTATCTTCCTGCATTTCGACTTGTTCATACCACTGTCCTTTCGCGCCTCATCTTGCATCTCGTGTCAGCCATCTGCGTGGCTATTTTTGTTCCTGCATTCCTTCTTCTGCGTTCTGATGCTAATTTTCCATGGGTCTGAACTTCACTCCTTCCTTCTCGGCGGCGTTATACAATGCGCTATGTTTGTGTTAGTGGGGATTCTTGCTTACAATGTTTATCTTATTTCAGGTGCTTTTGTGGTACCATTTTCTACTTTGAGTCTCATGTTTCATTCTATTACTATCATAGTGTCTATCTTTGCATATTATAGTGTGTTATCTCTTAATGTTGCTGAGTTTTGACGGAAAATGCGGTCACGTGACATCTCTCGAATATCATTCTAGGTTTATAGATATCATTTTCACCTTTCATTACTTTGTGTATTCGTAGTTCGTAGATCTCATGATATAGAGAAAGAGCACTTCCAGTTGAACATGGTACATTTTAGTCCGAACCTTTCAAGTTCAAATTGCACCGTCTCGTGAGGGATGTCAGATCTTGGGAATATAGAGTTGGCCAATGTCCCAAAGCGGAAACTACAACCACCAAGACGCGCCTTCCTCATTTATCAAACAAGAGACGGATCCTGCCATTGTTTGCAGCGTTTGGCGTGACTTAAATACCAGATGAAGGGCCCCTTCGCTCTTCCCTTCGTCGCCTCTCGCCCCCCTTCACTTTATCCCCAACGGGGCCCCCATTTGTTAAAGTCCTCATGCTTTCCCTTCCTATCGCATCATAAGAAAGCAAAAGACGATACAGAGGCCGTCTTCCTCATCCTCCCGGGGCCCCCATTTGTTAAAGTCCTCATGCTTTCCCTTCCTATCGCATCATAAGAAAGCAAAAGGGCGATACAGAGGCCGTCTTCCTCATCCTCCCGGGGCCCCCATTTGTTAAAGTCCTCATGCTTTCCCTTCCTATCGCATCATAAGAAAGCAAAAGGGCGATACAGAGGCCGTCTCCTTCGTATTCCCGGGGACCTCTTTTGTTAAAGTCCTCATGCTTTTCCTTCTATCCCATCAAAAGGAAACGAGAGGGTATTTCAGAGATTCCTTCCTATCATCATCCCGGTGCCCCATTTCATCAACGTTCCTATCCTTTCCCTCTGCTTGATAAAAAGCCAAAGGATGTCCGTTTCCATCCTACTGGGCCTTCTTACACGCACAAAATGAAAGTTAGAGTCATACGACGTGGGACTGGGCTTTTGCGTGGCGTGATTCCTCTCACTTGCCAAAAACAAATGGTGGCTTAGGCTTCAATTCCCCATGTACAACGGGGCTGTTTCCTTGTTGCCCATGGCGCCGGTGTCCCGCCGTACTTCGTCTTCTAAGTTTCGGGAGGTTCCACGGGTCTGGAAAAAACCCTACAAATTGTCCCTTGTCTAGGTATGTATGTACCTGGAATTTATCCTGCGTCTCACTTCATTTGGCTCATGTCTGACTTCTCTGTTTAGTGGGAAACCATTGTCTATAGCCCCACGGTCATCTTTCTCATCCTGTTCGGATTTTACCCTAAGGCTATCGGACCCTGACTCGCCAGCCGGGTGACAGACATACACAGCGGCAATATCCACCCTGCGTCGGTCTCTCCACGACCTCAAACGTCAACAGAAAAGTATGCATCAACGGGTACCTTCTAACTTGCCCAAGTCAAGTCACCTTTTCACAAACATCCCTACGGTGGCCGCTTGCCAACCCTTGTCTAAGCTGGAGTACAAGGTGACTATCCATATGGAGCGTCGCCTTCGCTCAGCTTTCAATACAGCGCCCCCATGTGCTGGCTGCTTCGGAAAAGCTGATAGTTTCCAAGTCGGAAGTTCAAATCTGAGTTTGGATTCATGCAGTTTATTTTTGACCGTGACACGGATTCTGGGGGGATGCTTTCCATTGCCTACGCTATTTTCGGGGCTTTGCGTTCGATGCGTGACACACTGGTCATGTTGGCCGCGTCCAATCTGCCCACCTCATCGCCGCTCAATATGTGTATGGAGCTGTTTGAAGAGATTGTAAGACATGAGATCGGGATATCCTTGTAAAGATCAGATGCTAATTTACACGGTTTCAGGGCTAGAATCATGTGCCAAATTGAGCTCACATCAATCTACCTCTCTCATCAAACCATCATATGGGCTGCCTGACCTATCAGAGCTGTTTGCTGCATAAATGTAATGACTTAACTGAGCATCTCCACATGAGAAATCTTGCTGACTGTATCACCTTGCGCGTGGCAAAGTGAGGAAGATGAGAAATCTCCAAAACTGGCTTGTACTTGGCGTGACAATCTTTAAAGTGGTCGCTCGGGCCGAAACAAAAACCACCGGCCACAAAACATTGCATGCCACATCAAGAGCGATTTCTGGACGATGAACACCGCCAATCACTCTCAGGTGACTACCATGCCGATGGGCCCGCCGTGGCCCAGCTAGCTAATTATCTTCTCCTTGACCGTTTCTGTTATTGGTCATATTACTTCCAATTTGGGAATCAATGACATATCATATGGCTCCGAAAAGGCTGGATGGTTACTGTCAATCCAGTTCCGTTGCTGGACCCGTTATAATCCCAATCTACTTTCTTGACAACTCTTATCCGAGCCGTCTGAGTGGATTCGACACAATAAGACCAATAAGGGCAATTGAAACTCAACAAAACAACTCGATGCTAGCAGCTCCACATGGAGATGCGTTGTTTGGAGGTGCTCAGCATTGGATGCTCTCATTTCCTCTTCAAATCGCACATTCAGTACAGAAAAGCAAACACGCCTCTGGAATTGCTTTCTTGACTGGACTCTGTTACGAGACATGTTTTGTCTGGGTAAAGTTTGCCCTCATGTGGCTAGATTGCAGCAGGGAGGGAATTGCTGAGGTCCTCAGAAAGGTGGAATCAGGCGAAGCCAATAATCAAGCGCTGATCCGAGGTGAAAATTCGTTCTTCATCTCATCGAGATGGGATATAGTTGCCGGAATTACACACAAACAGAACCATCCACAGCGAGAGTCACGCAGAGGAAGCATATCCGGTTCATACGTGGCATGAGTATTGAAAAGAGCCTATATCTCGCATATGGCTCGCAGACATGAATGTCCATCTCTGGTAGCACGGCAAGACCGAGACCTGTTGCATTTCCGCGAAATGGATCCATTGAATCTGAAATGACGATCTAGATGAGAAGAGAGATGCTATCCTCGAGACTGAGGGCTAAACAAGGAAATGGAGAGAGTAATGAGAGACATCGATCGGATGAGAGAGCTATCAACAAAGATTCATTCTCAAATCTTGGGAAATTGTGCCCCAGAAGGGGGGCGGGTCTGACAAAAAACCTACAAAAGCCTTCCCCTACTGGACTAGGGGACCGATACAACACGTCCCATGATGCTGAATCAATATTAATCTTCTGTGTTCATTTACTTTATCATCACCATATGACATGGGATCTGTGGTGGTGAACATGCATACCATAGTGACTGGCACAGTGATGGTGAACATGCATACCATAGCGACTGGCACGGTGATGTCTGTCGAGATTTCAAAATGGAGATTGAACCCGAAGGTGGCTGCTGATTAAGACCACTAAAATGAATATGGAGTTTGGGCAGTTCCTCGCTAGTCCACGCGTCGACATACGAGCTGATGAAGCTACAAAACCCATTGTCTAAACCCAACGAAAATTTGCTGGTCCGCAGAAGGGATCTAACAGACTCTCGCCTCAATTGCCCTGTTATCATCGATACCATCATATCTTGGAGAGGCAGCTGCATGCTACATCATCAAAAGTTGCCCAGAAGGCAGGCAATCACCAATTATCTAGATATTGCGAGGGATAGGCGGATATCTCTCAACTGGAATGTTGAGCATTCATTACCGCCATGGACACACATCGAGCCACTGGATTGGACAAGAGATACCAGCAAGCTGCCAGCAGCTGCTCATCTACCCAAAGAGCTGCTAGCTATGGAGCACCTTCGCTTTCTCTGAAATGATGAGACGAAGGAGATCTGGAATCGGAACCCAGATGCAACTATGATCAAACGACATGAATCCGATCTACCTGCTTCATCTCCCTATGTACAAGTAGGCCCCGAGCATGACTCACGTGTCTCCATGTCCCTCGCCTACTATCTAGGGGTTGAGCTCTATCTGTGAAAACGTTCCTTGCACTCCTGGTGCTTCTTAGCTGGAATGTGAATTGATCAAGGTTCGAGCACTTTGTTCCCACAACTGCCAAACGTCCGTCAAAATTGCTGTCTCTTGAAAAAGGCGAGGAGAAATCTACCAGCCAAACTCTCCAGGCGCGGTGGGATATCAACGGGGGCTGCTCTGTTGACGCAGAGGCTACGACAAAATGATGGCCGAATGCCTCATTGACATGAGTTTCCGACTGAGGTCTGTCACTGCCTTCATAACACCCATCCCTGGGGCTCTGTTGTTTCCAGGTGCTAGCAATCTATATCAAGCGGACCAGGTCCCGCTCCCATACTCTTGATGGAGAAAGGAGATTGCTAAGTGAGAATGAAGCGGCGGGCCGGTGATGATGATCGACGTCGCATATGAGCAGTTACCAGCGATATCGGACTACGATATGCTCAGATGCTTGGAACAGATCATCTACCGAGTCAACATAACAACTCATCCAAAGAAGCAGTTTTGAGCGATTGAACCGCGCAAGGAAAAGCTAGAGGAAGAGAACGTGGCATTTGCTAAATGGTTACACATTTACTGGTCACTTAAAAGAAGAGTCCCTACATTTCACTACTTCGACTCAACTTGCTTCTTGGCATGGAGGCAGACTGGAAGACTCAATCCCCAACCCTGGAAAGCTTTATGACAAAAGTTCCCAATGCTCACCCAGTCTTGATTCAATCGTTAGGCATGAACATACTGCGGTTCACGAGCCAATATGCCTACTAAAGAATAGGGATAGATTAATGAGGGCAAAACTAGCCACCAGTCAGAGAAGTGAATGCACAGGAAATGGACGGAAACCCAAATTCTCGATACGGAATCAAGAATTTGAAGGCACCGGGAATCTCAGTTCTCTACCTCCCATTCTCTTCCTTCTTTCTTCTACCGGCGAGACACATCTCGCAATACCTCTCGGCGTTCCTCAGAGCGCTTCCCGTGCGATGGAAAACACCAGCTAGTATTCTGGGACAAAGCCGTTCTGCCCGAGAATTATATCCGTCATGTGCCAGCGATGAACGGGAAGGCCCAACATGTGATGGGGGGGGGTTCCAGCTGAAATCTTTCACAAGAGTTTCACACTTGCTTCCTCAATATTTCTGGTTGTCCGTCTACTTGTCTTCAGTTTCGGGTCAAGCGAAGAGTGGACTCTGGTGTTTTTACCTATGGTCGTTCCGGAGCGGTCTTTGTCGCCGGGACCAAGTTCAACCGCTTCATTAGCTAGCTAGCTTGCTGAAATATCATCACTTTCAATCCCAGTTTTCGCATATCATATGTCTTCGGTCGCTCTACTTAACAGCTTGTAAGTGTGGGTAGATCTATCTGTCGCATGGTAATCGTACACACCGAAGAATTTGGGACATCCCATCGCGGTTCAATGGACCCATGACGGCCATATCTTGGCGTGTCAGATCTCCAGGAAATTGAAACAAGCTCAAAAGGGATCCCAGGACCATGATGAAGCCATTTACACCTGCCGATTGCCCTCGTGGACGTAAATGAACTCTTTCTCTAGAAGCCATCGGTTACCACAGATCGTAACCGGAGAATAAAACAAACTCACAACCATCCACCAGCCCACTGATCTGTTGGATCGGTTTTCTTCACTCCCTTTCCCGCTCGCTCTTGTCAATTTGATCTCGACAACCTCAGCACAAGGACTCCCAGCAATGAGGCTTGATCGCCATCGATAAATCGCTTGTTTGTGGTAAAGAAAAGCTCGATTTCCGTTATAGCGGCATTGTATTGGCCATGCTCCCCAGTTCATGAGGCAATACGTAATAAAAACGAGCTTTGAACCTCTTCTGCCGTGCGAGATGGAATCTCCTCGAGAAGCGGTCTATTGTGTGAACTGAAGCGCGATTTTTGTTGTTAGCTGCAATATTACCCATACACGTGCGAAGTTTACCTCGGATATTATATATCTGGCGACATTTTGGGGTCCGTTGGTTCTTGTTGCCTTGTAACCGTCAAGGTTTGGGGTCGCGATGAGGTGATAATTGAGATGGCGTAGGTTGGTGTTTGAATACATCTTCTGCGAAATGCGGTTGATTGAATCGGGATATATCCAGATAAATTTTATAATTAGGGTGAGTGGTATAATAAGAAGTGTTGAAGTGGGAGATAGATGAATGGAGCAAGGAAAGGCGGATGCTCCAGTTATATATCTGTCAGTTGGCACATGATTCAAGCACCGATGAGTTGGAGGATAAGTTTGTTAATATTCTCTTCTTCATCCTTTGGAGATCTACTTATTATATATTCCCCTGAGCGCTATGCGGTTTTGTACCCGTGGAGGAACCTCTGTTTCCCTATCAATAACCTCTTTAACTTGGTCACTGTACCTGTTCGGCTTCTCCGTACTACCCCCTGGTATATAAACCAGCAGATCGCTCTTTCACAAACAGCATTTTTGAGTCACACCACATCCCATAGCAGGATAACGTCTCCCGATGTGAGGGCAAGTGAGCTTAGCACTGCTTACACAAAACAAGTATCTTAATCCACTAAACATTTCCCAAAAGCTCACTATAACAACTCAGTGATTGTCATGACAGGTTACCACCTTATACACCAGACTCTAACCCTCCCTCTCAGCTACGGTCGCGACAAAAATGTCTACTTTTGACGAAGTGATTCTCTATATAAATGGATCGAAGCGAACAAACCTTCTTCGTTGAACCTATATCACTTATTGGTACTGACCAATGCTTTCTGCTGGGAACTTGAAGTCTTGGACACGTCCGGAGAAGAGACACTAGGCATGAGATGCCTCATAGGAGACTCGAGTATAGTGAATTCCACACATCACCCATAGCGACTACCAACTACTAACTATATTCTAACCAGAACGCCCTAAAGCGTTTCATAAGATTTCTATGCTACATGTTTCGATCCCCAATGAAAACCGCAGCCAGAACGAGATGCTTCATCAACGTGCTGCCATTCGTGAGTAATTGCGCTCTCTCAAGACCTCTAGATCATTCCTATTAAATACCCTGAAGGGAATGAATGGAAACGGTGCCGCCAAATCTTCGGATTGCAGCAGGGATTACTGATAGCTGTGAGTAAGTGGCACCTGTGAGCCCTCGATTGTTACAAATGACTTACGGTATCTGTGAACAGGACTCACCCAAATTAGATGTTCGAAGAAGATGAGGAAGATCAAGACATGACTGGTACTGGGGGAACACAGGCAGCATTCATGACAAAGAATATGATGAAGGACCGCGCATAAGACAAGATGCTCGACTGCGAGGCATCTGACAGGATGTGGAAAATCAGGGATCCTCTTTTCATGTCCTTAGTTAGGTCTCTAAATACAAACCGGGACTTGAGCAGAGAGATCCATATAGTCATGTTGAGTATTCGTCTCAAAGTAGATAGACCCCTCCAACGCCCGCTCAATTTGTATAGAGGCACGAATACCTCGACATCATATTATACAAAGGGTGAGTAGTTACAGAATACTGGTTTGACGTTCCCCGCAGCGAGCATCATTATTCGACCAAACATACGAAAAGCACCGTTCATCAGCCGGTCAGATTGTCACAGTTGGCGGGGTTCGCCGCCGGATGATCGTCGCGGCTGATCAGTAATCAGTGGACTTAAAAGAAACCATCAGCTTCTTCTGATCAGTCGCTTTCTCACTCAGCTCATAAAACCATGGGTGTTCATGTTGTCTCGAAGCTGGATAATCGCCAGCATGCAAGCTTCAACGTCGAAGCCGCTGCCCCGGGCGAACTGGCAGATTCCTCCGTGCGAATCCGCACCACGCTGATCAGCCTCACGTCGAACAATTTGACCTATGCCTTAATGGGCGGGTTTTTACGTTGGTATGCTGACATCAATCTGAACCGAAATCCAAAACTGTTACCCAAAGATAAGACATGAACATCACATTAATTCCTCGCAGGTGGGATGCATACCCGGTCTCTGAAAACTATCCCGCTCCATACAACGACCCCTCAGCATGGGGAATCGTACCAGCATGGGGCTATGCAACAGTAGAAGAGAGCACAATCCCCGAACTCGCCCAAGGTACTCTGCTCTGGGGCTTCTGGCCGACAACCAGCACAGCGACCGATTTGAAACTCCAACGCGGCACCCCAGAAGGCCACTGGATTGAAACCAGCGATCATCGCCAGAACCTCATGCCACTGTACAACCGCTACACAGTAACCCCAACCTCAACCCCGATTTCCGCGCTCACCTCCGAGCCCAAACCCCGCTCAGACGCTGCGCGGGACGAGCTGGACCGCATGGCCTGGACCGCGCTGTTCCTCGGCGGAGTGGCCGGGTTCGTGCTGAGCGATTATGTCTTCTCGTCTAGTACAGACACAAAGCCTATCCATCCACTCGGTGATGGCGCGGGGTTGCAGTGGACCCTGGCTGACGGGGACTTGTCATCTGCTGTCGTTGTCAACCTGGCCGCGTCGACGAAAACGGCCCGTGTCTTTTCGTACTACGTCTCGCGAAAACCGGGTGCATCGGCTCCCCTGGGTCTGTTCCAGGTGACATCATCTGTGTCACGTATTGCGGAGGCGGATCGGAATCTGGCCACTTCTGTTCCGTCGAAGGCTGTGGGGTATGGGGATATTGGGTCTGAGGAGTCGGCGGAGTGGTTGGTTAGTCGGAAGCCTGAGAAGATTGTTATTGTTGATTTTGGTGGCCGGGGGAATGCGCTTGATGATGTGCTTTCTATGATTAAGGGTCGTTTGGAGTTGGAGGCTTGCAAGGTTGTTATCGTCCAGGTTGGTAATGAGCAGAAAGTTTACTCGACTGAGGAGTTGCTTGCTGGGAGAGCGGCGATGGCGAAGCTTGGGAAGGTCCAATACAATACATCTAGTGTTCAGGACACCATTCTTGAGTCTAAAGATGTGGCGGCTTACTTTGCAATCCGGGATGCAGAATGGAAGAAATGGTTAGACGACCGACACTTGAGCGTGCCGGGGATGCAGATTTCGTTTGGCCATGGTGTTTCTGGTGATGATGGTGTTGAGGGCGGTTGGGAGAAATTGTGCAATGGACAAGTGGGACCTGAGGAGGGCTTGGTCTACAAGATGCAATAATTGATGTTGATTAGTTCGAACAAAGTACATAACAGAACGAATGCGAGATATTTTGTGATAGAGCCCAGCGCGTCGCGTTGGACCATATCTGTCTGCTAGGCCTGCGATTCAGTCCAAAGAACACAGAATGAATGCCAATAAAGCAGCAAAACGGTAGGTGTTCAGCTACACGATATGGCTTCCTCGTATCGGGGGAAGGGTCCACACTTTGGTCAGTGGCACTTTGTTCACTAGAAGACCGTGCGGAGGTAATCTCTGCGAGCATTGGATGTTCGCATAGAGACAGCTGAGTAGATGCCAACACAACGAGGTCTGAGAAATGCTCGTTGTAAGCTGGAGGAGGATTTTGGTTGCCCTGTATGCATTCATGGTTTGGCCTACGACCAGCCGCTTCAGCTCCAGGTAGATTCAGCGTCATGTGTACCTTAAAAGGCAGGGTTTCTGTGATCTGAGTTCTAGTCAGCTACCGACGAACAATTGCTAGGGAGTTTCTTTTCACATACCTTGGCTGTTACATGTCCTGCCTCATTCCCGAATTCAGCTGTGACGATCAACTCATGGGTGATCTTGATATATTTGCTTGCGATACTCTGCGAGCAGGCATCGAAGTTCTTTGGCAGACTGACAGGCGTACTAAAGCGCCATTCAAGTTCTGCAAAATCATCAACCGACTCATCCCTCTGCGAGAAGTCGATCGCCTTGCGGAAAACCGATTCACTGTGCGCTGTAGTGAGAAACCGTACATTATGTCGCACTGATTCCGAAGCAGTAGCTTCTAACCGTGCAGTCTGTTTCTCAACAACTTTGATCGTAACACTGCTGAGCTTCGTGTCTTTCATTAACGGTGCAAACCAGCATTCCACCGGAAATGTAGACCCGAAGGGAACATTGCGGTCAGGGATTGAGATGCAATACTGGATATCTTGAGCCGAGTGACCCTCGATTGTCTAAATAACCTCAGTCATCAGTCATTCAACGTTTCCAAGAAAATGAACTAACTAGTGGACAATGAGGTCTTAAATAGGTCGTTTCCAAGTCGGAAACCTGGTAAATCCTAATAGGCTGTGACACCACGAAATCGCTCTTGAGGCGTCGTTCGATCACAGCCTGGACACAATATGTGTGGTATTGGTGTCTTGGACCAGTAACTGTTTCGAAGATCTTATTTGGTATTGGGATGTCGAATAGGAATGCGTGGTCGCCTGCTGGCATTCGAAACGCATTGAGAGTTCTTGACGAGGCTAGAGCCTGGTCTCGCGCGAACGTGATAAGTTCACGACTCTCTGGTCCCATGATTCCATCAAGAGGACTGGAATCAGGCGTAAGAAGGTATTTATCGAACGCTGAAGTGGAATTTTTCTCACATTGCCATTGTTCCGCGCAATCTCACTTTGATACTCTTGACCGTGGCATCCTGCGCGAGAGAGAGATTGAATCTCCCAGTCACCGACAATGGATGCCTGTCTTGTGATATGAAAATGCACGATTGATCGAGTCTAGATGAAATATGTGTCAAATGTATGGGAGAGAAGAAATGAACAGGCCGAACCACTCCTACCTTAACTCAGAGCTGGTAATGGGCGTGCGGAACATGATCGAAAGAAAGTACAATAATGATTTAAATAAATAGGTTAGAATTGAAGATTGGATTGATTCCGTTCCGACTATCTAATGGGATCATGGTGCATTGTTCGCCTTTATAATGTCGGCGCGCCTGGGCGGACATTCCTAAACGGGGTCGGGGAGGCTACTTCCTAGGTCATTGGACTTTGACAGTGCAGCTCTTCGCCACGCAGGGAAATACCGACATTCTTGTGATGCTGTCTACGTATGTTACAGATAGGAACAGGTTTCATGCCTTGTTATGATGTTTCTTGCCAAGTTGCTAGGGGTGATCCTTGATCTATAAAGGTGCGTCTTCCCACAATCATATGACTACTACTTGGGAATGCGCAGAGGTCGATCAGAGTAGATGCACTTTAACTTAATATCTTAAAGTATATGGTTTAAAATTGTATGAAAGGTGCTAACTTAGTTGTTAGTTGTGCAAGAATGAAATTTCATGGAATATACAACTTGACATATCCATTCCACTACGCCACAAGAAACATGAAACTGCAGAAAGACAAAATTGGCATTGCATGAAAACATATATGTGACTGACCTGTGCTCTAAATTTGTTCTTTGGCTTTTTGCCACATCTATCAAGCCAGACTGGTTTGGCCGAACCCAAAGTCTGGCAGATCCAGATCCAGCAATAACTGATCATTTGCACAGCTTGGCAACCCGACATCCAAGAAATTCCCAAAAAATGTGTCAAAGTCCTCAATCTCTGTCGCCGTCAGAAATGGTGTGCTTGCGCCATTCAAGTCAGAAGGGTTGTCCGATCCCAGCCGACCATAGGGAAGATGTGCGCTCTGATATTCAACATCTACCTGTCTTCCCACCTGCGCACTGTCGACACCCGAGGACAACTGCAGCTGATCAGTCGAGGTAAGTGAGTGTGGAGATATATGGCTCAATTCAGGCCGAGAGTTTGGTCGGGTGATATCGATTGCAGGATCTGTGGAACATGTCTGATCTATGGTGGGTTGGAGGTTGTTCAACACTCGTTGGCCTAGACGGGTCATCACAGCTGCCGACCACCATGTATCACCGATTTTCTTCAGACATTGATGAAAGAGGCGGATTTGGGAAATGGCTGTGCGGCGTGCACTTGGTAATTTGCTTTCTCGTAGTTGTTTGTAGGTGACCGAGAAAGCGAGTGCGATGGTGTAACCGATCATGGGAACCGGCAGCAAGGTCCGAATATCCTGATTGCAACTGACTGACGCGATGCTCAGGATTGAATGGCTCTGTCGGATGTTGGATAGTCGTGTGCGTGAGCGGCCTTGTAAGCCACTGGAGTATGTCGAGAGAATTATTACTGAATGATAAACAAGATCGAGAGTTTCTGTTGGTCTGGGCGTTAGATAGTTTGGAAAGTGAATGGCAGGGGCGTCTCATACCAAGAAGCTCTGGCGCCATGTCCCAGGCTTCGCTGTGTTCTACAAGTTCTTGAAAGCTGGGAAGATCGAGTTCATGCTGATCAACATCTTTCATGATCGGTCGGTAATATTTGATCGCTTCCCCGAGCCTGTCGGCAATTCGCAGCCAGATACGAAACGGCGATTGAAACGTTGACACAACTTCATCCACCCTTTGACCCATGTCTCCGTCGTGTATCATTAGCGGTCGTCCGTTCATAGCAGCGTTCCATCGGTCTAGGCTCCACAGACACCAGAACAAACCGTTTGATGGTGGATGGGAGTGCTGATCTACCCTCATCAAATGCAACCCAATAGTATGAGCATGGTGAATAGCCTGGGCCAGGTTCAAAGAACAATCCTCAGTTCCAGTGGAGCGCCATTCGTGGAGTGACAAAAGCGCCAAGATCTGAATCGTGAGGATTTTCTTCCCGGCTCTCCTCGATATACTTTGCATAACATCGTCATAGAGAATATTGCTGAATCTCTCTAGTGGAAGTCGTCCGGAGTCAGAACCAAGACATAGGAAAGGAGCTGCGCTGCTGTCTTTCGATGCAACAAGACATAATGTCTGTACAAGCCGTTGAGAAAGACTACCCTCTCGATACTGAGCTCGGACTTTGTCCTCATCAAGGAGAGGCAGTATCGGATGTATCCGACGAAAATAGATACCCATCAAGGCCTCTTGGCACCATTTCGGGGGTAGCCTGTCCTCACGAACATGGATACCAGGTGTTTCCCGGGACAAGGCACTAGTCGTTTCACCTTGCCCAATGGTGTTTTCTTCAGTGCACAACCATGCTCCCACGTCGCCTTTTCGGGATTGACCTTTCTGCAACCTTGATTCCTTCTGTTCCATGAGAGTCGCCATGGGGTTTGAGTCGCACGCGAAACGACGAGACTCTTGTTCAACGTCGGCAACTGTGCCTGAATCGGTGATACCCAAAAATTCAGCTTCATTTCCCGGCGGCATGTGAACCGGTGAGCGACTTAATCTTTCACTGCGGGGAGATGCAGATCTACATCGCACGGCTGGATCTCGCCTTGAGGCCTGGGATGCAGGACTGTGGCTATCCGAAAGACCCAAGACGTCAGACGAAGCAGCTTCAATACCTGAATGGCCCTGGGAAGCGTTATGATAACATCGTTTCTAGTTGAGTCAGCCTGTAGCGCCGAATACGGTCGGGCTATCAAACCCGGACAGAGGAAGACACCTTTTTGTGACGACAAGAGTTACATGCCCGCCTAGTCTGGACTCTCTTGACATTTGCGCCATCACGACTAACCAAAAATGTTAGCTCCATTGAGGATGCTCTCCATGTGGAAGGTTCGTCTCGCTGACACGATACTGCGGGGATCTGCCCTTTTGGGGGCGGAAAGACGAAGCCGTCGGAGCGGGTGCCTCTATACAGACCCCCCACTCCCTCGATCCACCCCCCTTTACACCACTTCCACCCCCCCTTATCCCGATACAGTTAGCAGATTACCATAATAGGAATCTCATCATTTGTATACAGATGAAGCTTAGCGCTAGGGCTATATTGTTGACGCTAGTATTTCTTGGCGTATGAGTGTAGTATCATATAGCATAGTGCATACTAATCAGCTAGATATCTTCCCTCCTGTGTGGTCATATGACCTCAAAACAGATGCTGATTTTCAAAGACACCGGCAATGGACTATTTGGCTGCTATCTCGCTACTACAATATCTGTCGATCTTACATCTCAAAGCCTCCATTTTCCTCTCTAGTCCTCTATATTATAAGCCTCTCCCCTATCTTACCGCCGTTTACTAGCGACGATAAGGACGATAACGGGCTACTAAGCCCCCCCGATCGTATTATCGACTTCGCTAATAATACTAAGTTCGACGTTAATAAGGATTTAGACTTCGATACCTATAATTATAATACCGATAATCATAATTATAAAGCAGAGCCTAATAATACGATACCCGCCCCTCCCCCTAGTTAATACCTAAACCCGATAATACTATTTAAGGCGATTAACGAATTCGCCCGCCGTTATAGATATAGTCTCTCTACCCGCTAATCACGAGATTTTAACGACGGCTCGGGTAATATTAAAAATATCACTTTTATATATAACTATAGGCGCTATAGGGTATCTTATTAACACTAGCCTAAGGAGGCTCTATAGGGTTAACTAATACTATAGAAAGTACGAAGGACGTTAACCCGTATAACCGACTACCTATTTACTCTTACTACTCGCTACCGGCGTTATCTCTAGCACTAGGTTCTCGAGATCACTAACCCGCTATATAGTAGTTATAAAGCTTCCGCCTCTATAACTTACCGCTTCTATCGGTATACTAAATACTCCGATAATACGGACTAGATTAAGTCCTAACTCGAGTAGTATATCCCTACCCGTATTATTCTTAACGGACTCGCTATAATTATAAGGAAAAAAGGGTAAGAGAGTGCTATACGGAGTAGGGATATATAGATATAGAAATATAAGCTTTAGGTCGGGTTCCTAGGAGGCGATACCCTAATATAAGCCCTCCTTCGAGAGCTACTAAGCTATAGTAACTAGTATTACCGCTATATACTTAACGATAATAACTTAGTTACTATAGTTTTTTATATCTATAAATTAAGTCTCGCCTTACTACGGAAATATCACTACGTCCTCTAGATAGATTATATATATAAGACTAATCGGTACTAAATACTACTATTAAATATAGTCGGGGTATCTATAATTAGTAAATTATTTACTATTAGCTTCGTATTTATATAGAATATACTATAAGAAACCTATACTATTATCCTTAAATAGCTAGTAAGGGTTTACCGGCGTTTTAGCCGTACCGGCCTAATTACTATCTTTACTAATAAAGACGTTAGACTAATTAATATAATTAAGGAGGTAAGTAAGATCTAGATTATACTAAGTTTATCCTACTAATTTTAGTAGGTTTTCCTAGACTATAATACTATTATATACCTCTAGTATATCGAGAAGAATATCCTTTCTAAGTCCCGCCTATTTCTTTAAGATAATATACTCGCTAATATATAACGTACTAGGTATACGAAAGCGGATAGACGATACTAAGAAGATATCTAATAATAATAGCTAGCTATATAAAAGCTACTAAGGAAATAGATATTTACGCTAACTAATAAGGATATCGCTACCTACTAGGAAGCCTTTATTACTATATATACTTAATTCCCTAGATTTATTAATTATATTCTACGGGAGTAGGTAATATATAGTAAGCACTTCCTATATTTCTATATTAATCGATTTTTTCGTATTAATACGACGTCGACGTCCTATAATAAGGCTTCCTATTAGTAGCTAAAGAGAGATCTCTAGGTTTCTACTAAGGATCTTCTTAAGGTTATATATATTTTTAAGCGGGTAATTACTCACTAAACCACTACTATCTGATAGGATACTAATTAGTAAATAGGCGGCTAATAGCTCTATACTACCCCGTTACTTTATAATATAGAGGGTTTAGTCTCTATATATATACGGAGGATAGTATTATAGATTTACTAGCGTTACTACCTAGTAAATAGTACGGGGAAAACACTACTTCCTCTATTATTAAATAATAGGACCTATTAACTATAGTATAGTACGATAGTAGTATATAGTATATATACCGTATATTTACCGGATTAGCTATTATATTAAGAAAAAGCAAAGCTTCTAGGTATCTAACTTCTACGCCTACTAGGTCTTATAGTATCACCTTCCCCCTCGCCTAATCGATAATATCTCTATAGTCCGGAATCTAATACGGTATAAACGAGGCGACGGGCGAGCAGCGATTATAGGGCGGTCGGTACGACGGGATCTATCGGGATTTAAATATACACTCGAGAGGGAAAGGGCTAATATTAAGCGAGCCGTAGAGTCTAAAAGAAGTACACAATCATTAGTAGGAGGGGAGGGGGTAAAGAGGAAGAAGAGGAATCAATCTTAGTAGGGTAGAAGAGGTCGTCGGAAGGCCCCTACTCCTAATAAATACCACGGTATTCTAGATAGGTTTACCTCTATACAGAAATTCTAATATATTTAATCGAAAAAATGAAGGTTTTAAGGGTTCAAAAATGAAGGGTTTGAGATATAAGATCGATAGATATTGTGGTAGCGAGATAGCAGCCAAATAGTCCATTGCCGGTGTCTTTAAAAATCAGCATCTGTTTTGAGGTCATATGACCACATAGGAAGATATTCAGCTGATTGGTATGCACTATGCTATATGATACTACACTCATACGCCAAGAAATACTAGCGTCAACAATATAGCCCTGGCGCTAAGCTTCATCTGTATACAAATGATGAGATTCCTATTATGGTAATCTGCTAACTGTATCGGGATAAGGGGGGTGGAAGTGGTGTAAAGGGGGGTGGATCGAGGGAGTGGGGGGGTCTATATAGAGGCAGCCGTCGGAGCGGCGACCGTCTCAAAACGGAAAGTCCGAATTTATATCAACATTGGTCGAACAAAGGTACATGGCATCTGGTGAGGCCGAGGTGGAAGACTTCCGAGGTTAATCCGGCGATGAACATGTACGGAGTACTGTGGATGAAATCATCTCCTGGCTGATATAGATTGCCCATGGATAATATTGATATTGGTCTACGCGGGCAATGACTATCTGCAACATATTCTGCTCAATCTAATAGGACGGCCCCAGGTTGGTCAGCAGTGTTCCCCTGAGTATCAGAAGAGCCCAGAGATGAAGGACGTCCGATACACATCGATCCGTCGAGAGCATCATTCCAGCCGGGCCTGAAGCGCAGAGTTCATTGCACTTCATGATACTACTGGTCGCTTGATCTGGCAGAGACCGGAGGTGTCCCCGGCAGGTCAAGCCCATCAGTCATTCGCTCAGTTATTGGTACGATGAGCACGAGTAGGACGTGTTGATAGCTCATTCATAATTTCTTGTTCCGCGATGAAAGCCCCCTCTGTTGCTTCCACCGTCATCTTTTATCTCGCCTCGATGCGACAGTAATGACTGCTTGTTGAAATGAGTGGCTCTCTCGGTGGATAGACAGCGTAACCGAATACAAAAGAAAGAGATCCCACACCGAACATCCCGAGCACCCCTTGCAGCATTATCGGTGTGCATGGACAAGTTGCCGGGCTTGTGTCTGCTCTAACTGATCGGTAGACCTCACCACACTCCAACGCTGCATTGACACCGTTCTGGGTATCCCATTTTCGATTGATGTTGTACTCAATGTGTGCATCTACGGGTGATCTGAGCACCGTGACTGGGGAACCCCCCACACATTGCAAGTCAAATCTACCAGCTCACATTCTGTTTCTCCAATGATTGTGCTGTGGGGTGGGAACAAATGAAGAGGACATGTAAACCGGTATTTTTATCCGATGAGCGCAAGAAAGTAGGCACCAGGGTGAGAACTAAAGAAGAAATGTGCGTGTCGACGGAGAATGCGTGACTCCACCAAAAGGGTGTGCTGCCTGGATTAGCGCCAGGCAGCAGCCTCGTTGGTGCCTCGTTCCTCAGGCCAACTTCTTCTGTGAGGGTCATAGAGAGGTTATTCTTTTTATTTAAAGACTTCATGGTTCCTCCGATTCAACAGGTTTAATTTCCAAGGCATTTCACGTTCTGTTGACTTGTGTTGTTGTTGAACATCTCTTCCCCTCATACGGCACCACCTCCGTACTCGCTTCGCACCCCTGTCGCCTCTAGCCTTCGCTTTCTGCACGGAGTATCCTTCCTTTCGTTGATACCCGTCTTGAATTGCGATTGAGCCACGTCATGTCGGTCCCGAATTTTAAGAAGTTTGTGATCGCCGTGGGTGGGACTTTCCCCAATTTTAGACAAGGTATGAGCCCCTATTCGCTCCGCCGGCTATCTCGATCTACGTCACCTGCGTTTTGCACGCTGACAAGTAAACTGGCTGCAGCGGACTTGAAAGCAATAGTCGAAGACAATGGAGCGACTTTCAGTCCTTCGGTCACGGGCGATTGCACACACCTGGTGACCACCGACAAGGATGTAGAGAAACAGACTACCAAATGTGAGTACATGCATGGCCTAAGGCGATCTTCGAAGCTTGAAACTCTCGTCTCTTGGATTGGCTCATTCAGCCCAATATATCGTTCTTGTACGGTTCAACTGGCGGGTAGCCAGCAGTGAGAACAGCCCGTGCCGATCTTTCACTTGCTTGCCTTGAGGCTCAAAATTGGAACGGAAAGTTCGTCCACTAGGACGGAAGAATGAGAACGTCGGGGTTTCAAGCTTCGGAGCCTCCATTGTACTATTACAGGACTTTCTTATTGATTGCTTGCCTAGACAAACAAGCTTCCGCGCTGCCCAATTGCCACATTGTCTCACTTTCGTGGCTTACGGATTCGGATAAGGCGAACAAACCATTGCCAGAGTCACGTTATTCATTTAAACTGGTCGACGGAACATCTCAAGCAGATCAAGCGACCCAGCAGGCAAATTCAGATGGTAGCGCCTCAATTCCCATGCATAACACGCGTGTGACTAGGAACAGAGGCGCGGTTGCGGATTCTGTTGATAAATCGGACAAAAAGGCAGCCGATGACCAAAAGAATGTCGTAGGGAGCAAACTCGCACCCCCTGCAGACAAGAAGTCAGCAAGCAAAAAGCGAGGCTCGGACGCAGATTCTATTCAGAATGGGTCGAACAAAAAGACCAAGGACGTTCAAAAAACAGCCGCAAAGTCTCTCAACATTCCCGTCGATGAGGGCTTTATCAAGACTGGCAAACTGAGTGGTAGGTCCGCAATGCAAACATCAATTCATCTGCATGCTGACCCGCCTTTCGACAGATCCCAAAGTGCACATCGATGCGGCAGGCTTAATCTGGGATGCCACGCTGAGCCAGACTGTGTCATCGAGTAACGCCAATAAGTTCTACCGTGTCCAGTTGTTGGCCGGTGCAAACTCGAAGTTCATGACCTGGACCCGCTGGGGTCGGGTCGGGGAGCATGGTCAGTCAGCCTGTCTTGGAGATGGCAGCCTGCCAGACGCAATATCGTGGTATGAGAAGAAGTTCAGGGACAAGTCAGGCCTAAAATGGCAGAATCGGCTGGATCCTCCCAAGAACAACAAGTACACGTTCCTTGAGCGCAATTACGAAGAGGACGATGAAGATGAAGCCCCAGTGAAGAAAGAGAAGGCCGTCAAGGAAGAAAAGGAATGCACACCTCCGCCAGACAGCTCACTCTCAAAAGGACTTCAAAATCTCATGTCCTTCATCTTCAACCCCAACCATGTTCTCGAGACATTGGCTGCAATGGCATACGATGCCAACAAAATGCCACTGGGCAAACTAAGCGACAGAACTCTGAAAAATGGATTCCTCGTTCTCAAAGAAATCTCTGAAGTCATGGCTACACCAACCCTGGCACAGCAAAGGTACGGCCAAACGCATCATGCCGCCATTGAGTCCCTGAGCAACCGATACTACAGCTTGATTCCCCACGTCTTTGGCCGAAATCGGCCTCCGACCTTGAGCACAAACGCATTGATCAAGCGAGAGGTTGATCTCTTGGAGGCACTGACAGACATGGATGTTGCAAATGAGATCATGAAATCGTCCAAGGAGGACAGCGATATGAACGCGTTGGATCGCCAATTCCAGAGTCTTGGCATGAAGGAAATGACAGAACGTGAGTATCAATTCCCACCTCTGTTCCAGCCTGTCGACCGAAGCTAACAACTGACAGTGGACCACCAATCATCCGAGTTCAAAGAGCTCGAGAACTATCTGCAGGGTTCACGCGGCAAGACCCATGGTATGAAGTATAAAGTCATCAACATCTTCCGCATTGAGCGTCAAGGCGAAAATGACCGTTTCAACGCATCCGCCTACTCCAGCATCCCGAACAGCGACCGCCGTTTGCTCTGGCACGGCTCCCGCAGTACCAACTTCGGTGGTATCCTAAGTCAAGGTCTGCGCATTGCTCCCCCCGAGGCACCCGTCAACGGATACATGTTCGGCAAGGGTGTGTATCTAGCAGATACATCGAGCAAATCTGCAGGCTACTGTTGCTCTTCTAACAGCGGCGGCATGGGATTGCTTCTTCTCTGCGACGCCGAGCTCGGCGCTCCTATGCTAGAACTCAACAGTAGCGACTACAGTGCCGGTACGGTAGCCCTTCAAGCGGGCAAGATTGCGACTCTTGGAATGGGTTCGAACGTTCCGGGTGGATGGAAGGATGCCGGATGCTTGACCCCTTCTTTGAAGGGTGTGAAGATGCCCGATGCGGCGCTTGGAAATACCGATGATAACCAGAGACGCTGTCTGTTCTACAATGAGTACATTGTCTACGATATTGCACAGATCCGACAGCGGTATCTGTTCCAAGTGAAGATGAACTGAATCATTGCTTTTGCATATTATTGGAGTCTGGGATTAGCTATGGGGGAGATCTTGGGCTAGAATTACTTCTCCTTTTGTATCTTATGTTATGTATATCTACCAAAGCCTTTATTGCATTTTATTATTTTGGACTCTAGATTGGAGTATCTCGAACTTGAATGACTTCCACATTCTAGGAAACGTTGAAACATACTATCTTCCACAGCAAAATAGATATCAAAGTCCTGTCTGACCCTCGCACCCCACATTGCAAGTTAAATGTAATGAAAGCTTGAGATCATTCAGCTACTGAGCAACATAGGCAAATCATCGCCTCAGAACTCCCTAGCATATTAAAAATCGCATGTCAATCCCCCTTAAATCATTCAGAACATATAAAAACCTCGCATGTAAACACGGACAGAATAGGTACGTAATCAGACCCGCAGATCTCTAGGTGAAAGTTCATCAGTTATTTAAGTACGATCAAAGCTATGAGAAAGTCACGTCTAGGAAACTTGGATTGTAGGGAACCCACAAAAACGAGCAGACTACAAGGAGAATCGTCGCGAAGGGTCACGTCTTCACATGCTTGAACCAAGAAGGGAGCCAATAGGAAGTCTCAAAAGTGGAAGTTCATTTGAAGTTTTCAAAGAAAGCCAATTAGGGACCTCAAAGGTAGATGCTTATAAGATATTTGGAAGACAACCAACCAGAGACCACGATAGAAGCTTGATATATCAAAGACGCGGATCAGATTAAATGGCGAAGGACCCGCAAAAAACGACAAACTACAAGGAGAATCGTCGCGAAGAGTCGGTCGTCACTTGTTTATACCTAAAGGGAGGGCCAATGAGAGGTCTGGAAGGTGCAGGACCCGCAAAAAAGGAGAAAACTACAAAGAGAATCGTCGCGAAGAGTCACATCTTGAGTTCTTTATACCTGAAAGACGGCCAATGAGAAGTCTCGAAGGTGCAAGTTCATCACCACTCCTGAAGAGAACCAATCAGACATTCCGATATATACAACTTAATTGGTGAAGACCCGCAGAATCTGAGCGACCTTCCAGAAAACGTCGCGAAATAGTTATGTGCATAGTCACCTGGCATATATCCCAGCTACCCAGACGTAAACCAATTAGAGGTTGCACATAGCACGGAGTTGATTACTCTTCCGCACCTAGTCACCTAGGCAACGGCTATGTCATTCAGGCTAAAAACGGCAGCCATTTAATCTATTTATCAAATTCCGGGGTAAAGAAAATATCCATGGATATGTATTGTAGTTCCCCCGCCCAGTTCGACCTCATGCTTCCACTTTGGTCAATGCTGTCCCTGCGCTAGTCCGCATTGGGCGCAAGGGTAAGCGGGACTAACCAATTCGGGCGGGCACAGCCTACGCACCCCCGATCGGGAAGCCCGTGTAGTTTCGGGACATGGAGACACGGGTTCCTGGATACCGACGGGCGAGATCCCGACCGAACCAAGATTTGAAAGGTCATGCGGGACATCCATTAGCAATTAAAAGACTGAGCCCCCGTTATTGCAAAAACATTTAATCCCACGATATCTCACATCCTAAATATTCCGAACATTCAGGAAAAAAAACTCCCCACACACGCGCAAAATGACTACAACTCAATCCACCGGAAAGCCGCAAATTAGCATTATCGGCTCCCTCAATATCGATTTCGTCACTGCCACCCCCCCGCTGTCCCGGCGCCGGCGAAACTCTCACTGCAACTTCCCTCACTGTCTCCGCTGGCGGAAAAGGCGGTAACCAGGCCGTCGCCTGCGGTCGCGCTTCTTTCACATCGCAAACGGAGCAAGATGTCGCGGTTAGCATGATCGGCGCCGTCGGCGCCGAGGACCCTTACTATGGTTCCCTGCTCAAGCCCGCGCTTGAAACCTCCGGTGTCAACACAGCTTCTATTGAACAATCGACCGTCGCGCAGACCGGGTCGGCAACTATCATTGTCGAAGAAGCTATTGGCGGCGAAAACCGCATTCTTGTCGTCCCCGGCGCAAACCACGCCGGTCTGCTCAGCGATGCCGAATCCATTATCGCAACTCTGAAGGCCCAGTCTTCGTTCCCTGATATCATCGTTCTGCAGGGTGAGATTCCCCGCAGCACGACACTCGCTCTACTGGAATATTTCAACCGCTCGACTGAGTCCACGAAAGTGGTTTTCAATCCTGCGCCGGTTTTCCCAGAGGGAATTCCTCTCCCGGCGCTTAACGGCACATCGGTGTTGATTATGAATGAGACTGAGGTTGTGCAGATGGCTAGATCGATTGATGGCCTTCCTGTTGGTGATGCTGTGGAGCAGGATGATTTGCGACCTGAGGAATTGGCGCCGCGATTCCATGAGCGTGCTGGTGTGGAGATTGTTCTTATCACGCTTGGCGCGAAGGGTGTCTACTTCTCTACCAAGACCGGTCGCACGGGAACTGTTGCTGGTGTGAAGGTTGCTAAGGTCCTTGATACCACTGCTGCGGGCGATACCTTTGTTGGATATTTCGCTACGGCTGTGGCGCGTTTCTTCGCTACTGGAAAGACTCTGGAGGCTTTTGATGAGGAGATCGAGGGTGCAGTTTCCAAGGCCAATTCGGCGGCTGCGATGTGTGTGCAGCGTCGTGGGGCTATGCAGAGCATTCCCTTTGCATATGACTTGTAATAAATGGAAAAGGAAGAAATGATGGAATGCGAATACGGGATGATGCAAAAGCAATAATAGATGGCGTTTTGGGTATTATGATATCATGTCTGCTTCATCGTCAAATTCCTCCTCGTATCGTGCTAAGTTCCAGGCTGATTGTAGAGCTTCGATCTCCCTGTCTAGTTTGATCCCCGTTGTAGCTGTTATTCGGGCGAAACGCTCTAATAATACCGTTTGTTGTGATGCATGCGTCATCTCTTTGGCAATAGTGAGAAGGCTCGCCACTAAGATCGGATCCCATTGCTCGGGGGAGTCATTGCTTGCTGCAATTCCGGCAATTGACTGCGCGTGCCAGATATGTGATGTCACTGATCTTGGTCCAGGCAGTGATTTCAGAAGCCGTGGCTTATGCGTAAGCAATAAGAGGGAGATGATGTGGTAGACGGCGTTAGCGACCAGCGCCATTGGTGTCGTGTAGATGAGGATAGGGAAGGAGGAGTCGTGGTCTGGGTCGATCTGGTCAGCTTCACTGCCGCGGATGTCGACTATTTGCTGCACGTTCACTGGTCGCTCGTTGTACCATTTCTGGCAGTCTGACCATAGGTACGTCCATTGTGATAAGGAGTGGGATTGCCGTAATGAGGGGAATCTCCCTAGGTCTGGGGATGTAGATGTGTGGGGTGAGGACATTTCTGGGCCGCCATGTACTAGGGCAAGGCAATGTGCCAAGAGAGACAATATGTGTTTGTACACAGAATTGACTGTTTGGGGCCTCATGGTTTGGTGGTGTAACAAGGTGCCATCTCGTCGTAGCAATGATCGGAAGGGCATTAGCGGTGGTTTTGAACAGGATATTGAGCTCGCGAGATCTATCAACCCACGGTCTGGTTAGTCTGACATCTGAGTTATTTGAGATTTGAGGTGAGTTCCTACCCAGTCGAAGGTAAAGCCATAACAAAGCCTCCCCAACTTCTTCCCCAACTGCCCGCGAGGCGAAATCACTGACATTCTCTATTCTATGGATCAAAAGGTTCCTCCACTGCTGTGGCCCAGCAGGAAGAACATCTTGAAGCATTAAAAGAGTGTGACCAGCATATCTAGCCAGGTCATATTCAAGCGCAAGACTCTCTTCTGCCTCTTTCCGGAACTGTCGACTGCTTTCCAGGTCCTGACTGTTCGTGGATGTCACGACAAGTCTTTGCCCGGCAGACAGTGCAAGAACAGCAGCTTGTAGAGCCCTGTTCGTCCGCGAAAGAAGCAGAACTTGCAGCCCGAACGGAAGCTCGGGGTCCCCAGTGTCAATCCACGGACCAACGTGGTACCGGAAATGTCGAAGCAAGTCAGTCTCAAGGTTGCCATTTGTAAAGAGCGCTGGTTTCTCAGTTCGATCATTTGCGACAGATCTGTAGGCAGGATATGGAGCACCACTCATATACCGAGTATCAGGCACACTCGGTCCCCCAACATAAGGAATCGGAGGCTCAGAGAAATCGACACTGGGGACAGTCGGTGATAAAATGCTCTGGAATTCAAACGCACGCCGCGTATCCCCAGCATTATCCTGATCATCTGCCGACTGCAGCCCATCTAGAGAGAACCCAGCATTGCTCTGTGACTCATCTGCCGACTTCTGCTGGGCCTTTGATTTACTGGCCGCTGCAAGAGGCGAATCATCGACAAACTACTCAAAGTCAGTCTTAGACTTCTGAATCAAGTTGATCATCACCTCGAATCGACTACCCCGTACTTACTGTGATACTGCTATACCCCTGTTTCCCACCGGAAACAATCCCCGAACGCGGTGCCACAAAGGCCAGATCGGAGCCATATTTACACGCAAACCCCTTGACCTGGCAGTTTGCACAGCTCGGTTTCTGCTCATCGCCTATATCCCGCTCAATTCGTTAGTTGTGCTTAAGAGAGAGGAAAAACATGACGGAAAAAAGCGAACACGTGACGCGTACATTTTCTTCGCCTCTTTCGACACGTCAAGCAGCCAGTTCGCACCCGCTGCTTAGCCGCCGGTGTGGGTTTCCTAGGCATGTTGAGAGAGTAGACTGCATTACCCCAGATGTTGGCGCAGAACAAAATGAACGGAGGCTCCGCAGTCCCGAAATGTGCTCAATTGCCCGAGGCGATGATTTGGGTGGGGCGCGCACTAATCCGGAGAGTCGAGCCGAGATCCTGCGGGTGTGGTGATCTACAACGTCAGTTTCGTATAGACTTGCCTAGGTGGTCTTAGCTGTCATTTTCGTTTCATGACTATGTGGTTTATTAACTTGTATCTGGTTATGAGTAGGTAGGGCACTCAAACGAGAGAGGTTCTATTCTCGGTGGTGCCAATTCAGGTGCTTTGCAGTTTGCCAGTTCGCGGCCAGTAACACCCAACCAAGTTGGATATCACCAAAAGCTTCACATCATTGATATTGACCATTGGAGACAGCTGAGAGATTTCTCTTGGCACCAAATTCATGTCAGCCCACAAAGTACCATCCAGTCATATGTAGCTGTTACCCTGGAAGCAGGGAAAGAGGGAGATAATCGATTCTGGAATGGAGTCCCGCTCCCATAAGGGGAGTGGCGTGATCATATAGTTACACTCGTGACCCTAGCCTAAGAGATGGCTCCATCTGCCCCTGTCGAAAATCGACGGCCGGCCTCGGCCTGACTCTGTAAAGACAGTGCGATTGTTAATAAGGATGACTGTAATGATTGTGGTGTTTTCTTCTTCGAGGAATGGTTATGGCTGTAGAGACTGTGTTGTATAGAGCAAAATATTATTGCCTGTGCATCCTTGCGTTTCAGTCCACAGTGAGCATCTGCAGCGATTCCTGTGATCCCAGTCAGGGGCAAACACCTTTCGGAAAATTGGACGTTTGTAGACGCAGTGAAGAGTAGGCGATTTTAGCACTAGGACCAACGGCAGCGCATCGAAGCGGTAGCTTATACACGTGAGGTACGTGTAGTTGGCAGTTCCAGTATATCCAACTCCTTCCACAATAGTAAACCTGTAGAGGTTGCGAAATATCCAATCAGGAATTGAGCTGTGTAGATTGCCTACTCATAGTTGTTCTTTCTAAGAGCCATTTCAAACAGCGCTCAAAACAACCACTGATGAGCAAGTCGCTAGAGTCGCAGGCTTATGGATCTGGATTCGCCATACTATCACCGCACATGATCGCATCAGCACTAACTTCCATGATGTTAGGGTCCCGCCTAGATAGGAACTCGGAAGCAAATGCCAAGTTTGTAAGGGAACCTCGTGGTCCAACAGCTCTTGATCAATTCCATCGACGATCAGATGAAAGGGGATTTTTTCGCACTTTGCCAGATATTTGCTCAGTAAGACACCAAGGCTCTGATGGCTTGATTGGTGAATCTTTTATGGGCGAAGACGGATCCCCGTCTTGCCAATTCCAGTGCTTTTCGTCGTTCTCCGAAGACACGGAGAATTTGCAGTTTAATGATTGTGAGCTTTACAAGAACGCCAGGTCATTTTGTGTTTTCTCCTTATCATTGCCAGGTAATATGAACGACTTAATGGCCCCGGTAGCCAGTCCCATCTACGCAGGACGTCACCAAGATGCTTTGCGTCGGTCACCACTGTGAAATTGAAAGAAGAGTGAGAGAAGAGATCCAGGGTCCCAGAGACATTGGCAGAACGGGTTCTTTGCGGAAAGTTTCCTCAAACTGCCAAGCTGATCCAGATCGCGTGCTTGCCAGGAGCTGCAGTTTTTCTTGGTAGACCATCCACTTTATGGCATAGTGACGTGGTCATCTGTAGGATTCAAGATGAAATCACGGTTCTGCAGTAGGTGGGTTTTGACCTTGGCCGGGACGTATGTGACGCCGTTTGGGGGAATTATGATTTTTCCGCCCCCTTTCGGTAGTACGCATCGCAGTTGTGTGGAGACATGGTGATTGCTGGTTTGGAAGAAGGGAAAGAAGACACCACGGTAAAGTCTCATCAAGCTCATTTGGGAGAACAATCCCCATTCCAATTCACCTCTCTGGCGTGACCCACCAGTAACACGGCCGATCGATAAAGGATGAATTCCTTTGTTGGACTTCTGCGAGGTAGGCATGATGGTAAACCCCGATTTCATAGGGGTCGATACCAAGCAGTTTCGAGAATTCTCTTTTCCTCGTCCGTGTCTATTCGACTTCACCGACCAATTGAGACCCAGGGTCCCTTATCGAGCTTTTTGCACTCTTGGAATAGTTTGTAGCTTTCGTTTTCTGAGTATTCTTCAGACATCGCGCAGAAGCGGCTTGCTAACGGCTAGCGAGAGATGGGAAAGGTGCTGGGATTTAGAAGAGGGGCATGAAGGAAGTGAGAGCTAGAAAGGCGAGGAAAGCTATCGACACCTTGTGTTTGTTTTGACGGTACCTTGGGACCTTCCCAAACAGGTAACAACTGGGAGTAGGTCGCACCTTCCTTGGAAAGAAGGCTGGACGGCAAAGAACCACCGTTAAACTCTGAAGACTAAATATACCGATGTATATCAGGCACTACGAAAGGAATGGATCAAGATCGGTTCACGTGAAAAAATGTGACTTCGTAAACATTGATAAAATTAAAACTTGACAATAAACCTCACAAGGGTATTTTTAAACCATAAACAGACATTCAAAGCTTCTCAATATACTGCGAAGTTTCGTGCTTCTCAGTATCACTACCACTGGTAGAATTCATACGCTCAAGGAAAGCAGTCAGACCAACATCGCGCTGAGCCTCACGGAGGAGCTCAGCGTCCTGCTCGCCAGCCTTACTCTTGAAGACACGGTCCATGTCCTCAAGGGAGGCGCCCTTGGTCTCGGGCAGGAAGAACCACACCCAGACCATGCCGACGGCAAGGAAGCCAGCGAAGAAGATGTAGGTACCCCACTCCCAGTCCTCGAGCATGGGAGGGACGAAGAAGGCGATGGCGAAGTTGTTGATCCAGTTACTGAAGGCGCCGATGGAGGCACCCTTGGCACGGATGGAGAGGGGGAAGATCTCGGAAACGAGAGTCCATGAGACGGGGCCCCAGGTGGCACCGAAGCCTGCGATATACAGCCAGATGAGAGCTAGAGAGATTGGGTTAGTCTTTCATTTTTGGAAGAGTTTTGGATTAGATGTTTGCTTACCAACTGCGGTCCAGCCAGCTGCGACGTGACTAGGCCAGTCGTGTTGGAAGTTGGCAACAATGACACCGACAATGACCATGCTGACCAACATGAGGAGAGATCCGCCGAGAAGCATGGGCTTGCGGCCGAGTTTGTCAATGACCAACATTCCGGGGATGGTACTGATCAGGAAGACGACGCCGGTCACACCGGTGGCCAACAGAGCAATGGTACCACCGGTCAGACCAAGACTGACGAAGACGTTGGAGGCGTAGTAAATAACTAAAAGAGCGGTTAGCTAGGAAACTCTCAAACTCTTGAATCATGATCAACTTACTAGCATCAACACCACTCCACTGCTGGAAGAACATAATGGTCCAGGCAATGCAGACACGCTTGAAGTTATCCATAGTGCGGAAGCAGTTGGCGTACTGAGCGATCTGGTTCATGAAAACACTGCTCTTCTCCTTGTCGGCGAGCTTAGGGGAAGCAATAGCAAACGCGCGCTGCTCAAAGACAGCTTCGGCCTTGATCTCGAGGTACTCCATCTGAACGAGGTCATCGTCAGTGGTGAGCTTGCGCATCCAAGCAATAGTATCCAGGGCCTCCTGATCACGACCCTGCTTAACCAGCCAGCGGGGGGAGAAAGGCATGAACCAGATTCCGCAAGCCAGCACAACAGCAGGGATACCCTGAATGATGGAAGGCAAACGCCAGGCAAGATCGCTCTGGCCGTCACCAGTGCCGCCAATGTTGTTGCAGCCGTAGCCAACCCAGAAGGAAATCATGATACCGAGAATAGTAGCGAACTGGTAGAACGAGACGAGCAGACCACGCATCTCGGGCGCAGCCAATTCGGCGTTGTAAAGAGGACCTACACCACTGAACAGACCGACACCGATACCAGTGAAGAATCGACCAGCGTACAGAAGAGCGGGGTTACCGGATGTGGCGCCGATGTACAGATAACTGCCGAGAATGGCCCAGCAGCAGGCGAAGAACATAGTGTACTTGCGCGAGTAGATCTCGCCCAAGACACCGGCAGACAGAGAGCCAACCACACCACCCAATTGCAGAATGGAGGTCAACCAACCTGTTGATGTGGATGAGGCAACTACTGTGGGGAAGTTCTCCATGAAACGGTGCATGACCAGAGACTGGCCGAGAACACCTTGTTGGTAGCCATATTCGAAACCACCGAATCTGAGGATGTTAGCATTTGGAGTTTTTCAATGCATCTGCCGAGACATTCTTACGAGGCAAAGAAGGCAATGGCAATGACTTTAGGGTTGTCATAGATAGACTGCCAGATAGATTGCTTGGGGGCTTCAAGGCGCCGGGGAGCAGACTCCAAGTCTGATGAAGGTCGAGCCATGATGGGCAATTGGATATGAGTAAGTGAATTCCGAATTGCTCAGGAAGTACCGCTAAGGTAGAGATGAAATCTGGGGAATCGAAAACATGGGGGAAAGAGGGTCTCATATATAGACGTGTTTGATCGTGGACTTTGATTTAGTTCTGTCATTGTTAGTCAAAGTGGCACCACGTGCAGAGAAAAAAAAAAAGCCCTCAACCCCATTCTTTCTTCGCATCTCCAGTTTTTCGGCGTCCCGACTCGCTCACATGGGCCAGCACCCCCGGAACCCCAAATTCTGTTGATTTTTGTGGAGGCAAACACTGTGGAGGAATCCGATGGCTAACCCGTTTGGGCGGACTGTAGCCTCTGTTCGCCTAAAGGGGCAATTCAGACCCCGTAAAAAGTGGAGCTTTCGGGACGAATTGGCCCTGGCCGAGGGGAAACTCGGGCCCTGAACGGGCTAGCCGACTCCCACAAGGGTTTAACTCGGTCTCGCGGTTTCACTCGGGGCCCCGAGAAAAAAAAAAGTGTGGGCGAATGTGGAGGGCCCACATCCTTTCGGGGCGTACAGAGCCACCGTCGCTTAGGTTCATGCTGACTTAACATTTGACGCCATTATTGATGTTCCTTGTATGTCGCTACAAGGCCCTTGAACCTTGATGTAGTCTACGATCAGGTTAGACTGTCAATTTTCTTGTGAAGTATAAAAAAAATGTTTCAGCCGTTGAAATCGACTCAATAGAGTTGGCTCCGTACTCGGAACTCCGATCTTTTCTTTTTCGCTCTTCGCAAGCCCTATAAATGATCTGCTCCACATCACTTCCGCTGTTTTGCAGCTCATTGCTCACTTTCGTCACGAGTGGGCTTGCCGGTTCCCCATATCGGGGCCGATAAGCACTATGCCTCAATGGACAATCATTGGTACACAGCCGGCTTCGTTCCGTACCTGGTAGCTGCCGACTAGACGCCGATGTGCAAATCCTGGGCTTGGCTGCTGGTGAGTGTGACATGGTGACCGACAATCCTGCAGGAGGATATGTACAATGACGAAATTTCTTAACATGAAACCCCAGACACGGCCAACAGCTAGCAGCCCCGGATGGCACTGCACACTATCGCAACTCTAAAAACTGGAAATCTAGGCTGTATCCCTGTTCATGGGAGTGCAACATGGCCATTGATGAATACACCCATTCGCTTCCAAGCATGGAAGATGATCCACGGCAAATTACCGTGGGAGGGGCGCGTTCGCACCCGAGAACAAGACCTTGGAAGGTGAGGCTAACCAATCCCACATCGGGTAATCTAAATCGGATCATTAAGGAAGCTTCCAAAGAAGGTTTTCTTAAGGGCCGACCGGATAGCTCAACTTCGGCAGGCAACTTCATAGTGCAGACGGTCCACAAGTATCCCGGCCAGGGATCCATTAACTCCGCCGGAGCGTTGACTAACGTCGCGCTTGCGGTGCGTATGGATCCGCAGTTTGCGTCACATGCCAAGCATCTTGTCATTATGGGTGGATATATCGATTTGAATACATATGCTGGAGGCCACCGGCAGTATCACACTTGCTAATTATCAGTCGGACCTAGGATCCCGACAGCTTGATTGGATTTGTAATTCTTCAATCGCTAACATAAGTATTGGGATATATCAATCTGATGATCGACCCCGAAGCCTCGAAGATTGCTCTGACAGCTGACTTTCCTAACATCACCATCGCAGGAAATGTTGCGAACCGGGTGTTCCCAAGTCAGCAGTTCAAGGAAGAGGTACCCTCCATCCCTAACCCGTACCGCACACTATTGTTTAAGTATTACGGACTTTCATTGCCCTTCTCGGATGAGACAGCTGCTGCCCTGATGGTCGACCCAGCACTCTCGGTCAATCAGACTTCAGGTAGGTGAAAGGAGGTGCATCGCATTGGACTTGGTAGTGGCTAACAATCCTTCCTTCTCAAGTGTTGCGAGACGTTGACATCTCATATGGAAGTCCCAGCTACGGAAACATCCATGTGTACCAGAAGACGGTTGCCCCTCCGGGTATTCAGCAGGTGAGCCTTGTGTTCGAGGTTGATGCGGAGAAGCTCAGGCAGCACATCAAACATGCTCCGTAGTGTCCCAAGTCTTGTGCGGACTTGGGGTACACTCAAATGATTGCCCTTTGGTAAACAGTTCTTGTTTCACGATCATTTTGGACCGCATAGAGCCCCGAGCGCCTGAGACAATTGTATCGATGGCATACAATGCATGTCACTTAGTGGACGTTTCGAGAAATCCTCATTTCAGACTCTCTTGCCAGTGGGTGGAATGCATTCGGGCTTCACATTTAGTGTTGGACTCACGTCGAATTCGATGCAAGGCACCGAACCGCAACGGACTTGAGATTGTATCCATCTCACAAAATGGCTCTCAAATAGCGCCCAGAATCTCCCCCGGTTCATACCCCCAAGCTCTTTCAAGATCTTTGAGTCGCCACAATGCACCCCATCCAGTCGTGCGCTCAATAAGCTTGAACAACCTCGCAACCTCAATATGCTCACTATGATGACTGAGCAACTTCCCAGCAATATAAAGCGGCTGAATAGCATTGATCAAATTCCCCGAATGGGGATTCGTCAACGAAATCCCACAAACCCGACGCGCATGCCAGATCGCCGAAAAATGCGGCTTGGAAGCAGGCGTCCTCCTCTCAACAGGCCTCATATCCAACATCATAATGGACGCAGCATGATACAACTGATTGCCTGAAATCGCCGCCCAATGCGCAAACAAAATCTCCGGGAAAGTCTGCCCACTGCTCATCCCCGTAGTCTTGATGGGCAGCATAGCAGGTGGCCGCTGCTCAAGCCAATACTGTAACTCCTCCCAGAGCCGACTCCACTGCTCCGAGAACGGTCGCGTGTCGTCAGTCGCCTCCCCCAATTCCAAGAATCGTGTACGACGACAGGAAAGGTCGCATGCTTTCGCGCACAGATATACAGCCCAGTTGGCGTGCATATCTGCTGATGCACGACCTTTCTCGCAGAATGAGTCACGGATCATATCTTCCTCTGCCTCTTTCGAGCTGGCTTGCGGCATGGCCGGAACCCATTTCTCGAGCGGGAGGACGGTGCTTTCCACGCCGTTGGAGATGATCGCTCCGCATAGCTCCATCCGCGCGTAGCACCAGAACACGGCTTGTAGATGGCCGCCTGAGAGCCCGTTCACGTTGAATGACTCGAATAATGCTGCGCAACCCTCAACGTGTCGTCGCCAGTCGCGCGGACTTACGGACATTAGTTCCATCACAGCTAGGATGCAGACTGTCACGAGGACATTGGGGTCTTTGGCTTGGAGACATGGTGCCAGAAGGCGGATAGACTCTTGGTACAGCTCGAGGCTGTCATAGGCTTTGTCCAGACAGGCTTTTCGCTCTGTTTGCCGTGCGGAGAAAGCCAGGATCGCATAGAAAAGGGCCGGTGAACCTTGTGCGAGAATCGGAATGTGCACACCGAAATGTCGCGCCTCATCGAATTTATCGAGGTACGGTGCGCATTCAGTTATCCAGTTTTTGAGGTAGAAGATTAGTCGGATTTTGGGGATGGAGATGACGCGGGTGAAATCTAGGCTTTGGCGTGGAGCTCGCGGTTGCGGCCCTTCTGTTGGCTCTAAGGGTGCTGGGGATGCGTAATTTGAAGGCTCGAGGCTTGCGACTGCGGAAAAGAGCACGCAGCGAAGTTCTTCTTGTAATTCCAGGAACCTGGGGTTGGCGGCGTAGTCGTCCGCGCTGGAGAATGTTCCCGGCGATAAGAAGGCCTCTTCTTCGATAAGCGGCGTGGCGCTGTTAAATGCGCCCTCCTGAATCCTTGATTCGGGCCGTACTGGGGGGACTGGTTCCTCCATGGCGGATGATTGTGTGCAGTTTGGAGAGTCTGGGGATGTCTGGGGTAGACGGAGGAAGGAAAAACGCGGAGAATGTTCGGAAAATGCCTCCCTCGAGCCTTGGGGGGCGGTTCAGGCGAATGGCGAAGCCACTTAGTCACAAAAACATTTGGATCCATTCAATTTCATTCAACCGCGCAATTTTTCGTGGTTCTTGTTTATTGATTTTCAATTTTGTTGAGAGGAGTTCAGCGGATGTGTGGGTGTGAGAATTCTTTTCCTTGGAGTCAGGTATATATTTCTAACAGCATGTTCAGATCTAGCAGCCAACGAAAGTGAGTAAATTAGATTCGCTATAGGTGGCTTAGAACAGCCTAGCTAAAACCGGCAGATGCTATGCATTATAGCAAAAATAATTAAATATCTAAATATCCAGAATGTTGACTATGATGGTGTGGTTCGTCCTTCGTGACCAACCCTACGCCCAACTGGGTTCTGGGAACGTGCCAAGCCCTGCGGTTTGTACGCAGTTTGATACTGCAAAGACTCAACTACACACTGACCTGGCTGAGAAATTGGAATTTAGATCATGGTTATGGTGTGCAATGTAAGGTGCTCTACTTGATTGGCAACGACAAATATAGATGAAGGACTGAGTTCCGGACATAATGGTAGGTAGACGATTTCCCGGTTCGACTTTTGGTACTACCATTTTGACTTTCATCTTGTAGTCTATCTCGATCAGATAACTTTATCATGAATATCCCTAAATGCGCAAGTGCTCATCAACTACTATGTTTTATTAACAGGTTATGAGCCTGGCTTGCCTCAATTGCCCTAATAACCTCATATTCTTGCTTGCCACTGGGCGCGCCATCTGCATCTGAACTTCACGTTGCTTGCGTGCTGGCAAAACGATGAGACCCGATACATATAGGGCTGCACTATTTCCAAGGACTTTCTATTCACATATATCAATCAAAAATACTCCGTAAATCTCAAGAAGCTCCCTGCATCTCACCACTCGCTCGATACCTGGCCAACGAGCGAGCTTGCTATCTCACAGGATTCCCATTGGCGTCGATGGTTAGTTTCAAGTCCCATCTGCTGGTGGCAATGCATCTTTCTAAATTATATTCTATCTTAATATTTCGTGGGAACCATTTCTTATGTATCTCAATTTGATCATATAACTTGATTGTAATCATTCCTACATACTCATTGAGCCCCGTGTCTCATCAAAAGCTGACCAAAGGATTCGATTTCGGGTATAGTCTTTCAGGGGCAATAATCAATAGCGCCCACATCGCCTCTCCACTCAAAATGAACCACATCCACAATCCGCCTTAGTGTCGTCGGCTCTAACAAACTTCGAGTAGCGTCGGCAAGCCACGGGATGTGTTTCTCTGGTGCTCCCTGGCAGAGGCTATACCACTTATCCATCTCAATCCTCTTCTTCCCCACTGTCGGCCCATCATTGCCAAGAGTACCATAGGGCTCCAACGCCTCAATCAACCGTTCATACCGTTTGGTATTTGAAACTGACACATATTCGCAAGCCGGGTAATTTTCAATGGGTCGAATCCCCTTGAGCAACTCATACACTTTGTGATGAGCCGACATGATAGCCCAATTGCAATAACCCATGGCAACCAGTGCTCCTAATTCACCCGACTCAATCACACCAGCCACTGAATCCAGACATCTCCCAATCATCTCATCGAGATATGTGCAAAGATTCCCTCGGATACCACGGAGTATAACATTCTCCCGCTGCTTGCGCATGGTGTCGCCGCGGAAATCAACAAAATCATTGATATAAACCGTCGCTTCGACAATTCGCGAAAACCCTTCCTCAGTCAACTCCTGATCAGTACCAAGCGAAGCAGTCATGACTCCATGAAATGCAGCAACGTCAATGTGCCGATGTACCGTAAGTCCAGTCATGCGACTACCATAGATCCCATCCGGCAGCCGAGATCGGGCATGGTCACGATAATATCCGAGAACCCGGCACTGGATGATGTATGCAGCCAAGTTATCAAACTGCCAGTCGGTGACCCGACCGGCCATATTGCAAAGTTTCAAGAATGACATGGCTGCGGCGCCGACCTGCTGGAGCAGCCTGAGGCCTTGTGCATCTGCGGCTTCGCAGTAGTCGCCGATTAAGATGTCGTTGCAGGAGTCTGCTACGGCGCGTGCGAGACCCTCGTCACAGAGACTTCCGCCGCAGGCTATTACGCCAAAGTACTTTGCGTCTGTGCAGATCTTGAGTTGTTCAGCGCTTGGGAAGAGTTGATTACTGATTCGGGGGTTGCTGTCGACAGATGGATTTGGGCGCCGGTCTGGTGCTTGAATTTTTGGGATGGTTGAGAAGATTCCTAGTCCCTGACATGTCTCTGGAGTGTCTTGGATGTCTTCGTTTGAGTGTATCAACTCCTCGACCGCGAGTCTGAGTTTTGCTGGTGTGAATAGGCCGGTGTTGTGCCATTGATCCTTTTGACCCATGACTGTCTCCATAATTGTTCTCATCTTTTGAAGGGCATCACACGTTTCTGTCTGTTCCTCCATAGCAGATCTGCCATCCTCGCATTTGCATTCAACTTGCGGATTATATTGTTCGGAAAGAAGATTCGTCTCTTGACCCAAAGGGGGATTTCGTCCCCCGAAGTTGATCCTTCCATTCTCAAAGTGCCGATTAAGTGAGTGGATGGCTTGCATCAGACGCCCATGATCCATCAATTGACACAGGTTATCATCGTGAAAGAGAGATGCCAATTCATCCAAGCAGATGAGTTCCTTTGGAACTGGGTCGTGGCCGTTTGACACGAAAAGCCAGCCGTCTACCCATGCAAGATAGACTTGCAATAGTGTCGGCTGAAAGGATGATGGCAGTCCTTTTGAGATCATTGGTTCAAATTGATTATCGCAGCTGGGTTAACTAGAAACAAATCAGGACCCAGAAGAGGTGGTCGCAAGATATTTATCTTCTCTCTCACATCCATCGAGTCTTTACCCATCATACTGACGGACTACTGTAAGGCCATCAGCTCCGTTTGTTATTTTGGATCTTGACCTCAGCTCCACCCTCGCCTTTTCGGGGTACTCCGTAGGGAGTACGGAGTACTCGACGTGAAATGCCCTATGTCGGTGTGCCCGCTACCGACTCGGCAACAGGTTGAAGCCCTTGTATGAGAGTGGTTATTCGCCAGATTTTTGCCAGCTACATGCACTACGGCCATTCCGAGGGGCTAGTCTACATTGGGATGGGCTTGCATCGGCTAATCCTCCCTATCGTCTGTTCTTTCGACTCGTATGCTCAGCCCACCCCACTAGTTCTCTTTTCTGCTCTTCACAAATCATGGCTCTGCAGTTGGCCATTATTTCCTCTTTCTCGGCGTCTTTGTGGATCACAGGAGCTGAAAATGTTTGCGTGTGGCGCAGCTGTGGACAATACATCACTCCTTACGGAATACCTACATACGTTGTTGAGTCTCTTAGAAGGACAGCGATGAGATCCCTCACATGTCCAACTAGAATTTAGTAAGGCAATCCGTTGAGTGGATCCGCCAACTGACTCTAAGGCTCCCTTTTTTGATACACTTCAGTACATGGTTGGAAAAGAGGCCTCACACCGGCTACATGCATGCTGACGGTATTTACGGAGTACTCCGTATAGGGATTCTATTGCTATAAGCCTGGGTACCTGATCGACTGTATAAGGGCTGCGTGTTTTAACCTCATAGACAGCCTGAATATGTTCAAATAGGATTTATTTCTTTGGTAATTCAAAGTATAGCACGTAGAAGAGGTAATTCTAACACAATCTGCACAATCATCCAAATAGCTAAGCCACAATCACCATTAAGCTCGGTGCAAAAAATTGGAAGACAGGTTGGGATACATCTTGTTGGCTGTCAGATTGGCACTTTCCAGCTTTCCCAGCAGAGATTTAGCCAACCGCTCGATGCGTTGTTTGAAAAAGCCCTCTGGATCATGACCGCCAATATCAAGTCCCAAAGGACCCGAAACTTGTTTCAGGTGTGCAGATCTCGTGCATTCAATCTGCCAATCGCGTGCAAATTGCTGGATCATGCTGAAGAATTCCGGCGCCGTGACTTCTCCATGGTCGATACCGGCCTTTCTTACTTGCTCAGCTGCTCCTTCGGGCGCGTCGCGGCGCATGCGTTCCAGAAGTTCCCCAATTGTCCAGTGAACATATAGTTCGGCACTGGCATGGACTATACCAGTGGTTCCTTCGGCGAGATGGGCTAGACAAGTACGCGCTACAAGATCAACGGGGATCTCATTGCAGGCAACATTTGAGGGTAGTTTCGGCTCGAGCTTGAGGGGTCCATACTCCGAGTCGCCCATGAGAATCTGGAAAAACGAGTGTACCGGTATTGCACCATCACTGCCGTATAACGGGAAAGGTTCCTCAATAGCAGGGGAGATGAGACACGGGCGCACTATCAGAATGGGAAATTTATGGTCTCCACCCACAAGCAAACATTCCGCCAGGTGCTTAGCCAATGCATAGGGGGCTGCGAATTGTCTGGTATAAGAAGACTCTCCTGTAACAAGAATCTTCCCTAGTTCCTGGACTGGATCTTCGTATAACGCATAGACTTGCTCTTTGACCACCCCGTCCGGGAGGAAGCTGGTGACAAATGTTGTTGATACATGGAGGAAGCGCTCCAACTTAAGGAAGGTATCCAGTAGAGCAGTTAACGTTAAGTGGGCAGTGCAATTGATTGGTATTGTTTCTGCGAGATTTCGGGACAAAGCGATGTCTCCAGCAGCATTGATCACCGCGGTGACCTCATTCTGAAGGCGTGATAGGTTGGCACATGATAAACCGAGGTTAGGCTGGGTCATATCACCAAGGACAAACTGTATCTTGCAAGTTGCGATAATTTCTTCCACTTGCTCTGGCATTGACTGTTCCCATGCTTCAATTGCCCTTTGGACGGACCCTCGCGCTAGCACGAATATTTTTGCCGTTGGAAGCTGGATAGCTAGCTTGTATAACAAGCAGCCGCCGAGATTGCCGGTTGCTCCTGTAAGGAACACAATTTGTCCTCTATACCATTCGCTGTCTGCCATCATGGAAGGGCCGTGTGTCTCTTCTTAATCGAAATTTGTAATAATTCTTGTAACGTAGAAAGAGTAGTATCGACGAATATCGGCAAGGAGGGTTGAATGAGGCCAGGTGTAAATCAGTCGTTATTAATGCAGAGCTGAATAATAAAACTATTAAGCAATGTTTACCGAGTATGGCCCTCTGTATTACTGATCTTAAATCAGGTCTAATGGTTTCTGGTTATTCTCGCTTTTGCTCTTGATTTCTCAGGTACTATTAAGCGCGAAGAAGCCGACATCCTTATATGGATATGTGCAAACGGAGATGGAAATTCGACCGGTCTATGCGCTGAAGAAGATGTGATTTCCTCCATACGGCTGCATCGTTAAGTGCAGAGGCATCGCTCATAGCACCATGGCTCCGCTCGGACTACGAGTATCGGGTTGCAACGGCTCAATCGGCTTAAAGGCTATCTTGGGAGAGGTTTTGGGTCGCAGTGCACTATGGCCCAGAGCATTCTACAGCCAAATGTACTTTTTATATACCGCATCGAGACTCAGTGTGTGAGCAGGGGTGGGTTACTTTGGACACCTAAATGGTCCACGGGTAGTAGATTGGGTTGGACACCCGGAGGGTTGTGGATCGTTTTGAGCCGAGCTGTCTTGGCTTTTATACTTGATTCCTATATTATCTTGTCTGAAAATCGGAATAGAAGGCATTCGAGGGATCCGTTGAAGACATCTGTGCTGGGCTTTGGATTCTCCCTTGCATTGCAAGGAAATATCTTACAATAAGAATATCAGTTCCATTAGAGCTCGTATGAACATGTCCCGCTCATTTCGTATATGACAGCAAATAAACTCTTTCTATTTGGCAATGAATAGATTCATTCTAGCTCAACGACTAGTTGTGTTGCAGTTACACACATGCGGGCCTGGGTTGGAGTAGTGTTGAACAATCTTGACAGGCCAATGGCTTTCCCTCGGCACGCTGGAGATAGTTCGTCGTTATCTCTCTTTACGATATTTAGCAATACTACGAGGGGTCTTTGGGTACATCCCATTCATCCGATAGCGGCAGATCGCGGAGGGAATGGGGCCCCTGCAGGTCGGAGAACCGGTGTTTGGAGGTACATATTATGTGTAGCTTTGATCAAAATCACCAATTTGCTCGTCAATTTGATAGCTCCCGATCAAATCCAATCTTGTAATATCAAAGCTCAAGCACTAGCTCCATGGTAGATTGACCCACTCTGCAGCCATCTTGATCTTGTGCCAGTTTTCCATCATTCGACCAAAAATGAACTCGACAACTGGCCAAGGACAACCATCATGCAGGAGCGGCGAGGAGTCAGCGGAGCCCATTGCTGTCATTGGTATGGCAATGCGGCTACCAGGCGGTGTTCGATGTGGTGATGAGTTTTGGGAAATGCTCGTGAACAAGCGAGATGGTTTTTGCGAGGCGCCTCCCTCGCGCTGCACTAGAGAGGCATCGAGTAGCTCTGATTGCGGAAATTTGGGCGAAGCGAGGAAAGGCTTCTTTCTGCAAGAGGACCCAGCTTATTTTGATACTGCTTTCTTCGCCACTCCTCCCCACGAGGCGGCACGCCTAGACCCCCAGCAGCGACTCTTGCTAGAAGTGGTCTGGGAATGTCTTGAGAACTCCGGGGAAACGAAGTGGCGCGGTAAAAAGATTGGTTGCTTCGTTGGTGTCTTTGGAGAGGATTGGCTGGAGATGTCGCATAAAGACCCGCAGCATCTTAACCAGGTTTATCCCATTGGCACCGGTGGGTTTGCTCTAGCAAACCAAGTGTCGTATCGGTTTGATCTCATGGGCCCGAGGTGAGTGCGGATCGCTCTTTTTATGTTGAAAGAAGAAACCCTGACCTTTTTTTAGTATGACCCTTCAAACAGCTTGCTCTTCGTCTCTGGTGTGCCTGCACGAGGCCTGTCAAGCACTTCGATCTGGAGAGTGCTCGACAGCCCTGGTGGGCGGAACAAGCCTTATATGGAGCCCAACCATGACAGATGCCATGACAAAAAACATGGTCCTGTCACCGAGTGGTATCTCTCATACCTTTGATGCCGAGGCAGATGGTTATGGTCGGGGCGAAGGGATCAACTGCCTATATCTCAAACCGTTGGGAGATGCTCTTCGAGATAATGACCCTGTCCGCGCTGTCATCCGCTCGACAGTCACAAATCATGACGGCAAGACGCCAAACTTTTCTCAGCCATGTCCTACATCTCAAGAAAGGCTGATTCGACAAGCATATCAATTTGCGGGGATTGACGCTATCCACGACACACCTGTTTTTGAGTGTCATGGGACTGGGACAGCCGTCGGAGATGTGATTGAAGCAACAGTTGTTGCAAAGATGACACAGAAAGAAGAGACATACATCACTGCGGTCAGTTTATCACCACTTATAGTGCTTTGATCAAGCTCGTACTCACATTCATAGGTCAAACCAAATGTTGGTCACTCGGAGGGGGCCTCAGGGATCACCAGCATCATCAAATCCATCTTGGCACTTGAACACAAGACCATCCCACCCAACATCCACTTCAAGACCCCCAACCCCAGTATTCCATTCACAGAAGGGAACCTGCATGTTCCCATAGAGCCGACTCCATGGCCTATCAACAGGCCCGAAAGGATCAGTGTCAACTCGTTCGGTATTGGCGGATCCAACGCCCATGCCATTCTAGAGTCCGCACCAAAAATTAGTTCAACATACCATATAAGATCATCAAGCACCTCCAATCCCCAGCTTTTGGTTGTGTCTGCACATACTGCAGATGCCCTTCGCAAACGTATAGGCCAGATCACCAACTATGCTAAGACTCATCCAGACCGCCTACATGACCTTGCACATACTCTTGCTGTGCGAAGATCGCATTTTACCCACCGAGCTTTCGCGGTTCTGCAACCAAATAGCTCCGTTTCAGATGATGCAGCATTCTCAAGCTTCAACGTCACGGCCCCGAACATCATTTTTGTGTTTACGGGCCAGGGAGCCCAATGGCCCGGGATGGGCCAATGGCTTCTGCGATGCTTCCCACAATTTAAACAGGATATTAAAGAAATGGACGAAACTCTGCAGCAACTACCCGACAGCCCAAATTGGCTATTGCATGGTCAGAGCAATGACTCCTACCCCTGGAATTGTGGGACCACCTTGACTAACGTATGTGCTAGATGAATTGAGCCAGGAGACTTCAGTCTCTCGGATACATGAAGCCGAATTTTCTCAGCCGCTGTGTGTCGCGCTTCAGATTGGTGTGGCCACTATCCTCAGGGGCTGGGGTATTGAGCCATCCACAGTTGTCGGGCATTCCAGCGGAGAAATCGTCGCCGCATATGCCGCCCGGGCCATCTCAATGAAAACTGCCATCATTTTAGCATATTATCGAGGGAAGGTCGCAAAGCCACTAGAGGGTTTAGGTGCTATGGTGGCGGTCGGCCTCACTCCGGATGAAGCGACGCCGTACCTGGCCCCTGGAGTGGTTATTGCTTGCCACAACAGTCCACATAGTGTCACCCTGTCAGGGAACAAGGACTCGATTGACTGTGCAGTCAAAAACATTAAAACAGCGAGTTCAGATACACTCTGTCGACGCCTTCCAGTCAAAATAGCCTATCACTCGGGTAAGCTGGCCTTTCCCATCCTGTTCTGGTACGCTTAGGCTTACAGTGATAAGACCACATGAAAGATATTGGATCCGAGTATGAGAAATGTATCTCTAGTCATATTGAACATCATCAAGATATGCTCCCGTTCCTCTCTAGCGTCACCGGTCAGACAATTACCGACCCTCGCCAACTGGATGCATCGTACTGGCGACAAAATCTGGAATCCCCAGTTCTGTTTACAGAGGCCATTCAAAGTGTCCCTGCGAATGGAACTCCCGTTTTCCTAGAGATCGGGCCACACTCAGCTCTCGGTGCCCCTCTGCGACAAATCTTCCGGACTTTGGCCGGGAGATCGCCAGTCTATATCCCCACATTGTTCAGATACGACGAGGATGTTCAGAGCCAGCTTCTAAGAACAGTCGGACAAACCTATGCCTGCGGCGTAGCTCTCGACTGGCCAAGCATAACGGAGCCAGCCAAGACGTTGACAGATCTTCCTCCTTATCCTTGGCAACATGACCGAGCGTACTGGAGCGAGAGTCGATTGAGCCGGGAATGGAGGCAACGCAAATTTCCGCATCATGAAATCCTCGGTTCTCGAGTGGTTGACACAACCGACCATCAACCTTATTGGCGCAACTTAGTGACATTGGACAACGTACCATGGCTATTGGATCATGTAATTCAAGGAACCGTCACATTCCCCGGTGCCGCATTTGTCGCAATGGCGGGCGAGGCGGTTCAACAGTTATACCCAGACAACGATAGTTATTCCGTGCGGCACACGACGTTTTTGACGCCACTCCTGTTTCACGAGGGCGATCAGATCGAGATAGTTACCAGCCTCAGTCCAATAGAAGTCGCGGACAGGGTTTCATCCGGTTGGTATGGTTTCAAAATCATGGTTCATGACGGAGAACGATGGACGATCCACTGTCAGGGTCAAGTAAGACCCGGGATTGACCATCCCCCAGAGGCCGTCCCAATCTCCTCCTATGAGCGGAATGTGCCATCTGAAGGGCTATACCGTGTGCTCCATAGGAGCGGGATAGAGTATGGTACTCAGTTCCAGGGGCTGGAGCGGGTTACAGCAGATCCCACTGGGCCGAGAGCTACCGCGACTGTTTTGGGTAATCGCGGGCTCCCTGGGAGCAGGTACTCCTTACATCCAACTGCAATAGATCAATGTCTTCAACTTATGGGCGTTGCTTGCTCTCAGGGCTTATTGCGCCATCTCACAACTATTTATGTTCCGGCAGTGATAGATTCCTTGTTCGTCGGATCAGGAGGCTCACCTATGCTAGCGAGCGCCCGAACCACTAGCGGTGCACGCGATGGGCAGATGGGAGAAGCCATCGCCATGATCGACGATCGCGTCGTTCTATCTCTTCAAGGAACCTATCTTTTCGCCTTAGAAAATGACCACATAGATTCCGGTGCTGGGACTGCGTCCTCGTTGAGCCATCTTGAATGGATACCGGACATTGAGCTTTTGCCCTTGGCAGCCCTCCTATCAACGCCACAAGACTTCACTTCACAAGCCATGAATATCAAAGCCGTGGGCCAACTGAGTGCGCTTTATATTCTGGAGACAGCTGACAAAATTCGACACATCGACTCATCATCAGCACACATTGCAAAATGGAAGAACTTTGTATTGCAGGCTGCTCACAGTATGAAAACAAGTGGACAACAGTCTATATATCCTGAGTCGTCAAAATGGGCATTTATGAGCTCCCAGGAGAGACAGGACCTTATAGGGAAGGTTCTAAGCGAAACGAAGTTCACCTTCGACGCTCCAATCGCGGACTGCATGCAGGTTGTCTTCGAAAACTGCACCGCATTCCTATCCGGAGAAAGCAATTCGCTCGAAGTCCTTATGAAGGACAATCTTTTGTATCGATTCCATGCGGCACACACACAATATGCTGATTGGAGGCCGTTTCTACCGTTACTATGCCATGCTAACCCAAGCCTACGAATACTTGAGATCGGTGCAGGTACTGGCTCTGCAACAGCCATGGCCCTAAAGCTTCTCAAATCCGCCAGTGGGGCACGTATGTATCACCAATATGTTTTCACTGATATCTCTTCGGGTTTCATGACCGCGGCAATGGAGGAATTTTCCAATGAGCAATGCATGGAATACAAAGTCCTTGATATAACTCTAGATCCACTCGAGCAAGGGTTTGAAGCTCAGAGCTTTGACTTGATCATCGCGTCAAATGTGAGTTTTTTGCTATATTATCTGCGCACGACATTGTTTGACATGTCTTTTTCCAACAGGTTCTCCACACCACTCCCCGTTTACAAGTAACACTATGTCATGTGCATCGTCTACTCAAGCCCACCGGGCGTTTCTTACTCCATGAGATTAGCCCAGGTATGTTTCAAACCTCAGAATTGGATCATTAGACTGACTGGGCTATAGAAATCTTGGCTGCAGATTTCACGATGGTAATTACCAGTCCCTTTCACCCCCCGGTATCTATTTTTCTTATATATTTTACAGGGCGTATTCAGCGGCTGGTGGCTTGGCGAGGATAGTGATCGAGCAGAGAAACCGTACATCTCACCAGAGAGATGGGATCGCGAGCTGCGAGCTGCAGGGTTCACTGGCACGGATGTGTCGGCTTATGATAACAAACCTCCGTACCATGTATCCGCGACCATGTTGTCGCGACCGGTAGACCAGATCTCCATTCCTACTGATATCTGGTTACTCACTCGGGGTCCTACCCCATGCCAGTGGGCGAGTGATGTTGAGTCCTTGTTCCGCAGTCAAGGCTACATCACTAACTGGACTACCTTACACCAAGCGCCACCTCAGGGCAAATTCGTCCTCTCATTGGTAGATCTTGAACAACCTCCAATAGGTGCTCTATCCAAGGACGACTACGAGGTATTTCAACGCTACATAGAGCAAGCACAAGAATGCCGGATTCTCTGGATCACGCAGTCAACTTCCCATACCTGCTTGGATCCTTCGTTTGCTTTCATTCATGGACTCGCACGTACCCTACGAGCAGAACTGCTACTTGATATCTCAGTCCTTGAGCTTCCTGCATGGGACGCGGCGAGTGCAAAGGCAGTAATACAGGTCTACGAGAAGATACAAAGATCCAGAGCGAACTCCCTTCCTGACCCAGAGTACGAATTCGCACTTCACGATGGAGAGATAAAGGTCGGTCGGTATCATTGGACACCACTTATCGAGCAACTCGCAAGTCCATCTCGACCTGAAGCATCTCGAAAGCTAACTCTCACATCATACGGCCTTCTGGATACACTATATTGGGCTGAGAAAGATCCGTGCTATGATCTGAGTGCTGGACAGGTTGAAGTTGAGATGGACTACATAGGGCTAAATTTTAAAGTTGGTGTTCTTCCGTTCTTCTTTCCAGTTTTATTTCGAAAGCCCAGCTAAGGGATTCCAGGACATGATGGTCGCAATGGGCTTCTTTGGAAATAAAGAAGATCTTGGTCTTGAGGGCACTGGTATCGTGCTTCAAGTTGGACATGACGTGACGGACATCACAATCGGAGACCGTGTTGTGCTGATGCATTCTGGGGTACTGGCCTCGAACGTCGTGGTGCCTCGAGAAGCGTGTATCAAGCTACCAGAGGGGTTGTCGATGGCAGACGCTGCCACGATGCTGACAGCCTATGTCACTGTGCTCTATTCCCTGATTGAAATCGGTGCTTTGAAGAAGGGCCAGGCAAGTTAATATTCACTTTCTCAGCTGAAGATAGTGACTAATAGGATTGCAGTCTGTTCTCATCCACTCCGCTTGTGGAGGTGTTGGACTAGCCGCTCTTCAAGTATGCCGGGCTGTTGGTGCCGAGGTAACACCCAACTTCCATTGCTGCCAGGGACGTTTTGGCTAATGATATGTCAATCTAGATTTATGCTACTGTCGGCAACGATAAAAAGGTGGCGTATTTGATCGAGAATTTTGGCTTACCGCGGGAACATATCTTCCACTCTCGCAACACCTCCTTCCAACCAGATCTCATGCGTGCGACAGCTGGAAGGGGGGTTGATATAGTGCTTAATTCACTGTCAGGGAACCTATTACACGCTTCTTGGGAATGCGTTGCAAAGTTCGGACGGATGGTTGAATTGGGGAAACGTGACTTCATCAGTCATGGCATGCTGAATATGAGCATGTTCGAGGATAATCGAGCATTTTTCGGTGTTGACCTCGCACAGGTTTGCAAGGAGACTCCAGAGATCCTTACGAGGTGTGTTGCAATTGAAACTCTCAGTTACACGGGGTAACTAACACATTACAGCACCTTGGCAATATTTTCAGACTGGTGTCGTCAAGGCAAAATTGCACCTATCACACCTGTCAAAACATTTGACGCGGTCGACGTTGTCAGCGCGTTCCGATATATGCAAGCTGGCACCCACCTAGGCAAGATATTAGTTCATATGCCGCCCACCGTGGACAAGTTGCCATCCCCAATGGTAAAAGCACATCCATCGTTCCGATCTGACGCTGCCTATCTGCTCATTGGTGGGCTCGGTGGCATTGGACGGTCTGTCTCAACCTGGATGGTCGAGCAGAATGCGCGAGAGCTCATCTTCCTCTCCCGATCGGCTGGTAAGTCCGAAGAGGATCAAGCATTCATCTCCGAACTTGAAGCGCAAGGCTGTCATGTCATTTGCGTGGCAGGTAATGTCACCAATATCAAGGACGTGAGGGAGGCCGCTTCTGCATGTACTAGGCGCCTGGCTGGTGTCCTTCAGATGGCAGTTGATTTGAAGGTGAGGAAATTGATCGGAGTTCACCTACACCACTATATGAGGCCCATCGATTAATCTCACATATCACGATAGGACCGTTTATTCCTGCAGATGAGCCACCAAGAATGGGAGGATGCACTGGCTCCAAAAGTAGCGGGAACCTGGAACCTGCATCATGTCACATCACAACACACACTGGATTTCTTCGTCGTTTTTGGCTCCGTTGCCGGGGTGTGTGGCAATACTGGTCAAGCAAATTATGCCGCAGCAACCACATTTTTGGAAGCATTTACCCGATATCGACGGCAACTAGGCCTGCCTTCTTCTATCTTGCACCTCGGAGTAGTTGGAGACGTGGGTGCTGCAAGTCGGAACACTCGCTTCCTTCAGAGAGTACAATCAATCGCGCTTCACGTACTTCATGAAGCTGAAGTGATTGACGGACTCGCTGCAGCAATCAAAATATCATCAGTCAGGTCTTCTAGTATTACAGGGGCCATTTCAATGGGACTATCGCACACCAGACGCCGTGCCGATCTTCCAAAAACAATTTTCCTTGGGTCGCGGGACGCCCGATTTTCGATTTATCCCAACCTCGAGTCTGCCGATGCGGGCATTGGTGGAGATCAATCGTCTCAGGCAAATGGGTTGAAGATCCTTCTCGCTCAGATCCAGGCAGATCCCTCGCTGACGAGCAAGAGGGAGACCGAGATCGCCTTGATTGTAGAACTAGGGAAGTTCATCAATCATAATCTCACAGGACAGACGCAGGAGCAGGAACAGGATTCGGGAGATGATACCGAAGCGATTGCTGCCATGGCGGTGGATTCTCTCATGGCCATCGAGGTTAGAAATTGGCTTCGAAGGTCGCTGGGCGTGGAAATCCCTACGGTTGAAATTAACCGGGCAGGGACACTGGGAGGCTTGGTGAAGGTGGTCTTGAAGGGACTGAGGGAGAAGTATGACCAACGTGCTACCTAATCTGCTGCAGGGCAGTTGTAATTTGATATAGCACTGATACATACCTTTGGTGGCAATGAGAATCGAGGGTTGGCGCATTGAATAAAGCTCTGGTCATTAATCTTCTCCTGAGATACTGGTCTGTTTGCCAAAATCTGGACCTATTGAGGTGTATCTATCACGGCCACTTCCTTCGATACTTTATCCTCTACTGAGGAATATCTCAAGCTGATGAAATTGCTCTGTGGTGTCTTGAGAGAGCTTGAAGCATCTTGGCTCGGCAAATGAGTCTCTCTATTCATCATAAAATGCCGTTCATTTAGTTGCATGATCGCATCGTACAAATGAAATCAGCACATTGCTTCGTCGCATATGTCCATCCAGCTATCCTCCGTCGCCTTTGACGCTAATTCTCGCTGCGAGAGGAAAGACAACAGAGATAAAGGTACTTATGATCACTTGACAGCTGCATCGAGGGGCTTTCCACCTTTATTTGTGCGCAGAAGCCAAAGGATGACCGTCTTTGAATCTTTCCCGGGACTTTACAGTGCCTCGGGTCCCCTCAGGTCATCAGGATTATTCTTTCTTCCGATCACGCGTCTCTGCGATGATCTCTTTCTCTCCTTGGCGACTCTCCATCCTTAGTGCTCGTCAGTTCACCATCATCACCCTGCTGCTTTTGGACAGTTGGTCCGACCAAGGCAATCTCAAGAGGAAACTAGATCTCCTCGCACGCCATCTTCATCCGTGCAAGTGAACGTTGCATTTGTAGTCGAGCGGGATGCTTTTCGTCGGAAATACTCGCTTGTCTTTCAAGCGCATGCTCAAGCAGCTTTACTCCCCGCTTAATCTGTCCATCTGCTTCATATGCCTCCGCGAGTGCAAGCTGGGCCACCTGTAGTTTATTGGGCTGTCCTTCTTCCTCCTCTTGTATTGCAAGTATCTGCTGGAGCAACTTCACTGCCCGCGTGGTCTGACCATCCGCTCCATACAGCGTCGCCAGGAGATGTTGAGATTGTAGTCGGGATTGGTGCCTTTCGCCCTGTGTTCTTGCTCTTGTAGCGACGATGCCCTCCATTATATTCAAGGCCCGCTTAATCTGTCTGTCCGCGTAATACAATTCTGCGAGGCTTTCTTCAAGCGCCAGCCGTGCGCTGTTTTCTTCGTTACGCGTGCTCGCGCTCACTTCAACCACATGCTCGAGTAACTTCACCGCCTGTTCCATTTGTCCGTTTGATCCATACGAAGTCGCGAGATCATTCTCGAATTTTAGTCGCGTAAAGTTCTTTTCATCAAGTGTGCTCTCGCTCACTTGAACCACATACTCAAGGAGCCTCATTGCCCGCATCTTCTGGCCATCTCTTTCATATGCTGACGCAAGTATACTCAGAGACCACAGTCGATTTGTGTGGCCTTCATTGAGTGTGTCTTCGTTTCTTGCTACAATCTTTTCGAGTTGCTGTATTTCCTCCTTTGTCTGCCCGTTTGCCCTGTACGCATCTGCAAGCTCGTGTTCAGACATTACTCGACGACGATCTCCTTCGTCGAATTTGCTCGCTTGCACCATGACTACACGCTCGAGTAGCTCCACTCCCTTTTTGGTCTGGCCTTCATCTTGATATGCCCCTGCGAGATCATTCCAAACTTCTTGCCATCGATCATTTCCGGAATGATGAAGTTCTCCCCAGCTGGCTGCCTTTTCCAAGAATTCAACACCCTTCTTGGGCCGACCATCGGTCAGAAAGCATAGACCAATTTTCCAAAAGAGGTTATACCTCTCATCCATGTCTCGCGCGTCCTTCTTTCGAAGAATCTCCAGAGCATGTGGTAAGTATGGTCTCCATATTTCTCGGTCTCCATCGTGACTGAACGGGAAAATCCTATCCACAGTCCGAGTTGCCCTCTCAATAGTCTGCAATTCATTGCCTTCCTTCTGAACCCATAATCTCGTCGCTAGCTGCACAAGAACGTGGATATCAAGGATATGTTTGTCCTTTTGTTTGGTCACGAATGAGTATCCACACAGTGTGCCAATTGCAGATTCTACTTGCGCTTCCGATTCCCCCAACGGCAGCAAAGACCGTGGGATTGCCTTAGGCTCAATGCAAGACATGAATTGTAGTATTTCAGCAGCTATCGGGTCCAAACTCTTGATCTTTTCAAATGTTATACGCCATGTGATTGCAATGGCATTCTGCAGTTGGGGGTAACGGGTGTCATCATGGAAGTGCCAGCTCGCAAGACTTGATTTGTCTTTGTCAGTGCCCTGCATAAGCTCAAGGTAACGCGAAATCGATATATCCGCGCTAGAAATGTACGAGGCAGCCTGTTGAATGGCCAAAGGCAAAAAGTTCAGTTCTTCGAGGAGACTCTTTGTCATTTCTCGGTCTTCGAGCAGGTCATCTGTGACAATCTTCTCGAAGAATGCAGTCGCTTCCTCCATCTGCATCTGTGGGACTTCAATGACATCTCTAGCTCTCGTGAAGGACTGCGCCACCCGCCGGAAACGGGTGGTGAGTAAGAGCACACCGGACTCGTTGGCCGGAAAATACTTGCACAGTTTTCCTGGCGTATCGGGATTTCCAAAAACAAGGTCTATATCATCTGCATTGTCCACAATGAAGATCCAGGGTCCAGCTTGCTTGGAACTAAGGTATCGGTGAACTGCCTCCATATCGGTTTCGCTGTTTGAGGTCTTGAGAATGGCAAGTTCCTTCACAATGCCTGTACAGGCCTGTTGGAAGCTAGCTTCGCTGAATGCAGGGACCCAAAAGACCGAATGCCCTTGGAAGTGGTTCTTTACCCAATAGGCATATTGCAAGGCAACCTGCGACTTGCCAATGCCTCCTAGCCCGTAAAGTGCCACTTTAGAGGTACTCTTCTGGAGAAATAACTTTTGTTGGAGCTCAAGCAGTATGGTGTTCCGTCCAGTGAATTCAGCATTTGCAAGAAAGGGAATCATGTAGTAGACCTTGGGCCGGTCTGAAGTCGAGTCAGTAATTTGATCAATATTCTTTATGCAAATTCTGTTGAACTAACTAGTATGTGGCTCACTATCCTCACCTGCTGTCGCCGTAAAACTCTTGACAAATTTCTCAATCAGCCTCGACTTCTCAGAAAGATAATTGCTTGTGTGGGCAGAGATCTTGCTGGCCTTCTCCCAATCTGATAAAGTGATATCCTCAAGACCGCGCTCCACATTGAATCGAAAATACTGGTCATCGTCGCCGAACTGTTCGTCCAAGCTGGCGGCTACCTTGCGAGATGACGTAGCCATTTGTTTCAATGCATTGAGGATTGACATCCGCGTGTCTTTAATTTCAACCACATCCCCAAGGCCAGTCCCGATGCTTAGAATCCGAAGCCTTTGGCGTCCAGGAAATGCCTGTTTAGCCTCCGCTATGAGCTTATCACATGGATTGTTGTACCCGAATCCAGCGTCAATGAACTCGATCTCATCCCGGCCAACTTTTATCGGCTTGAAAAAGGTTGTCGCAGCCGATGTAGCCCGAGCCACCTCCCAAATAGCGCAGCCGTTGAAAGCTATCGATGTGTCGTATGTCTTGAAGAGTGTAGGTCCAGTGTCGACGTTAGATTTTGTGATGGCAAAAACAACACTATATCCCTTAGTGATTTTCAACACAGTCAATAAGACATACCTACGTTTTTGTACAGGCTTGGTCGCGGAATGGCAGATTGGAGTGCTGGCACGAGCCTTTTGGAAGTCCCTCGCTCCGTCGAGCTACACATTCTTTATCCGTGCAGAAATCTCTTACGGTCTGTTTGATGGCCTCCTCCAGGGCTTGGGCAGAGAATGCCCCCTTTGACCGTGCAGGCAAAATGGCATTTCGTTTGGGTGTGAAGGCCTGTCGCGCAACCTTTTTATACGCCCGAATGCATTCGTCCACGCTCATTCTCAGTCGACCTAACATGATGGCAATGATGCTTATAGTTCGTTAACATCCTTAGCTGGTAAAGAGGATGTCGAGTATTTACCCTCCGGTGCTTGTACCCCCAATTAAGTCGAAATGCTCACACGGGAGAGGGACATGATCGAGCTGATGAATATCGCGGATGGTTTCCATGATCCGTTCTAAGATGAGGAGACTTGAAATTCCACGGATCCCACCACCATCTAGAATCAAATATCGTTAGCTGGTCTCTACTGTGTTCGCGCTTACCCGAGGAATGGATATACGAACCAAGCGAAAGGATCCTGAGTGGCTCGGAGGCCGCTGGGGACATTCCCGGTTCCATGTCTGTCGTCAATATTCACAATAGTCAAATATGTTCGGAGAGTTGAGCTAGAGGAATTCAGAGTATTGAATCTTTGTCTGATCAAGAAGGTATATGGGGAACGAAGTAGCTGGCATTGTAAGCGCTAGTTCCCCGAGGCCAATCCCCCGCGCTGACCCCACCAGCCATTCAAAGGACGAATCAAAGTGTCGAAGATGCTACTAACCCAGCTGCTTTGGGCTTAGACTTCCGAGCCTCGGTTATATAGAGTCGATCTGTGAGGTCGCAAGAGGACTGGATCTCTGTCCCTATCGCTTCAGTGTGAACTTATATATTTTTTCCGACTCCCCAGGAATGCTCTGGACTTGGTTTGGCCTTGAAGAGACATACTCTCGACCTTTTTCATCTGGATACATGTCATCTAAATTGAGTGCAGGAGTGAATGGAGACAATCGATTCACCACTGGAAGTTCTAGCCAGGTACTACTACCTATGGGCTATAAGAAGCCTATGCATCATTGACTAATTTGACGAATCCCTACTTTATAGCGATTTGAAACAGTCTAAGAGCAGTCGTCCGGTGCTCTAAGGCCTTCAAGTGGGATCTCGTGAGGATTTGGAAAAGCGAGTGTCTGTCCGGGTATGAACCTTGGGCACTATCTGGTGTGCTTCTGTTGTGAGGTCGTTAGCCTCGGTCTTTTCTGCATTGCCCACAGCAATCCCTCGATCCGAGGCCGTTTCATGCCGTATATGGTATACCGTACGCATATCGCTCCCTGTAATCCTTTCTTCCAAATTAAATTGTTTAGATATGCAATCAGAAGACCAGTATCATGATCCCAAGCTAACTCCAATATTCGAAAAGATGATTTCCCCCGAACCTACTAGATATTCTTCACAGGCACTTTCAAGTGACGGATCATCATCCAGTGAAATTCTACTCCGTAGATGTGATAATATTCTGCTTCCCTTAGGCCCTGCTTTCGATAAGGATCAGAAACACACCGGACAATCGCTTGAAGGAGCGAGTTTCTGCGGTTGACATTTCCAGACGGCACCAGTGGTGACCTGCAATATACTACGCAGTGGCTGACTTGAAACAAGCATTTAGGAGTGACAGCTACAAAGTCAATTAGACTCGGTACGGGATTGCCTAGCTCATTATTTCAGAACAGAGTCGATATTGATGCCTGAAGATCATCTTCCTGCCTGAATGATATCACATCTGTTAGTTCACTCTCAAGTGTTAGTTGTTGAAACTGTTTGGACCATCAACCGTGTGTTATTCTTTCAATTTCCTATTATTTTGAAACGATATCTTGCATTCTCCCTCTCATCCGCCCAATAGCCCCAGCCGCTTAGCCTCCACGACCGATGAGGCAGTACTCCGTATATCCCTTCCCATCTGGGGAGCCCACGCAAGCTCCGTGTGCCACTGCCAAGCCTGCAGGAGCGCAAACTCCAGCGGCTACACGCGAACCCCTTCCGATTGCTGTGCCAAGACCTGAATGACAACGCCAGTCGCGTCGCTAACCTGCATTCGAGTCACAACGGGGGGCCGGATGCTTGTATCCTCCGAAACATTGCGATGGCGATACTCACATTCCCTGGACACTTCCCAAGTGACACAAGCAACTTCTTTATCCGGCTTCTCCCTTCTCGCAACAACTTCGTACTCCGCAATGAAGTCAGTGGGTGGCCAAATCGACGTTCCTGTTCTACCACACCGGTTCCTCGCCGAGCGACAACGAAGATGGATCGCCCAACCCCCTCAAATTAGATATTCATGAATCAACACTGGACAGCTCAACCCGTTACTTCATATGTTATCTTTGCATTCAGGGTTACCCCAGCCAATATCAAAAATGCCCGCTATAGGGCATCCGCGTGTGATACTGACAAGCCCACCCAGCCATCATCCAATCAGTGCCGATCGATCCCACACTTGCCCTGTAGATCCTCCATTATCCTACTTACAAGCGAGTCAAGAATAGATCCTGGCTCGCGCGTCTGTACTAATGCAATTCCCCACGTCCATGAAGCTATAAGACATTGATGGAGCCTAATATCCGGTTGAGTTTCTTTTTCTGATTTCAATATCTAGATACCCATCCAGTTTCCCCTTCTAGGCCTTCGGTTCAGCTACCAAGGTTGGTTCTACACCGTTTGTTTTTTTCCCTTGCATACTGTGCGTTTTCTCCCCGCCTCGTTTGTTGTCATGCTCGACTCGGTCGCTAATACCTCTTTTGTTTGTCCCAGATACTCTATTTCCACATCTTTCCAGTTTCTCCATCCCAAAATGCGCGCTTCTATCATGATCCTTGGCTTCCTTGCGACTCTTACCGTTGCGCTTCCTAATGCTTTCCCCGAGGCTGCGATGGCATGCGGATCTGTGAGTCTGCTCGATATTTCGGATGAAATCACGAGGTATTTGCTAAGACAATTGACAGACTACCATGGCCTGTATTGCTGCCAACTGTGGTCACGAGGGATGCTGCTGCCAAGGACTTACTTGTTCATCCAATGGTGTAAGTATCTTTCAATCCCAAGGGAAGAAGTCCCAAGCATGACAATGTAGCTTGGTGGATTTTTCGTCAATATACTAATGATAATCATAGACTTGCACTACACTTTGAGGTGCCTTTCTCTTGGGTTTCAATGTGACAAAATACAGTGCTATCCCATTCTGGGTTCATTCCCAACGCCATCAATTGTATTTAACCACTCGTTAATGGTATATAATTCTGGAATGATACAAATTCTGACGCTTTACGCCAATCGCACGATACATGAGCTTTTGCTGGCCTTGTTCTTATCTACTACAGCTCCTTGTATCTGAACCTGCTTCGCTCTCCTATCATCTACGACAGTGGAAATATCATTCTCCCAAGTTATCCAAATTGATTTGGTTCGGTATATAGTTGTAGTAACAATCAGCATTATCCACGCCAAGCAAGAACCGGTAAAACGTCTCATGAACGCACACACTCCACAATAGTTGACAGCGATAGCAGACAGCGAACAAAACAACCCCCAAGGGATTCATTGCATCATAAGTCCCCAGCCACACTCTCCATGTTTTAGATTCCAGAAATGTTGTTGGAGCATCCACGACCAAATCTCTCAGGTTTAAGCCTCCAAGTCAGCTTCAACAATATAAATCAACAGCTTGTCTTATGTATCCCTGTCCTTTGTCCCACGACGGCTCTGCGTTTGTTTGGAAGGGAGGACAATCCCAGTAATGATTGCAACAAAGACTCTCGCCATTCTAACATAAGCGGTCAAGAATAGGAGTAACATGGACAGGATGATTATCGCGATCAGTGGCTGTAGGAGGAAATGGTATTGTTCGGCGTCGACGCCGTAAATATCACGGAAAGTAAGATTCATTTTGAGAGGTTGTTGGGTGTTCAAAGTAGGGTGGTAGAAGGGACTGGTTAATGTGGATGGTAGAGGGGTGGAATACTAGACTTGAAGCCAGGACAGAGGCTCCGGTGATCTATATCGGACGCGGGAGTTGGGCTTCCATGGTTGAGTAAACTTTGATTTGGAGAGCTTAACCACCTTTGAGCATTATAGAGAGGCTAGAAATATCTATGGAGACTGCACGGTTACGCCTTACAGATAGAAGTATAACTGTCCTGCGAGTCTTTGGTTCCTCTCGGGTATACATTGCACTAACAAAACACAGACCGGATTCATTCTTAAACAGACGATGGCCCATCCCATCTAAAACAGAAAGCAAAGACGCACCAATGTTTGTAGTGTTATATCTGCACGATGACTCTATAACATTCCTTCCCACTTGCATCTTATCTCTGGTGAGCTCATATCAAATCCCAAGTCCATCTGAACCTCAACCCAGCCCGAGAATCGGATACCAACATCACACACATTCTCAGATAATCGTCTCCAGCTCCACTTCTTTATCTTGATGATATGCCCTGCGGTGGTCGAGCACTTCGTACATGTAGTATCCGAGTCTAAAGGCCACCGCCAGGATAACGACGGGCACCAGAATGATAAGACTGAATATAAGGATGCAATTGAGGAGTGTGTCAATTTCCATTGTGGAGGACAGTAACGTGGGTATTTGATAGCAGAGAAGATAACTTGTTTTCATATAACCGTTAGATGAAAAAGGAGGGAGGAACACATTACAGAAGTAGAAAGGTCTACATCTCGTCATAGTGAAGTCCCTTTAAAGTTGCAGGAACCTTGGTCCGGATGTGTATACCATTCCCAATCGGGAGGTATAGCCTCAACTACATGTATCTAAAATCAACCTCTGGATACATGTACATTTCATGTTCCAATAATTAGTAACATGATCTGCAATGGTCTCGAACTACTCCGAGTCCACATTCTCCACCTCCAAAAACGAGCCATCATCATTCACGTCCTTCAAAGCCTCCAATCTCTCCTCCCTCGCTGCGACCATCTCCCCAAGAAGTTCGAGCTCAATCTCAAGCCTCTTCTTCAGCTCTGAGGTGTTGATCAAGCCTGACGCCGACCTCGAAGAAATCGCAACACTGGTCTTCTCCTTCTTAGTAAAACCCAAATCCCATTGGAGGATCGATGAAAGTTTGATAAAGGTCAGGAATGCGATTCCGAGGATCAGGATCATCGCTATGATGATGGGGATGTAGACGTAGATCAGGTAGTCGAGAGAGTTCCCGCAGAGTTTTCCAAGGAAGAACGCGGGATCATTGTAGAAAGCCTCGTATTCTGGTGGGATGCCCATGGTGCATATAGGGTATGGATTGGGTTTGAATTTGGAGGGGTCGAAGTTGGAGGATAACTCGGTTCTGGTTGTTTTCGACGGAATTGGTAGTTTTTGATTTCTTCGACACTCTTTGCTGCGGGGCCTGGAGTGGTTTTAATACGAGTTCGGGGATTCTGCGGGAGAGCTGCATGGGGCCGAAACACACAGCCTCAACCACTCGGGCGCAGGGCGTTGCAATGACCTCATAGCAATCTAAACGAATTATAAGCGAGTCAAAAGGCAGAACACCGACAAATAGACTGAAACAGTGAAAGGCTGTTAGCGAATCGAGATACACAGCTCAGCTAATACGGAGTATACAGACTACAAGATCAAAGCTACCGATATCGAACTCGTAAGAAGGCATAAATGAACAAATATACACGACTAGGAACATGGACAAAGAGATCAAATGGTGCAACCAAGGTCAGTAGACAACGTCAAATAAAAGGTGTATCTACCACGTAGGAGTCAAAAATTTAAAATAGGAACCAAGAAGGGGAAGAAAGGGCCCAGTCGCAGTCCGAAGACACCACCAGGCCAGAGAAAGGTAAAACTCCTAGTCCTCCTGTACAAGTTTTGCATTGCATTTGCAGAACTAAAAAAAAAAACAATATTTCAGAAAACCGTCAGGCGTGGCGCTTAGAAGACTTCAGAGCATCCCCAGTGCTGCTCGACGTTGAAGTCACCGGGGTTCTTCCAGGTGTCGTCGGAGTAGGAGAAGAAGATGGACTTGGAACCAACGGCCTCGGCGATGGCCTTGATAGCAGTAGCCTGCTCGGCCTTACCGGGAATGGCAGCACCGTTGGAGTTACCAGCGTTGGGCCAACCAGTCTCGAGGTTGACGACCTCCTTGCCACCGCAGACCTTGTCGAGGAGCTCGAACTCCTGCTTGGCGAAGTCACCGGCCTTCTCGGCGGAGACATCGGGGTTGAAGAAGGGGTGGATGTTAGCACCGACGATGTCGACAGCGCTGCAGAGGGCGGAAGCACCGTAGTTCTTCCAGACATCAATGGGCTCAGTGGTGGTGACCTTGCCGCTGTAGCCAGCACTCTTGAAGGTGGAGGCAGAGGACCGGACGAAGGCGGCAAGACCGGGAGCGTCCATAGCACCGGAGTGGACGGCCTCGTTACCGACAACGATGAGCTCGACCATGCTCCACTCGGCCCATTGGACGATAGAGTCGACCTGTGCCTGGGCGCCAGCAGTGCCGGAACCGTCAATGAAGACACCAATGATCATCCTGAGACCGAGCTCCTTGCAGGACTCGCCAATGAACTCAAGAGAGCTGCAGTCAGTGCCATAGACACGGACCAGGTTGAAGCCCTTGCCCTGAATATCGGTGAGATCCTTGGAAACCTCCTGCTTGGTCTTGCAGTCACCACCGGCGGTGTAGGGAGAGTAGGTCATACCGTACTGACCTCCACCGAGGACGACAGGAGTGTGGGTACCGGAGCTGGTGGGGGCGGAGCTGGTGCTGCTGGAGGCAGCGGGCTTGGTGGACTCAGCGCTGGTAGTGGGCTCAGGGGCTTCAGTGGGCTCGGGGGCTTGAGTGGGCTCAGGAGCTTCAGTGGGCTCAGGAGCTTGAGTGGGCTCAGGAGCTTGAGTGGGCTCAGCACTGGTGATGGCAGGGACAGTAGGAGCAGGAGCGGTGGTCGAGACGAGGGCATCAGTGGGAGCGGGGCAGACATAGGTGTAGTCGGTGCGGGTGACGGTCACAACGGACTCATCCTGAGTGTAGGTACCAGGGACGATGGTCTGAGGGGTGGGGTAGACCAGGACGGTGCTGGTGGGCACAGAGGTGGTGGTAGGGGGGACGATGGTGTAGGTACCAGCCGAGGGGCAGACGTAGGTGGTGGTCTCAATGACGCTGGTCACAGTGCTGCCGGAGGGCTTGACAGTGGCGTAGGGGCAGGTGACAGTGGTGGCAGTCTCGACAATGGTAGTGACACCACCGTAGGTGTGAGTGCCGCTAGGGACATCAGTGGAGGTGGCACCGCAGACAGTGGTGTAATCGGTCACAGTAATGGTAGTGGCCGGGATGGTGTAGACACCGGTGGTCGAGAAGGTGCTGACACCGGGGGTAGGCAGCTCCACAGCGGGCGTGTTGGCAGGAGTGCTCGAGGGAGCGGGAGCCGGGGAAGAAGAAGCAGACACAGTCACAGTCAAAGTGCTGGTGCTAGTGGAGTGCACGGTGCTGGTCGAAGTGGTGGTGGACTCGGGGACGGGAGTCGGGATGGCGACAATGGTCGAGGTCGAGAGAGAAGAGGTAGAGAGAGAAGAGGTAGAGAGAGAAGAAGAGGCGGGGGGAGCAGGAGCAGGAGTCTCAAAGGGGACCAGAGTAGCGTCGCCGTAGTAGGTGATGACCTTGGTGGTGCAGCCGCAGGTCTCCTCGGGGACAGCAGGGGCGGAGACCCAGTTGGAAGCGGCCTCGCGACGCTGGTGGAAAGCCTCATGGCGACGGTGAACACCGTCGGCCATGGCAGAGCCCACCATGGCGGCGGCGGCGAAAAGAGCTCCCTTCATGATGGATAGATGATATCAACCACACCAAAGAATGAATGCCCGCTGAACGAGTGAAGCGGTGGTCAGTGATAGAATCAAAGGAACGTGGGTTGTGAAGGTAAAAGGAGAGTCTTCGGGGGCACGCAAGGCCTTTTGTTGGAGAAATCGTTACCGGGGAGAGTTAGGGGGGGGCAGAGCGAAAAGGAGAAAAACACCATAAAAAGGCCCCAGTACGCTAACCTGCATAGATACAGGTCCACCGATCGTGAATTTCCATTCATTTAATTACCCTAAAATTACCCCTGGACGAGTCTAGATGTGTATTCAGGGACAGCATACCTCTCATTGGCCGTCGACTGTAGTTCCGAGTGCTGGCTGTCTCTGGTTGGCCCGCACGGCTCGGGCAGGAGTGGAGAGAGTGTATGTTGTACGGAGTGTGTCTGGTATGCAGTCGTTTATTCGTTGTGTTCATCTTCGTATTTATCAGATTCGCATCTCAGGCGTGCAGGTACTCCGTACGGAGAGTACTCGTCCAGACCGAGTTTGATATGCAGGTACACCGCTCAGATGCATCTCGAAATTATATCGCCCAACGGCCATTTCGACCAGACCTAATACCTTCGTATTCCAATGTTACTCTGGTCAATACAACAGTCCCCGCACGGATCGTCGACTGTCCTCCTCTCCTTTTTTTCTCCTGCTCAGCCTTCGGGACTAGCACTCTCCCAAATAGTGATACTGTCTCACACCAAGAATAGTCTTCCCCTTACCGCCGTGAGGGTCTTGTAGCTTGTCTCTTCCCAACTCCTAGCCGCGTGTAAAGCCACATTATACCTAAACGAGGCCGGGGTTTCAAACATCCTGTCAGACAACGTAAGGCACTGCTACCGCCCCTCTGTGGCTTACTTGGTGGCAAACTTGCCCCCGTGCGACTCTTGCTTACCCGAGAAGGTTTGTTCAAAACAAAGATCTAGATACTTCCAAGGATTGTGGAGTAGATTGACTAGATTGACTAACTCACATGCAGCCATCTCATTGAAACAGACTGGCATAAGCAATCCCCAAGGGTAGAGCAACAAGCAGAAAACAGAAAACAGAAAACAGGAAACCGAAAACACGAAATTCTCTTCCTGCGCCAAGTGGGGCCCGATATCCTAGCGTCCTCGGCCAGTCCCGAAAGGGCAAGGTGGCAGCTGAATTCGGACCTCCTACGTCTTCTGATTGGTCGAAAGGGGACCTCTAATTTCCGCGCCGCCGATCTTGATTCTCTCCCAGTACAGCTGTATCACGCCCATTACCGTTTCTCCATTTCTTCTTCTCCTTACCCGTACGGTCCCGGAGCACATACAACATACACGCCAAGAGAGCAACTGAAGTGTTTCATACCCCCATGTGTTCATCTGCAATTGCAGTCACTTCTATCGCCCTCACGTCATGCTTCATCCATTGCTGTTTGCATGGGAACAACACACAACTTGTTTGTTGTACTTCAATATGCGCTGTTTTCTGCCCCGCCCCTGACGATCCCCAGTCACCGAGGCACACACACTCCCCAAGAGCCGATCATCCGCCCAAAACAAAGTCAAAAAGCAGTTATCAGACAGTCCAGGAAGCTTGTGTACTTCAATTAATTTACCTAACCGTAAACAAGGAAGAGCGCGTGTTCGTCGACAAACCACCTGCTACTCATAGCATAGCATTGGTCTAGTATATCGGGGATATTCAAACCGGTCTGACTAACTGATACGAGTGACATCCATCCATGCTGCATTGCTGTCGTATCTGCATATACGGAGTATCACGTAGAACTACTGAAGCAAGGCCCCCGCGAGGAAGTCAATGCAAGTCTCCATGTCCTCATTGCTGATCACAAGGTGGGCGAGATTCTGGATCTCTTCGAGCGACGATCGTAACTCGTCCACGGGGTACGGAGTAGATCACGGTGTGTGCCGGCGCAACTCTCGTGTGGAGATTACCGCTATGTATTCTCTAACGAAAGTACTCCGTACGGAGTACAGCAAAGCTAGTGTCCGGCTCCTGAATGCAAGGTGTATTGTGCGCTTAGGCTGCTTTGTTTACAGTCGATAAGTGTGTACCACCGGCATTGGCTTGGGCTATTGGCAGTGTCCGCGAATCATGTCAATGAATTCGTGGTTGAATGATACGATTGTGTACCGAGACCCAGTATTTTGAATAACAGACTTCCATTAACCTCGACTACCATTTCTGGTACGGAGTACAGATTCACGTGTAAATCCTTGAATAAATAACACGAATAATACGGAGTCCAACACAAAGAGACAAACCCAACGATCCAGACCGCCGAAAACACTCTTGGCTCCTCTCAGGATTCCAATGGACTCACAGCCAAGAATGAGAGCGGATCTGGGCTTTCTACACCTCTGGAATCATCGGAGTCGGTATTCAGGTCGGCGCCTTGGCGGTGCCGTTTTTTGAGGCTATTCAGGGGCTTCCAGGGGTCGGCGTGTGGACTTGTGGATTGGGGGTCTGGGAAATGAGTTCTATTCGTGAAGAGTCCAGTGTAATTTTTCTGGGAATGGATCTATTAGGTCTACATTTTGGTTTCATCATATAAACGGTTCCAAGGGTCCTCACAGGGTGGGCTTATGTTCCGGGGAAATTTCTGCGTTTGAGTGGTGCCTTATGTTTGGGCGCCCGATCTTGTCTGGTGTTTCGTGACTTGGAGATCGGGCTCTTTCTGATGTGTCAAATGTGAACCTAAATTGTGGCATTCCACAGCTCAGATATTCTGGAAAAAGAGATCTGTATTACACAGGCCACATGGAGAGTGTCAGTTGGTGGAATGTGTGCCTCCATCTTCAGGCAGAAACGTTCTAGATTCGCTGATAACTGCTCGGTCATTATTCCGTACGGAGTACGGAGTATACTTCCTGTCATTCTTTTTCGTCGGCTCTTTTACTCTAATCCATATAATTGTACGGAGTAAACAATTTCATCTATGCATACTACATATCATCCCAACGCACGCAGCAGTTCTATATCATCATGTTTCATCACTGCCGATATATATCAACGTCACGGCGACATATCATGAAACACATTTTGGTTTCCATTTTATTTAATTCCGCTTCGATTACGGAGTACGAAGTACTTGGTACAACCAAAAGAGAACTGCAGCACGTAACACCGAAGATGACCGAAGCAATACTGCTGTCCCGGAATCTACTCCGTAGTAGCCACTGGCATAGCACCTTGCTTCAACTTGCTCCCGTTTGGTGACAACATTTTTGGTCCTGATAAGTTCGAACCTCAACTTCATGATTAGCTGTAGTTTGCTTTCTTACAAAGCTCTCCAGGTTACTGAGGAAACATATAGAGATTCTCACTAGAAGTAAATTATAATCCTATCTTCATGCTCGGGCTTGTTTGGGGGGGCTGAATAATATCCGTGAGGGCCGCCTGCCAGCGCATTGAAATGGTCCCACCAAGCAATGACAGCAACAGGCCATGGAAACCACAGTGCTGGTCTTCAGGCTACTCACTCTTCACAGTATTCGTTATTTCCACGTGGCTGCGGTCTAACGCCAGTCTAGTAGTGCTACAACGAAAGCGCAACCAAGTCAATGGGTCTCAAGGTCAGGAAACCGGAGCAAGAATGAGGTCCATAAGTATGAACTCAGTTACCGGCGATTAGGAAGACGAGAGGCTGTACCATTTGGAGATTCATAGTACCCGCCTTTCCATCCGTGACTAATATCTCCGGGCTCTTATTACCCCAGAAATGTTGTATACAGGCCTATTGACATGGCTCTGCCTCTCAGTTTCTGTCTGATTGCCCAGACCTCCGTGTTTGTACTAGCTGGCTCTTTGATAGATTGTTTGCTGGTGCTGGTTGTTGCACATATAAATAGCCCTGTTTTCCCAGAATCAGAGAATTGGTTTGTTCTTCTCCTTCTCCTTCTCTTTCTTCTTAGTACCCTCGCACGGGACCATCATCTATATATTTCCCTATGTCATGAGCCCAGCTTGTCTCTATTTTCCATGAAGCTTCATATGCTTGCTCGCCCCTGGGCCCTTCGTACCCCTCGTACCCCTTCTATATATAAAGAGCTCATCCCATTTATAATTCTGCCTCCATTCAGCTTTCCCTCGAAACATGTCCTCTCTTTATCAAACTCCCGAGCCCCGTTGATGGCACCAGAAACCTCCAGCATGTCTTACCGTGGAACCAGTTCAATTCAACATCATCGTCTCTTAACGATATTGGCGAGACAATGAGAGAACCCAATTGATAGGTCGAAAGCGATCATTATAAAGATATTGGTGGGGACTTGATAGACAGCCTTGATGACGGGGTCAATACCCTAAATTAGGGTATGTCCATCCCGAGCCCGGAAACAAGCTGAACAGTGAGCCCAAGTCCATTCAAACCGAGAGAGAGAGGCACTGCGGAGACAAAATAGCCCGGAAATGATGAAAAATCGAGTGTTCAATCGTAAATTTCTATGTGGCTCAGCTAACTAAGCATATCTGAAGGATGGCGAATTCCTCCCACGAACTATTGAACTCGATAGCCTCGGGTATAAATTTCCAACTACCTTCCTCACACGCAATTCAAAGGGCAACCAGATGCGTGTGATCAGTGATCAAATGGACATCGGTCAAAACTTCAGGGTCGACGGTGTCGTCACAAACAAGGATCTGGAAGAGATCACCATCCAGAACAGCTTCCAACACAGGAACATCCACGCCATCAGACCTACAATGGCTACTTAGTATCGATATAAGCACCGATATGAGTCTCAATATTGACTCAAGGGCTTCAGAAGACACGGAAATGGATTTCATATCGCGCCCCCGGGATCAAGACGTGCGTGATTTACGCAGCGGAAAATGAGGCTGGGATTTTGCACTCCTCTACCTTGGTCATCCCTAGCTTGAAGCAATTTCAGCAGTGAAATGCTCACTGATGTCGCATTGCGTTTGGAGTCTTCCTGTGTCTTTTTGAGGACTGGCTGGGCGGCAACATTGAGCGCAAGGGGTCAAGCCTACCTACCCCCTTCTGGTAGGTTCGATCTATAACCCACCGGATGTTCTGGCTAACACCCAATTGTTAGCTTTGGTGAGTAATTCCTCCCTAACTACGGATTACCTGTTTCCAGGTCCAGCTCCACCTATAGACGGTCGCTCTGATGAATCCGATGGAGGCGCTATGGTGCGCGACAACGAAAAGGAGTCTCACGAAGTAGCGACATGAACGACAGCAACATAACACCCAAAATCTTTATCCCATAGATCAAAATAACTCAAAAGCTCCAATAAAAGACGTAGAATTACATATCCTCACGAGCCCACTCACGAGCCCATTCCTATTTTTTTTTCCTCGATCTGCCCATCACCGTGCCACCCCGATCATGCCACACCCCAAAAGTCCCTCCCAGCCAACCAAACCCCCATCCCCATCATCTGATGTCGAATAACAATCGGCAAATAAGCAAAAAACCACATCCAGCTCTATGGCACTGATCCCCCGGAAACGGCCATTCCCGTATGGTTCGACCTCTAACAGCGTCACGATTCCCAAACATCCACGCCCGTAGCCAATCCAACGCGAACCACAGATCATGCTATCCGATCGTCGCCCCCCACAAACAGACTCACGGCTCAGGTCCCGAGTCTATCTCGGAAACCAGAGATGTGCTTCAATGCCGACTGTCAGGCCATACGGTCGGGTGCGTGGCAGTGAAGATCCTTCGTTGTATATAAGGAAAGTGCGTTACACGGATCTTGTCCACAGCATCTTCTCATATACATCTCGGACACTCGATCACTCGATCCCTCTATACCTCAACTGTACATACTGTACTACCAATCAACATGCCTGCCAACAAAGCCAATGACAGCGAGCACGCCCGTCTGCAGAACGACTACGGCGCTGATTACTGGGTTCGCCAATCTGCTCAACAACATCGCGTATGTACCATCCCATATCTACCACGCATCCGTACATACTAACACCTCCTCCAGCGCGCAACCGCCGGCCGTGGCCTCTTCGCCGGGTTACAAGATGTGAAGCACTACAACGTCGAATCTGGCTGGGCGGCTCGCCGCCCCGGCGAGCAGCCCGGTTTCCTAGCATCGCTCTGGACTCGGTATGTTCTACCTCGCTCAATGCTTATGATATCTTCCGGAATGCGGGGCTGACCTTTTATAGACTCACCGGTGCTTGATACCTCTATCCTTCCTTAGACGTTTTGTCTTGCGCCTGCTTTTTTTGAAAAGATCAGGATTGTGATGATTGCATGGCTTTGCTTTGGAGTTGTGGGTTTTTGAGCATTGTGATTATACCATAGTTGGAATGGGAGTTTTGGTGAGCCGAACTATGGCTGTACAGTTTTTGTTGGGAGATTCCTGAATATCATATATGGTTTATTCCTATTCTTTATGCTTTGTGGTAGATCTTGAGATAAGCTTTAGTTGTTAGTCTTGTAACACGGCATTATGATGTGCACATGGAGGATGTGAATGGCCGGATCTGGGGAATATGTACGCTTCCTATGCACCTTGGTAGATCAATACTTTAATTGGACTTCAAGGTGAGAATACGCTAACCAAGTGAGAGATAACTACCACGGACTAACCATCTACATCCTACTAGAATCAAAGCTGACAAAGGGAAAAGAATGATATATTCCAAGTATAATATTTACAGAAACCGCTAATGAGATATACCAAACGCCTATAATGTGGCGCTTCGCCACAAGTTTTAGAATAACAAGGGTTTCAAGAGCCCTGAATCAAGAGTCTAGAAGATTTACTCCCAAGAGTCGATCTTCATGGTACCCTTCTCCTGGAGGTTCTTGTGCATGTTGAAGGCCTGGAAGAGCAGGTGGGGCTCGTGGCCCATACCCTTGCGCAGACACTCGAACTCGGCACGGTCGAGGTAGTCAGTCAGGATGGGGGTGTAGTCGGGGTGGGAGCAGTTCTTGATGATGACACGGGCACGCTCACGGGGGCAGAGACCGCGGACATCGGCGAGACCCTGCTCGGTGACGATCACGTCGAGGTCGTGCTCGGTCTGATCGATGTGGGTGGCGAAGGGAACGATGCAGCTGACACCGGTGGGATCGGTCTTGGTGGGACGGGCACTGGGGGTGTGCATGATACTGTACTTGGAGTTGCGCAGGAAATCGGCGGAACCACCGAGACCGTTCAGCATGCGGGAGCCCATGACACAGGTGCTGTTGGCGTGAGCGTAGATGTCGACTTCGACGGGGGTGTTCATGCCAATGCAGCCGAGACGACGAATGATCTCGGGGGAGTTGGAGACCTGCTGCGAGCGGAGGAGGATCTTGGGGGCGTAGCTGTCCCAGTTCTCGTAGAAGCGCTTGAATCCATCAGGGGAGAGACGGATGGAGGTGGCAGTGGCGAAGTCGAGGTTGCCGCTGTCGAAGAGGTCCAGGAAGGAATCCTGGAGAACCTCAGTCCACACCTTCATGTTCTTGAAGTCGGCACCACCCTTGCTGAGACCACCAACGACGGCGTTGGCGATGTTGCCAATACCGGACTGGATGGGGAGAAGGCTGGGAGGAAGACGGCCGTGGTTGACCTCGTGCTTGAGGAACTCGATGAGGTTGGTAGCGATGGCCTGGGAGCCCTCGTCCTCGGGGGAGTTGGGGAGGGTCACGTCGGGGGTGGTGGACTCGACGATGGCAATGACCTTCTCGGGGTCAATGGGAATGTGCTTGGTTCCGATGCGATCCTCGGGGTTCACGACGAGGTAGGGCTTGCGTCCAGGGGGCAGCTCGGCGGAAGTGATATCGTGCAGACCCTCGAAGGAAGGCATGGAGGTGTTGACCTCGATGATGACCTTGTCGGCCATCTGGATCAACTCGGGGGAGGCACCCACGGAGGCACCGGGAATAATGCCACCACATTCGGTGATGGCGGTGGCCTCAATGACAGCGACATCGATAGTAGGTCTTTCTCTGTTCAGAGTATACCAGCCCTAAACCCGAAAGCGGTAAGGTTAGCGCGTCGATCCTTTTTTTTTTTCTTTTTCTTTCTGCAACTCGTCGATCATCAAGACTTACATAGACCAAATCCGAGGGGAACATGCTCAGATGTTTATCGAAAAACTTGATCTGACCATTGTTGATTCCCTTGGCAATCTCCTTTCCGACCTGGTGAGGAGTGCGGCGCTCAATCATGTTCAAGCGGGCCCAGCGGCTCTCGGTGTCGGCACCGGAAGAGGCACCCACGAACAGGTTGTACTTCAGCTTTCCCTGGAGGTTGTTCTTCTCGACGTGATCGGCAAGAGCAACGGGAATGGCCCTGAATGGATGTTAGAGTGCTGCTCTTCTACTCTGCAATCCCGGGTCACACATACTTAGGGTAACCAACACCGGTGAATCCGGACCAGCCGATGTACGCGCCATGGGGGAAGTGGTGGATGAGATCCTCAGCCTTGGCAAGCTTGCTCAAGTACGATGGCCGCCGCACACGGCTCTTCAGGAGGGCAGAAGCCGCCATGATTATAATATAATATGGGGAAGAGGGGAGAGATTCAAAAAAAGTAGGAAAAAGAAGAAGAGAGAAAAGGGGAGCTTGGGGGTATAAGTAATTTCTTCAACCCCACGGGCAACCAGGATTATAGGTCCCCACAGAGGAATTCGAGGCCGATGTCTCCGGAAGAAGGCAAAGTTTGGAATGTGTGTGTCTGATACAGCTCTACTTCTGGGGAAGTGAACGCTTCAGAGAGCGCATCTATAAGACAAAGCCAGACCCTGCGGCTCTCAATTTCGATCTGATATCTTCTTTCTATCCCCATTTTTATTCTGTTTCCCCAGTTGTTCCAACTCTCGCACTCGATGATGCTCTTCGACAGTTTCATCCTGACGTCACCACCGGTGTTGACTCGGCGGGTCTCGGCCTCAACTCGGCGGGCCCGCGGAATCCTTGTCCTGCAACCAGTTACCTTCCATGCTTCCCGGAGTCGATAGGCTCGGTGCATCCAGCCATGAAGCAAGTATCGTCGGTCTTTTTCGGCGTTCGAATAGCAGTTCCCAAACATCACCAAATTCATGAAGCACAAGTAAACCACCGATAGGAGAAAAAGGAGATCGTCGATCTCCCCGAGTTTCCCCCGACTCCACGTCTCGGGACGTTGTCGGTTATCCCAGCTCGGCCGCACGGAATTTTTCGCACTACGCCAAATTGGCTAATCCTGGCTTCACCGATAGCCACCATTGGAGATATATGGCGGCTAGTGGAGCCGCTTTCAGTCAAAGAAGCCGATGATCCGGGATTTCTATCCTTTTACCCCAGAACTGAGCCGATCGAGCCGCATGGCAGGCATTATCAGCAAGCACTAGGCGATCTAAGGTGTACTGAAAAGCCCTAATTCCTTGACGTACTTGTCTCTTGAACCAGGTTGGTAGCTGTGGCAAGGGTGACAAATGCAGCCATTTTTCTCTAGTCTTTTTGAACAAATTATGGGTTGTGTACTCCGTAGCAAATGCCAATTGCAACCAAAAGGGCACTTTTGACTAAGCGCTATGTCAGGACTCCACATCCATTACGTTTCATTTTATCCTCAACCCTCATAATTCTGTGGGATTAAACCTGAGATGGCTTAGGATAAATAAGGTCGCTAAACCACTGCTCTAGTATTCATTGGGACAAAATAGCTCAGCCAAGGTTAATAATAGACACGCCAGTATCTTGGTGGTGTTTCACTTATACGCAAAGAGTATATAAGAAACACAATTCGTGTAGATAATATAAACTCATCGGTAGAAATTCATCGCTCATGTGCTCTCGGCCCCACTAGCAATTGCATCTCCCCACAGGACCCGTTAGAAGATCAAAATCAACTGCCATGTTGCCCAATGCACCAGCGATAAGGGTCTCTTTCTTCGAATGCCAGGCAGTGGGCAGTCCAACAAGGCGCCAGACCGCTGCCTCCTTTGGCACCCTGCGAGGCTAGTCTTCAAGGGGTGCAATTGTCTCCGGCAAGAATCTCTAATACGCATGCGAATTCGAGGTAGGTGCCAGATGTTTGGTGCTTTTGGAGTTGTAACTTTGGATAAGGCTGGGGAACGGTTTACAAAGAATACCGTAGGTCGACGAGCCTGAAATGTTCTCCACAATGCCATATGAGGTAGGCAGAGAACACGGCTTCGAATGGATAGTGTTGATAATGCAATATTTCAATGGTCACAGGCATTCGATAGCCCGGGGCAGTTGACGCACGAACTATACCATCAGATCATACATGATGGATCGAAATCAGTTTCACCACTTTGTTCCTAGAGGTTGTCTCCTGGGCCCTATAACGAATCAGTGAATTACATGCACCGGAAGATTATTTTGGGGAGTACCTAGGTAGAGACATGAGGCAGTAAATGCAATTAGATAGTCGCCGTGTTTGTTTCTTTTTAGTCAAGGAGCGTGAAAGTAAATTGATGGCCATAGAATCGTGACCTAACGATTTCCAGATGAAATGGAGGCTTCTATTGCCTTGAGAATGATCGTGGCCCCGTCCGGTAGTAGTGCCATCACTTTTCACTCTACCAGTTTCCAGCCGCAGTCTTCACCACCTCGTCGGTGATGGTGATCTGGTTTCCGCAGCGGTCGAGTAGTAGTGCCATCACTTTTTCACTCCCCCAGTTTCTAGCTGCTGTCTTCACCACCTCTTCGGTGATGATGATCTGGTCTCCACGGTGGTCGAGTAGTAGTGCTATCACTCTTTCCCCACTCTGCCAGTTCTCAATCGCAGTCTTCACCACCTCTTCAGTAATAGTAATCTGGTCTCCACGGCGGTCGAGTAGTAGTGCTATCACTTTTTCTCCACTCTGCCAGCTTTTAGCCGCAGTCTTCATCACCTCTTCGGTGATGGTGATCTGGTCTCCGCGGCGGTCGAGGAGTAGTGCCATCACTTTCTCACCCTGTCCGCCATTTCTAGCCGCAGCCTTCATCACCTTGTCCGTGATAGTGATCTGGTCTCCGCAGCGGTCGAGCAGCAATGTCATCACTTCTTTACCATTCCAATGGTTTTCAGCTGCAGCCTCCACGACCTGTGTAGTAACCTTCCCACCTCGGCTCAGAAGGGCACCAACAGCATTCGCATGTCTTGACCCAACAGCTTGTTCGAGAGGCGTTTTACCAGTACGATCCAAGCAATTGATATGAACAATTTGAGTCGACCTGTCTGTGTGGGATTCTTGAAATCCCAAGTCGGACGCATGATCCACTAAAGCAGAGATACCCCACCGTGCAGCTACGTGAAAGATGGAGGACTTGCTTGGAATCCGCAATCCCGTCGGTGACCTGGCTCGCTTTAGCCACTGCTCGCGACAAGGAGAAATGAGTTGAAAAAACTCCGTTTGTGCAGATTGAACTTTGAAACTTGACTTGGCCATCCGTGCATGATTAGTCCATTCAGAAGTTGCATAATCTGAGAAACTAGTATGTGCTTGATCCACGCTGTGGAACTGCGCAATAAGAAGATCAACACACCGATATGCAAGGCGAGCATGTGCCTCGAGCTCTCCGATAAAATAGCTCGAGCTAGCCCCGGCGAGGTAGTCCTTCACTGATTGATGTAATAGAAGGACTCTTTCGTCTTGAACGATGATCAACAAGCGGCACGAATCAATGCTATCGTGTGTGAACTGGATTCTTGTCTCAAAGTCTTCTTCCTCCTGATGCAGCTGGCATGCTTCACATAGCTCTGAGACAGTCAGTGGTCGCAAGCTTACAACCATGTAACCCAGGAGACGTCGGAGATCTTCGCCGCTGGTCTCATTCCGTTCCGAGGCCGTCTCGAGAAGCTTCTTGTAGATTGCATTAAGCCCTTTCGGTATGTTTTGCAAGGCACTGATGACACGGTTTGAAGGGATATCCTTCAGTTCGTCACACGCCAAACCAACCCAGAGGAAAGTGCCTTCGGCTTTGTCTCGGAGAATCTTGCGGACTTGTTCTTGGAGCTTGTTGGTGTACCTTTTTCTTTCGGCCAGATGATTCACTCTCTCCTTGATGCAAAGATCAATATCCCCCTGACCCTCGGAGAAAGAAGCCAAATCTTTATTCGGGAACCTTTCCAGACGTTCGCGTATCTCCGGATATGGCCTGCTAGTCACCAATATCCGAACATTAGGCGACACATTTCCACTCTGAAAGGTTTCTTCAAGCTGATACAATAGGCTCTGTTGCGATTCTTGGTCGCATTCATCCAGCGCGTCAATGATACAGTATGTTCGACCTATACTCCGATCCGCCACCATAGCCATGAATATGTTCCAGAGAGCGTCGAACGACGTGAATAGTTCTGCCCCACGCGTAAGGTAATTTGGCAAGATGTAATCCAGAAGATGCCGGTGCTGTCCAACGAGCTGGTAAAGCAGCCCTCTAACAATGGAAGTCGCATTATTACGTGTGTGAAACCCAGAGTCACAGAAAAAGTAGGCTAGCGTTGCCCCGTCCATGTTGGATGAAGCTGTCGGTAGCTCTTCTGTGAGGTATATAGCCATGATCGATTTGCCAGTTCCAGGGTTCCCGTGAAGCCAAAGGACTTGGTTCGCCTGACGCTGGGGATCCATTGCCGTTCCAGAACTAAGCCAGGCAGTAAGCTCTTTCGTACGGAGTATCCACTGGCAGGTCCCAGGAGCATGGCCTCCTTTCTTGCGCTTTAATGCGTTCTTGTCTTCATGGGGATCCGTCACAAAGAGGGCTCGTTGACAGTCCGAGGAGCCATCACTCGAATTTCCTAGCAGTCTGTCAGCAGAGCTTATTAAGGTATGTAAGAGTATACACCATACCTATGTTTATATCCCGTCCCACTGTGATATGTCCATTTCCGCTGTTTTGTAAGCCATCCCCATGAAAAGAGGATTGAGCGGTGTTTGTCTCTGGCGGTATTTCCTTCTTAGCCTGGCGCTTCATCACTCTGTTGATCGTGGTTTTCCTTAAGGCTATCTGCTATTGGGAAGACTTATACGGAGTAGGTAGGCTGAACCTGACGGTGAGGTAGGTAGCAAGGCTGTGCACTTGTCTCTCGCTACCCCGCACGAGCTGAAACTCCAATTAGCCGCCTTGAGTCCAGTCACATCCTCTTGTCTGACTCCGCCCCCGTCGATTCCCGTAGGTTGGATAACGTAGATGCCGAGGAAACAGGTCACTTTTGTACTGCATCGCCATACAAAACGTACCTCGATTGAAGATGTCGATTAAATGATCGTTGTAACTTCTAAGCGCCCATTTCATTTGAGATATGTAAGTACATATCGACTTTGTATGACTACGAGTACAAAAGAATGAATGACTAAAATAATATAATATAGGCCATTGAAATTTCCACATACATTAATTGACCATGGTAAGACTTAAGGAACTCTCCTGCTATTTTACTCCGCGTTTTACACATATACTATTTATAGATCGAAGAATGCTTTGATTTTATGCTGATATTCTGATCTCTGCCTACTAGTCCGAGGGGGCAGAAACCTTGAAATCTAGCCTCAATTCAGGTACCTTTTGTATGGCGATGCAGTACCAAAGTGACCTACTTCTTCAACATCTACATTGGAATAAACCGCCCCCTCCTCTGAATGAGGCTGGAAGGCGGCTAAGTGCCACACCTACAGACTACAGCAGCAGCTAATCGTGCCAGCGCACTAACTAACCCCTGGAGAGGGTTAGTGCGCTGGCACGCTTACATCGTACTGTCTCACATATCTTTGTTATCGCCAGAGGATATCATTCTGTCTGAAGTCCTCAACTACCCTATAACCTCAGTCATACGACTACTAAAAACCACCAAGATGGCAGGTAAACGAGCCATATCAGCTCAACCAGGAAACACCATTATCTAACCAACCGTGCAGAACTTAGCTACGAAGCATACACCGTTGGGATCGTGTGCGCTCTGGAATTTGAGATGAGCGCCGTCCGCTACATGCTGGACAAGGAACATTCCCGTTTACCCAGAAAGCCGGGCGACTCGACTCTATATATCCTAGGAGAGCTCAGCGGCCACAATGTGATCCTCGCTAGCCTTCCAGGAAGCCAGGGGAAGAGCGCGGCAGCCGTGGTTGCGAAGGACATGGCGCGTACGTTTCCATCGATCGAGCTACGCTTGATGGTCGGGATCGGGGGAGGCGTTCCAAGCGCAAAGAATGATATCCGCTTGGGGGACGTTGTTGTCAGTATGCCTGATGGCCAGCACGGCGGTGTGGTCCAATACGACTTGGGTAAGAGCACGGATGAAGGCATCGTCCTGAAAGGATATCTCTGGCCGCCATCCGAGATTCTGAGAAGTGCTGTGGATATCATGCGGTCTGATCAGCGGGTTTCGCAGAGCAAGATTCCCGAGTTCATGTCAGCTATGTTTGAGAAAAGCGAGAATCTTCGAGATGCGTATCAGCGACCTACGGAGCTAGATGAGCTTTTCAAGTCGGACTATCGTCATGTTTCTCACCAAGCAACCTGTCAGCGCTGTGACAATAAAGAACTGGTCTCTCGTCGGACCCGGAAGCCGATTCCCAAGATTCATTATGGACTCATTGCTTCTGGAGATCAAGTCATAAGGAGCGCATCGAATGCAGCAGAAGTGGATGGGAGGGTGATGGGGGATATCTTGTGCTTTGAGATGGAAGCGGCAGGCATCGCGACGGGGTACTCGTGTATCGCCATCCGGGGCATCTCCGACTATGCAGACTCTCACAAGAACGACGCATGGCAGCATTATGCTGCGGCTGCGGCTGCAGGGTGCGCCAAGGAGCTCCTTTCATACGTGGATCCGTCGCAGCCTTCTGCCACGACAGAGGCTCATGGCCGGTATAGGTCTGAGTTGTCAACTGGCAGCTCTCTACCTACGCAGTCCATATTTCGCGGTCAAGGGGTGCAAAATTCGGGGTCTGGCAATGTCTCTGTAGGAAAGGATTTGAACATCGGCAGAAGGTGACCTGCAGCGAAGGAATTTGGGAGTAGATCAATAGAGCTTATGCGACTGAAATTTATAGTCCTCGTGGATTGGCATTAATGGATACCATAGAGGGAAGCGCGGGTCTCTGCTGCGTAAATTCATATGATAACCGGATGTGAACCCTCGCATCTGACCATATGCCTTCCAGCCAGTCACTAATATGAGATAAGTCAGTTTTCAACATGATAGGGGGGAATATACTCCGTAGACTGGTACGATTCACACTCTAAGCCAAAGACATTGATATTTCCAGTAAGTACTCCATATTCTGGGCTCTTTTGTTAATAGTCCGTCGTCTTCCATAGAAGCCTCGAAAAAACTTCCCCCTAAACGCGAGAAGTACAAGTAGTCAGAGAAAAGACTCAGAGACCAATGCCTCACTTCTAAGAAAGAAGTTAAGAAAGACAAAGTAATACGCCAAAGCAAAATAAGAATAAGAATAATTGTTTAGAAAAAAAAATACAAATACAAAGTGCGTACCCGTGAAAGGTCATCTCGTCGGATCATTTACGCCTGTCCCCTCCCTACCACCACCTAATCAAAAATAGATAAAAAAAAGAACAAATTACCACCTCGACGTCGATAACTCCATCTAAGCCTCTGCGGACTCAGCCTCAGCCATCTCAACATCAGCATCCTTAGCCTCAGCCAAAGAGCCAGATGCAGATTCCTCAGGGCCAGGACGAGGGGAATCAGACAGAGTGCCATCAACCCAAGAGCGGAAACGCTGGTTGGACTCGTCGACCTGGTCCTTGCTGAGCCCACGGGCCCAGGCGGGGTTGTTGACGAACTTTTCCTTGAACCGATCGGCCCGTCGCTCGCGAAGAGTAACCTTCTCTTTCTCGACCTCGTCAATCTGGGCCTTGATGGCCTCGGGATCGGCATCCTTCTCAGGGATCGGTGCGCTGGATCGCCAGAACCAGTCGTGGGTTGGCGGCTGGTACAACATGGTGTAGTTGTTTGCGCAGATCCGGATGGTCAGGCCGTCGTGGTGCTGGAGGGTGCGGTAGTAGCGCTCGTATTCTTCGTCTTCTTCCAGCTTTGGGGGAAGGTTGCGCTTGAGGAGGGGCATCTTCATCTTCGAGAATTGCACGCCCTCGGTGGGGTCGCGCATTGAGTACGCGGTCACGTAGTAGGACCAGCGCTCCTCAGAGGTGAGGTCCTCGTTGTTGAGGGTGGAGTCTTCGCTGGTCATGATCTGGATGGTGACGCGGCGATCAACAGGATGCTGAATTAAATATGTTAGCTCGTGTGGGGTCAGACATGGGGGTTGGGGAAACTCACGAAGGTGATGCGGTAGATGTCACCATCCTTGACCAGTCGCTCAACTTGCTTGCGGTACTGGATTTCTTGGTGGTGCGTAGTCACATCCTTCTCACGCTCCTTGAAGAAGAGGTTGACGATGTCGGAGCTGCGGTCCCGAGCATCACCAGTGAAGATAGAAGAAACAAATTTGGAGATCGAGGAGAAAATTCGCTCCAGGTTGTAAAGGAGGTATCCGCTCTGCATGTAGAAGCGACGCAGGGTCTCTTCCAGATGAATTTGGTCAATGTCACCCTTGATGACTTCCTCACACATGCGCACGATCTGCTTGTAAAGGTTGACCTTGGGATCGACATCATAGAAGAAATCGCTGGGGAAGCGGTCGATCAGGCACAAATCGTGAGCAGCCTTGTGCAGTTGACCACGTCGAACCTGTTCGCGGGCAGTGTCCTCCTGCTCCTTGATGCGCAAAAGGCGGGAGTAAAGGATCTCGAAAGTGCGCAAGAAGCAAAGGATGTTCAAGTTGCTGTACATGTGGTGCTCCTTCTTCTTGTACTTCTCGTTGAGTGTGTATTCGTGCTCGAGGTTGAAGTTTCCTTTGCCAGGGTGCTCCATCCATCTCAATTCAGCGACGTCAAAGGTCTCCTCGGGTTCAGAGACGTGGGAACGAGCTCGGACAACAGGGGGTTCATCAATGTTATCCAACTCAATATCCTTCTTCGCGCGCTTCTCGATCCCATTTCCGCGTTCAAGGGTCTCACGCAGGAGATCCAGCTTCTGCGTGTTGGCCTTGCGGCTCTCATTCGAGGCGTCATCATTGGTGTAAGTGTCATCCTCCTCGGCGATAGCGATGTAAACCTCCTCAACGAAGCTGTTGAAAGTAAACCGGTCCAGGCCGAAGAAAGTAGGAATGAAATCCTTGATAAAGTTCATAAGTCGCTGAGGATCAGCGCCGAAGCCATTAGTGTTGCGATCAAAGTACACGATGAGCAAGTAAACAGCGTCCAGGAGGACCTGGGTATCACTGAACTGGAACTCAGCCTGGTGCTTAGGCGGGTTCCAGCCACTCTTGCGGCTAGTCTGTGCAGCCTCGAACTTGGTTTGCAGATCTTGCTGAATGTTCTTCGCGACGAAAAGCTTCTTGTCAGACTGCTTGGTTGCGATGGCTTGGTGATCAAGACTGCGCCAGTATGCTCGCTGCATCTGTTCGCGCCAGACTTTGTCCCACTCACGCTGGCAGGCCTTCCACTCCTCGAGCTTTTGCTTGCAGCGGTAAAGAACAATTGGCAGGACGTGGCAGGGACGTGCAAACATGTCTTGAAGAACCTTCTCACCACGCTGGCGATCGTAAATCTTTTTGATGACACGCTGGTAGATGGCCACGCTTTGGCCACCGAGACCTTCGGGCAATTCAAATGCCATCCTTTCGGCATCACTCATGTACAAGAATTGCTGGCAAATGGGCTCGACGAGCTGAATGGTTCGAACGCAAGCTTCGATGTGGTGATCATAATCATGACGGTCTTCTTCAATGCGATGCAAAGCGTCTTCAAACTGGTTCTTGCGGTGCGCAACAAATCCGGAATCCTCTGAGGCCCAGGTAGGGTGTGAGGCCCAGTCATCATTAAGAACACTGTTGCAAAGATGGTCGCGACCACTGCAAGGCTTTTGGCGTTCACGCTTTGGAAGAAGTCGATAACTGGGTCCGAGAGCACGGCAGTGAGCCAGGTTGACGATTCCAGTTTCCGGGTTTGCCTTGGGGTCGATGATCTTATCCTCGGGTTCTTCGGCGCTCATAAAACGTCTGAACCAGTTCATCAACTCAGCATTGGATCCGATGTATCCCTCAGCCCTCTTGACCAAGATGTGACGGTCAAGAAGATCAGTAGTGTACAGGTTGCAAAGCTTCAAGAAGTCGCTGAACACTTGCTTGTTGGCAATGAATTTCTTCACGCGATCGAAGAACGCAATCTCTTCTTGGCTGGGGGTCATGGAAACAGAGGGAGGAAGAGGCTCTGGGAGAGCGGGAATCAGAGTAGGCGAAACATTTGCCATGTCAACAGAGGGCTTTCCGTGGTGATATTTAGGTCGCTTGCTGGCGCCGAACTGGGAGCCCTGGCCACCTCTGCTTGCCTCAGACAGGCGGGCAGCTTCCGCGCCGGCAGGTCCTGAGATAGAAGAGCCGACACCACCTGGGCCACCACGACGCTTCTTGTTTTCTTTGGGATCCTTGACATTGAACTGTCCAAGTGGAGGCATCTTGACGTCGCGGTTGGGTGTCTGGGAGGTGAAGCCCGCCGGTTCACCACGAAGATTGCTGAGAGGCGCTTGCTCTTCAGCTTGGCGCTGCGCAGCGACTTGTTTGGCATGCGCGGCAGATTCAGGCAGAAATTGTTTGAAATCTTCCAAGAGATCAGGCGCGGTATTAAACAATTGGGTGACCTGTCCATAGACATCCTGGATAGGCTTCGACTCCCGTTGGTAAGTCTGGAGTATCTCAAGGAATTGTTTGTAGATTTCCGGGGCACTCGAAAAGCGGTTCTTGATCTTGTTCACATAGCTGATAGCATGGTTGAACTCCACGGGACCACGCTTGTTCAGATCCTGAGCGCCTTGGAGCATACCAGTTCCGACACCAGCCAGGTTGTTCATGGGCTGAGTGAGACTAGCATTCTGCGCAGCAGCGGAAACTCCCATGAGGGACCCTCTGCCAAGACCAGCGGATGCAGCTGAGGCAGCGCCTTGAAGCTGCGCCACTCCACGGTGGTCTTGCTGGTGCGTCATGGCAGATGCAGCTTGTTGTTCCTGCTGAGTAGGATAGCCATAGTGGTGATCCTGGGCAGATCCCGGTCCATCCTGTGGGTACATGCTGCTCATCATCCGTGAGCCAGGAGAGTATGACCCAGAGGTAGCGCCTTGCTGTTGATCTTGCTGCTGCCCTTGTTGCCAACCAGGTCGAGACTGGTCACGATAGAAGTCAGACCGACCGTGAGGATCATTGGAGGGGGGAGGGTTGGTAATTGTCTCAAAGGGGCGACCTGCACGTGGCATGCTAAGCGTGTTTGTGCCGGATGGAGTGGTCACCCGAATAGCATCAGGATTATCCTCAGTACCACACTCAATGCGATAACCGGGTGGCAAAAAGGTATTGAAACCTTGAATGAGAGCAGGATGGCCATTAAAAAGAGTTGACACACGCTGAATCACTCCAGGCGTATCGATAGCCTGGCTCTTGAAATCTTTCATGATGTCCAAGAATCGGTTGTAAACATCAGGCTGATCAACGAAACGTACCTTGACCTGGTCGAGATAGCTCAGAGCATCATTGAGAATGGGTTGCTGGCCCTGCGCAAGCGCTGCAACATTGCCAGGGATTTGTTGTCCGGCGGCATTGTATCCCATCATAGGCTGTCCTGGAGGACCACCGGGGTGTTGCATGTATGAGCGAGGGGTACCTTCACCGTGCTGCATCTGAGGACCGAACAAGCCAGCAGCGGACTGGGGACCGCCTTGGTGGCCGTTCTGTGGGTTTCCGCCGAGGGTGGAAAGGAGTCCGCCCGGACCGTGGATGGAGTTAGGGACTTTGTTGGCGACAGGTTGGTGAAGAGGAATCGAGCCAGTGTGACTCTGAACAGGGTGATGAGATTGTTCGCGGCGATCTAACTGGCGCTCGATTTGCTCACGGTGATCGCGCTCGCGCTCGCGGTGGGCCATTTCTTCCTGGCGTTGACGCTCAATAATTTCGCGCTCCCGGGAGTCCCGCTCCCGTTCGCGGTTCAGCTGTGGAGATGCATGCTGCATAGCTTGGCCGATTCCAGGGAGGGAATGGCCGCTGTTGTGCGACGGGCCTGCTGGGTGCTGGCCGTAAGCAGATGGCTGGTGTGGACCTCCGTGGGTCTGGCTCAATTCTGCCAGCCCGGGGAGAGAGTGTCCACCTGACTGACTTGGGTGGTAGGGACCTTCAGTAAGATAAGGAGTCAGTATGAACGATTTTTTTTCGACTTAAAGTTCCATGAGAAAACCCATGGTGCATTCGCAGGGACTAACCGCCTGGAGGGGGAAGTACTGGGCCCGAGGGCTGTGAGGTCTGACCTTGCTGAGAGGGATTCTGACTGTTGGAGCGCAAGAAAAATACTTGATTAGTCTGTGATATCAAGCCATCTTGAACTCTCAACGAATATTCATACCTGAAAGACCCCAGGGGCCGAGGCTGCTGGTTCATTTGGTCCATGCCAGGATGCGACGGCGGCCCACCGGAGGAGTGCCAGCTATCGTTTCCGGAGTTCATGGTGGATTCACGAACCGGTGTAGAGGATGAAAGAAGAGGTTGGGTTTGGCGGATAAGAAAGGTCGAGGGGGGGTAAAAACAAGGGTCTCGTAATCGAGTGCTGAAGCTGATTGTCTCTTTTGCTTTTGGGGGTAGTATTCGACTGGCAACGCTCAGGTTGCACTAGGGTCACAGCATGACCTGCTTGCAAGAACGAAGAACAAATACCGAGACCACACAGAACTGCAAGAAAGAACCGACAGAGAAGAAGCGAGGTGGTTTATGGAGAAGAAACAGACTGGGGTGATGGAATTGCGCGCAACCGATCGCGGGCTCCAGTGGAGGCTTTCCTTGAGCGGCACTAACCTATTGGAGCTTAGCGGGCGTCAATCGGAATTTTGATTGTCCGAAATGTATTGAGATTTCATTGATTACGGTATCACTTGTCATCGATAGGCGGCAAATCGGTCAATGGCAGGCAGCACATTGGTCATGCGCGGTATTGTGCGATAGGTCAATTTCAGTCCGCCTTCGTCATCGCCCGCCATTGCCGGCAGAAAAACATGATGGCATTAACTGAACAAGTGAATAGTGTGAATAATACGAGTCATGAATGGGGGTGAATGGCCTAAATGAAGCTACAGCCTATTGACTATTGTGCAGCTATCCTTCTGCATCAGCCTACATAACGAGGCACCGTCTTGATGGTAAGAGGCATCTCTCGCTTGTCAAGCCTCGGAAAGGGGCGGAGGGCGAGGGCTGCCCAACAATGCCTTCGTGAGTGGCCTCTATTTAGCATCTCGTTAAACGCATTTAAGCCAAGTTCTCCTCTTGTACTTTTCCTAGTGTCCTTGTTCTTATCAGCACTAGGAATATAATGAACACAATGTGTGCATACACAAAGCTACCTAATATTCCAGCATCTCAATACTCGTTATGTAGCTACCAAATCTATAGACGTCTTTCAGCAATAACTATGGAAAGGGCCTCGAACAGGCATGACATTCTCGATCATGAATTGACACCCCATATAAACGCCTTTGGCAACCCCACTGCCTACCTAGCAGATAGGGAAAGGAGACAGGGGCAAAAGTAAAGAAAAACTAGGTCTCCAAACTCAAGACGAGTTCCACAATGAGGGCAGAGAGAGGGAGGGAGGGAATGGGGGAAAGTCCTGAGATTATGGAACCTGCGGCTTGCTGCTATCATTATTTTCTGGTTTTTCATCCTTCATATCTTGCCTGTTCACCGAGGCACTCCAGCCACCCAATCCAAACCCCAGATACGCCTGTCCATGGAAAATGATAATGACCTCGTGATGGCACGGTACGAAAGTATTTAGCGATTAGAGAGCGGAGAACACAAACAGCTACAGTCAAATTAGCAATGTGAAGCATGGGTCAGAGACAGGAAACTCACGTTGTTTGTCGCCGCAATTGCAATGCTGTCTTCGAATGGATGCCAGCTCATGTGCAAGATCTTCTTGTTGAAGTCGATCTGGTCGGCATCGGTCTCCTTCTTCATGCGACTTCCGGGGCCTGCAGGGCTACCGGATCGCGATCCGGCCTTCTTTCCGTTACCCTTGCTCATAGGCGTTGGTACACCAACCTTCTTTGCCTTGAATGCCGACTTGTCAGCCTGCAGCACAATCTCTGTATCCTTTTGTTCTTCTGTGGGGTAGATCATGAAGTTGTTGTTGTAGCTGCCGGTCATAACATTCTCCGCGTCGCCAGAAAAGACTACCTCGAACTTGTCGAAGATGCTATCATTCTCGTACGTATCGCAAAGACGGGGTCGTAGGTGCTCGTGGATAGGAATGGTCTTGACTGGCTGGCGTTCCATGTTGACATCCCAAATCTTTACTGTCAAGTAGTCTCTTGACACGATGTACCGCCCGTCGTTGGAGAATCGCACATCGGAGATGGAGGAAATAATCTCAGAGAAGAAGGAACGAGATGAAGCATCCTCTTCTTGTTCGAACACTATACGAGATGGTCAGTATAGCAATCAAACACAATACAACAATCACCCAATAACACATACACTTGGAATGTTCGTCGCACAGGGCCCGTTGTCGCATATCGGCAAGCTTGATTGTGCCCTTGGAGCTGGCATACATGAACCAATTGCAGCTGACTGGGTGGAACTCGGCTGCTGTGATGACCTCAGTAAGCTCCTCCATATTCGCTGGCTTGATATCCACAATGTTGAAGCTCTGATCCTGGATGTTGAGGTTCCATAGGTTCACACGGAGGTCGTCACTGCTGATAAAGGTTTCACCATCGCTGTTAACAGAGATGCTATTTATATGATACGCGTGGGCATTGGCGTATGTTCTCCGCGGCACAGCGGCAACCACTGTGTCATGGTGTGTCAGACGAGGCAGCTTAAGCGCAGAGGGGTCCTTGAAAGAAACGCGGGGTGCGCGAGCCATGCCCCCACCTCCAACGGGGTTTGCAGGAGTGAGTTCATTCGATAAGTTGTTCTCTGCGACCACTTTCAGGGACTTGTCGAACACCTTCCAAAGTTTTATTGTCTTGTCGTTTGTGGAGAGGAGGAAGTGGGATGCATTCTGTCGTCGGCACCATTTTATCTTGTTGATCTTCTCTTCGATCTCTAGCGACTTGAGATAATCGAACTCCGGCTCGTGTGACTGGAACTCGGTGTGAAACTTATATTCGCAGGTTTTTTTCTGTGTTATGCAGTCATTAGCTCAGGCAAGCGGGCGTCAAAAAAAAAAAAAAAAAAAACTTAAAAATGAGCAGGGGAGTAGCTACCGTCTCATTTCGCTCGAATAGTACCACTCGTCCTCCCTTGTCACCAGTCGCCAAATAGTTACCGGTATGATCAAATTCGACGGTCGAGATGATGTCCGCTGGAGAGCGCGTGTCAGTCGATGCACTCTGTGGAAATGGACCAGGTTCGGCCGAGGGGTGCGAGGGATGTTGGCAATTACCTTCTGTAATATCTTCTACATCGCCTTTATCGCCGAAGCATCTGAAAGTAAGTTAGCTGCCAGCTCAATGACTGTATGTGGTGACGTTGCATCGACCACTTGAATTCGCACAAGGAAAATTGAAAAAGCATAAAAGCAACGAGATCTCAAAGGATGTATCAGCCGACTTACTGTGTGAACTTCCAGGTAGGTGTGCCTGGATCTCTGTCTACCATTTTCTCGTTCTAGCTGGCCCTTGAGCGCGACAAGGGCGAGGACCAAGATAGGAAGGACGGAAAGGCGGGATGGCAAATGCCTCCGAAAGCTCTAGTGTCAAGGCAAAGAATCACTAGTGAAACAACGTAGGCGCGATAGCCGACACGAAAGAAATTCGGTCGGATGGAAATCACGATTGCAGAAAGCGGAAATGGAGAGAACAGTCGGTCACCAGAGTTGGTGTGCGAGGGGTTTCGAGAACGGATGGCGGTAAGGCGAAAAGAGGGGCAGGTGAGGAGGGGGGACAGCTACAATCCAAGTCGGAAAGGAGAGCTGATAGCTATGGAAGCGCTGTTGCCGGATGAGATGGCAACTGAGCTGATGGCCGATGGAACACAGTGAACGTGCTTGTTATGAGTGGGCCCGCAGCAAAAGAGCTTGAGAGGGGATAAGAGAAAAGTTTCTATGTGGAAGAGAAGCGCCCGTTAGAAAGAGAGTCCGGAAATCCAAAACTTGGTGAGGGGTGGGATGGTTGCGTACTGGGGTCTGGGCGATGAGGAAAGACAAGGAAAAGAGTTGCGAGGTGAAGTTGAGTTGAGGCGGTGGTGGGGAGAGTTACGGAGATACCCTGAGGTGACTCTGCTCCGTCAATATGAACGCCCAGCGAGTGATGTGATTTGAGAACGGTAGGCACAGAAGGGAAAATTGAAAACTACAGAAATGAGATTGAATCTGCTCGACTAATTCGGGTCGGGCACCTGAAAAGACGCTGACATCAACACTGCCAGCAACTGTAACATGGCCCCTCCCCCGGCCTTGCAACCCGTATACAACCGACCACGGAGGTTGAGGTTAGAAAACGTAGAATCTTGCGATATCGTCTAGCCTTTTGCTTCATGGGTTGAGAGACCACTATTTTGTACCCTTCTCAAGTGTCTCATCATCTATACCGTCCATGCCGGGAGCTGTATCATGCACGCCTCTGTCGTCATCCTTGAGGCCCAAGCAAGTCCCCCAGAATTTTAAGCATTGGCGTATCTTAGGTGAATTGATTGATCTGTCAGGGGAGCAAAGAACTGAGGGCAATTGGAGCTGTTTATTTGGTTTTTTCATCCGGTTTGTTCCTGCGTGTGGAAGCTTCATTGGAGAGTATAACGACAGAAGTATATATCAGACTCAACCCCCCCCAGTCCAAGCGTTATTTGCTCCCCAAAGGAGCCAATTTCTCGAAATCGACCTGCACTTACCAATCTACCTTTCTAGACCACAGAAACAAACCAAAAAAAATACCCTAATACTCCAACATCCAATCCCATTTCTTCCCATCCAATTCAACACTATCCAACGTGGCTCGACCTTCACATGCTTCCCCGGCCCAAGGGCATAACCAAACCCGAACATCAACCCGACAACAGCTCACCCCCAACGCCCAATCCCAAACCTCAACTTCGACCCAAACCCCCTAGGACCTCGCACCGTCTAACCCCAAAAGCCCAATCCATACCCAAACCATGACCGACAAGAACATGCGGGGCAATCCCAACCCCAATCCCAACCCCGAAACCCAAAGCTCCAACCCATCAACCTCAACCACACCCTCAACCCCCTCGCAGCAACCCCCACAACCCTCCCTAGCAAGCCGCATCCAAAGCTCCGCCGCCGGCCTAGCAAAAAGCGCCTTCCAACCCAGCACCGACACCGCCTCCACCCTAGCATCCAGCACGAGCAGCAAACCCGCCGGCCCATCCTCAAACCCCCTCCACGCCGCAAGGGATCTCTCAACCCCATCCACCGCCACCGCACATGGAGGACCAAGCGCGGCACCGCAAACCTTCCGCGAACCCACCCAGGGCGGAATCGCCCTCCCCGCCCTAACAGAAGACGAGTTCCAGGAACACGCCGACAACAAATTGTTACAAGCAACGACACTGGCGCAAACCGACCAACCACTGCACTCAGACCTCCAAACGCAAACCGGACCGTGGAAAGGAAAAGCCCGCCAAGATCCCACGCAACTGCAATTCGAAACCGCGTGGCAGCGCGAAGCGCCCACCCAAACACAACCCTCTCTCGATCCCACGGACGGCGCAGCCGTCATCGCCCTGCTCTCCGACGCAACCTTCGACCCTAACTTCGAAGACCCGACCGCCGTCCCAGACACAGAGTTAGACATCGCCGCGGCCCCGGCACCGCTCTCTGCGAGCGAGCGGGAAGCGCTCGATTCCTTCCGCAAGGGACTGGGGATGGTCGAGGAGAGCGCGACGCCTCGGCTAACGCATGCGAGCCTGGTGCCGGATATAGACACGTTCCTGAGTCAGGAGGGGTATGGGGCGGGTACGGCTACGGGTACGGCGCCGACTATCCTGCGGGATGATGTGCTGATGCGGCTGGCTGGGGCGAGTGATTGGGTTGGGGTGCAGGAGAGGTATCATGATGAAGTTTGGGGGTTTTTGCAGCCTGTGCTTGAGGCGGCGAGGGAGGAGATTGAGGGGAAGGGGGAGGGGATTGGGGAGAATGAGGATGGGCCGGCTGTTAGGCGATTGAAGATGATTTTGATGCATATGAAGGGGTGAGTTGGGGGTTTAGAGGTTTGGTGATATACCCTGATTGTGTTATAGATATTAAGATGCTATACCCATAATTATGAGGTTGGATATGTAATTTCTACTGCTGAAATGGTGAGAGATATACTATATTAGATAGCGAGAAAGGAGAAGACGATTGTCAGATTGGTAGAGGTGAGGCACACTGGGTATAAACAGGTCGATTATGCTGGCACCGAATCTACCTCGGCAATAATCGGCGACCACCTGGGCAGGTTGACGGCACAACGGCCACATACGAACATCCCAGACTAAGAACAGAGAAACCAACCTAAGAACTATTAATCTACTCTTACTTGACTTAGCCACACCCAATCTATGCAATCTACGTTCTATACCAAATTCATGATTTCAGATATATTCCAGAATAAGTTAAGATATGTATGTTACATTCGAAAAGTCGACCCAACCGGGACTCTAGATCCCAAATCATGTCAGGCGTGCATAAACCAAGCACGAAAAGAAAAAAGAGATGAAACGGGGGTATGGAAGATCACACGCTGGAGGATCTTATTTCATCGGAGGAGTCGTCAAGAGAAGAGGCATGAAGGCGGGGAGAAACAAGGGTATATGCGATAACCTTTTACAGCTCCAGGCTGGGGGTCTGGCCCTTGACACGGCCAATCACGATGTGGCCAGCATACTTGGGGATGACCTCGTCGTCGTGGAGCATAGCGAACTCCTCGGTTGCGTCACGGCCCATGAAGTTGAACAGAGCGTTGGCGCCGCCGGGGTGCTCCTCGGTCCAGTTTGTGACATCCAGAACAACGCCCTTGACGACGATCCAGAGATCCTCCTTGGTGTTGTGCTTGGCGATTTCCTCCATGGTGTACTCGGTCTCGGGGATCTTGAAGGCGGCGGGATCAGGCTTGGCGGCGGTCTCCTCAGCGGCGGGGGCAGCGGCCGGGGCGGCGAGGGCGGGCAGGCTTCCGCCGGCGGCGGCACCGCTCCACTCGACAGAGATCTTGCCGGGGGTGGAGGGGTCGATGTGGAGAGAGATCTGGCCAAGACGCTGGGAAGCAGCGGAGCCGTTGTTGATCACCTTCTGGAAGAGGTGCTGGGAGGCGGAATCGCCAGCAACGCGGCCGTAGACGACACAGCCGAGCAGGGAGGAACCACCGAGACGGTTGGCGCCGTGGACACCACCAGCCAACTCACCGCAGGCATAGAGGCCTTCGAAGGGCTTCTGTTCGCTGTTGAGAACCTGGGCGTGCTCGTTGATCTCGATACCACCCATGGTGAAGTGGAGGACGGGCTCCATGAGAGAAACGTGGAACTCATCGTCGAGCTTGAAGGGCATGTTGTGGAAGAAGCGCTTGTTCCAGGGGTCCTTCTTCTTGCCATCGGCGATGAGGTTGTACTCGTCGAAGGTCTTCTTGAGGGCAGCCTCGCCGCAGCCAATCTCGGCCACGAGCTCGGCACCGGTCATCTTCTTCATCAGACCACGGCCGGAGTAGTGGCGAGTGTGGAAGTCCAGAACATTGGAGGCCTTGCTGTTGAGGACGAGGCGGATGGGCCACTTGCCCTTCTCCTTCTCCTCCCACATCTTGCCGGACACGTAATCACGGTGACCGAGCTCATCGGAGAAGCGCTGACCGTCCGAGTTGAGGAGAAGACCACCCTCACCACGGAGAGCCTCGGCAGCCAGGAACTTGAACTTGGCCTGAGGATCCTTGGGGTCGACGAGACCAGTGGGGTGGACCTGAACCTTGTCCATGTCGATGCCGTTGGCACCGATGGCCATCAGCATCTTCTGACCATCACCAGTAGCGTGGGTGCCGTTGGTGGAGGACAGGTTGTAGGTGTCAGGACGGTGTTGCTTGAGGAGAGAGGTCTCGGTGAAGTCAGCGGCGTAACCACCGGTAGCGAGGACAACAACGCCATCGATGGACTTCTGCTCGCCGTTGACTGAGTAGGTGACACCAGTAACATTGTTACCGGACTTGTTGACAGCAGTGACGTTGGCCTTCTTGATGATCTGGACACGACCGGGCTCCTTCTCGGCGAGTTCTTCCAATCGCTGCATCAGGGCGTAGGTGATGGCCATACCGGGGAACTTGGCATCGTGGCCACGGTGTGTTCGGGGGTGAGTGTGGCCTCCAAGACGAGAGACGAGGGTGAGGTCGAGGTTGAAGACATCCTGCAGCCACTCGACGGCCGAGGCGGACTTATAGGTCAGGACCTTGATAAGGTCGGGACGGGCCTTGTCACGAGCGGACTTGAGGGTATCCTCGTAGAACTGCTTGACACTGTCCTGGATGCCCAGATCGGTCTGGGTGCGGGTGAGGGCACCGTTGATACCGGATGTGGCCTTGGTAGAGTTACCACCGAAGAAGGCCTGCTTATCCAAAACGACGACATTGCCACCGTTGAGATAAACGGTGTGGGCGGCGCTGAGGCCGGAGACTGGGAAGGGTTAGCTGGGCAGTTGGGAATGCGGGGAGAAAGGGATCCTTACGGCCACCACCGACCACAATTACTTGAGGTGCTGCCATTATGTGATGTGTAGAGGCAAAGGGGGAGAAGTTAGATGATGGAGAAAAGAAAAGGAGAGAAAGAGGGTCTTAAAGGGGAATCCGGGGCAAGTCCAGGTCAGAAGCCGACGTTCTATCGGCCGAGGCACAATGAGCGTGGGGAAAGTGGACGGGGTACCCGCTGTAATACTAATTGGCCAACGCTGGTTTGTCTTTCAGTTACTCCGTACAGGATCTGGGGAAGCAGAAAGGGGATCACATGCGATATATTTAAGTAACAGACAGATATAGCCTAGAATCATGTTACGTGCATTTTCACATGTCATCTGCGCATTCCAGTCCCTTCAGGGCTGGAGGTCCCTGAGGGGGAAACAGGCAGAGCTGAACTCGGAAAGTACAACGGAAATTACGGAAAACATACGGAATCTGCATACTCACGGTGTTTTTGAGACCGGTACTGTGAATTCCGGTTTCCTCGGTCTTGACAGAACACACTGTGAACCTCGGAATAAGACACCTGGGTAATCACGGTCCGAAATTACCGAGTCGGTAGTGGCATGATGACAACGTACTACAACATATGTTAGAGAATGAGACATTCCAGCTGTTGATTCCGATTTTATCTGTTCACTGACAGATGTACTTCGCAGACGGAGTACTCCATACACAATACTCCGTACACAATATGGATTCGATAAGTCACTCCAACAGGAACATCACGCGCAGAGAAACAGGTAAAAGCAGTCGCCGGCTGAAGAATGTGAGGCCTCTGATTGGCTGCAGAAACGGGGTGGATCTAATCCGGGGACGGGAATTGCCTCAGTGGGCCGGATGATCTCATCGCTCCACGGCCCGTGTTTTGCGACGGCGCTTGCTTAACATATCATCTCGTGCGGAAGCTTCACGATCACCACAGGTCTGTTTTCTTCCCTATCCTCCTTGGCCTCGATCCTCGCGTTGGTCTAGGCAAATCCCCATACGGGCGCTCGGGTCAACAGCAACCGAGGTAAGTACCTACTGACCGTATGTATGTAGGTACAACATACGCGGAGAATTCAAGCACTGATGAAAAGGCTGTCGAAGTTGGTACATCTTGCACGAGATGGGAGATATAGCACCGAAATGGACGTGAAATAGCTTCATGCCTCGCTGGGTATAGTGAATGTAACATAATCTAACAAGGTGGAGGAAGGCCGTGGGGGCTAATCCAAAATACCAAATCAAAACGCCGAGGCCAGGGGAAGAACAAATCATAATGCTCAATCCATCCAAGTTACACTTTTCGTCACCAAAAACTCATTCAAGCCCTCATCGGTGTTAAATCGCCCCCAGCCACTATTCTTCACACCGCCATGAGGAAGAGCAGGCTCATCGTGGATCGTCATGCTATTAATATGAACCGCCCTAAAAACGCGTCAGCATATCAAATCCACCGGTCCACCGATCCACTGATGCGAAATCGGAACATGAAAATTGGGGAAGTTGGGTCTGGAACATCCAACTTACCCAGATTGAATCCGTCTGGCCATCGCCAAGCCCTTCCGCAGATCCTCCGTGAACACTGACGCCGAGAGCCCGTATCCACTGCTATTAGCGAGACGGATCGCCTCGTCATCGCTGTCAAATGGCATACACGCCGCAACTGAGGCGAAGGACTCCTCTTGCCATAGTGCCATATCCTCTTTAACTCCGCCCAACACAGCGGGCGCCATGCGCACCCCGGAATCGGTGGGCACGCTGTCCGCAGACCCAGAAATGAAATGGGCACCTGCTGAGATGGCGCTGGCAATGAGAGCTTCGACGCGAGTCTTCGAGGCAGTGTTGACTAGCGTTGGGGGCAAGGCTGAGGCTGCGGCGCCAGCTGCAAGGGCCTTTTGCAGAGCTTCCGTGAAGGCTGAGAGGATCGAGGTGTGAACGAGAATGCGATCGGTTGCCATACAGATCTGGCCGGACTAGATGCAGAAAGATGAGAGTGAGCAATTGGGTTCCGAAAAAACCAGTATGGAATACGGAGGTTCAACTTGCGCCACGCGCAGTATAGCAAACTCACATTCAAGAAAGCACCAGCCAAAACGCCATTTACGGCAGTCTGCAAATTAGCATCCGCACACACGATCGAGCTGTTCTTCCCACCCAGCTCCATCAGACAGGGCTTGAGATTTTGACCACAGGCGCGCGCGATCTTCCGACCCACAACCGTGCTACCAGTGAAATTAATCTTGCGCACAGCCTCATGCTCAATCATGGTATTCACAATCTCAGGAGCATCCTGCGGCGCGCAGTGAATGATATTCAGACACCCAGCGGGAAGACCGGCATCTTCGAACGCACGGCCGATAGCCCAGTAGCAGCGTGGGGTGAGGTCAGACGACTTAAGGATCGTAGTGTTACCAGCGGCGAGGGCGCAAGCCGCAGAGCGAATACCGAATACGTAGGGAGCATTCCTATGAAAATATCAATTAGCATTGCGATTGTACAGAAAATAAAAACAAATTTCCCAGCAGAACCGCGGGATCTGAAAACCAAGGTTCGGACCTACCACGGGACGATTCCCAGAATCACACCCATAGCCTCTTTAAAGACCATTGCACTCTGGCCCTCCATCTCGACGACTGGCACGCTGCCACAGATCGAGGTGATGCGACTTGCGACCTCGCGGAGCATACGCACTGCAAGCGGGACGACGAACCCCGCAGAGGCGCCGACGTCCGCGCCCATCTCTTGACGCATGTACTCGGCATTGGTCTCGAGACGCGCCTCGAGAAGGTCGGCAGCCTTGAGAAGGATGTCGCGTCTCACTGTTGGTTTTGTCTGCGACCAGGAGGGGAAGGCGGCGTCGGCGGCTTCGACGGCGCGGATTGCATCTTCGGGTGTGGCGGCGGAGGCGTTCCAGATGGTTGTGTTAGTGTAGGGGCTTGTTACAGGGAATGTTTTAGGCGTTGTTTCTTCACGGCCGTTTATTAGCAGGGGCACTGTGAACCCAGTGTCGGGTTGGGTCGTCATGGTGAGATGTGAGATGTGGGAGGTGGGTTAGTGAGTAGCAGGTATACGGCGTGGGATGTACGTAGGTACAATATGAGGGGAACATAGAGGGGAATTAATTGAACCTCGGGCTAAAGTGTGCTTTACTCTACTCCGTACGGAATATACGGAATACTCCATATTCCCTCTCGGTTCCACTGACAATTGAATTTGTCGAATTCAGGATCGCCTTCTGAAGGACGATCTTTACCAGGAATCATGCGAAAGCCCTACGATCTGTCGCACTATTCCGCGCTACGCGACGACTATTTGAGTGTCTCAAGTCCAATTTTGCCGTTCTGTGCTTTCCACGGTTCATGCGGGCTAGATTTTCAAGGCACGATCCCTCGGAGGTTATTGGGCAATTAAGATTCGTACATGTCTCAACTTTGGCGGCCAGTTGCACAAAAAATTGGCTCGTTTAGGGGGATGCCCGGGCAATGATCGGCAGAGTGATGAGGTCGATCAAAGGCCGTATTCAAAATGCCCCACTGTGTGCAATTGGGCTTGGAAGAGGGGCCTTTAACCGTTTATCTGAAGCGCCCCCACGCGTGCTCCGGCAGAGTCGTGCTCTACAAGGTATACTTCTGTATCGGGATGTGTTCCCAGTAGCGTGTCGACCCTGGTTTAACTCTACTTGGCATTTAATAGCGCAGCTCGTCCCACACTATTGGAGATCTGCATGTCACTCGGTTAACCGTTAAGAGCATTGGGAAGCGCCGGGAGAATTGCTGAACCACGGATCAGCCCATGGTGGCGTGCGGGTGGCTTTTCCCGTGACACATTCTGTGCTTCTGGAGGGTTATACTGTCATGTATAACATAATTGATAGAGCAAGGAATATATGTTGCAGTCCACTATGAAGTACATGCACTTCGCACAGATACAAAGCACAGGGCATGTGTTAATGCAGTGTCGGCAATAGTCGATGCGGGCTTCTCATCCTTCTGAGAGTGTGCATGAACCAGTCGGATCTAGCTCGTATCAGATGGCGATCGTAGGTATATCCTTCCTAATACAGCATTGAATTTTCAGCTCCACCCCAAGCCACTCTGCAGGATCCACTGGCCTATTGTGTGAGCGTGAGAAAGCATGTGTAATTCCGGGTGTAACCTTCAAGGTCCTCTGTGCTGTAGACAATAAGCAAGGTGGTGCTTTAAACTGTTTGACGACCTAGAATATACAGAAACCGAAAGAGCCGGGGAGTCAACCTCTGACTTGTTAATCTACTCCGTACACTCCTCTCTGTGCACTTTTGCAACGAGACGGAGTATAGAGTATTCCGATCGTGTCATTCCACGTGGCTCAAGGCTCGCATCTCGCGCACAAACCAGGTGCCTTATCCGGACAGCGATCGGCCACGAGGGGCTGGATATGAGTGGGTTGAGTAGTGGAATATTGAATTTTGAGCCGGTTTAGGGTACCACGGCTCTGGTTGGATCTCAATATTCACGTCCCTGTCTTATATCGGTGGGTGCCCCGAAGTATTGTTTCCCACTCATTCGTTTTTTGTCTGCTATTTCTGTTCTATTGCACCCCCACATTCCTTTGGAGATTACAATTATATTACATGTTGAGAAGTACGCTGCATAGCCATGGAGCCTAGCAGAAAAGGTTGGCACATGATTGAGATTGTTTCGGTCTTGGTCTTTCTGTGCCTAGTCTCGGTGGCGCTACGAGTCATTGCTCGCATTCGGAGGAGAGTCGGGTTCGATGTCGATGATTATCTGAGTATTGTGTCCATGGTGCTACTCATTGGCATGTTGGCCGAGCTGGTTCTCTGTGAGTATTTGTTCTTCTCATTGGCAACGACATCCAATGCCTAGGTACTAACTGCCATCATAGGGTGTACGATTGGAGGCAATGGAGCTCACATTGCAGATCTTTCTGCGCACACCATCAAGAACTATTGGAAGGTAGATGCCCAGCAGCCTCAGTCTTCAATAACCCTATCCTAACACCATCCAGATCTTCCTCGCCAACCAATTTACATACTTCGTCCTCTGCCCCTGCATCAAGATCTCGATCATCTGCTTCTATCGACGCATCTTCGCAACCCCAAAATTCCAATGGGTCAGCTTCGGCTTAAACTGCTTGATTGCCGCCTGGGCTACAGGAATCTTCCTCGCATGCGCGGGGCAATGTCGACCCCTACGGGCCTACTGGGACCACAGCGTTGAGGGGAAATGCTTCAATGCACAAGAATTCATCATCGTCAACCAAGCCTTCAATGTACTAATGGACTTCGTCATCCTCCTACTTCCAGTCCCAATGATCTGGAACCTTCACCGCGCCTGGCAAGACAAGCTCGCGCTGAATGGTGTATTCGCCCTCGGTGCGTTCGTCTGTTTCGCCAGTATCTACCGCATCATCGCGCTCTTCTGGATCAACCCGACAGACCCAACATTCACCGTCTACCAGGCGACTCTGTGGACGCACATCGAGCCCGCCGTTGGCTTGATCTGCTCTAATCTGCCGGTCATCCGTGGCCTGTTCCCCGCCCTCAAGCTCAAGAGCTCCCGAAATGGAACCGGGCCTGGGTATATCAATACCGACTACACGAATTCTTTGTTTTTGTCGAAGTCTAGTCCCCGCTCGCCGGATCTCGAGTACATCAAGATGTACAATGCGCAGATTGAGAGTAAAGCGCCCGGTTATCTCGGTGATGATCTCCATCCGCGGAATATCAATGTTCAAACGGATATTTCCATCCTCCCGAGCAATGATTCGACTGCTAAGCTGAACACTTGAGACAGTGTGTTGTCGATTGATGATGTTATGATATGATGATATTTTGTCCTGAAACGGGATTGGATCCAACGGGGCTGTCTTCGAGGGAAAGACTATAAGCCTATAAAGTCTATTGAGCTCATGCCCAATGCTCACGGTCAACCAGGGTCTAGAAATACTTTTCCCGACCAAGTACATGGTGCCAGACTCAAAACGTGGCAAAAAGACCCAATATCTCTCCCAGAGACTCATCTCGGCCATCGCTGCACGCAGCTAAGGCCAAGACCAAACCGACCTACTGGATTCTATCAGAGAGATCGAAAAGAGACACGGCCTCCCACACAGCCGGCATACTAATGTGCCATGCCAACAATCCCATTTATCCACCTCCTACTTTGTACATTCTTACCTCCATTTTATGTTCATAGAACCACGACTTGCCACGGCAGTTGCGTACCCTCCCCATCTTTGCCACATTTCATTCGTGATATTGATATGTTGACTTACAAGTGATTTGCCTATTTACACAACAACGCTCTTTGGCTTTGTCCATACCATGCTATATACATCTCATGTACTATTCTTATATTAGAGTAGCTGTACTGTCATCGGTCCTTTTGGCCTTGGGATGAAGTTGGAAGGTTGTATCCTATATTAAATTGAGCAACATTCTTTCTATTTGATCAATTTACTTGACGGTGATTCACACCTTGCTTCATAACAGCCAGTTCTAACGCCATGGATATCTTTACTCAGCAGGTTTTAATGATATACAAGTCACCAAGATCAACAAAATGAGCTTGACTTTTAGCTCTCAGACTGGCTAAACGGATATACAAAAGTAATTAGGCATCAATTCGTAGCTATTTCATCAAATGAGGCACGGAGACAAAGTAGAGTTTCAATGCACCATCTGGCTCGTAGCAAATTCCTTTAGTCAAGAGTTAGCAATGTGAGAAAAGCACGCTTTCACAAGCAAAGGCCAGTACATACCGGGAACTGATCAGAGATACTAGCCGCAACACGCTCCACATCCTCCGCAAGATCCTGCACACCAAGATCCCACTGCCTCAACTTAGTTCCATTTGAAGTACCCGCAGAGGAGCCTCCGATAATCTCAGCATCAAAAGAGATAATCCCGTCAATTTGATCTATACGGCCACGCAGACGTTTCTGCTCAACCATACGCGCCGCATAGGCCTCTGCCTTTTCGCCAGCAGACAAATCACCGGAGGCCTGCAGACCCAGAATCAAGCCCAGGGCATCGACATGGATATTCTCATATAATTTACTCGCTGCAACGAGGTTGTGCTCGATAACCGCTTTATCGAGGACGGTCGTGCCATCCGAAGTGAGAGCAAGCTGGTGCGGGGCGAGCTTCTTCGCGAACGCAGAGACTTCCTCGGAAGTCAGGAGTCTGTCGAGGAACATCTTCTCCAAGATGGCGAATTCTTCGACAGAGGGCGTGCGATCGTCTTTGTACAGACGGGCAAGCGAGCGGGAGCGCTGTGGGCCTGCGGGCGCGAGGACAGCGCAGCGAATAGCCGCGGACAGCGCTGTAAGACGGTCTTCTTCGTCGACGCCCGGCGCTAGACTCACGTTGAAGTACTCCTGGGCGGCGTCCAGGAAGCGGCGACGGGCGTCGAGGATGCGGGCCTGGGAGAGCTGGAAATACAGCTTTGCATCGTGATCTTCGATTTTAGAGGGCAGATTCTTAATCCGGTTGAGGAAGGCTTCGGCGTTGGTGGTGTCGTCGTCTTCGAGGTAGTAGCGCACGATGCGGATCCAGAGACGGGCTTTGGCGGCGTCCGAGACTAGTCGTTGCGAACTATCGATGTGGATGCCCTGAAGGGCGCGCGCTGCGGCGGTGTATTCCTCTTGAGATTCGTAGGCGTCGGCGAGGATCTCGCGGATCTGAGAGTCTTGTTCTTCGACCGAGGCGGAGCGTGTTTGGAGGAGGGTGATGGCGTGTTGGCCGACTTTGATTTTTGTTTCTGGGGTGAGGGTTTGGAGGACTGTGATGAATATATCGAGGAGGGGGCGGGCGGCGACAATGCTCACTTCCTCGCTGAGGATTGAGTCGAGGAAGTAGACTAGGTCTTGTGCGAGTTCGTGACCGGTTGAGGTTGTTACCATGTCATTGAGCAGTTCTTTGTATTGTTGTAGCTTTGTTGCTTGATGTGTGTTGGATTCGATGGCCGCTAGGGCATTGGTTATCTTTTGGGAGGCCATGCTGGTCAACAGGAAGTTTGAGGAAATAGTGGTAGAGCGGATTGTGTTGGATGTGGAGTGGTGATGGGGGGAAGAGTGATTTGGAGCCCAGATACTCTTATCGATAAGAGCTGGATCTTGTTCCATCAACAGAGCGGAGTCTTCATGACATCGAAGTACGCAATATGACTCTTCTGATGAGGTTTAGCCCAACCAGATCACTTTTCATGTTTTGAGGCTGCAATTGCCGTTGGGGTCCATCCCGTACCTGGGCTTCCAATGTTTTCATTTATTGGACTACACAACTGCATGGGCATATATATGTACCTAGGCACCTATACTTGCGAAAGTCACTCCAGTCAGCCATTAATAGAACTCCATAGAGTGATTTTTGCTCTCCATCTTACAGAAGAATTATCGCTCTAGCTCATACCTGATACTCTGGTGATAGAGACGGCAATTCCGCAGATCACAATAGGTGTGCCCGAATATACCGTTCAAATGCGTAGATTGGGAGGAAATGGAACGGTCATTGAGGGACCCAGTTCAAGCTCAACTCGGGATTTTATAGATCCAGAGACTCCTTCAGTCCAAGAACTGCATGAGTACCCGACCAGTCTGGAATTCTCGCTCACCATCCTGACCACAAGCTCTTCGGTTGCTCCCATTGGATTGGACACGGACATTGTCGCTACCGCTGTCCCTACGTGTCTATTCGGATGCCATGATCTTATCTGAGATTAAACACTCCGAACATCTACTACTTCTCGACGTGGCAGTAGGTACAACCGATGATTTCCACGTCGTTGCCGGTGGGCTGGTACTCTTCTGTATTCTAGCTCTGTTCTTGCGTGTTCCAATTTGTCTTGGCAACCCATACAGGCTATTCTCTATCAAGCATATATTCTTGCTCGCCCAGGTTGTATTCCTGGTAGGATTATTGATCTGCTCTATCGCCACGTCTTCTGAAAAGTCGCAACGTCATTGCCGGCACAATCTTAACAATGCGCTGGAGTATTACTTACCACCTTCCATCAAATCGTCCGCGTTAACTCACCTATTGGAGGCGGATATATGATGGTCCCAATAGCCATTGGTGTCAGCATTGGAATGCTTCTCTGCAAATCCGGAACTAGTAAGATCGGTTACTATACGCCATTGAAGCTTTGTTCCTCTACGCTTCTGCCTATCTTTGCGGGTCTCATAACAACTCTGGGAGTCGATACGAGCTTTGTGCGACTTATCCTGTTCTCTGGTGCATTTGGCTTCCCTAGTAGAATAGAAGTCTGTCTATTGTGCTTTTCGCACGGCAACTTGGTCTTGCTGTCTCCATCGCCATAGTTCAGGTCATTTTTACGTGTAAGCTCTCATCTAACTTGGCTAGAGTAGTCCCGGGCCTCGATCCCGCAGCTGTTGAATCTACTGGGCTGTTGAAAATCGTTGAATATGCACCAGCGCCTCGGCATGGAGATGTTCTGGAGGATGCAGATATGAGTTTTGGTGAAACCTGGTACCTGGCTGTTGGGTTGACATGCGCAACATTGCTTGGGAGCTTGCTTATGGAGTGGCGTTCAGTGAAGTAGAAGGATGCCTGAATTGGCGGGGGTAATATCGTAGATCTGCCTTTGAACTATGTCTACGCAGTCTGTCTACGCGCGGAAAAGAATCTGTATCAATGTGGAGCTTGTGACAGTAACCTTGGAATGGAGTGATGGTGACTTGAGGTTTGGGTCTCGAGGAGGCGAGACGACAGAGAGATCACAGCCAAAGTGAACGATGAGCGAGAACTCTAGAGTGGGAAATTGGGAAAAGAAGGGGTTTCTCGGGCTACCGCAGGACTTTGACTTAATGAATCCCAATGAAAATTGAAGCAATATATGCCGAGTGCAAAACGCGGCTTGAGCTTACATGAGGGAATGGGCTGTGCCTTGCGCTTGAGGTCGTTTGCTAATAATTGGTCTCTTTGCTTTTCGACTACCTGTACCACGTCCCTCCCCCAGTCGTACCCAAAATAAACACAGCAGGAAATTCTAATCGAGGCATTGACTCGGAAGTTTTCTGCTTGACCAACTAGTGGTCATCTTCATGAGCGAAAAAGAAGTCATCATTCAAAGAGATAACTAGCTCTCACCGCCTGCCTCTTCTGGTGACTGAATAGCTCCATCCAGACTTGGGTGGCGCGAACTTCATCACTCAAACACACTTCTCACCCCATCCTTTTTTTTTATCTCCGCATACATATCGATACGTGTCGACGGTCGCATCTGCCCTGAGCTCAATTTCTTTCAATTTCGACCGTCCTCGAGCTTCCCCGCACCCACCATGGCCCAGGTCAAGCAAGACCCGGATCGCGCGTACATCAAGCAAGAGTACATCAAGCAGGACCCCGACAGCAAAGATACTGTCCTCGGAGACATAGACGAAGAAGACCTTTATGAAGATGCTGGGGATCTAGACTTCACACAAGCAGGACAAAATGTGTGGCTTTCTCGCCTGCCTCGGCAGCTGTGGGAGCACTGGGCCCACCTCGACGATGACGAAGAGATTGAGATTGGCACTATGAGAGTGGAGGGAACACCAGATGATATCAAAAGAGTGAGTATATTGAAACGCGCATGCATATCTCCTTTTGACGCATCCTGACATCCATTCGTTTCCCAGGTCAGCTTGCGTTTACATGACCGCCCAGATAATCGAGAAATTCCCAAAGACTACACACTTCAGCGCCAAACGGTCGATCCATCGGGTACTGGATCGCATCTCACACACAACACTTACGTTTTCACGGAGAAGGATATCCCAGGCGTTGAGAACCGCATGGCTACGTTTGGCGAAACTCGCTCAGTGCTGTACGAATCCCAAAAACGTGAAGCGAAGCGGCGGGAGCAGGGCAAGCGATGGGAACCTTATGTGCGGAAGACTATACCAAGTATGTTACCTTGCAGGCATGACGAGTGGTATTCTCTGACAATTTCCAGAACATACTGCCCTCGCTGGCGCGGTCAGTGAAGAGTTCAATTGCCTCCCTGTGGAGAATGAGGAATTCCGACGGATCTCTGAGAAGCGAGCGCTGGAAGCTCTGAAACCCCGAAAGGAAACCGTCTTCATCGATAAAATTCCCGGCAAGATCATCCAGGCACGCCATGCTCTTCCTACCGAGAGGGGCCAGTTCGTGGTATGTCTTCACATTTGTTCTCCCTATTTCGAGAGCCACTTACTCACGTTGTTTATAGCAAGCAACGAGAACTTCCAAGGGAAAATCCCAAGAGAACAAGTCCACCCGTATGCCACAAAACGAGCTTTTGGATCTTATCTTCCAGTGCTTCCGCGAATTCAAATACTGGCCTTTTAAGACGCTCAAGGCCAGATTGGCACAGCCTGAGGCCTATCTCAAACAGACCCTGGAGATGGTTGCGCACCTTGTTAAGGCTGGTGACTTCGCTATGACCTGGGAACTGAAGCCTGAGGCGACACACAGTCAGTACTCGAATGCGATGGATAATGCCAGGGCAGAGTTGCCACCGGGAGCCGATGATGCTTTCGAATCAGAGGATGATCCTGCATCTGGGATGGTCACAGACCAGGATGACATTCAGTTTGAGAACGTTTGATAAATTATCACAAATAATGCCTTCGATATGTAGCATAAGCAGGGTCTTGGCGTTGTGGCTTTCAAGGGGAGGGCGGAGTCCGCATCGAATTACGAAAATAGCCATAGAATGAACAAATGATTTACTGACCTGGTCTCAAAACTACATGTAATTATAGTCAAATGTGATACCCAAGTTGTGGGTTTGTAGATCCTCGTACGCGCCATAGTCCCCATCACGTGCTGGGATCGATACGCCACCAGCGGTAAATGAGCGCGTCTTTGCTTCCTCCACATCCCCAACTCAGACTTTTTGCAAACCCACCAGCTTTTGCTCTTGATCTGAAAGAAAATTCAGATATTTATATCTGCCATTCACTAACCCCATCTAGCTCTAGCTGGTAATCATGACCGAAAATGAGGATCTCCTGGCCAAGATCGGTCAGCTTGCAGGTACACTCAGCTCGACATCAGCTCACTCTCAACATAGAGCTAACCATAGCAGGTCAAATCAACCGCCACAAGACACAAGAGACCCAGTCTACTAATCACCAGTCTCAATATGTGTCTCGTCATGTCCCATCTCACCAAGGATGGGCACCTTATTACAGAGGAGGTCGCGGACGAGGACGAGGACGTGGAGGAGCTGTTGCTCCCCATCGGCATCGCACGCTTATATTGAACAACACAGGTGTTGGTTCAACTACTAGTACCACCCCCTCCCCTGCACCAACAGGCGACCACAATGGCGCCACGCTTCCCACACCAACTTCGAGCAATGGCTGGGTTGCAAGGCACGATCGCCACATGCAGTTGATCAACTCTGCCGTTTACGATAAGGAAGCCCAGGCTAGGGCAAAGGCTATGGAAGAAACGCGCAAATTTAGAGAACGGAAACGAGCAGAGCGCGAACAAGCAAAAGTACTTCGATATGCGCAAGGCCCTGGTGCTACTGCGATGGTCTCTACCTCTGCACACCCTACAGCCGGCCATCAGATTCTCGTCAACGATGTTGCCTTCAAGGTCGCACGGGGCGGAAGTAAACTGATTCGAGTCTCAAGTGCGTGTTTTTCCTTCCTTTCACATTGAATTGGCTTACCCTTCATAGATGACCCCAGTACTGCCAACAATACCCCTAAGCGTGTTACGGTGGCCGGCGTCTCGTTTGTGCGCAGCAAAAACGGAAACTTGCACCGCCTTGGCGCCGTGGCCTTGAAGAAGTGAGTCTTCGTCCCACAAATATCTACACCCATATTGACCCTTGCCACAGAAATGACCTCGTCAAGAAACGCGACGAGCTTTGCAAGAGATTTACAACAACCGGTATTTTGTTTTCCACGGGCCATACTGCTCAGTTCCGCCCTCTCAGCACGCCCAAAATCTAATCTTTCTTGTTTTTTAGGTACATGTTACAAAGGCCCAACCTGCCTCTTCGTTCATGACCCCAGCAAGGTTGCCATTTGCAAGGATTTCCTTCAAACAGGCCAATGTGCCGCAGGTACTAGCTGTGATCTATCCCATGAGCCCTCGCCTCACCGCTCCCCCACCTGTATGCATTTCCTTAGAGGGCGCTGCGCCAACCCGGAATGTCGTTATACCCACGTCCGCGTGACCCCTGGCGCCCCCGTTTGTCGCGCGTTTGCAACACTAGGTTATTGCGAGAAAGGCGACACCTGCGAAGAAAAGCACGTCCACGAGTGCCCAGACTACGCCAATACCGGTGCCTGCCACAAGAAGCGGTGTCAACTGCCCCATGTTGACCGCGCGGGCCAGATCCGAAAAGCTGCCGCGGCTGCTGCTAGTAAGGCTGATTTGGGAGATGATGAGTCTGACCCGTCTAGCGAGGAAGAGAACTACGATGCCATCGATTCGGACGATGTTGACTCCGACGAGTTCGACGATTCCCCCGAAGAAATTATCGAGGGCGTGGATAGCGGCGAGATGTCGCAGCAGCAGGACTTTATTAGCTTCTAATTCCTAAATCCTGCACTCTGTAGTTGATTGGATAGCTGGCGCTTTCTTTTCGTTTCTGCCCATACCCCGATGACATGTTGATACCACTCAGCTGAGAAAAAAATGGAGAAAGAAAATGAAATTGAATAATTTGAACATTCTGCTCATGTAGACAGTCTCTTGGGTTGTTTCTTGGTCACTTGTTGTACTTGGCGGGGATGTTCGGTATATCGGACGATCCTCCCCGCCGGACCATGTGATTGCGATAGGACCAACTCCAGGGTCTTAGGTATGTCCTGCTGACTGGTGGCATAGAGTAGGAAGTTGTGTGACCGTAGAAGTATGGATAAGCCTCCCTATTGCGTGATGTTTGAAAGTTAAATGGACTCGTGGAGAGCACAATATTGAAATCGGCGCTCCAGGATATCCTTCCGAGACCCTACAAGCATGAACCCCAGACTGTGAAACTTGTTGAAGCCAAAACAATATGGGAGATAGACCGAGAAAGACAAAGCAAAGACCTAGAATCTTGTTTATGGATTAATAGAGATGTGTAGATGTGTAGTATTCAGAATATCTGGTTGATATGCTAACCTCAGTGAAGTTGTCCAAGCACGGACCTTGGTGGGGGTATATCAGATATCGTTCTTCCTATACAACGTGCTGGTACAGTTATACACTTCAAGTACTACGAAGAATAACGCCATAGAAATTATCTGCTGTCCAGATTGCAAACATCCACTGATATGTGACATTGTGATCAGCGCCCCGTTGTGTATTGAGAAAGTCGAGATGGTGACTGAGGAACCATATCAAACATCTTGTCCGAATGGGGAACACCCATCGGAAGGGTTGTATACTGAGGAAGTAGGTACTTGGGTATCGAGTGATGTATAGTTGATGATCTATACTTGGAACTTATCCAGGGCCCTGAACTTTCCCGTAACCTACCAGACTCAAATCTCTTGCAAGCATCGGCGGCTACATCGGGTCAGGGACATGATGGTATGCCAACCCTCGGTTATGTTGGGATTCGCGTTTGAGATTGAATGGACCATGAGGCTACGCGTCGTGCTACGTTTGCATAGTTTATTGGATACTAAGTCATAGATAGAAAGACTACCCCAAAAGAATACTAGAGACGTCATCGAGTTGGAGGACATGAAGGTATTCCATGTCGGACGAGAATAGCAACACAGGGAGATCAGTGTTTCGGACGAGAGCACCAAATCAGAAAGATAGTGACTCACTTAGTCCATGAGACTGAATAATCGCATCAATTCCTGAAATTGCGATCACCATTAACCACCTGTACTGAATCCATCTCGCCAGCGTGTTGGCCATAAGCGCAGAAAGCGACAGAAACCCCTCACAACGTCCCATGCCTACTTCTCGCCCTGCTACAGAAATGAGTCATTGAATCGGTGAGCGAGGGCCCTCGGCACAGAGATCAAGTGGTCTTCTGCGATGGGTCCCCAGTCAACGACAGGATTCCCCGATAGGTAGCCTCCAAAGACGCAGAACGTCGACGATTCCCGAATGCGGCATGTGGAGCGCACTGGAACTACAGTAGTGACCACCTAGTGGCCCATTCGCATCCAATCCCACGCACAGGGTCGCCCCCATCTAATGTGCCCAATGTATCCCGACGCACGGCAAATCAGGCAGGTACCGGTTCAAAGTGAGGCTTTGAGATCACATTTGGCATAGCCTGCATCGGGGATATGTTTGAGAAAAACTTGGGCACATACGGTGTACAAGATATGGGAGGATTGTATGGATCCTTCCGAAGTGGTGGGCCATTGACTGCATAAGTATTCGAGTGAAGGTGGACCCGTGGGACCTGCCATGACCTTCTAGCTCGTTCACGGAAGGTAGATCGCCAGTTTCATTCTGAGTCATATGGCAAAATGGCGGTTTCAGCTTCACCGCATGAATTTGCTCCGGTATAGTCTTGCATTGGAGGGAGTATGGGGGGCGCTAAGTGTCGTGGTCGTCAGACAAAGGTACTACAATGATATTGCTCCCGGATTGGATTTACCGCATTGGAGAAACGTCATCGATGAACCGAGATGAAACCATGATCGGGTACCTTGCACGGGAAATGAATTGCATGTCCCATTAGTAAGGTAGCAGCGGACGGGATGACCGATGGAGGGACTGGATCTCGATTGGACAGACTCGGCTTTTTCACCGCCAGATCTTATCCGAGTTAACTTTCCCACTCACGGAGCTGCCGCCCAGATGACAGGCCTATCATTTCCCGCTTATGCGTATGTACTATGTATAGCCCGTGAACAGACTCAGGGGCTGCTGCTGAGGAGGTTTGTGCTCCGGGGAATTGTTAAGACAAGTTGACAGGAACAGGTACCGGGTTTGCGCTTTGGGCGGAAATACTAGGTAGGTATGGGGCCTACTGAATTATGGGGGATGTACGGAGTACGCGAAAAAAAAAGCAAAAATGGAGATTGACAGGCTGAGTTTAATTCGGGTATGATTTAGATCTTGGTATCCTGGGTGAGGCAAAATAATAGGTCAATTATAGGGTGTTCACCCCGCGGCAATGCAGAAATATACCGGAAAGCATCCGTCAAATACAGTGGCATCATATTCCCTGCACTCCGCATAGCAGATCACGGTGTACATGTGGTCTGTGAGCCTGAAAATGTTGGAAAGATGGCTGCTTCAGCCATATGGGAGGTGCAGGGAGAGCTGCAAGCAGATCACGGCAAAGACGAGATCAGGCGTGTGTGATTTTCGACCCAAGCTCTCGCCTCAGCTAGAGCCTTAACCCCAGGGTAATCCCTATCTAGGTATTTTATTTTGGAGGGGTGAGGTCGTCATCTGGATGGCACGAGTGATCAGTGCATGATATCCGTGCTTTTTCTATTATTTTTCCCTTCTTTGTCTTTGCTCACATCCGTGGTCGGCCCAACAGTGGATCAGCGGGCCGAACCCGTACCAGAGATTCATTCTACGGAGACCAAAAACCTCATGAGGACGAGAGGACATCCCAAAATAAAGAAGACAAAGGGAAAAAGAGACCAAAACATTCAACGCAGCCCAAAGGGATCGTCACACTGACTCGGGAACGATTGGCTGTTAGCGGCGGATAGAAGGAAGGGATGACATCTAGACTGGACATCTGACCACTCACGAGTTATGATATTAGTACATAAAAGTTACTCCGAGATACGCCAGAGTACTTGATCGGTAATACATGCATAGGTAGAGTGAGATGTAGCAGGTAGTATTCTACTTAAGCGCTGTAAACAAGGTATAGCACAGACCATATACTCCCCCACGACAGGGGTTGCCTCAAGCCGGCGGAACGAGGATCGATCGATAGGCTATCGTTTATCGATAAGCCCAACGTCTGATTCTCCCCCCACTTGAGAGGGCGGCTTTGGCTGATCGGAAGAGAGAAAAAATGGGCATCGCCGGGATTATTGTGTACATCAATGCCTGCTGTATCTGCCTATCATGTGGGAGTGAAGTATGGAGTACATAATTCCAGCATTAGCATCGAGACTGGGTCATAAACAACAAATCTAAATCTAAAACACAATTAACGGAATAATTAAAAATAAAAGAAGAATAAAATAAAATAAAATCAGACCCGAACCAAAATAATCAAACACCAAATGCAGGTCTGCCCAAGCAGAAACGATGCAGCCAATAACGGAGATGCTGTCCCCGGGGCCACACTTGCACTCCCGCGCAGACCGCTGGATTAGTACTGGGTACTTGATCGACAGCCTATGCTGCATCACCCGAATCGGTACTCGGTACCTGTGGGTACAGTGTCAACCGCACGAGCACTGCGTCTGCTACATAGGCTGCTTCTTTTCCCCCCCGGAACTAGATCACAACATATTCCCCTCTTCACAGTTTCTATCAACATCTTATATTCACTTCGACGCTTCCATCCAACTCCCACTTTGACAATTTCACTCTTCTTGATTCTCTATAAATCATCATCTTTTCCCGCCCCACCCCTCTTTCTCTCACACACCGCCTCTTCATGATGGCACGATATTTCCAATCTGAATTCTACCAACATTCACCATCAACATTAGACGTGGCCCCAGAAGACGACGAGATGAGCGTGTTGGACGATAAGATTCTGGACCCCAGTTCCGAAGACCTTTCCGACAACCGCCGCTCTTCCTACGACGCTCCAGATGCCTACTCACATCGTGATTCCATCTGGTCCAACTACTCAAATACCAGTTCCAACCAGTCCCGTTCAAATTCTCATTCGCATCTTGGACATGCCATGATGAACTCGACTGCCTCATTCATGCCTGTTGATGGCCCTCAATCAACCTCCTACCCACAGACATCTTGGTCTATGCCACGCACGGATTCCGGGTCATGTACCCCGACCGTGGGCTATGACCAGTACGCTGCGGATGGAGACCAGAACACCACCGCTCCTTTCTCTGGTGGGGCTGTTGGCCCCGTCGGCGCCATTCCCATGAACCATATGTCTTATCGCGGTGGTATGGCCTTTGCGCCGCCTGGCAGTGTTGCCATGTCACCGCAGTCAAGTCAGGGCTGGATGCCGGCGCCGATGGATTTGGCCGAAGCAGCCTCACACTCGAACAAGAGTCCGACGTATAGAAATGACTCGCCGTTGACTGTTCGACGGGACGGAATTCGAAAGAAGAACGCCCGCTTTGAGATCCCCGCTGAGCGGACTCTCAGCAATATCGATCACTTGATCAGCCAGTCCACCAATGAGGATGAGATCAAGGAACTCAAGCAGCAAAAGCGACTGCTGCGAAATCGGCAGGCAGCGTAAGTTGATTACATCATTATTCTTCTGTTGATGGGATGAATGCTAACTTGTTTGTTATAGACTGGATTCTCGGCAACGCAAGAAATTGCACACCGAGAAACTAGAAGATGAAAAGAAGCGGTTTACCGCCAGAATCGGGGATCTCGAAGAAGCACTGCAAAACATGAAAATGAGAGAAGCAGAGCTGATGCGCGAGAAGAACGACTGGATCGTCACCCATGGGCAGATGAACCAGTATATCGAAGGCCTGCACATGGAAAAAGACGAGATCATCCGTGTGCACACGCTGGAAACAGCCGAACTGCGGAAGAAGAACAACATTCTGATGGAGACCGTCGACAAGTTGGAGCGTGGTGTCAAGCCCGTCCAGGAAAACCTTCCTGGCGACTTCACCGGCTTTGAGAACTTGACCATGGAAGGCCAGCCATGGGACGACTTCTCCCTGTCCAACGGACTCCCTTTGCAATCAGAATGTGTTCCAGTCCCTCGTCCCCAAGTCGGACAGCAGGCCAAGGCCCCGGAGAAATCCAACGGGTCAGAGATCAGCTGGAATGCCTTCTACATGTGCCTGCTCTTCGGCGCCTTCATCGCCTCCAACGGCACTTCCCTCCCCGGCCGCTCTTTGCCTCAACTCTCCGAAGAGTACCGTGCTGAGTCAGCCAACGTTCTCAAGGCAGTTCTTGCCTCATCGGGCGAGCTGACCCATCCCCACTCTAGCCATGCGACAGTTACCGGCCCGGCGCCGGCAACAATCAGCGGCATGGAGATGGCGCAGATGAGCTCCGGGCAGGCCGTGCCCTCGAGTCTTGACCAGCTGCACAGCACGCTGGTCATGCCGACAGAGGAACAGGAGCGTGAACAGGCTTTCTCACTGAATGCTAACCAGTATCACTCTCTAACAACGTTTGAAGACGATAGCGGCGCGTTCAAGCCGCAGCAGCCCTCGACGCTGCAGCAGGCGCTTGCCGCCATGCGCGATACTGCCGCGCAGCAGAGTCGTATGCACTCGGCTGCGTCTTCGGATGTGTATTCCAGATCGCTGATGTGGGACCGTGTGCCTGACAAGGTTATCCGTGACTTCCGCCGTATGGTGCAGGACTATGCTATCCCCGTAAAAGAGGAAGGTATTTTCCATGCCTAAGCTTTTTTCCTTTTGGAATTAGTCTTGCGATTTTTTCGACGCCGACAGTATTTCTTGTGATTTTTTTTTTCCTTCTACCTTTCTTGCATTTCTTATCACGTCCTCATTTAGGATTGTTGTTTGATCTGCCCTCTTTTTTCCTTTCCTTTTCTTTTCTCTTCTTCTTCTTCTTCTTCTTCTTCTTCTCTTCCTCCCTTCTTCTTCTTTTCTTCTTCAAAAATATGGACCAGCAATGGCCCTTGAAATTCTAGCGTGCAACGATAGATCACGCAACACTTTTATTCTGTTACTTGTGTATCTTTTTTGGCATAATTTTCAATGTCCTTCTTGTGAAATTCGGTTTTTAGGGTGTTGTTTACTCGGGCGCGGGCTTTGTTTAGCGATGTGATGATTTTTAGCGATTGGCTTCGGAGCGTGTTTCTGTTTCTTTGGAGGAGGACTTATATTATACGAACAACAGGGTGGGAACCTGAATCATGTGTTGATGTGTTGATGTGTACAGACACGGGATCCTCTCAGGGGGATACGAGAAACGAAACGAGTTATGAAGAAACCTTGCATATGACGATTGCATTCAACTGTGCTTATTATGATGTTTTCTATGTTACTTCTTATGTTTTTATTTAGCGGTTTGGGCTGGGACAATGTCATTTGCAAAATGGGACGGCCGGTGGTTTCGGGCCGGATGAACTTCCTTTTCTCTTTCTGTTTGCTCTTAGACCTCTTAGAGATGTATCAGCTGAAGCCTAGACAATACACTAAGCTCGCAAGGTTGCTCTAGCCGGAGAGACTTTCATTCTCATTCGTACTCATCCCACGAATGGCGGTGACGCCGAACGGGGCATGAAGAAACCACAAAGTGATATCACACCCAACACGAACCACTATCACTGTTTGATTAGCATTAATTTATTAATAATTGGCTCGGCTCCAGCCGAATCAGCGCCTTCCTTAGCATATTCAACGGTGGTCCCTAGATTGCTCTCCAAAGTCGGAATATCAGATCAGCGTATTGACACTATCCACACTCCATGCTTTTGTTTTCGTCCATGGTCTAATATCTGAGTTCAAGCTACTATAGACCACCTGCCTCATTCAGTAACATCTCCTCGATCGAAATCTCGTCATGGCAGGGGTTGATCCACGCGCAATCTTAGCCGAAGGACCTTGGGGACAACTCGCGGTGCCAATTGACCCAATCACCACCCCGGGCGATGGTCCACTGACAAGAGTTGCGTCAAGGCTTACATCGTTCCAAGCTTTTGACAAGAAATGTCCCGAGTCTTAACTGCTTTTTTACGTGGAGGGTTTATGGTTGCTCTCGTTCAGGCATTCGATGCCCAGCGAAGACATACGAACTCTAGATTGACAGTATAGCATCAGCATAAAACAACAATTTGGACGCTCCGATACTAACTAATGGAAACAGCCATGCAATAGATCTCATGAGACCTAATATCCCAGTCAATGCAACCGGTGACTAGCATTGCGAGTTAATTACCTACTTCATATCATCTGCGGCCGAAACGTCCCAAGGTCCTCAATGCAACGAAAGGACCGGAATAGACCCAGAGTTCGCTCTCTGATATAAAACAGCGCATAAGTTTCTGTCATAGCCTTAGAAAATCGTCGTCGGCCTAATTTCCCTCCCCTCTTCGAGCTTTGCTTCTGGCCGTGGAATATAAAAAGCCACATTTCCACCTTTCTTTCAACCCAAAAGAGCAGTCTACGACAAAGCCGCACACAAAATGACCATCGAAATGTCCTTCGACCCTCACAATGTCGATCTGGAAACAGCAGACCCCGCCCAGATCGTTTGCTATCTCAATGCCGAAGGCAACGAATACAACGGCCAACTCGGCGCCCGCATCTCCTCCATCTTCGTCATCCTAGTCGTCTCCTCAGCAGCAACATTCTTCCCCGTCCTAGCCCAGCGCGCGCCACGTCTCCGAATCCCCCTCTACGTCTACCTCTTCGCAAAATACTTCGGCGCTGGCGTCATCATCGCAACAGCCTTCATCCACCTCCTCGATCCCGCCTACGACGAAATCGGCGGCAACTCCTGTGTCGGTCTAACAGGCCACTGGGGAGACTACTCATGGTGTCCAGCAATTGTGCTGACCTCATTAATGGTCGTGTTCCTGCTAGACTTCGGCGCTGAGCGCTGGGTCGAGATCAAATATGGTATTTGTCGCGAGGACCCGGAGCCCATGATGGCGAATGGCGAAGCCCGTCGTGACTCGCGCGTTTCGGCACGTCACTCTGATGACAAGCACGTCAAGGAGATTGAGTCACAGGTTGAGGAGATGGCTATCGAGCGCTCGTTTAAGCAGCAGATTGCTGCGCTGCTGATTCTTGAGTTCGGGGTTATTTTCCACTCTGTGATTATCGGGTTGAATCTTGGTGTTGCTGGCGATGAATTTGCGACTCTTTATCCCGTTCTGGTATTCCATCAGTCATTTGAGGGGTTGGGTATTGGAGCGCGGATGTCTAGTATTCCGTTTAAGAAGGGCAGTTGGTTGCCCTGGTTCTTGTGTGCGGCGTATGGGTTGACGACTCCCATTGCTATTGCTATTGGACTTGGTGTGCGCACGACGTATAACCCCGGTTCGTTCACTGCGAGCGTTGTCTCTGGTGTGCTGGATTCGATCTCTGCGGGTATTTTGCTGTATACTGGGCTTGTTGAGCTGCTTGCTCGGGACTTCCTGTTTGATCCTCACCGCACGCAGGATAATAAGCGGTTGGCCTTTATGGTGTTGACTTTACTTCTTGGTGCTGGTATCATGGCCTTGCTTGGGAAGTGGGCTTGAGTGGTGAGACACCTGGGTTTATGCAGAGCTCTTTTGGACCTTTTGTGACAGGTGGTGAATTGTACGATCGTGATATTTGATGGATTCCGGACTTAATTGGTTAATTTAGATTGAAGACAAATGATACCCAAGGTGGGATGGTTTTGTGATAGGCTTCCTCTTCTCAACTCCTGTGGCCTGTGAAGCTGCTATAAGATCGAATGTTTGTTGGTGACTTACCTCTGTAATATCGCAAAATGATAGGTGACAGATCAATCGGGGGAGTAGTAATCCGTCATTTCTGCGCTTTGTGACAATGTTGGTAGCGTGCACGTCTTATTTCCTAGCGGATACCTGCCCGGACTAAAGTATGTATTGTACCTCCATCCGTCAGGGTAGCACTTGCCTCCGTCTGGACTCTCACAGCCTTGTATAAGAGCCGAGCGGAAACGAAGTTCAGCCTGACAAGGTCGAGTGTTAGCTTCAGTGTGAAAAGGAATCAGAGGTGAGAGGCAAGAGGCAGCAAGAGCAAGAGGCGTAAAAAAAGAAAATCAAATCCGAAGGGGGATTGAACACTGAGCATTGTTGACCTGTCCGAAAGAGGAAATTGGTTCCCTTATAGGAAGTCGGAAAGAGGTCCTACCTGCAAATCCACCTCGATTAGCTCAATAGCTGGGTCTAGGGGTATTTGGTACTTGAAGCCTGGACGCGCATACTTTGAGTGGCCCTTGGGAGTCATGAACCCAAGCAATACTCGAGGATCCCTGTGTGGCCTTAGGGTGGATCAATAACAAATATCTTGTAGCAATACCGAGTAGATTCCACACCTATAGGGTATGCGAGTCCCGATCCGAGGGGGTGGCGGTCCTGAGGTGAGTGGTTTGTGGATTTGCACCTTTTTTTTCTTTTTCTTTTTCTTTTTAGTATTGACATAGCTACATGTCCCTAGTCTATCTTGTGGTGTCTCCTACAGCCCTAGGGATATCATCTGCTTATATCTTATCTTCCACACAGCACCACCCACGCCCTTAGTTTGCTACAGTGTGCGGTGTGCCGCATGATACTGGAGGTGTGTATACCGTCATTAACGGGCCTGCACCTTTGGCTGTAATGTCGAATATGTTTGAATCGTAGGCTGCATTGCTGGCCACCAAGAACAGCGCGAATATGGGGAGGTCTAGGAGCATTCCCACATGTGATAGTAGGGATGGAGATGGCATTACAGAAAGGGAATCCGATACTTGAATAGTAAAACAGAAGACTCCGAGACATTGAGATCTCCATTCCAATCCTGGCACGCGAATTGGCGGCAAGCACTTTCTATGGACTGGCCCAAAGCACTGGATCTCACAATTTGTCCTCGTATACAGAGCATCTGCATGTGCAACGTATTGCCCCTTTGATTTCCCAATCCATTGTTATAATGCTGTCTCACTGAAACTCAAACTTCAATAAAGATTGAAACTCCCCTGCCTCAGCACTAGATGCAACGCTCACTAGACGGGGCCTCGAGCTGGCCGCCTCAAACGACCGAGCAAAATCACCGACAGTCCGCTCGCGGGCATTATGAACTACCAGCGTTAACTGGTCCTCAAATACGGAGATCGAGAATCCAAACAGGTATTATCTTTGACCAGAGCAACGTTGTGTCAAAGATGACTTTGCCCAACTTAGCTCAATGTTTTGGGTTTCTCGATAGCATTTTCAACGGCAAACGCATTCGAGTCTGTGGCAGCATCTATTTGAACCGCCGGCTTTTCGTTTCCTGCTTTTTGCTCAACCTGTTCACGCATGCGGTCGGCCATGGCATCTAATTGCCGTGCAGATTCAGCAGCATACTGACAATGCTGGCGAATAGCGGGTCCATATTTATAGAAAATCCACGGGAACGGCAGACAAGCGAAAGCGAGAAAGGCTGATATGGATGAGGCCCAGTGAACCCCGAGGTTCTCATACATTGGCGTTGTAAATAGCGGACTATTGATGTTTCTTATTAGCTTTTCGAAAGAATCAAATGACGGACCAGATGTGAGACAAACAATGCAGCGCCGAAGAGGGCGCGAATAACAGCATTACCGGCCAGTGCCGATGCTGCATAAAGAGTATATCCATCGACCAAATAGTTTACTACACTTAGAAAGATGGAAACGTGGGAGAAGCCAAACAACACAGTGCCAATCTCGCAGACAATCCAGTGTATATGTGGGAAATTGGTCCAGGCAAACCAGAACAGCCCGATGGGAAGCGTTACTGCCCCAACCATGGCTGGAATGAGTCGAGCTTCGGGGGTGGGCGACCGTAGGCAGTGCGATCGGATACTTTCTTATAGCGGCCATCGTCAAGAATCGAATATGCACAGCCAATGATTTGCCCAATCATCATTCCAAGGAAGGAGAGGCCAGAGGTACTCTGTGGCCATTTCAGATTGTCTTCGAAAACAATAGGGAAGGCGGCAAACTCCATGTACATTGTGCCGTAGACTGCGATGATTATATCAGCTTATGAGCAAGAGAAATGGGAAATTAATGGGGCTTACTTATGGCCATGTAAATAGACAAAAGAAGCACAATAGGCTCTAAAAGGAGTAATACCCAAGGTCGCACCATGGTCTTAGTGAAAATTTGACCAGCTGTTCGGTTTGCATTGCCAACGTCCAACCGACTTTTGTGGACGGCTCCAGTCAGTCTAGTAAGCTTGGCAGCGCGCTTCTGTAGGAGAACTGGGGCATAAGTCTCAGGTATAAACGCGATTCCGACAAAGAACACCACGGCGTTGAATATAGTTGTAAGTCCCTGCACCCACCTCCAGCCGTTGGAGACCGCCAAAAAAGCACAACTGATTGGTCCAAGGCTAGGACCTAGGAATGGGGCGCCAATGAAGGCAATTGTGGCCAATCCTCGATCCCGAGCTGTATACATGTCCGAAACCACGCCGCCGGCATTCGAGATTGCTGAAGAGCCGAATGCACCTGCGAGGAAGCGCAAGACGAGCAGCGTCGCAATATTCGGGCTTGCTATTGTTGCTCCGGCGAAGAGTGTAGTCAATCCATACGTGATAAAGTAAATGATCTGACGACCCCACAGCTCGGATAGTGGTGCCCAGATAGCCGGCCCAATGGCGAAGGCAAGCACGAAAAGGGAGGTGTCGGCGACAACTAGTTCAGTGCTGGCACCAAACTCTTCCTGGATTTGGGGATTGGCTGCTGACAGAGAGGACGAAGCGAACGTGATAGACAAAAAGGAGGCTGCTTGGAGTAGTGTGATGGACCACTTTAGCCAATCTGGCATCTGATGAGGATCGCGAGCATCTTCATGAAGCCAGTCGACTAGGTATGGGTCTCGCTCTGTACCATTGCCTTCCCATTTGTGTCGAAGAACATCCTCGGTAATAATGTCTTGAGAAAGAACAAGCTGATAGAGTGGAATGTGCAAACGCTCTCTGGTATTTTCAGTGTTGGCCATGGTTCGGGATTTTCTTCAAATCCTGGATGCGGGCAAATAAATAGTATGACCGAAGGTTCGGATGGAACTGATGAAGGGCAATGGCACTGCTTTCAGAAACTTCTCCGGATATCCCATAAGGTGTTCTAAGACTACCAAATGGGCCCATAAAAGAGGATGTCCAAGAAGGAAAGGGGGTAACAAAGGCCTAAAGAAGTCAAGTTAAAGCATTTCAGAGACACGCGAATGGCGTGGACGTGGAAGCTGAGGGGAGGTTGACCATAGCCATTATTAATTATTAGCAATTAGGAGGGGGTAATTTCAAATCAATTTCTGACGTGATCTGTGAATCGGAATGTGGCTGAATATCTTTGTCGTCGGGTTCTTTAGCAGCTGTATTTTGGTATAAATGACGATGCCCTGAAAACCAGGCTATGCCAAGCTTTGCGGCCACGGAGAACATGTGGGCCGTGGGCCAATAATAGGGCTTAGAGAGTCCCACCCGGTATCGTTCCCGCTTGTCAGAACCTTGGAACTCGTGTGTCGTCAACGATGTTTGCAGCGTTTGCAGAGTTCATCTGTCTTACGCATCAGCAACAAATACCTAGGTATACTCCGTAGCTAGCCACAAGATCAGGGGTTTAATCCTTGGGTGACGCATATGTACCTACTTCTTACGTAAAATCTAAAAAGGGTATTTCTGCTGATTTCACACTCACTGAGTCCGAACCAATAGAGTAGATGTTGTTTTCAAGAACCATGATAGCTGAGTATCAAATGAAGTCCAGACCGGCTTTGCTTTCACCCATGTCCAACTGTTGATCAATTGCTCTCATTTGTGGTTAATATGTAACTTCCCTTGTTACAAATCAGTTTAAACAGCAACACAGAAATAGTATCCCAGCCATAGGTTGCTGTATGTCGCGCTAATCTGGGTGTTCTAAGTGCGGAACTGAGCCAAAGTGATCCCTGGAGGCGTATTAAATGTGTATTATCTGCCATCGTCCTCGATTAGATGGTAAGTCTTACAGTTGCTAACGATGCCAGGCATCTAGGGCGTGGGGCCCGTGGGCTCGGCCATTGGCTTGGGTGCCGAGGTGGTGGTTGCGCCGGGAACATATATACAAACATAGTAGTCCAGCTAAAGGTCTGAACATGCTACAGATATTAGATTTGGGCCTTGCGGAATGCACCAGTTTTCTAGTTATCAAATTGTAAAAGGGGAAAGGGGAGGGAAAGGAGACTAGCCCGACTCTCAGACGACAAGAAGAGTTGTCAAGTATATTATGGTAGACTTTCAATTGAACCAGGAAAAAAAAATAAAAGCGTCAGCGATGATTCGCTGCCCAGAAACGTGAAGGAGACATACTTCAAGACTCAATCTGGATATGGGAATGCTTGAGCTTCAGGCATGACCATCATAGGCCTCTGAATAGAAGTCCGAGATCCTAATAGTTCCCAAGATACATCATCCTAGCTAAGCCTACATCCAAGGATATCTACTGAGTACCCTGTACTTCTTCATTTACTCTGTAACCACTTAGGACTGGAAGCCCGAAAGCCCTTAGTTTATTGTTATATTACTACGCTTGTTACTATACGGTGTAAACGATTAGCGTAGGAAGTTGCAGATGGGGCCATATAGGGCAAAATGGAAGATTGTACTCATTACGGATTACTCCGTACGAAGAAGATATCTGATATCTGAAAGTTGAAACGGGTAAAAGTGCCAAGAATGAATGTATAGATTTGAGAAGGACCTCGGGGGAACTTAGCCGACGGGGTCGACCCATAGGACCGCACACGTGAACAAGGATATTCCAAGAGAATTAATTTCGGAATGGGCAATTTCAAAGGCATCGAGTCAATGCTAGCGTTGGTGACTAGCGTCTGAGCGTTGTAACGCTGAACTCAACTGGCCACAAAATGCGAAGCCAAAACCTTGGCAGGGGGGAACACCAACGCCCGCACCTCATCATTGGGGGGAACTTCTAGGGTCTTAAGCCTTACCAGTTTGCCCAGCCGCCAAGGCGCGACCTTATGCGGACAGGGATTTAGGGTCTCACTTGTTCTTTCAATCCTCGCCTTCATCTGGTTGCCTCCGTAGTCTATCTTAGCGCGTACCCCCATTTTCGTGTTGTGCAATCTTGCCTTCGCCATCCCCTCTCTTCCCTGTAGTTTTTATCTATTATCCTTCACAAACCTATTGTCTGAAGGAAAATACCCGCCTTTTGTACCCTCTTTCCTTTCTTGCTCTATGCCTGAAGGCCTGACTCACGCTCAGCATGCACCTTCCTAAGGCGAGCTGGTTGCTCGCTGCCTGCATGGGGACTATGATCAATGCTTCTCAAATACTGGAAGTGGACCTAGTTTTCCCACGCAATGAAACATATGCGCCCACTGACTGGTTCCCTCTTGTCTTTGCTTTTCAGAATGCTTCGAGTGCGCAATACCTGAACCCTTCTGTTGAATTTACGCTATGGAATTTGCAAGACGATAATGACGCTCTGACCGGTGACCATGATCTGAGAGGGCACAATTGGACTGCCGAAAACACCTACCTTGCCTATTCATATTACTCCCGTTTCAAGAAAGAGGGCCACTACAGAGTGGTCTGGACCGTGACTTGGGAGAGTTGCGACAAGTCGGCTTATGAAAAAGGGCCCACCACCGGCATGATCCATAACATGACGACTTGGTCAACCTGGTTCACCATTCAGGAGTCCGCCCAAAAGGTGGATCTCGTTGCTGCTACAGCCAACAAGTCATGCCCCGAGGAATTCGGTGTGGTGATCGATGTAACCGACAAAACAATGAAGGTCCCCTGGAATGTGAAATGGTCTGGCGGTGACTACACCAATGACACATGCGCGGTGGTGGCGGCAAACTCAACCGCGACTCACCTACCGGATCCCTGTCGAGTCCAAATTGACAAGACCACTGTCGAAAGCATGGAGGCCTCTTTGCTCGCCAGGTTGTGTGCGGGGTTGAACCCGCCATCCAATTGCCCGGAGGATAAGAAGAATGCCGGGCAACAACTGGCTGTGGTTGGCATATCATGCCTGATAGCTACATTTGGGGCGTTGGGTTTCTTTTTCGTGTGACCATATCGCTGTATTTGTGCTCTGTCTTGCTTTTGATATCCCACCCTTGGTATGAGAAGTTGACGTTTAGAACGAGTTGTCCGTTAATGAGCTATAACTACGAGAGCTATAGAATTAGGTTCTTGATGAGCATCAGAGAAGACACTGGACAGTAGTTTGCACATGTGTTGCGGACCCTGGTAACTGCGCCTGTTTAGCTGAGGGAGGCTGTCGCTGCTATATTCAGCAACCTTAGATGATTGATCCCCCTATCAGTGACATGCTAGCCGCTAAGGCGAGTCACACGGCGCGACTTTGCTTAAGGTTGTTCGTTTGGTCTTTAAGACCAGGCATCTGGACCAGGATCACCATGTAGATTTTCTTCATCTGATTCATTGAAAGAAAGCGTTTTCATTTTAGAATGCACCTATAAACTGTTTCGGAAGTACCGGGTTACAGCCAAACTTATTTATAAGGACACGCCATGACCTCAACTATAACTATGCCTGAGGCCCCTGGAATTCCCTCCCGCTTAACTGGAGAAAACGTGGCAACCTTCCGTGCCCAATCAGTCACTCCGCTGCTTTTCATTGCGTCCAAGCTCCATTTTCAACGTCGGGAAATATATCGACTAACACCTTATCAAAATGACACCAAATAATGCCAGTTTCACAACAAATATCAAGACACGCTTCCTGATTTGCTCGGACACCCATGGAATCGACAGTTTACCCGGCTTCGTTCCGTCCGCGAAGCAACATGCAGACGTTGCTATTCACTGCGGAGATCTCACCACCCAATCTCAACTCCATGAATACAAAGCGTCAATCCGCTTGCTCCAGACCATCAATGCACCTTTAAAGCTTGTCATAGCCGGGAACCACGATTTCACAATGGACATACCAATGTTTCGAAAAAAGATCGCAGAGGCCCAGTCGTTGGAGCGTGAGCTCGTTGAGGAAGCGTATGGATATCACGGCGAGGCTAGAGGATTGTTTGAAGGCACAGGAATCACTTTCCTGGACGAAGGCGTACACACCTTCCATTTACAGAATGGCGCTTTGTTGACTGTTTATGCCAGTCCATACACACCTTCATTTGGAGATTGGGGTTTTCAGTACCACCCCGATAAAGGCCATGACTTTATAATTGAGAATGGCAGTGGTACTAATGCCGTGGATGTGGTGATGACACACGGGCCGCCGAAGGGTATCATGGACTACACTCAATCCGGTGAACGGGCAGGCTCCCCGGACCTCTTCCGCGCCCTAGCTCGCGCCCGACCACGACCACGAATGCATTGCTTCGGTCACATTCATGAAGGCTGGGGTGCGAAACTTGTTACGTGGCGTGACAGAACTACCGCTATGCCCTCCCACCTAACAGATATCGATAATGGACAGTGTTATCCTATAGCGAAGCTCTCGGACATGAAAGATGGAATTGGACCAGGATTGAACTCCAACGGTGCGCCTGGAATGTACTTTGCTACCAGCCATTGTTCTGAGGATGCTCATCCACTGAACTGGGGTTCTCAAACGCTGTTTGTGAATGCTGCCATTGAGGGGACACCCCAACCCCTGGATGACCGGAAGGACAATATATCGATGCAGCTACCCTGGGTTGTTGACCTTGAACTCCGATCTTCTTTTGGGGTGGCAGAAGAAACAGATGAGCGGGAAAGGTGAAAGTTATAACCTGTCTTTTATAGGATACCTTACGAAATTGAATTCCCGTTACTGCTCGACATCACTTCTGGCAAGATTCAACTTCTATAGTTGGGCCTTAAAACATAACATTTAAGGGAAAACGCCAAAATATAGTTTGAAGTACTCGCTCACGGGGTATCAATTCCGAAATTTCTCCCTACTATCTATACAACAAGACCAAAAGCTCTACCATCTTCTTCTTGAATAAAAGAATACAAAATTAAACAATATAATCGTATGAGCCATTCTATGGATGCAGCTAGCCGTGCTTTGATCTCTATTCACAATACGATCGGTCTACTGTCTCATTGATTTCGACTTTACTTTTTCGATTATGCGTGTATAATTCTCTAAACAACAGCTGGGCAGACTAGCGTGAGTAATAGGATCAAATTTTCCCCAGCCAGTAAAGAATTATTTGAACCTATCAGCCTTGAGCTAACGAGCAAAACATAAATGGAGTCATAAATTGCGGTCCACTGGATTGGCTGTGTGATATCTACCTCAAGAGTCTGCTGGCCAACCCAGACCTTGCTGAATACAGCTCAGAGGACTCGGATTCAAATCTAGTAGTGTAATTTCCAAAGGTTGTGTGGTTTCTGGAAAATTGGAATCTGCAAGGTAGTCATCAGCGGTGCCACGGAGACTAATTCTAGAATAAGGCTGGTTTGAAATACCATAGTCTCTGTCAGTAAATAGCATTGGTTTCAGCGGATCTTATATCCTGAAGAAACAAATGTATTCCCCAGTCAGGTATATCGATATGGTTTTTGGAGGGGGTGCTGGCACACTTGCCTATTTGGGCGAGTACCCGCTCCGTTGCCGAAATAGGAAATTCACTCAACTTTGACGTGGGTTGCGGGGGAGCTGGATGATATTCGCTAGAGACACCCGACATATACGGAGTACTTTCGGTGGATATATAGAAGCTCTCTGGTCTAAGTGCTTGTTTTTTTTAATCAAACTCTCGTTTCCACCTCCTGCGACCCTCAAGTCAACAGGCAAAGCCATGTCTATTGAACAAGCTAGCCCACCGACCGACATCTATAAATCTGAGAACTTCCAACATGAGAAACAGCCATCCTCGACTGAATCATCTTGCCAATCGTCCGACCACGAAAAATGGAATCATCCCCGATCCAACATAGCAAAGACACTAGCAACATTTTGGAGCTTCCTGATCATGGGAGCCAACGACTCCGCATACGGGGTAAGAACTTCCATCGATATAGCGTCCTCAGATATAAAGCTAATTAACCATCACCACACAGCCACTTCTTCCATACGTACAGTAGTCCCAACCCCTCCACCCCATATTCCTCTTCTAACCCAATCCCAGCTCGAAAAATACTACAACCTCACTTACACGATCGTCTCTCTCGTCTTCCTCTCTCCATTACTCGGCTATGCCACCGCCGCAGTCGTAAACGAGCGCGCACACTGCGCCATAGGTCAACGAGGCGTGGCCTTCGTTTCATCAGCCTGCCATCTAATAGCCTACATTCTGAACTGCGTCCACCCGCCTTACCCAGTCCTCGTCGTATCATTCATATTTGCAGGTCTGGGTAATGGCCTCGCGGATTCAGCATGGAATGCCTGGATCGGGAACCTTGATAACGCGAATCAGTTACTTGGTCTGCTGCATGGCTCGTATGGTGTCGGTGCTGTCATTAGTCCGCTGATTGCTTCGCTGCTTGTTGCGGATGCGGGCTTGCCGTGGTTTTATTTCTATTATATCATGGTATGTTATATTTCCTATTGAATATGTCGTGCTGGAAGGCTTAATGTGATTGTGTGCAGATTGGAGGTGCCGTGATCGAGATCGTTGTCTGTGTTGCCTGTTTTTGGGATGCGACGGGAGCTTCCTTTCGACTTGCGAAGAAGCAACATCCCGGTGATGGCGCTGGGAAAGGAGGGTTGCGGAAGGTGTTGTTTAAAATGCCTTCTGCTCGGATCACCTGGGTCTGTGCAATCTTCCTGCTGGGATACGTTGGTGTCGAGGTTGCTTTGGGAGGATGGATCGTGACGTTCATGAAAGAGGTACGACACGCGGCACCGTTTTCTAGTAGCATGACATCCACGGGTTTCTGGCTTGGGATAACCATTGGACGAGTCATCCTTGGGTTTGTGACTCCTTTGATTGGTGAGAAAGTCGCTATCACGGTAAGTTCTGCCATCGTATTTTGCGTTTTGCAGTCGACAGGCTCATCATTGAATAGGCCTATATTTCGCTCGAGATCGCATTCTGTTTGATTCTTTACCTCGTTCCAAACTTCTACGCCGGCGCAGTCGCAGTATCACTGCAGGGTTTCTTTCTCGGCCCGCTGTTCCCAGCGGTTATCATTGTTACCACAAAACTCCTACCAAAACACTTACACGTCAGCGCTATTGGGTTTGCTGCGGCGTTTGGAGGCGGGGGTGCTGCTGTGCTTCCGTTTATTGTTGGTGTGCTTGCGCAAGCTAGGGGTGTTGAGGTCCTGATGCCGTTTATCATTGCACTTTCGGGTGCTATGTTAGTCCTATGGAATTGTCTTCCGAGAGTGCCTAAAGATGGCAGTACGGCCACCAACAATAATCGCGGGGCTTGTTAGCTATGTTTCGAGATAGATGTGATATGATACATCACACGTCACAAGCTGCAAGCCCAAGATCTTGGGGAAGGTGGATCTAGTTGTGATGTGAGAGATGTGGACATCGTAGATGACCGCGCAAAGTTGACGATGTAAATAATCAGAGTGACAAAAGGGGACATGCGATAGAATGATAGAATCTCAGAGCACAACGCATTTATACAGTTCAAGCTAGGAATTGGATGGCTTTTGCGCAAAGGTTCCTGAAGTGCTGGACTTGTGGGTAGACATGGGTTCGCATGGGCCCCTCGCAGTATCGCTAGCCACCATCTATGACATCAATCACAACACTCCCAATTGGTGTGCCGAAGGTGGGGATTAGCCTGACACTAATAATCTGATAGTTCGTACCAGAGCACTGGAAAGGCACTTCTTGGCCCACGTACTCCACTGATGGTCGTGCTATGATCGCAGGTGCCTCGTATCAGGAGTGCCCAATCAACATGACTGCATCGGATTCTAATTTTGTTCAATTTCCCTGGAGATGTGTAGATCTGAGATAGGTTAGATACCAGATATCAAAATAGTCGTGACTGTGAGTGATACTTCAACCACGCTTTGACGATAATTCGACAGAAACCCTGATCCTTGCCTAATTCCAGGTAAAGCGAGCTGAGAAGATATCACAAAAGCGGGGCGATGCTTCGACACATTCCTATCTGGGGTCCACGATGAGATCATGCAGAAGGTCCTGCAATCTGATCAGCGCACAGCCCACCGGAGAGCTATGTATTTAACCCATGCCTTGGTCGCCCGTGTCATTCTTCGGCTTTAGTCAATACAACCTATCATCAATAAATATCACCACCATGGGTAAAGCCACAACCCTGGATATCGAATATGCCAGCCTCATGGCCCGCAACCCCGAAGGCACCTTCCTATATATCCCGCCTACCTTTAAGAAGTTTCATCCAGGCTCCGTAGGTTTCTTCGATGAGAACGGTGGCTGGAACCAAGTCACCGACCTCTGCAAGGAAGGGCAATCTACAGCCGACGGTTTCACGGCGCTGGGTCGGACACTGAACCGCGACGAGCCCAAGACATCGATATGGAAGACTCGCTCCTCCGAGAGTGAAGACGGCCAGCACGTCCGACTCTCTGGTGGCGTGTCAGCTGCGGCAGCGGCTGCCGTGCCTGTCGATGTCAAAGGCGAAGGCAAACACAAGACCAGTGCTTCTGGGAAGGCGGGTCTTGTCACGGGCAGCATTGTTAAGCGGGAGAAGATCCTGGCTCCGTTTGGCAAGCCTGTTACAGCTTGGGCATCATCCAATGCTAAGACACTTCTTGCATCAGACTTCTCCACGGATATTGAGAAGAATGGGCTTTGGATTATTCAGTCTGTTTGGGTGACTGATGAATGTGCTATACACATGACCAATAGCAAGGATAAGGATGTTGATGTTGGACTGGATATTGCGGCCACTGGTGTTGGGAAGGCTGGTGGTGGAGGTGGTACCTTCGAGAAGCTGAAGAACGAGGGTTGGACGACGTACCAAGCTCAAGGAGTGAGTGCCATCTGCCTCTTTCTTTTTGCGACACCCTTGTTTATGTTGCTAACGCCATTCAGGATGATGGTGGACTGGTCGTCTCATTCAGCGGATCCCACTATAAACCGCGCACATTCCATAGATTCCGACGCGATGTGAGTTATATTTGATCAATGGGCTGTGTCCCTCTGTTGCTCTACGCTAATCACCCTAGCCCCTTAAACAATCCAAAGCCAACAGCTTCCTACGAGAAAGAGGCGAGGTCGTGGAAGAGCTTGGTTTTGATGTCGAAACCGTTGGTGTGAGCAGCAGTGACATTGAAGAAGAAGAGGAGGCTGAAAGGAAAGAGCAAGAGAAGGTACCCGCAGAACTCGAGGCGAAGAAGACCGAGATCCTGCGAAACACAATCGTGACAACCGAAGTTGTACCGCACTAAGTAAATAACCGTGAGATGCGAATCCAAGCTCTCGGGGGTTGAGGAAGCCAAGTTGAGAACTGAGGTCGCAGACATCCATCCCTTGTTCGTCTCCAAGGGACCACATCTGCAACAACACATTATATGCAACGTAGACAGCACTACGGAGTAGACTCACATGAGCTCATGGAGACTTGGCTGCTCAGAAACCACTGAGGAAAAGGCGTGAGTATCCAAATAAGACGTTTCCTTGAGTTTGAGCGCCCTCTGCGCCCAGCTCTTCGACTTGGCTGCATCCCCCAAATTTGCGGCAGCCCTTGGCATATAAATGAGCACAAACCTATATTGTATGAAGAGTCCATCCCACACGAAGATAATTCTCTTCACTGACATCTATGTCATGATCGCGCAGAGCCCGGTCCAGGCCCACTGGGCCTCTCCACAACCCAAATCCCCGCGCCGAGGCAAAGATCTCCTGAGAAGATCCATCCTCATAACCCCCGGAATGCCGGCATACCGAGCTGAACAAAATGGAGAAACCTTGCATTGATGCCTTCTAGAGCAGTTCCATCAATCTCAGAAAGCAGCGCGGGATACAGGTGCTCGCCGCCTCCTTTTTGAATTCTAATTTCCAAGTGACTCACTATGAAAGACAAGTCCACAAAAGCAGTCTCCGGACTCGCATCGGTATGAATATATAACCATTGAAGGTCCAAGAAACTAACAAAATTCTAAGGTCCTCCCCCAGAACACCAAACCATGGTGGAAAACCACCCACCTCATCCACCTAAATAGCCTAATCGCAAGCCTAATCCTGTTCTCCAGTACAGTCGGCTATGACATCTCCCTAATGAACAGCCTGCAATCCCTGTCCCAATGGCAAACCTTCATGTCCCAACCAACAGGCATAAAGCTCGGCTTCATAAATGCCCTGCAAAACATCGGCAGCATGCTCTTTCTGCCTATACAGGCTTGGTCCGCTAACCGCTTTGGCCGTAAGCCCACCATTCTCGCCGGGTATCTCTTCATGGTCGTCGGTGTGAGTTTGCAGACTGCAGCTCCGAATGCTAATAGTTTCATCTACTCCCGGCTGTTGATCGGTATTGCTGGAGCCTGGTTCCAGTGCGCGGTTATCCTTGTCACGGAGATCGCGTATCCTTCTCATCGCTCGCTGGTTACTGCTATCTATATGTGTCAGTACTATGTGGGGTCTTTGCTGTCGGCGTGGATTTCCTTCGGAATGAGGAATGTGCAGAGTAGCTGGGCGTGGCGCCTTCCTGTGGTTATGCAGATTGCGTTGCCGCTGCTTGCTTTGCCGGGGACGTTACTTGTGCCCGAGTCCCCGCGTTGGCTGATCAGGCGCGGGCGGGCTGATGAGGCGAGGAGCATTTTGGTTGCATTCCATGCTGGGGGTGACGAGGACTCTAAGTTGGTGGCTTTTGAGATCGATGAGATTAGCCAAGGTCTGGCGCTGGAACGCAAGACTCAGTACGAATCGCGGTGGATCGATTGTGTGAAAACGCCCGGAAATCGATACCGGTTGTTCTTGAGTGTTTCTCTCGGTGTCTTTGCCCAGTGGAATGGGGGGTAAGTCCTGGCTTGATTTCGCTTCTACCTTTGTGACGCGGGATTACTGGAGGGCAAGGTTGCTAATTGAATGATTCCAGTGGAGTCGTCTCATACTACCTAACTATGATCCTCAACACAATCGGCATCACTTCAACGACCGAACAAACTCTGATAAACGGCTTCCTCCAACTCTGGAATCTGATCATGAGCATAGTTGGCGCCTGTCTTGTCGACCGCGCCGGCCGGCGTGCCCTGTTCCTCACGTCAACTGTGATAATGCTGATCAGTTACATCCTTATCACCGCGTTGTCAGGTAGCTTCGCTACGTCGCGTACCAGCGGTGTGGGAACAGCCGTTATCCCGTTCCTGTTCATCTATTATGCAGGCTACGACATTGCCTTCACGCCGCTGCTTCTCGCATACCCTGCTGAGATCTGGACGACCGAGTTGCGGGCTAAGGGCGTGGCTATCTCGACGATCTCGAATTATTTGGCATTGGTCTTCAATCAGTTGATTAATCCTATTGCGTTTGAGAGTATTTCTTGGAAGTACTATTTCGTGTTTTTGGTTGTGTTGCTTATTGTCTTGATTGTTGTTTGGAAGACGTATCCCGAGACTAGGGGGAGATCGCTTGAGGAGATTGCGGTTATTTTTGACGGAGAGAAAGCTGGTGTAACTGATGGAATTATTCCTAATGTGGTTGCGCAAGCAAAGCAGCCCCGGAGGGATTGTACATGAAGAGCTGTGAGGTAAATATACAAGCTCTGGAACATAAAGTCATCGTGGCTCGATCTTACACGTCGCATGTAAGAAAGGCAAAGATGTATTAGTCAACGCAAGGTGAAACATATCAATCGTAGAGTCGTTGACTATCGTTTCAGAAGCAGATCAATTATTTCGGATTGTACTTGTCTTTCCAGATCCTATGGTGTCTGTTAGATTTGAAGTTCATACTCTCATCGTTGTCTGGACATACCATGAATTCCCAATAGTAGGACATCCGTTCTCCTCAGCAAGTCTGTAATACTTGGCTGCTTTGAACTATAAATCTGGTCAGCATGGCTACAAAATATATGGCCAACGCAAGAGTAAACATTGCACGCACCTTATCTTTCTTTCCCCCAAAGCCCTCGAGGTAACACCATCCAACTTCATTCATGGCATCAGTGTCACCCAAGTTGGCCGCAGTCTCGTAATACTGTCTAGCAGCAGCAGGATCCTTGGCCAGTCCCCATCCATTGCGGAAGCAGTTTGCTAGCTCGTACATGGCCAGAACGAGCTCGCCTTTAGCAGATCCGCCTTTCTTAACTCCGGCATGCAACGCCTCTGCCTCGACGGCGGCTGAGTTGGATGCTGCGGCGGAGAGGTAAGTAACGGCACGTGCTGTATCTTGAGGACAACCCCATCCATGTCTAGATAGATAGCCATTAGTATATCGCCAACAGTAAAAGCGCCGAGCGTGTTATTACCGTAAAGCTAGGCCAAAGAGTACCTGACTCAATGGGTTATTTGCGCCATTGGGATCAGCGAGTTGTCCGAACATCTGAGTTGATCGCTCGAGATCTATGTTCCACGTCAAAATGCATCCTCAATCTACATCAAAGAGACATAAACCCACCACCAGATTCATGCAGTCGAATCGCCTCTTGAATATTGACCTGTATTCAAGTTAGTTGCACATTCCAAGCGCACCACGCGAAAATATATGCATTATATCAAACACCTACATCTTCCGTCGGACCCGCGATAATGCGAGTTTGACTCGAACTTCTCGGTCGAGCTTGTGGCTCCAGTCCCAGCCCCAAGCCCATCGCCTCTCTCTCACCCTGCTGCCCAGCCAATGACGAGCCTGAATGCGCGAATTGCGGATTCCACTGCACAAGCACCGTAGCTCTCTGTTCCCATTGCGCCTCGCGCTCCTGTTTACTGGCACCGTGATTGTCTTCGATCTGCGGCAGATCCGCGGGTATGTTAGCCGAGGAGTCTCGGGAGTTACTACGACTGCGGTGGTCGAGGTGGAGGAGATTCGAGAGACGGCGCTCGCGATGGGGCGGCGACTGGGAAGATGCCGAGGATGGCCTAGCCGGGGAGCGATGGAAGAACTGGAAACTGCGTCGTGGTGAATGGGGAGACTGGGGGGAGAGACAACCGTCCTCCTGGGTTGGTGATGTGAGGTATGTGTTAGAGTCAGCTGGGTAAGCTGGGGGGATGATTATCTCCTGTGTATGTGTGTCTGAGCGGACGAGCTTGAGCTCCGGTGCTGGGGGTGTTGTTGGGACATTTTGGGCTGGGTGTTCAGTGCTGAGCCCGTCGCGTTTGTGTAGGATGTTGCGGAGCGAGGGCATGATGCGTATCTACTTATCGGATCGCGGCCGGGGTGGATCCAGGTGGTTTGGGTGGATGTGAGGGTTGCCTTCCAGGGTCTTTAAGGGGACGATTTGTAGGGCTGAGCATAAGATGTAGATTTTAAAAATAAATCTGAACAACAACCGTGGCTGTGTACGGATCAGGGCGGCTGTGGTGCTGATCGCTCTGCTGACTGGGGTCCGAGTCTTGGCTGGCGCCTATGGGTCGCACACAATAGATTGAATATTGAATACATTATCGGACGGCGTGAATAGGAAAAGACCAGTTCCTGAAGAAACATGAGTATATAGATCTAATCGCATTCTCCACGGGTGGCGGGCTGCATTGGTCCCTGCATATCATAAGGCGCTATGGGTGCCACATGGGCATATCGTTCGTTCGGGGAATAGAGATGGTATGCAGTGCAATGTTTACATTTAGGTGGCTCTAAGGTGCCATTAGGTAGAGACATTCTGGAAAACACTCTGAAGCACGGTCGTTGTATCATATCTGAGTCAAACTGTTCTACGAAAAGAGTGAAAAGATCCCAAGCAATGTGATATGCCAGACATCAATCAGTCTCAGGGTATTTCCGAGCTCAACTCGCTTGAGAACATGTCGTCCATGTCTGCCCAGATTTATCAAGGATCAAAAAATGGTATTGCAAGATCTAACTCGGCGTATGCAAATAGCCCTTATAGTTTTGTACACAATGCCGAATGCAGTGAGCTACTGAGCCTATTATTTAGGCCTTGGCAGCCATGATGCCTAGAAATCGTTAGCATTCGTCAATATATCGATCATTTGGTAGATCACTTACGCTCAACATCAGCAACGCTCTGCTGGAGAATCTGCTGCAGAACCTTGGGGCTCTCGAGCTCCTTCTGGATCTTGGCAATAACAGACTGGGCAAGCTCACGCTGCTGGCGCTGCTTGACCTGGTTCTCGTAGCGAACCCACGAGTCGAGGACCTGCTTGGCCTCGGCAGCGAGGGCAGTGCGCTGCTGAAGCTCGTAGGCCTGGGCCTCGAGCTGGGCGGTTTCCTGCAACGTACTGTCAACAACCGACCCTAGTCTCAACGTGAATAACCGATTATTCGTACCTTGGAAACAGCGAACAGCTGCTTGGTGACCTCAACAACGCCGGACATCTGGGAGACGTTGTCGATGCGCTGCTGAACAGCGTTGGTGTGGTCGGCACGGGCAGCGTTCAAGATATCCTTGTGCTTCTGGACCTGACCCTCGGCCCACTCGCGGTAAGCGGGACCACCGTACTTGCCAACGGCGGTGAAGACAGACAGCAGACAGAAAGCAGCGACAGTCTCCTCGTTCATGACGTACAGCTCGTTGCTGATGGCGGCAATGGACAGACCGGCGGCGGCAGACAGGGTAGCGGTCTTGGTGACCAGAGAGTTGCCGGGGATGGCGTTCAGAATCGACTGCGCCTTCTTGGCGGGATCCTCGGCGGGAACATTAGAAGCCTGACGAGAGGAGGTCAGGTTGGCAGTGACGGCAGGGACACCACGGGCGGGAAGAGCCGGTCGGAGTCGGGATGCGCCTAGGGTAAGTTAGTAACCAGAGGGATCGAGTCGATCAGACGGTCGGAGATCGTATAAAGCGTACCAATGGCGCTCTTAGCGAGACGTGAAGCCATTGTTGCAGATGAAAGAATCTTGGTCAACGGGGTGGGTGAATGGAACTGAGGAGACTTGAGGTTCGGGATGGCTAGGAGGTGAAGACGCTAGCCGTTTCGGGTGGTGGTTCCGTGCCTCGGAAAAACTCCCCCTCCGAGATGGTCCAAACGATAAAAAAAAGTTGCAGATAGTGAATCTATTCACAGTACGCTACAAGACGCCTGGACAAAATGCCTGCACCTGTGACGGATTCAAGCTCCAAGAAGCGCAAGAGTGGCAAGAATGCCAGCGCCCCATCCTCCAAGCGCCGAGCTGTTGCTGAGGACAAGTTCGCCGAGACACTTTCTACTATTCAAGAGCTAGAGGATCAGATTGCGGAGTCGCGAAAGGGTTATAACAATATTGCAACTCTGCTCTCGATGCTAAATGTCGCAAAGTCGGCTGAAAAACCTGAGATGGCTGCGGCCGTGTCTCTCTGCCGTGTTTTCAGTCGATTGATCGCCGGAGGACATTTGACCGAGTCAAGCCGCGCCGCTGAGAACGAGAAAATCGTTGTGGCATGGCTGAAGGAAAGATGCATTGATTATCAGAATGCTCTCGTAGCTATCATGCGCGAGGCAGATACTTCCTCTCAGGTAATGATGCTCTGTTTTGCCGGTGGTTCTTTTCACTGACGATTCTAGATTGCTGCTTTGACACTTAGTATGCGCATTGTCAAAGAACGCCTCGCCCATATCCCCGGTACCGAGAACAGCGTGTGGTCGACGGGTTTCTTCAAGGATATCTTTGCGGCCATCATTGAGGCACACAATGGCGATGATCTACAGTTCGAGGCTGTCACCAAGTTCGTGAAGGAATACGAGGATGTGAGATACTATACATTCACACAGATGACGTACGTCTAGCTTTCTTCCATCATCCCGTTTCATTGCTAACCCGTATCAGTGACTATGCCTCTACGAAACGATCCCCCGAAACCCTTGAAATCCTGATCAAGATCCTTCAAGCATGCGATGAGGTACCCGGGGCGGACCACAAGTTCGAAAACTTCTATGCGAAACGAGATACCAAGAATAAGCGTCTAGTGTCGGCAACCTCCCACAGAAAGCAGGCACAGGAGGCGTGGCTGGCCATCCTACGAAACAACCTCTCGCAATCGCAGCGCAAGAGCCTGCTGCGCATGATGGTGCACAACATTGAGCCATGGTTTAACCGACCGGAGCTACTGATGGATTTCTTGACGGACTCATACAATGTCGGCGGTGCGACATCTCTCCTCGCATTGTCTGGTCTCTTCTACCTGATCCAGGAAAAGAATTTGGACTATCCACAGTTCTACGCAAAGCTGTACTCTCTCTTGGATGCCGAGCTGCTGCACTCCAAGCACCGGTCACGATTCTTCCGACTGCTTAACACCTTTTTGTCCTCGAGCCATCTTCCTGCCACACTGGTTGCCAGCTTTATCAAGCGTCTCGCTCGTCTCTCGTTGAACGCCCCTCCCTCCGCCATTGTGGTGATTGTTCCTTTCATGTACAACTTTTTCAAAAGCCACCCCACAACGACATTCATGCTTCACCGATCGATTCGCGACAAGGACCTCCTCGAGGAAGTGGAAAGGGAAGGCATGGATGATCCCTTCGATCCCAATGAAACCGACCCCAACCTGACCGACGCCATTGAGAGCAGTCTTTGGGAAATCGAGACTCTCCAGTCTCACTTCCATCCCAATGTTGCATCCATTGCACGCATCATTTCCGAACAGTTCACAAAGCAAGCATATAGTCTGGAAGATTTCCTCGATCACACGTATCAGGGCATGGTGACTGCAGACCTTGGAGTGGAGGAGAGAAACCTGAAAAAGATTCCTGTTGTTGAGTACCAGATCCCCAAGCGCATCTTCACAGATCGTCTATTAGAGGAGGATGGCGGTGTGGACTCTGGTCCTGGGTGTTTCATGCGGGGATTGTGGGAGTTCTAAGTGTTGTTATTTTCCAGCGTATACCAATTCAATTTGTTTGACAATAAATCTCTTCCAAGGGTCGTAGCTCCCAGACATTGCGGGGTATAGAGATATCTACATAGATTAATACTGTGACAAGAAACGATCACCTACGTAAACAAGCCCCTGGTTGCGGATCCAACCCTAGAGTCCACGGAACAAAGACTAAACATGAGGTATGGCCCTTCGCAACAATAATCGCAATGCCAACTGACACAAAATTGGAAGGCCAACATTTGCCAAAGATTGACCTCGATTTCGAAATGTGATGATTGTGTAGCCAAAGGAAATATTGCGAAGATTTCGCTTTGAGAATGATAACCCGTACCTTATGATATATATGGGTTATCTCGATCCTTGATATCGGTATATTGCATCCTTTTAGCTCCACATATCCTCATATTAGGGCAGATTTTGGGTTTTTTTTTTTCCATAGATTTTGCCATACTTGGACTGTACTCATATACTCAGATCAATACTGAGGTTAAGTATTTGCAGAGACTGGATGCATTAGGTAGTATTCCCTGGGCCTGTCTGTTTGAATGGCGATCAAGCCACCTCAATCTCCCCAGAACTCTACCACGCTATGCGAAACCCCTTGGTATGAACTTTCTGTTCTATCAAGGCTCGAGAAATTCCTGACAGCCTTCAGAAACTGATTCTTGGAGTCTCCCAGAGCCCTACAGGCCGAACCCCACCCAAACAATTCGGGAAGGGATGGCATTCCAACATACTCGCGCAACTTGTACCATTGGGCCACCAGACTTCAGCCTGTTCATCGGCAAGCTATGTACGCCATGATGTCTGGCCGAATCCTCCTCATGGAGCTGAGCCATATGGGAAAATAGGAGCCATCCCGCAGCCACCTGGTCGTTGAGATCGAATCTTCCGAATGACAGCATGAGATTTCACACCCTCGCCATTGAACCGACGATCGTCAGGCCGGACAAAGAATCGATGTAGCCTGGTCTGAACAATCTGATTTCCAATAGTCACGGGGAGGCATTCCACAAACATTGTAAGGGACATGCTTTTCTGATGCCACAGGTTGATGCCTCATCCTCCGGACTATAGGAATGCAACATTCCACCAAAATGCCCTTGGATCTCCAAGTTCGAATTCCAACCAGAGACGTTCAAGCTCAATTTTGTGGGACTGGAATAGATCCAGGCAATTCTTGCCGCCAGATAAGAATCGCGATGCGCCACCTGGGACTTGCTCCTTCGCCCGTTGCTAACCTGTCCAAGTTCTCAATACGGCTCTCTCTCTGTGTCTAATACAGCCTCACTTTCATTAACACCCAACCCCAGATTGACGAGCTTTTGACACAATGTACTTCTCCTACAAGACTATTGCCGTCATGGCTTCTTTAATGACCTTGGGCCTCGCCGCCGACCCTCTGTCTTTCACTTCCTGGCCCAAGGATCCCCTCGAAGCTGGAAAGCCTGTGACTCTAACATGGACTGGTGCCGCTGAAGATAAAGTTAGATATTCCTATTCCTTACCTCTCTTCAAGTAATCAAGCTGACCTCTTCCAGCCTGTGATCATCCTCCTCCGCCAAGGAAGCTCAGGTAACTTGAAGGACATGAAGGCCATCACCGATCAGGGCAAGGACGGTTCCTTCACCTGGACCCCTGATAGCGACATCAAAGAAGGACAAACCTATGCATTCCAAATCACACAGGGTGACCAGACCAACTACACTGCCCTCTTGAAATCAGGTGGCAAGCCAATGGTCGACGAGCCTAAAGAGAATGAGACCATCCCGAGCACTGGCACCACTACTGGTGGCACCACCACTACTGCCGGCACGACTACTGCTGGCACAACTACTGCCGACACGACTACTACTGGTACAACTACTGCTGGCACAACTACTGCTGACACAACTACTGGCACTGATACTACCCCTCCTCCCAACACCCAGACGACCGAACAAAGTACCCAAACGACCCCAACACCGCCAACCACCCTGACCAGTACCGGTAGCAAGGCTCTGATCGGTTCCTCTGCACCTCCATCCGGCAGCCCTTCTGGCAGCCCATCTCGTTCGGCCAGTGCCACCTCCACAGAGACCTCAGGGCCTACCGGAACTGAAATCATCAACCACAAGGAGGCATCAGCTACCGACGGTGCGCAGAGTGGTGCGGTTTCGACAGCCACATACTCTGTGCAATTAGTGATGGGTGTCGTTGGTCTGTTGGCCTATCTTGTGTAGTTGTTTGGGGTCTTTCGTTTGAGTTCTGAAGTCGGTGTTTGGTGCAAAGGAATCAGTCATGCATTCACGCAAAATGGGCATACCTTCCTGTATATAGAATAAATAACCCCTTGAATATCGCCGATATATAGGGTCACCCGGGCGTAAAGGAAGCAATAAATTATATCTACGGAGTAGAATCACAATCAATACCATATACGAAGCACTTTCCAAGACCAACCGATCCGTCAAAATTAAAAAGGAAACTAATCAGAACTAACTGAAACTGAAACATCGGACCTGTTCAGCGCTTACCCCTGTTCTAGCGCCGTGGCGTTTTAGCGGAGCTGGTGGAACACAAACAACCATGATCGACTGGTCAACTGTTTATTTCTCAACTTCATCTTTACCGCTATTTCATTGTTCTTTCGGAAGATTCTGCAGCTTTGAATCTAGATTGTCTCGATGATCTTTGATGATCTCACGAGACACTGCCTTTATTGCTCAAAGGGCTCCCTTGCGATGTCTAGATGATTAAGCAAGATCATACAATCTCACCTCCAGCTCTAACAACCTCAAATACTGGTATGAGCCTTCCTCCCACAGGCCCATTAGTTTTGCTTTTGATCCCATCCCGTGGCCCTATTTCCTCATGACAAGCGCTGGCGTTCACCATGGGGGGCTTCAAACGGGTCATGATGCGTCTCAGCCCAAGCAAAAGTCTTATACCGATTGCTGCTGACCCCCCTATCCGTGCAGAAGCGCCACAAGTAAATCTCCCACATGTGGACACACAATTGAATATGCACCAGCACGCCGGATTACGCGACGACGAATCGGTCTCCGAAGGCCAGAATGGTGGGTGATTCCGATCCAATGCCTCATGCCTCCCAAGCTTACAGTCTCCGACCTCCAGGCAACTACGACCATGCCCCCTCTTCTCCGTCGCAGCCTTCGATCCTTTCTGCGTCCATCGCCGATACAACCAATGGCGACGCCCCCACAACGGAGTGGTCCGCCGTCGGCCATGCAGCAACAGGGAAATCAGGTCGTGTGATCCACAATCTCCAGGAGGAGATAGCCCGCCTAACGCGCGAATGCACGCTATACAAGTCTCGGTCGGAGGAGTACCAAAGAACCAACGAAGCCTACAAGATCCAGCAACAGAACATGAACGAGCGCTTACGGAATCTTGAGCAGGTCAACGAGACCAACCTCAACTCGATTGCACGGAAAGACCGGAAGATGGAAGAAATGCGGATAGAACTCCAGAACGAGCGCAGGAAGCGTCAGGAAGCGGAGATGGGCGCAACCCAAACCAACCAGACCATGCGCGAGGAGCGTGAAACCCACAATCGAGAACAAGCCCGGTCAGTGGAGATTGCCAAGCACTACGAGACACAATACGACGTGCTATCTAGCACGGCCAAACGCGATAAGGCGGAACTCACGAAACGCATCGATGCCATCTGGGCTGAGTTCGAGACTATTGCTGAAGCGCAGAAAACACATATACATTCCACTGAGCGGCTGGAGGTGCTTGCAGATCAGAAGAACAGGGAATTCGACACACTCAAGGAGACTTATGAGAAGCTTCTTGCCACACACACCACGTATAAGGAGGTGAAAGAGAATGAATTCCGCGATACCCTTGACTCTGCCAAGTCCCACAATGCCAATATTGCCGAGATTCTCGCCCAGCTCAAGGAGACGGAGACCGAAATGAAATGGGCGATCCGACTCCATAAAAGCCGGGAGGGACAAGAGAGCCATGATTGATCCAAGCTGTGTCTGGGTCAACTACTCAATCGGCCCTCTTTCGTTTCAAAATTCAACCTTCAACACCTTCAACTACTAGTCTATCGATATCCCCTCTTCTCTTCTCTTCCCTGCTCAAAATTCAACCATACCGCCAAACTAACCCCAGACTGCCGTCCAAATACCCCTGCCCTTCTTTCAACCTCGTCGATTGATTCCACCCGTGTCCGAAGCCAATCTACCCTCTACCTACCACTCCCGCTCAATTCTCATAGACCATTCCCCGTTGCATGGCGTTTCGTTTCCCTTCGCAGCAGATACCCGTCGTGGCAGAGTTCAATTCGGCCATGTACCTTTCGATGTTTGCATACCTGTTTCAATTTCTATTCTTCTGCATTTGCATTTTCCTCTCGTCTCAACCCTGTTCCTCGCCTCTTTGCCCTGTCCTCTTGTTGGCCCTGTTACATATGACGTTTGATGACCTGCATATTTTTACCTGGTTACGATTACACCGTGATGAACCTGAGGGCAAGTCTGTGCTGCTTGCTAGTGTGCAAAAGATCTTCAAAGAGTGCTTACATAGTTCCTCCCTTCTGCCTAGAGTTCATTGTGCGTGTTATTACGGTTAGCTTTCCGGACATTTATACTGTTTCCATTCTTTACTGCTTTTGTTCTCTCTGTACTTTGGGTGCTACTGTCTTACCTGATACTAGAGGCTTGATTTTCTTGGTATTAGATTTCCTACGTCTTTGCTCTCTCTTCCATATCAAGCTTCCCCTGTAATTCGGCTTCCTTGGGTTTCTATAAGATATGTAGTTCTTCCATTGCTTTCTTTAGAGACCCATAGTGCATATATGAATGTTTTCCTTTATAGAGTGACATGCTGGATAGAACTTCTTATTGCAAATAGGCAACTCTATTTCTAGGCTTTTCCAACACCCCCAGTCTGTTATTGCACATGTTTTTTCTGCCACCCAGAGGCCTGAGTCTTGAATACAAAACATTGTATTAAGGTGAAGCATAGTCCAAATTCCTACGATTCTAGCTTCTATGCTGCTTTATCTGCCACGTGCGCTTCATAGCCCTAGATCGCCTGGTTAATACTGATTAGAGAAGTCCCAGTATGCTTTACTCCTTACCAGTTCTCCGTTTACTCACTAATCAGGACAGCCTCTTTAGGAGCCATAACACCCTGTCTATCGGCTTCTGCCGCTAGGCATCGACGAAAAGAAAAAGACTATATACAATGGGTGCGCTGCTGTCATGACTTAATACAAAATCCTTACCTATATCGTATACAGGATGATTCTTCGTGATTATGATAATCATACGGATCTTTACGCCCATACGATACAATAAGCAGCCTGGACTGATGCCTCTGTATAGGAAACCGAGTGTTATGCCTTGTGACTTACTCTGGTCCTAGATTGCTCCTTCCACTTCATTCTGTGGTTATAATCGGTGCTCGAATATCGGCGCTCCTCACACCTTCATCCCATACCCTCATCTACCCTTATTTCCGTTACTCTTTCCTCGGCTCCTATTCTACTCTATCATGGTTGTCCTTTTGACGTTTTGATTCAATTCCCCGTCTTCTAAGCGTCGTTTTTCACCTTCCAGGTGTCATAACTCAAGTTTCAACCATCACAATCCAACTCCCAGCCACGATTCGAGTTCCATTTGTTGTGAACTTATCTACATCCACCCAGAGCCCAATCGCCAGTTTAGAATACCTAGGTTGCTTGTTTACTCTCATCGCTCAACCGTTATTCTAGTTTGAGACCGACTACTATCCCATACTCGTTAGTTTGGCTTCACTTCAAACGCGGCGAGATCATCAATCAACTTACAGCGACTTTCATCCTCCTCGCAGCACTTATCTATCTACTTACAGCAATATCCGGTCTACTCCCGTCGGTAAGTTCCCATTTACTATATAAATCACCCATATACTCACATCAACTTTGCATCTACTCGCAGAAGTCAGAATTCTACACACAAAAGACAAAATTCCTTACATAGGAGTCTCCAGTTTGCATCTAGCTACATTGGTTGGCTTACAACAGTCCGCAGTCTACTTACGGCCTTGGCCAAGTGGCTCACAACTGTCTGTGATCCATTCGCAATAGTCGCACTTTCGATTGCCACGGTCGATTGCCACGTTTTCGGGTCGTCATCTGCCGTGCCAGATACAAATCATCTCTCCAACCGCTCTGTTTAAGATGGCCGACAGACGGACTTTACTGTTGGCTTCACCCTGGGAACTAGAGACTGAGGGGGTAAGACTATACGATCGCATCATACTAATTTCTGTTATACGTGGACTGGCACTAACGAGCCTCCATATAGGTCAGAGAACTCCGAGACAAGATTAAGTATCATGTCCCCTCTGTTTACTTCTTGTTTAGATCACGACTGACCCTCATTCTCAGTGAGCTCAATTCCAGCGTTCCTCTGAGTAATATCGAATACGATCGGGACGGCCATGTAAGTTTTCCTATATTCTATGATGATGGCTATGCTAATCTGATCTAGCTCCTAGTCCTCAGTGGTCAATTCGATGGGGATTTTGAGATTCAAGTCACTTCCCTGTTCCAGAATTACATTGAAGAGCATCGTCACGATGATTTGCTTGAGGTATGTTGTAAACCGGTGTTGAGTTCGTTCGGATCAACGTACTAGCCTTTTCTGCGAGATTGATGTTAACACCGATACTGATGCCTCGTCCCCGAAGCTACATTATGCTAACGTGCCTGCACATATCTAGATACCGAGAATTGGTCTCTCTCCGATCGCGTCATCTTCCCCCCCACAGGATTTATATGCGGGAAGTCTGGTGGATGCCATGATATCAAAACCAACCGCTGATGAACCCATTACCACGCCCTGGTTTCCCAACCGGGAAAGCATCGGCCCCATTTCCTCTGATTTTAGACCCCTGTTCGTCCGCGTTTCTGAAATGACAGAGACCACAATCACGGCGGGAAAAGAGGGGGGTCTTTATGTTTCTGCGCGCCAACAGGAAAACAACGATAACGCAATTCAGCTACTCACGTCTCTTGATAAATGCTTTGTATGATGCTGAATTATATTTCTTGACATGTATCACGCTAATACCTCTCTAGGACTATATCGAAAGCCCCAATCTAGGGCTGATCATCTCGACTCCGGACAAGGATAGCGCTACTTTTCGCATCATGCCCTATTCAAAGATCAGCGAAACGGCCGTGTGGCGAATCTTGATTGGGCGATGTACTTCTGTTTCTCTCCGAGAAATAATGACTCTGGTAGTCTGTCAATTTGACGACCATACTAATGAGTTCCGTCCAATCCACAAAATTCGTCTACCACAATCTGTGAACCCAAGCCCCGAGGCGAGCAGTACTAAAGACTGGAAATACTATCAATTTCCAGAGATTAGTCGAGGAAGAAATGTGATTCTTGAGGATATTGACCAGCATCTCGCACCCGAAGTTAAAAACTCTGATCGGAAAAGCGATGCTCAATCGGCTGGACAAGCAAGAAGCGTTGACAACTGGATCTCCACTGATGTCTTTCAACGTAATTTGCTTACTGTGGATGATCGACAAGGGTCACCGACGCAGAGCCCTGCCTCCCGAGAACCTGCTATGCCCAAGCCTCCACCTGGAGGATCCAGCAATTCCACGCGATGGAGCCAGGGACCGTCGGACCTCTCCATGTCTACGAGTGGAACACGCTATCTGGTAGTTGAACCGGATGGAAGACAAGTACCTTTTCATCAGGCTCGACGAGAAGGGGTCATGCGCATGAAGAAAATCTCTCGTCTTTCAAAACTCACCAATCTTTCTGCATCATATCATACCGATCGAGAATTGAAACAACCAACCAGCATCCTTCGCAGTGAAAATGACTCCAAACAGCAACAGAGTCCTTCAGGCAGACCTTCTGTAGCTTTCTCTACATCTCCTCAAACACAAGAGCTGGCTGACACACCTGACGTATCAACTCATCGTCCTCGCCTGTCTCGCCCTCTTCCTCCTGCAGCCGATAGGACGCAAATAGTACCTCAAGGTGGAAGAACCGTTGATTCAGTGATCGAGGAGCTCAAAGAAATGATGGAGATATCCAAGAACCGCAGCAAAAAGAGCAACATCTCACGCAGGCAAAGTACAACCCAAACACAGCCAGGCATTAGACCCAGGCGGTTAGAGACTATTGCAGAAGAAAATGCGAATCCCAATCCGCTGTCCAATCTTGATTGTGAAATAAACAATCCCACTAGTGATCTTCAGCTACTTTCTCGGTTTAAACCGCTTGTGCCAGCCCCCGGAAATGTTCCAGGGAAATCTGTCAACACTCGTCATGACCAACGTCAGATAGGAAAGGCCCTCACTCGTAATGAAGCCGATTATATCCTTGATCAGCCCAATGAGGAGAATTCAACTCTCCAATCTTACTCTGCTCAAAGCGATGCTCCTTCACCTCAAGGAATCCCAAATTCGAGTGTCCTCCATTCATCGACTCTGACCTCGCTTGCCAGTGAGCCTGCTTGTATGGACCTCGCTGCAAATTCATCTTTAGGACCAGGTCAGGCTATTTTTGACTATGTGCATGAGAGCCATGACACGACAAGCGAAGATTCGCATCACCAGGGACAAGGATCCACTGAGAAATTCAAAAAAGTTGCCATGGAATATCTACACCGTCATATTGAGGAGAGTCTTGGCCACAAAGAGGGTCTTCACCAAGGAATTTCCGACACTGGGCAAAGCGCGCCAGACTCTAGTGGTAGTTATGGTGACATTGCAGCTAGAGGTCTATCTACTAGCTTGCTTGGCAGCGCTCTGCCCAGTGTTCAACGAGGGCAATCCTCTCCCAAACGTGAAGGGAATGTGCCTATTCTTCGTGAAGATCTCATTGATATCTCACTCCAAAGTGTCTCTTCTCACTTAGCTCGGGGCTATTCACAACAATCCAGTTTCAAAAATGAGAACCAAGTTGCGACGCCAGATATTCAAGAGGAACTGGCTGCAACAGAGGAAGTCCAAACCCGGAAATTGCACAAGACAATGTTCCATCAACGACCTTGTGAAAGAGGCTCTCGTTTCTTGGATCCAGAGTATGGGACAGAAAGTAACGGGAAGTCTCAAGCCACTGATCTTGACCTCGCAACGGGAAGAACCAAAACGGTTCCTGCTACACCCTGGAAGAGAAGGATTGACACCATCACTGCTAGCTACTGGAAGCAAAAGGTACATTCCAAGCCAACTGAGACCAAGCCAACTGAGCAACAGAGTCAGAAAAGCACCGATTTACCCACGGAAGCAGCCGCCAAATCTTCAAAGAAGAAGAAACCCATTCTGAATTCATCAATCGATCTCTTTCATTTCTTGAGGCCAGTTCTTGATGCAGCTCGCAGCTTTCCTGGTACTTTGAGTCTGGAAATCCAATTCGGTCTCATGTTCATACCCAGCCTGCCATATTCGACGCGAACAAGGGAGATGAGCTACAGGGAAGTTCAGCAAATATTTTCCCCTGACCATGCCTTGCCACCACCTTCAGTCTCGATGTTTGAGCGCATAACAGCTGCTGCTGTGGATATTGATTATCTGATAGATCTAAAGGTCAACCAACGGCGTCTGTTTGAATCAGACTACAGCGACAGAGGCATCAAATACGAGTTTTGGTGTGTCGACGATTCCAATAATTCCTTTGTCATCTCAGTTAGTGAGCATGGACATGCTTTAGTTCATTATCCTGAAGTCTCCCTGGGTACGGTCCACTTGAGTTTCCCTTCGCAAATCTGGGATGCCGCCGCCAGGGTACGAGGCTTTCTTGAACACACTACTGGTATTGATCTGGAACTTGACGAAGCTGTACAGGCCATGGTAAACAGCATCTACGTTGAACCAAACAATGAACAACTTCGAATGCTCGTCCGTTTCCCTCTCACCTCGAAGATCAAAATTGATCAAGTTATCATGAAACGGTGGAGCCGTCACCCTTACCTTTCAAACAGGAGCAAGGACTTGTTTCTACACATCATCGAATTCCAAGAGCTCTCGGTTATTCCCTCTATTCTAGACCCAGGGATAATGGTAGTTCGGAATGCCCCGATCGAGCAAATGGTGAAGGATGGGAAGCAGTGGTGGCAAGCTTCAATCGGCAGCAGCAAAATTGAGGAGATTATCGGAACAAACGAGGCCATCAGACCAGGCGAATGCAACAAATCCTGGTATCCACCAGACCTGCTCGGTACAAACATCGGGGCCTATGCTGTTCGTACTGAGGATCAAGATCTGAGTCCCCAGGGCGCCGAAGTCGGTAGTTCGGGCATTGGGGAGATGTTCCAACTCGCCAAAACCGTTGTCGAGAACATCGATGCCATTGGCTTTTGGAACAAAGGTCCCGCTTATGTCTCCGCTGATAGCTCTTCTGTCGGGCGCATTAGTTCATCGAAGTCCCTCAGCACAGTTGATCTGAGCACCACACTCCAGGAGCAGCCCACTGACTCGAGTGACCTAGCGTTGGTGCCTTGGGGTGCGCCGGTCAGGATAAATACCAAGCGCAAGTGGTAATCAATGGGACTGAGCAAGCGATGATCTTGCTATTTTTCAAGAAACAAACAAATAAGAACGTTCGAGGTGGAATTCTTATCATGTACGTAGGGTTAATATTGCTTTTCGAGAAAACACAAAATCCCCCAAAAAAGAAGAAAGATATCTGAGCTGCCAGATAGTGCCTTATAATCTGTTGTAACATTCAAGATTCTTGTAGTTTGGTGAATACAGATAGCTCTAACTTCATCGTTGACTGGGTACCCTGCTTTATGGTTTGTCATAAGATTGCGATTTAAACCATGTACAAGGTTACAGCTATGAATTTAGGTACCTGCTATCTAACGCCAGACAATTGGGCTTCGATATCAGGATTGGGGAACCTGTCTTGTTATTGTTCCTTGGGAGACTTGGACAGACGTGCTCTAACCGGTTCTTTTAGTATCAGCCTTGAAGTAGTCCAAAGCGAACGGAGATAACCGAAAAACTTAAATTTATGCTCGATATATAATAAAATGCAACCTTTAACTGTAATGCAAGTATATTCCTATATTCTTTCCTGATACAACCTCGGGAAACAATCAATCTTCTTCTTCCGGAGCATCATCCACACCGCGTAGCCAAGCACCTCGAGCATCGACTGCTGCCTTGCGCACATCACGCTTCGGGTCATCAAGCACCGCGCGCAAGGACCTCAAAACTTGGTTCTTGACTGGCAAAAGGGGCGAGATAGTTGGCGGAGCACTGGTGGCAGCGGCGCCGGGGAGTTGGTGCGTGGCGAGCAGATTGAGACATTTCAGGGCGTCTGCGCGGAGGCGGGGAGTGTTCACGGCGGCAGTGCTGTTCACTGTTGTCTTCAGGAGTCTGGTGACAAGACTCTGGACGTGGCCGCACTGGTCGATGACTACGACGCCGTTGTCGCGGATGATCACGGCGAGGGTATCGAGGGTTGCTGTGCGGACGGCGACGGAGTCTGCGGTTTGGAGGTCGAGGGATTGCAGGAGGAGGGGGAGGAGGGTGGGGAGTTCTGGCATGACGAGGGCCGTGGGGATGGTGGAGAGGATGCCGGCGAGGGCTGTGAGGTGGGCTGGTTTGATGTGGCCTGGCACTTTTGTGGTAGCTGAGTCGTCTGTGCCGGCGATGTTGACTTCGCGGATGCGAGATGAGATCAGGGGGATTACGGTTGTGAAGAGGCGTTGTCTGCAGAGAAGGCGGATTGTGGCGCCGTTGGTTGCGGAGAGGATATCGTCTTCGCCGAGGATTATGGAGAAGGCTTGGGCTGTTGTCACGCTGGTTTGCTGGTCTGGGGAGGATAGGAGGGTGAGGAGGGAGGTCACAACTTGGGTGGTTGTGGGGGCTAGGCGAAGGACCAGAGCTTTGGATAGCCAGAATATGGTGCGGATGGTGGCAGGGCTGAGACTTTGGGATTCTGTGTCCTTGCTTTGGAGGAGAGAATCAAAGAGTTTCTCGGCGATTGCGAGATCCTGCTTCGATAAGAACTTGTTAACAAGCAATGCCAGGTGACGCAGGTATGCTTGGTGTGTCGCTGGCTCTGTGCTCGAAACAGAACGGTGGACTAGATCCAATAGCAAACCCGACATGTTTGGGTCGGTGTGCGGAATCTGGTTGCTGCACTCCTTTGATATTCCTGCGAGGAGATATGTCGAGACGATGATCGTACGCTCTTGATCCGCGCTCGTAGTCTGAGCGAATGGAATGGGAGCAAAATCTTCAGCTGCAGAAAAGAGGCTGTAAACATTTTGGGCAACTTGTTCCTGCTTCTGAGCTGAAACCGATAGCACGATAAGGTTGCAAAGTCGGCCTAAAGTATCAAGCACAGTAGGGTCATTGAGAATTCGGTTCTTTGCCTTGCCAGAAGCAGACGCTGCAACATCGCGGCAAAGTCCGACCACAATCTTGTCAAAGTACAAATCGATACTCTGATCCTGTGCCATGTTCCTCTGCTGCATCACATAAAGCAATGTGACGAGGATAGCTCGGGGATAAGCAACTGATCCAGGCTGCTCTTTTAGTAGCAAGATAGACAGTTTACTGAATAGACGACGGAAAAGCGTCTCGAAAATGTCCCTTTCAACGCTGATCTGGGCAAGTGTCTCGAGTGTAGGCAGATACGACGCCTCGGATCCTTCATCTTCCTCTGGCAGAGTAGCCACAAATGCAGGGAAGGTAATATCCACAATGAGCCGGGGCTTGTGCTTAGAAATCTCAGCAAGAGCAGAAATTGCTTCTTTCTTCAAATCATCCCGTCCCACAGATTCCTCCTTCAGAAGAATTTCGTCGAGGTATTGCACGAAAAGCCCAATCTCATTCTCCTGGAAGAAGTCGCGCAAAGTCGACAGGCGCAAGAAGCCCTTGAGGGCAGTCACACGGAAGGAGACTTCTTCCTTGGCTGCACCCATCAAAGCCTGGCCAAAGAGATCCGAAAATTGGTCCTTGAATTCGAGGAGCGGGTTTTCGATGGCAACCTCGCCGCCTCGGGTGGTCCACTTTCCGAAAACATTCGTAGCAGCTTCGAACAAGACGTTCAGAGTCTCTAGAAGTGCTCTCTGCTTGACAATGCCATCTGCCTCTTGATAAAGTGTGAAGATAGGGGCAACAACTGTCTGCACAATAAGGACGAAGGAAACGGGTGAAGCAGCGGATACGCAGCTGAGAATTGACTGGGCCGGCTTGGCCTTCTTGTTTTGAGGCTCCTGGAGTTGCTCATTGCACTCCTTGGTAATTGGCTGGAGATACTTTGCAAGAGGCAATTCCTGTGACACCTCGGTAACGCCTTCAGAGAGCCGTTTGGCGATTGCCTGGAGAACCTCAAGAGAGCTTTCAGAAAGGAATTCCTCTTGGGCATTGAGAATTTCAAACTTAAGGACCTCCCATACGGTGACGGAAAACTTGGACACCGTGTTGGGATCATACGAGTGAATACAAGCGATCAATGCGTTGAGTGCATCTTTCTATAGAGCTGTTAGCACTGTCTCGATATCACAGAATGTTGAAAACTTTTACCTTAACATTGGGAGAAGTGGAATCAAGCTTGTCCAATAGTGCGGGAATAGCGTGAGGTGCGAAATGCCTTGTCGAAGAGATGCAATCTTGCAGACGACCCTTCAGATCCTGTGCGGTGATTCCATAAGGATCATTGGGTGGGGGTCGGAAGGTAATGGGGAAATAGTTGTATACTGAATCGAACAGGGTCTGCCTAACGTTAGAAGGTAATTCCAAGTCGGTTGAGAAGCTACACATACCTCAACGTGATTCGAGATGTCCCATTCCACCATAATCACTTTCAGGATAGAGAAGACAATCATCAAATTTCTCGGGTCTTTCTCTCCAGTCATGATATCAACAACACCTAGAAGCGAGATATCCCCCATATCACGCAAAGCTCCGCGGTGTGATGACATCAACTCATTGAGCAATTGATAGACGTGGAATCGCTGTGTTTGAGACCGAGATTGGAGATCTTGAAAGTTGGAAAAAAGCCTATATCAAAAAAAGAAAGGTCAGCTTTGGGCAATCATTAAGACAAGCTTTATACCCGGCAAATACAAGGATCTCATATGTAACCAAAAAGTATAGAACTTACGCTTGTGCTACTTCGGTAGCCAAGAACTTATTAAATCGGTCCAGACCTTGCAAGACCTGCAATCCAGCAACAGCACCTCCATCCTCAATTCTATCGCAGAAGAATGAAGTCAAGACTTGAATCTGTTGTCTTGAAAGGTATTTCGGCGACAGAGCTTGGATAACAGCCGTAAGGTAGGAAACCGCTTTTCCGCGCAGAATTGGGTCTTCATCATTAATGTATTCGCCGAGAGATTGGACGGTATCAATCAAAGTCGCCTTCTTGGTCTCAACATCTATAAGAACCTACGTTAGTAATGCAATGGTTTTAAATAGTCTCAAGTGCGGGGCGAATCAGGCCTACCTTGCGCGATTCCCTCGGCAATGCGCTTGGCTTCTTCTTTGTCATGGTCCACGACCAGCATAAAGGTCTGCAGGGCCGACATTATACCAATCGATCAACCAGGAAAGCCGAGATAAGTAGATTACAGGGGCAAGGTCAAGACCGCATCGGCGGCCAATTTCTTGTGGCCGAATACCCTTATCGATAAGGATCAGGTGATGGCGTTATCTCCCCACGTCACGTGTCAAGGCACGTTGCGTCATGGCCCTGGTGAGACCTGCTTCTCTGCTCGGCGTCATTGGCAGCAAGATGGCTTCAACACGCCGCATGAGAGTTAGTCGACTAAAGACATCTATTCTGTTTACATTTATTTTTGCTAGCTCCGCATCTGCACTCTGGGGACTACCATACCCTATTCCTTCAAGCCAACAGCCGCTAGCTCTTGAGCACAAGGCGCACCAATCAATAATGGACAAGATCCTACCTGGTATCGTCCAGACACAGAAGACCGCTCCAGAGGAGGACGTGAACTCGAAAGATAATGGTAGTCCCATCATCTCAGATGTCCTGCCCAAGACCAAGGGCATCAATATCTTTGCGCGGTTGACCCGTGACTTCGAGCCAATCGCCTCTCGTCTTAACGATGCATCCAAGAATATCACAGTCCTCGCGCCACGCAACAGTGCAATTCAGGCTCTTCCACGGAAACCTTGGGAAAATCCAGAGGACTACAAGAAGTTTGGTGAGGTAAATGCATATGAGGGTCAGGACGGTCAAGATCGGGCAAAGCGGAATCTGCAGCGCTTTGTCGAGGCCCATCTCATCCCTGCTAGTCCCTGGAGAATTGGGGAAGAGGTTGAGACACTAGCAGGAGAGAAGTTGAAATGGACGAAGGAGGGTGATAAGATCTTTGTAGGTTTTTGTCCTTTCCGAGACGTTGCAAGGTTGATCTGATAACTGACTGTCTATAGATCCAACCTGGAAATATTGAGGTTGATGCAGTTGCAGAGAAGGTCCATAACGGGGAAGTCTGGGTTCTGAATGAGGTTATTAATTACCGTCAAGAGTGACGGGTGTTATCTGTTATAGGTTATGAGAAAATACGAGTTATGTAAACTGTGCAATATGTCGGAAAATGGAGAGTAAATGTAGACCCACAAGAATATAGCCGCTTTTGAGACATGACACATTCTATTCTTCATGCTGTTTAAAGGTAGCAATGACCCCAATACAGGTATATACACCAACGCAAGACGCAACATGCAAGCCAAAGGGAAATTAGATTCCAGCAGGCGCAAAGTTTTGCAAAATTCTCTCCTCAACTCCATCAAGAATGCAGAAGTGCTCCATCACCTCCAAGTTCTCTGCCTCGTTCAGGTACAGCTTGTCGGGATCTTGGCCAGGCTGGAGCGGGTTGACCATTGCGGCAGGGTTGGCCATGCCCATCTGCTGCGCCATTTGGTTGGCAGCTATGAATCATCAGTAACGGTCTCTTGCGAAGTTTCATATTAGTACATACCGTTATCACTACCGAGGATGAATCCAAAAACGGACTGCAGACCCATCAGGTTGAGGAAGTACCACGAAAGACTGGAGACCCATTGCACATCAAGGTCACGAGTCATGACACCAGACTGGAGCATCGACTTGAAACGGATGGTAAGCGGGAAAGGCAATTTCACTGCAGAATTTGTAAGCTCATTGATCACGCCCGGCTGTACCAAACTGCAACATACAGATCACAAAGCCAGAGAAGAAGGCATTGATCCAACTCATGATCAAAGTTTGAGGAATCATCATCATCATATTTCCCTTAAGCATGCCCATCATAGCTTCCATGCCGGCAGGGTCGGTCATAGGGTTCGCGGGAGGCTGGCCACGGTTGTTGGGGTCCTTCAAAAATGAGCCGTTGCGGAATCCCGTAACCATGTAGTTCTTGCGCATCTCGAAAGACTCGCGGTCGAGGACAGAGCAGGCATTGTTGCGAAGATTCACACCGCGGAGTAGAGCAAGGCGTTCGCGAGATTCGGCAAGGCTGGTTGCCGATCTGGGGCCCGAGTTCATCAAAACGGTGGCATAGTGGCGAAGGATTCCGGTCAAGATCTGTTCAAGAGGGGTTAGTTTCGTGTTCTGGGCCATCGCGAGTAATCAAATTTCACGCGCAGGTGGAAATCCTTACCATAACAATCGAAATTGGGAACAAAATCCAATAGCTATAGGGAAATGGTCAGTCCAGCTTCCCCGAGTCGATCGAAGCAGATTCGCTCACAATAGCGCCGGATCCCTAAGGATGGTCTGCTCAGCCCCTTGAATTGCCATTATGGAGGCAGAATACAGAATCAAAAGACAATCTGTTTCGAACCAGGCGACAAGTCGGTGGTGCAGGTGGGGGATGGAAAGTTGAAGGGGCCGCGAAGGAGAGGTTGCCAGGCGGAGAGAGATGTCATTGGCCCGCGTTAGCTCCAGCTTGCTCCAAGGGCCACGCCGCATCTTTGTCCTGCGATAAACAACTTGCCCTGTCTTGACCTCTGAATACTAAGTCGCACTCGTTTTTCTGGTATTCACGAGAATCTTGACTCTTATATTCTATCCCCTTCACCATGGCTTCGAACAAGGTGCCAGTCTACTCGACTAGTGGTCCGTAATCCCGATCTACTCTATACAGCAATAACACTAACAAATGTGAACTACAGATCTCAAATCTACCAGCGATGATGCTCTCCTTCCCTACTTGACCAATCTTCCCGCGCCATACGCTTTCACACCTGACCACACCAAGACAAACATTCGCTTCTTGCTCGGATATAGCGCTGTCGCGATTGCAGGGTTCACTTTCTATGCAGACCGCAAGCTTGGCTGGGAAGCAACTAAATCGCCCTGGATCATTGCGGCGGTTGTATCCTATTTTGTTCTGAACAGCATTCTGACATACTGGATCTGGGCCGTCGAGGGGGGAGAGGTATACTCCGGGAAGAGGAAGACTGGAGAAACGGTATGTCAATCGGTCTTAAGACGACTCACGGTTTCTCTTGCGACGAGTCACTAACCTACGTGTCTGTAGATATCCGTCTCATCATCAGCCAAAAAGTTCTCGAGTCTCTACAAGCTGCACGTCACATATAAGTCTGCCTCAGGGAAAGTCCTCCAGGACAAGTGGTGCGAAGCGCCCTTCACAACTTGGTTCTCGGCAGAAGGTGTATTCCACCCCGAGCCTTTCCGCCGCTGGGTGGCCAGCGAAATTGATGTTTTGAGACTGGCGGCTAAGGAGAATGAGAAGAAATCCGGTTGAACTCTCTGGAATATCTTCCACCATCGGGTATCTGGGTCATGTTTTGGGAGCTATGGAACAGAAAGCTTTTTCAATCTACAAAAAACATTAAGAAGGGCGCATTTTATAGCAAATTGAACTAGCGAAAAAAGAGCTAGTCAGGCAACATGCTTTCTGTATTTTGCTTCAAGACTTGGGGTTGGCTACATGATATTAAGAGGCTTCAACAAATAGACAAATAGAGTGGGAACACTCTAACCTATGTTTATGTGAGCCATCAGCGAGCGAGAATCGTTCTGAGTTGACAACATCCATACTTCAGGTATGTCCATAGCAATTTGAGTTAGGCAGTGAAGTGCCTGCTGGACATTTCGTTTTGCCTACCATGACAATCCAATAAATTTGATATACCGGCAACCTTACTATAAAATATGTCTATCTTACCTCAATATTCCTGGTGAAGTATCACGGGTAGGGCTACTGGTCTCACGTGGATCTCTCTATTCATTAGGAAGGAGCCCTACTGCATTTTCTAGACTCCAAAGGTCCAACTTGGCTTGAACCTTCCACCTTTTTGGAATACAGTAAGTTTTTTACCAGTCTAAAAAGACAGTGACAAAAATCAAGAAGAGTCTCGCTGAAGGGAATCAAGAAATTTCGAGCATGTATGTACATTCATATAATCGTGCGTGAACCCGCCGCACTAGACAATAGTCATAAACAAGATGGGGGTTTGGCGTGTGTAAAAAAAAGACATTAAAACAAGGGGCAATGCTAATTCCAAATATGGAATGCAACTGGGAGATATCAAAGTACCGAAAAGGGGAAAAACAAGGTCTCGAAGTATAATCGAAATGGCTAATAACAAACAAAATATCTATAGGTTTTTACGATATGGCCAGCTCGGGGCATAGCCATGCATGTTGGGACGTCAATCAATCATGAGCAGCTTACGAGGATGCCTCAAGGGTGCCAGGGCGCTCAGTGGCCTCGGCAGGCTTGACATCATCCATTCGCTTGTTCTGAATGAGTCTCTGTAATGCGGCCATGTTAGATGGTGTTTCCAAAGAACCACAGGACATGGAAAGGAGGATAGGGAGATGGAACGTACCAGGAGGTTCCGCAGAAGGACAACAATGGTGACCTTTCCAATGGAGGGAACGAAGAGAGAGGCCTTCTCCCGGACCTCGTAGGGGAAGTTCTGTAGGATGTATTAGCAACAATCGCTTGAGCGGTACAGCCCAAGACAAACATACCTTCTCGCTGGAGAAGTTGACACAAACAGCACCCTCACGCAGAAGGCTAGTGTCGAACTTGTACTTCTCACCAGGGACACCGGTAATAACCACATCACAAAGCGGCACAACATCCTTCATAGTCTTTCCCTCAAGATCAACAACCTCGTGAGTCTTGTGCTTCAAGCCCTCACCACGAGTAAACTTCTGCACACCGGTAACATCAACCGAGTAAACGCAAGCACCATCATTGGCCAACAAAGCAGCAAGCGGGCGGCCAACGACCTCGGAGCGGTTCACGACGCAAATCGTGTGGCCGAACAGGCGGTTACCATAGGGCAGGATGGTGTTGTAGATGTTGAGGTACTCGAGGATCTTGATGTTGGCCAGCGGGGTGCAAGGCAGGATGGACTTCTGGCGCTTGGCCTCGCCATCCAGGAAGCGGATGTTCTGGTACATGTTGAAGATATAACGGTGGCTCAGGCCCTCCACATCCTTTGTCATGTCCACGATTTGCTGCAGGTACTGATCCTGGCGATTGTTGAAGATCGGGTAGTAGACGATAATGCCATCGACGTTGTTGTCAGTGTTCGCGTTCAGGATGGCTTCTTCGATCTCGTCGCGGGACACTTGACGCAGTGAGTATTTGAATCCACTGTGAGAGACATTATATTAGTCGGACTGTGCCAATTGAACTGTAAGTTCATTTTTAGGACTGGTCGTGGTGGGCTTCCGGTCTTTTTTTTTTGTTGCGCGGCGGAGGGGCAAGTATGAATCATACTAGATACCCCCACCATCCATCCCACCGTTCAGACTAATGGAGCCATTGGAAGTGAAAAATCAGAGAAAAGTGTAAGACTCACTTCTCTTCGCAGGTCTTCTGTGTCATTTGAGCATAAGTCAATGCGGCAGGGTCATTGTTGGCCAGCAGGCCGACCAAGTGAGGCGGCTTCTCCAGAGTCTTGAGCCCCTCTTCGACTTCAGCGAGGAGGCGGTTGGCAACATTCTTGCTCAACATCACCTTGCAAGAGGAAGCGGGCTTATCGGTAGGAGCAGACATGACGGGCGATATCAATAGAATGAATAACAAGAGAAAAAAAAGAAGTTATTTGCAGGGAGACTTGGGCATTTCGCTTCTGACTCAAAAAAGCTTGATCGCTTATCGATAACAGATTGGCTGCCGGTTTCGGCGTCACTTCCCGAGTCGTGTCCTTTGGATGGGTCCAAGCGTTTAGACCGGATGTCTAGGTACATGGTGAAATAGGATTGATGATATAAATAGCAATGTTCAGATCGTGCAATCGCTGCTCTCGTTCGATTGGCATAGATAGAATTTCATGTTATTGTCCAATATCTTGAATACCGAGGACCCGTCTTCATCCGATGTGTACGAGTACATGTCTTGGCAGTTATGGGAGATATTCAACTACAATCTACATTTACAGGAGAATCGAGTTGAACAAAGGAAATAAATTGCGGTCCAACATGGAGAGCATAAGGAGACCAGACGGAATTAGAGCGGTCGTCCACCCATCTCGCGCCTCGATGCGCGGATAAAATCTAAACGTACAGGATATAATCACATTTTGGCAGTCCAAAGTCATTTTAGTTCTGTCTCGTACAGCACTACGGGAAATCCTTGGTCCGCCCCCCAGGATCATGCAGATAATTACATCGCTACATCCAGGGGCAGACTGGGATCTCCTGCCAAGCACCGGCACCAAGAAGAACAGAAAAACAATGGGCTCAAAATTGTACAGGCTATCTTGTCTATCCACATAGAGTCAAGAAAACAAAGCCGACCACGAAGGATCATCTTATTTCTTCACTTATGCGTTGAAGGTGGAGTTGAAGGCAGAGATGACCTTCTTGAGATTGGCCTCAGACTCCTTGGTGACCTGGCCGTCCTTCTCGATAGCGGCCTGGATCTCGGGGTGGGAGCTCTTGAGGTGAGCAAGGAGGTCAGCCTCCCAGGTGAGGATCTTGTCGACGGGGATGGTGTCGAGGAGACCGTTGACACCGGCGAAGATCAGGGGAACCATGTCGGAAACGGCCATGGGGGAGTACTGCTTCTGCTTGAGGAGCTCAGTCAGACGCTCACCACGGGCAAGGGTCTGCTTGGTGGAGGCATCAAGATCGGAACCGAACTGAGCGAAGGCGGCGACCTCACGGTACTGAGCAAGGAAGAGCTTCAGGGAACCGGCGACCTGCTTCATGGCCTTGACCTGGGCGGCGGAACCGACGCGGGACACGGACAGACCGACGTTAATGGCGGGACGGATACCCTTGTAGAACAGCTCGGACTCCAAGAAGATCTGACCGTCAGTGATGGAAATGACGTTGGTGGGAATGTAAGCGGACACATCACCACCCTGGGTCTCAATGATGGGAAGGGCAGTGAGGGAACCAGCACCGTGGGTCTTGTTCATCTTGGCGGCACGCTCGAGGAGACGAGAGTGGAGGTAGAAAACGTCACCGGGGTAGGCCTCACGTCCGGGGGGACGGCGGAGGAGCAGAGACATCTGACGGTAGGCGACGGCCTGCTTGGAGAGATCGTCGTAGATGATAACGGCGTGGCGGCCGTTGTCACGGAACCACTCACCCATGGCGCAGCCAGTGAAGGGAGCAATGTACTGCAGAGGAGCGGCCTCGGAAGCGGTGGCAGCAACGATGACGGAGTACTTCATGGCATCCTGCTCCTCAAGGGTCTTGACGAGCTGAGCGACGGTGGAACGCTTCTGACCAACGGCGACGTAGATACAGTAGAGCTTGTCGGCCTCAGCGGCGCTGGCGGTGTTCCAACGCTTCTGGTTGAGCATGGTGTCGAGAGCGACAGCGGTCTTACCGGTCTGACGATCACCAATGATCAACTCACGCTGACCACGGCCAATGGGGACCATGGAGTCGACACACTTCATACCAGTCTGCACGGGCTGGTTGACGGACTGACGGGGCAGAATACCGGGGGCCTTGACCTGAGCACGGCTCTTGGCCTTGGTGTTAAGGGGACCCTTGCCATCAATGGGGTTACCGAGAGCGTCGACGACACGGCCGAGCAGCTCAGGGCCGACGGGGACCTCAACCTAAATTTGGTGTTAGGGATGTTGCTAGGGGGTTGATAGATTCGGGTTCCAATATCAAAATGAACGCAGGGATGAATTGGGATGCTTACAATCTCGCCGGTACGCTTGACAGTCTCACCCTCCTTGACGAGACGGTCGGAACCGAAAAGCACAACACCGACCTGGCCGGCCTCGAGGTTCATGCACATACCCTTAACGCCGGAGGCGAACCTGGAGATGGGTTAGTTTTCCGGTATGGATAATGCCAAGACTTTGGGGGTTCACATACTCGACCAGCTCCTCAGCCTGGACGTTGGACATGCCGTGGACACGGGCGATACCATCACTATTTAAAGCTCAATCAGTTTCTGTGTTCGTATATTGTCGAATGCTGATAAATAATGGCGGATTCGATGGGATTGTGGCCGAGGACCGAATTTTTCTTCGCGCCCCCAGCCGCCCGAGAATTGACGTACCCGACCGACAGAACACGACCGGTCTCAGCGAGACCAGCCTCCTCAGAGACACCACGAATACGCTGCTCAAGAATGGAGGAGACCTCGGTAGGGGTAGCCTTGGCCTCGGAAGCGTAGGAGCGAACGCCGTTGAGAGGACCGGCAGCAGCCGCGCGGACCTATATCGAACGAAAAAACCTGTTAATGACCACCACAGCAAACGACAACGTATCCGAGTCATCATAGAGGTGTTGTAGTCGAGATATGATGAGGTCTAAGCATCGATCGAGCTCGACATTGAGATGAAGGATGTCGAACTGGCGATGGACGAAGGCGGCTGGGATGGGATGGACTCACCGAAGCGATGCGGCCAGTGGCCGAAACGGCCGCGACGGAGCGGCTGGACGACCGCAGAGCGTTTCTGAACATTGTGAATGGGGGGTTCAGAGTATGGGAGGATGAATTCTCTGAGGGAGAGATGTAATTGGGGAGAGAGAACGGGAGAGGAGAGAGGATTGTGGACGGGAGGGAGAGCTTTGTCGTCGGGGGGAGGATTGGATTCTCAGGACTCGCGCTAAACCGTTTCGGACACTGGGCCCTCCGAGGTGGCCCTAGTGCGAGGACACGCTTGTACCTCCTACGCTTTTTTTGTGACTACAATACTAGAAAGTATTTGTTTAATTTCTCATTCTCTAAATTCTCTCTCTTCTAAAAAAAAATTCTATAACTCATAGTGTGTTACTTCCAACATTTGCATTGCCGACCGGAAGCGTGTGCCACGGGCCACGACCCTTCCGTTTTTTTCTCTTCTCGGATCGGCGGAATTCTTGGTCAGGTGAATCGCTTATGTCATGGCTTTCGTCACGGCAACCAGAGGTTCTTGAGACCTCTACTGCATTGTATATGCGTGTTTGGGGCTCTTATGCTTGATTTCCTTGTTCCCGAGTCCGTACATTTCTACAGCAATATGATACTATTATACGTTGAATACATTCATCAATTGGCTGAGAAAGAGGGAACGCCCACTTTACGGGAAAGGTCAGGTACATCCCAGGGTTGGCCAAAAGACCCTAACACAATTCGGAAGGAAACCTGCCAGCAGAGGAAGAAGGAAAAAAAAAACAAGAAGACAAAAACAATAAAAGACAGAATCAAGCGCTCTGCTAATAACAGCCATACGAAGCAACTCGTCCGTGAACCCGCTGAAATTTCCCATGTCCAACCAAGACAACCCGACAACGCATAGCTCCCGATCTTGGCCGGCATTAACTCCCCTTACTGCATCCTGAATACTCAAGCCAACACTCACTCATTGCGTCGCCTGGCCTTTACCATCAGTCTTCCCCTGGTTCCGGAACTTCAGAATCTCAAGCTCAACGCCTTTCTCGAAACGCTCCTTGAGTTCCGGGCGATAGCCGAAGAAGAACAGGATCTCCATCCACACAAATAGCGGCGCAAGTAACAAAGCTTGAACAAGGTTATCCAGCAATGCAGGGGCACGCTTCTCAAATGCGCCGTGTCCGACAAACTGTGCCAACCACGACACGACGTGGATGCCCCCGGCCCAGTAGTTCACGATGGTACCGTAGGTGCTGAGGAAGTAGTTTCCGTAATATGCAGCCGCGATCACGGCAGGCGCGAAGAGGCCACCGGCGATAGGCTCTAAGAGCACATAAAATGTGGCGTAAATGAGGGCGCCGATTGTTCCGGCATTTGCGGGCAGGTATTCGATTTGGAGAGCGTCCGGCAAACTGAAGAGGGGTGGGCAGTTACAAGCCTTCGGGTAGATCACTGTTAGTATGTATGTCCTGTTCGTAATAACTTGTTGAGATTTGAGGCTTAGTCGAGGTTCACGTACGAGGATGATGCCGGTAAACAATAGAATCGGGACGCAAGTGACGTGAATTGCGACGTTGACCTGCGCTGTCAGTGACTCTTGTGCGGTGCTAGCTATAGGGAGGCGTGTGTACGGGATTGCTATGGTAGGCTCCGTACTATATCACAGTCAGCCGTTGTTCGTCTGGGGATTCGCTGTGAATGCGTACGAAGAGCAGCTGTTTCTCGAGGTTAAGCGCCATCTTGCTAGGTGGGGAACGAGATATTGGGGAATCCTGGGGAAAGGTGTGGCGGGGTGATGGGATCAGGTCAGTGGCATCATCTTTATCGGAAAACGTTGAGTGGTGCGATCCCTCTTCACGGTCCTGGCGTCATGTGCTTAAGCCGAGGAAGGCGTGCCCAGGTGGTCTTGGCAGCGCAACGGTGGTATACCTGGGGAACCATGCACACAAGACCTATCATACTATCTATGTTGTACATTGAACATAGATACAAGGACGTGCATTATAGATCTACTGTCGAGCTAAGGTTTTTAAATTAAGTAAGAGTGTAATGGTCATATTAACTCTTCGGCTTTTAGTGCATCTACCCAATGGATGGGATGCTCCAACGAGGGTTCAATTCATACCTATTGTTTCATGTATTCTATTTTTTTTATACTGGTCTTTTTGCTGCTAGGCCTGGGGCCTAATATAATCTTGGAAACTCGACAGATGTTGATATAAACATTGGTCATATGATAAAGCTTGGATCGTCAAGATAGAGTGAACCGGATATATATAGCCTCACTCCGCACACTGAAGTTATATCTCAGAAGGCACTACTAGAGATATTCAAAAATGAGAGCTATGTATAGCCCTAAACAACATATCAAATGCTCATAACAACATAAGGAACCTAGGAAAACCCATTATTGACTCATGTGAGTTGTACATATTGTCCAATATCTATGGTTTGATATACTTCATCCGAATCATCCTAGAGAAAGCAATCCTCCGCCAATCGAGCCCGAGATAACGTACAGCACATTATTAAATAGCTTTTACAGAAACTATAACACAAGATCCAAAACCAGTATATTTAATTTTTACACTGCAAATGTCAACTCTGCTTCAATGCACCAGTCAAGAGTCACACCACGTGACCGCAGGCACCCAAACTTGGCCCACCAGACCGGAGATGCTCTTGAGAAGGGAAAGCTTGCGCCTGCAGCAACTGTATCTGCCTCCTCGTTCAAGATCCAAGGCAGATACACTCTCTGTCACCAACACGGCCACTCGGATATCCCTTCGCTCATTTCTGGCGATCGCATTTTGTTTGTGCCTCACCGCTGCAGGTCATGAGCTTGTGGTCGAAAACGCCGTCCCTCGACCTCGATTGACAGTATCAGCACCACTTTCTTGAACGCGACTGCACTCTTTTCACATCCACAATCCGATATTAGCGCATTTCTTCCCATCTACAACCGCGACGATGTTCTTCCTCAAAGAAGAGACCAAGGTGATCTCCATGCACCCATCTTATTTCGGACCCAACATGCGAGAATACCTCATCGGCCGACTCAACGAGGAGGAAGAGGGACGGTGTACAGGTGATCACTTTGTGATCTGTGTCATGGACATGGTTGATATTGGCGAGGGCCGGGTGATGCCTGGAATCGGACAGGCGGAATATACCATCAGATATCGTGCGATCATCTGGAAGCCGTTCCGTGGCGAGACGGTATGCGCTTGGAACTCGCGGTTGTCGCCTTTGAATTTCTGCTGATTGAGTCTAGGTCGATGCCATTGTAACCTCTGTCAAGCCCACGGGAATCTTCACCCTCGCTGGCCCATTGTCCGTCTTCATTGCGCGAAAGGTATGAATCGGTTTTCTCCCTGAACATGGATTTTGAGATACTGGGCTGACAGTTTGCAAGAATATCCCCTCCGATATTAAATGGGAGCCGAACACCGTACCGCCGCAATACACTGACCATGCCGACCAAGTGATTGAGAAAGGTACCAGTTTGCGGCTTAAGATCCTCGGTGTCAAGCCCGACGTGGCTGCAATCAATGCGATTGGCACAATCAAGGAGGATTATCTTGGGTAAGCGATTCACGCGATCTAACACATGTGTATTTTCTGACAATAACCGCAACAGACCTCTGTAATGACACGCGATTGCAACACATACCCATCTTTCCCACCGATACGATAATTTACCATGCTATCTACCGTTTCTCGATATTACGGTGGGTGCCTGGAAGGGCGTGACTGCCTATCAAGAAAAAAAAGAAGAATTGGCCGGTCAGGAGCTGGAGGTTGAGAAGGCCCTGCTCGGTACTCCGTACACATGCCATGCTTCGAAATAAATGGCTATGATGCAATGATAGCCCGCTTTTGAGCGTTCCAGGAGAGACCAATTGATCGTGTCTTCCACATGAGACTGCTTGATTCGAGTGTTCCCCGGGCATTGCAGACCCCAGGTGAAATGACGCTCTTCCGACCCGCTAAAGATCGTCGGTGTAAACGGCTGGGGCCAATTTGCTAGAATACACCATCTGAAATGTCCATTGTACATGCACTATGTTACATGTCCAACCCTGTGCCATACCGGAATTTGTAGTTCAAACCTTCCAAGGTTCCATCTCATTCTCCAGTTGCCGGAGGGACGCGGCAAAGAAACCCAGTGGCCCCAAGCCTAGGCCCGTGGCTCAGGGCCCAAAAAGTGAAACACTGGCGCCTCAGGATTTCACCGTGCGCGTTTCAATGGCAATTTCGATTGAGGATTGTTTACTCCATCCGGTCAGTATTTGCAGCTGCATATGCAAGGTACCAAGTACAAAACCGTTCTAGTGGCCCCCTGTGCGAACTTGGGGTATTCTGTACTCAGCCTCGTACCTGCACAAACAGCTCTCCTTTTTCCTTCTTTTTGTAGTTGTAACTACACATCTCCACCTAGCCCACTCTAAGAATAGCTCTTTTGTGCCTCCTTGGGTTTCCTTCCTTCACCCATCCCTGTCCCCCTTGAAAACGGTGATGTCTTACTTCAAGACTGAATATCAGCGTTTCCTGGCTAGTCCCAGGTCTGCGAAATTGGCCGATGATGTGTCCTTGATCTATGTTCCTACGACTACCAAGTTTGAACGGGCCGACAATGTGATTACCCATGTGCTGAAGCAGGTTCATGTGGTCAAGACCAAGTCAAACCAGATCATCAGCGCCATTGAAGGGTCCGAGTCGCTATGTTTGCAGATGGAAACAACTCTTGAGTTCACGGAGGGTGGCGGGGCCTATCTTCCCCATCTCGACGATAATTTCCTGGCCGACCGTGTCGCGACCTTCCCCACGGTAAATCTCCCGACGCGCGTCGCGTATCCAAAGCTAATGCACCTCCTTGCAGATTCATATCGTCCACTTTGACGCCGATCAACAGATCAAGCAGATCCAGATCCACTGGGAGCAGGCCTCATTGCTGAAACAAGTGGAGGTCATTGGAGCGCGCGGACGTCAATGGCCCATCCGCGATGGAAAGGACCAAGTTCGGTTCCTGAAGACTGCTGAGACAGCGCGTTCGGGACCCTCGCAGCCTGTGTCTCAGCAAACAACCACCAAGCTCCCTAACCGCTCCGCATCCCCAGGAAAGCGTCGCATTAAGGATCCTTACTCTGCTGAATCCCTTACCGATCTCCTCTCGCCTAACAAGGAGTTGGCTGAACTCGAGTGCCGAGAGGAGACACCCAGACCCGCTTCTTCCAGCAAGAGATATATAAAAGACCCCTATGGCGCAGGTTCATTGAACGAGATTCTGTCCCCCACTAGACAAGCCCCTGCACCTGTGGCACCCTACGCACCATCGCCTGGACGACCTCCCACACGCAACTTTAGCGATATCTTCATGAAGGACGACCATATGCCAGACTCACCTTCGAAGCCGCAGCGCAGGGCTCCCCAGGTCGAAGAAGAGGAAAAGGAGGAGAAGGCTGCCACCGGGCCCGTGGACGAAGATCGCCATTTCTACAAGAGCGATCCCCGAAAGTACAACCACTTCGAGATTGGTGGCGACAATTCTCAGCGCGAGATCAAGGCGGAAGTCAAGGACGCTGTCTCTCACCACACATCTCATTGGGAGTTCGATGACGTCGAGACTCCCGTGAAGAGTACGCGTCCCGCGCGCGGACAGGAAGTGTGCCACTTTGCCTTTGGAGATGAAAATGATGGCTCTCCCCCAGCTAAGCTGAACGTGACCAAGCCGCGCCGCGATGCGGATCGTCATTTCGACATGAGTGATGAGGATGAGGAGGATGACGGCCGCATTATCAGCTCGTTTGGAGGCCGCGGCCAGCGTCTTTACGAGAACCGCCTTTTCGATGATGGCGAACAGCCCCAGCTCTCCTCTTCGTCAACAACTGGCCATGCCGCTAACCGCAAGAAGAACTTTGTTTCCCAGTTCGAGTTGGCGGACTCGCCTGTTTTCAAAGAGAACACCGAGCCCACCGAGAAACACGATAAGGCTGTTAAGATGATGGAATCTCACTGGGACAACTATGACGAGCCATCCCCTGAGCCGAAGAGGACTGCCACTGCATTGCGCAATCCTCTCACCCACAACCAGCCTAGCTGGAACCACGGAGAAGAGTAAGCCAGTCATCACAGTGCTTACATGTAGTTTGATACTTGATATGTATCTTTTGTCCGTGAAGTCGCTCAAGCTCCGTCTTCCCACCGTACGACAATGCACAGCCTATTCAATCTGATCACGAGCAATATGTACCGATACCCGCATGAATCTTGGACATTGTCCTCAAAGTGCAAAAAAAAACAAAAACAAGTGGTCCAAGGCCTCTAAGTTGCCTTCTACTTGGTCTCTCGAGTGGAAAGAGCAAGTCGAAAGCCTGGTCTGCGTGTATTACCTTCTACCTTACCTTCTTGTCCATTATTCCTCTTGCACAGTATGTGCTTTCTTTATCTTTTTTTTTTACTACTTTCTGCTTTTCAGGTTTCTTGTACTTTGACCCAAAGATGCTCCCAGTGTACAACTTTATTTTCCAATTATTTGATCAATTGTACGATGTTATATTTTGACTCCTAGACTTCAACCTGTAGCCCTCATCCATTCGAGTAGAACAATCTCACATATCTAGAGGCGTCGAAAGAAAGGTACTATGCAGTCTAATTTGTAATTTCTATTCAGGCTCACAGCTATGGTGACATCCAAGGTATCTAAAACTAGGCACATTCCAAAGTTCTTCAGTCCCCAATATCCAAGGATTGCTGATAACCGAGAATAAAAATCCCAAACGATGCTTTTCCAAGACGAAGAATGAGCGAGCGAATATGAGTAAGTTTCCCTGATCCAAACATATCACATCTGTAAATGACCCTCCACCAAATTATTCCAATCCAAGTCCAAAATATGCGTCTCCAATTCATCGAACCAAGTCATGTTGAAGTGAACAAGGCAACACCACACCCCACCAAAAGACTCACTTAAATGTAGAACATAGTGTCCGCAATATTGGGATGGATAACCACATCCGCCGTACGCGCCACATCAGTCGCCTCGGTCCCGCTCACACTTCCACCAGAGATATCGAGAGGATCGAACAAGTCGCTCAAGAAGCAGCGAGCACGCGTGCATACCAGATCCGCATAGTAGGCCGGGGGACACACACTGACTGCCTTCGTGGCGCGTCCGAACAGGTAGCACATCTTGTGCGTGAGATCCTGCAGGACATCCGCTGCGCCGGGGCCCTTTGAGTTCGCCGGGTGGCGCGGGTAGAAGATCTCGTCCCAGACGGTGAAGTAGTGGGCTGGACGGGCGGTGCCTTGCAAAGCGGAGTGAGCCTGCAGGAAGAAGTCCCAGTCGCGGGCCTCGGAGACGCCGCGGTCGACGACGGTTCCTGGGATGGGGTTCTCGCGGTTCGAGTCTTGCTCGGTTGTTGGGTAGAAGCGGGTGTTGTGGCGTTTGCCGACGACGATGATTGCGAGCTTGGGGAAGCCCTTTTTGGTTTGGTCGGCTGGGTAGGTCTTTTTGCAGGCGGCTTGGAGGAGGGGAAGCTCTTCGTCGATGACTTTGTTGTATTGGCCTTCGGAGACACCGTCGCGGTAGACGATGATGTTCTCCGGGAGGGCTTTGTTCATCTTGCGCCAGTATTGGAGACGGGAGGCGAGGAGGATTTCCAGGTCGGCGACCATTTCCTGGCGTGCGCCTTGGACGCGGATTTCGGCGGGCCATTGGGCCAGGTTTGCGTCGACGGAGGCCACGATGCCGGCTACACTGGGTGCTGTGATGGCGGAGCCGGGGGAAGGGTGGGTTACGTCGATGCCGACGAGCATGGTCTTTCCTTCGGAGATGATGCCAAGGTCGGCGGTGCGTAGGGCCTGATTAGCGCCGCCTAGTTTGAGGTTGATTTTCAGGCCCACATTGGCGTTGTACTGGTCGTTGGAGTTGATTAGCTTTTCTGCGAGGACGTTAACGTTGCGGATTCCGCAGCGGACGTCGCAGACTTGCTTGACGCAGTTGTAGATGCCAGTGTCTTTGGTGTAGAAGATACCCATGATGAAGACTGGGTTGTATTGCTTTTGCAGTTCGAGGACGGCGGCCTCCACATCCGCGGCATCGTTCTTTCCGGTCAGGACGACACGCTTGCCGGGCTTGTGGGGGTCAACGGGCATTCCCATATCCTTGAGTGTCTTGGTGAAACCTCTCAGGGATGCGTTGAGTTGATCTGGGTTCTGGAAAATAGGGCGGGCGCCCTCCTGATCAACATAGAGATAAGTCCAGGTTCTCATGGATGCAGCCTTGGAGAACTGAATTTGACGCATGTTCCAGCTGCCATATGAGGTCCTGATTTCCTTGGTTCTGTTCCCCTCTTTATAGTAGACATTTGGGGCGGGGAGAACACGTCCAGGAACGGTGATCAGCTCAGTGGAGGAACTAACACCAAAGGCAGACTGTGAAACGATGGTTAGATATCTTGACAAGAGCTTTGGAGACGGGGAAATCTTACAAGAGTGGCATTCAATGGTTCGCCTAGTCCCAGAACACCAACACCCTTGGTGACAATTGACTGGGCGTTCTGACCTGGCTTCCGACCCATCACGGCAAATCGAAGCATTTGCCCAGTTTGGTCGCCAGTGAGCTTTGATTTAGCTGGCTGGCCAGGCTCCACTTCGCAGACCTCAACGGGCAGATAGACAGGTCTATCGCGAGTCCCAACATTCACCACTGGGAAGTTTGGGTTCAAAGAGAGGTTGTACTCTAATAGGAAAGTCAGCGTAAACTCAGCATAAAGCGAAGAGAAAGTCAAGACAAAACTAACCCTTCTTGAAGAAGTCCGCAACGGTAATGTAGCGGCCAGCTTCCGCAGGACCGGCCCTAGGTGCCTTCTTTCCCTTCTTTCCCTTGGGCTCCGGCGCACCAGGAACGGCGGCAGGCGCGGCGACAGGCTGGGGGCTAGCCTCAGACAGGAAGAACTGCACATCTTGGGGACCAGCACCATGGCGAGGAACTTTCGGAGGGTTAGGAGACGAGCCGCCATCACCCCGGTTGGCAAAGCCATGGATAGGCTTGATGCGAGGCCGAGGCTGGCCGCGACTGTTCTTGCGGGTGATGTGGGTAACACGGACGCGAATGCTCTTGAGGAACTTTTCCAAACGATAGTTGTTATGGCTGCCGAAAGCCTGGATCAAGTTGCTCAAAGGTCCTTCATCGTAACAAGCCACGTATTTGACCTGGACATTCAACAGCACACGAGCAGTTGCGGCCCGTACACTGACAAAGAATCCACGCAGAACAGAAAGACCACCGCCGAGGTTGTACGATTCCATGGTTTCCTGGCGGAGACTGAAGTGTCTGTTAGCTCCGACAGAGACAACCTGATCGTCCGTCTTGGGGTGGTGTCCCATGATCATGTTGAGAGCAGCCACAACCTCAGCCTTGGATTCAAGCATGGTGCCAGCGTTGGTGGAAGTCAAATAATTCAACAAGTCAGCCGGATTGACATGGCCAGTATACTGACAGGTAACTTGATGCACACGGGGAGACTCGGGGTAGTCATCGTCCAGGTATTCCTTATAGCGCACATCGAATTTACCCTCGGTCAATTTGACACACGAAACGAGGGTTGAGCGGAAGTCCGACGCAATGCTACCCTTCTGCTCCGCAAAGTGCTCCTCCAACAGCAGACGCACAATGTGCCGAGCTTTCTTGCCCACGGGAGCAGCTCGGCCTGCAGAGTCGGCTGCGATGGTAATATGGTACCGGTACAGCTCCTTGTTTGGCAGGCTCAGGGGCAGGTAGTTGGCATACAAAGTGACAGGCCTGCCAGCGGTACCATAACCAGGTCTCTCGGGGTATTTCGCTTGTCTGGGTGTCTTTTGGCCGCTCACGGCGAGGGCTTTGGCGAGCTCATTCTCGGTCTTGGTGACGTTGGCGTTGGGTGGTGGGATAGCTTCGCCTTGTCTATAGGCCGATGGTTAGATTTGGCCGATGGACAGCAACGAGTGGAACGCCAACCTGAAAATAGGGGGACCGATGTTCACAACACCACCACGTCCACCCCGGCCACCGCGGAAGTCACCCCTACCGCGAAAGTCACCGCGGCCACGGAAATCACCTCTGCCACGACCTCGATCCCCTCGAAAATCACCTCCACGACCCCTGTCACCACCTCGGCCTCGATAATCACCTCGGAAATCGCCACGATTGCCATCACCTCTACCAGCTGGGCGGAAAGCTAGATCACCACGACTTTCTCCGCGACCGCGACCGCCTCGATCTCCACCACGACCACGATCACCGCGACCACGATCTCCACGGCCACGATCTCCACGACCACGACCACGATTATCACTCATGATAAGGGATGCTCAGATAAAGATGGCTAGATGGGCTATCTATCCAGGAAATTGAAGTCAAAATAAAATAAAGCTACAGTGGGGAATGGGCAGGAGCCGGCTTATTAAGTGGATGGGCCTCTAGTACGGAGTACTTGCGATGCACGGAGTACAGAGTACATGTTCGTTCGTTTGCTCGGGTTCTTTGTTTGCTGTGCTGGCACAGGGGTCTTGTGTGATAGCCTTTGGCGTGACTAGAATGATAATTGGCCATGAAACCACGGCCAATCTTCCGTCGTTGTTGGTTGTTGGATGAATGATGTGACCATGACACGGATATCTTGGGTTACCCCTGATCCTAGGCGTTTGGATAATGTGTGCTGTTTGTAGGACATGCGGTGTGAGGATGCGTGCTATAGGCAAGGTAGACTCCATACGGAGTCCTCCGTACAGCATATGCGGACGTCGATGGGGGATTATTTATCAACATTGAGCATCGTCCTTGTTGCTAGGTGTGTTAGGGAGGTAATTGTATGTACGAAGTACGAGTACGGAGTACATGAGATGTAAACAGAGTACATGTAGGTAGGTAAAGATCTTTAGACTTACAGGTGACATTGTATGCACATCTCAACTCGAATGCGGAGGACTTGGTCATATTTCTTGATCTATCACCCAGCAGATCAGAGGCATCACGTATGGAGATGTCGATAGGTCGTCCGAGATTCGAGATGCATACCCATACGAGGTACTCCGTACGGAGTACAGAGTACTCCGTACTTCCTTATTCGTTTGTACTCCGTATAGAGTAATGGATTCGAATATCTTTTTATGAGTCACTGATTTCGTGGAGCCAATCGGCAGGCCTTAAATCAACAGGGACATAGAACGAAACGTCAATGAGAGTTACCCGTCTCAGAGACCGCATATGACTTTGATCCAGCAGCCTTCCGAGGGGGCTATGAGGGAGAATAGAAGAGTTCCCCAACGTAAAGTTAATCCTTGATCACGATGTATGTACGGAGTATGAATGCATATAAGGATGTGTCAAGGAGATGTCGGCGTGAGATCATCTGGTGATAAGCCTTCTGAGGTTCCAACGGAGATAGCGGATTAATCATCATCGCGACCTGAAGGCTTCATCTTTCTCCTGATCACCTCTTCCTTGCGTTTGTCAGGGATTCTAACCCGAGAACCCTAAAAATCGCGAGATTTGAATCAGGAGATTGGAGCAGCTTTCCGAGTCAGTTTTGGCCCCCGACCACGCTTATCCGCCATCTCACACCCCTCCTCAAACGCCAGCGCAAGCTTCGACTGCGCACTTGTATCCATCGCATTGCGCCAAAATTAGGTACTCGGCGACCACCCCGCTCGCTTGAATTGCCCGCAAAGAACATCTATATTCGAAGCCCCAGACCTGGCGCGGTTGCCTAGCGATACGACACCAAGTCCTCAGATATTGGCTCAAAACCTTGCGCCACGTCCTGGAAAGAAAACGGCGTCGCATCTGGAACTGGGCTAGCCCACATACTTGGAAATTTTGCTCTCAGTTATACCGAGAAAGCTGTTTGGATCAGCTTGTGGAATAAACGAGGGCACGTTTGATTCGACCTTAGCGTCGTGCAAACAACGGGAGGTGGTTGAAGCACCCCGCCCAGCTGGGCCGCTGATCAGAAGCACAGCTGTAGTGCTTATGCCAACGGGTTTGCCGAAATTTGGACTTTGAGACCGTTCGATCACTCACCTATCTTAACCTCTGATCATGCCACTCCCCAATAAAATGACCCCGACACCTCCTTCTACAAACCCGTCGAGTGCTGGCCACTCGCCAGATTATAGAATCATTCGCAAACGAAACCGGGTACCTCTGTCATGTGGGCCTTGTCGGCACAGGAAGTAAGCATTTAAGACATGTTTAGGTTTTTTTTTTTCTAACGGGTCTTAGACTGAAATGCAATCGTTCAAACCCCTGCGAAAACTGTATCAAACGAGGCGACGCCGCCTCATGTAACTATGCGCAAGCCAACTCACGCAAGAAGAACTCGGCCCAGCAGTCGTCTAATACCCCTGATGATATGCAGAATCGCATCGATCGGTTAGAAGGCTTGGTTCTGTCCTTGATGACAAATGGGTCTCAATCTGCTGGTCCGGCTGCTGCCATGGCAGCCCTCTCGGAGGAGAGCAGTGCGGGATCAACTCGGTTTTCCCATGAGCACGAGATGGAGGAAGAGGGCATGGAGGGTGCTGATGAGAGTGATACAGATCAAGTGACCAAGTCATTTGGTATCATGAAAATGGATAATAACAAATCCTACTACATCAGTGATGCTCATTGGGCTTCTGTCTTGAATGATGTAAGTTTGTGAGGTTTCACTAAGGTTTGATCCCTCTAATCCGTTGAGTAGATCTCTGAAGTGCGAAGTTTCTTCACAACACACAAGAAGCAGCTCGACGAGCAGCTACTGAAAGTAAAAGCAGCTCAGCCGGATCATGATGTACCAGGCTCGACTTTGTTGTTTGGTGCAAGCAAGCCGATGAGCCGTGCCGAGATCATGACTGGCTTGCCATCTAAGTATACAACTGATATCCTCGTAGCTCGCTACTTCAATTTCCGTGACCCGGCAACCGGTGAGTATCATCCAGTCTTTCAGCCCATGATGGTTCTGACTCTCTTCAGGTATTCTTCATAGCCCCTCATTCCAAGCACAGGTAGGTTCATCGACGAAAGCAATCATGAAGTCGAACTGACTTGGCTAGTACAATAAACACTGGGAAGATCCTGCCAAAACAGAACTTGTGTGGATTGCCATGCTCTTCGGAATGATGAGATTAGCAATGCTATCTTACCATCAAGAAAATGACGAGCCGCCTGAATTCCGAGGCAAGTCCATCGATATGGCAGGGGGATTCCGAAATCATGTAGCACAGTGTTTAACATTGGCGGATTACACAAAACCTCACCCATTTTTGATTGAAGCGCTCATATTCCACTTGATGGCCGACTTCTCTCAGGCTCGAGAGGCGGACGTCTCGATCTGGGTCATGACGGGCGTCATTGCCCGCTTGGCAATGCGCTCAGGATATCACCGTGACTCTAAAATGTTCTCAAACATCACACCTTTCCAGGGTGAAATGCGACGGCGAGTGTGGACTTTTGTGCGCCAAGCCGATCTTCTGTTCTCATTCCAGGTCGGCTTGCCGAGTATGATCCGCTCTACAGATAGCGATACTGAGCTACCATGCAATTTGTACGATGAAGATTTCGACGAAGACTGCAAGGAGCTCCCGCTACCTCGTCCATTGAGTGAACCAACCACGATATCATATTTGATTACCAAGGGACGCCTGACGTATGCCTTCGGTCGTGTGAACGAACAGAACTCTGCTATCTCGTCAGCCCCGTACGAGAAGGTCATGGAAACTGACGCGGAACTTCGAGAAGCGAGGGACTTGATTCCTGACCACCTGCGCATTCGGCCTATGGATCAGTGCCAGTCAGATTCTGCGAGTCTCATCATGTCGCGATTTTCTGTAAGTTGCTCGAAGGCCACCGCAACTCCCATCGACACTAACCGCGCATGCAGATAATGTCTATATACAACAAAGCTCAATGCGTGCTTCATCGCCCATACCTTGTTCGCGCTCGAGAGAATCCTAGGTTTGTCTATTCTCGAAGGACATGCATCGACTCGGCAATGGAGTTATTGCATACCCAGGCGCTCATGCACGAGGAATCACGCAATGGACGTCTAAGAAGTCGTGGGACTCGAATCAGTTCCCTCACTTCAGCCGATTTCTTACTCGCAGCCACCATTGTCAGTCTCGACTTGTACCATGGTCTGTCACTTCAGGTGAGTGGACGACCATCCGGTGACACCTACACCTGGGGTCGAGAGCGGCGCGACGAAATGATCGCTGCAATCCAACTCTCGAAAGAGATCTGGGATGAGTCGCGCGATGAGAACATGGAGGCCTGGAAGGGATCCAGCGTCCTCGGGGTGATGCTCAGCAAGTTGCGCATGACGGTCCCAAGCCTTGAAAATAGCGCTGGAGCTGCTCCATTCGAGCCACAAGACGAGAAGCAAAATGCGGCCATGACTCTCGGTTTACTGAGTAGCGGGATGAGTCCGCTGAACCCGGGCCCGCCGTCATTCACTGATTCCATGTTCAAAATGGGAGATTCGCCAATGAGAACAGGGGCAAATGGCCTAGGCGGCTCGGCCGAAATGCCGGGTGCGCTTTCGCCGTTTAGCAGCATGTTTGGACAGATGCCGGATACGCAGGTCAATCTTGATTGGGTAAGTTTGAACTCTCTCCTTTTGCCATTCGATCTGGATGCTGACGTGTTGATATTAGGATGCTTGGGACACATACATCCAAAACCCTACCTTTGACACATCAAATCAATTCTGGCCTATGATCGATACACAGCGCCCACAGATTCCACCGTCTGGAAGCATGTCACAAACTTCGATATCCAGTCCCCTCGCCTCGACGCGGGTATCATCAGTGTCTAGTGCTCTCCCGCGACTACCTACGATGTTCTCACCACCATCCAGCAGTCCGGACAGTGCAGGTGTGCCACTAACAGCGTACGGCACAACATCAATGTCTCAACAAAACAATGGTCGGGGCCAAGGTCCACTTTGAACAAAGTGTGCATACTATATGATGTTGTCTGTACTTCCTTTTGGCTAGAATATGGTCTATACTGGCCTTTCTTATACCTGGAACCATTTTATTGGACCATTGATCAAATGAATTGAAGAAATGAGGCGTGTCTCGCTTTTGTGTCGGGTGAGATAGCTTTTGGCCGAGGAACTCGAGACTATTTGGGAAAAAGCGGGGGTTTGGGTTGATTCTGCTGCTGGGTTACTATTCACTGTATCATAATATGAGGTTATAGTCAAATATTGCCCTTTGATATATCAAAACCATATGTTTGACTAGTTTGTCTTCATCTACTGCAACATTCGTGAATGAGCGCTCTCTCATCTCCGTCGGAGTATACAGGCCACGTGACGTTATCGGTACTCAGTGCCGGGGAAAAGTTCCAGGCTCCATGTGTTTTTCTCAAGCCAGCTTTTATTTTTTTTTTCCGACACGAGGTTACGAAATTTGTGCCTGTTATTAAATTTCAAGATGTGAGCAACAGCAAAGCGAGCCTATTCCATTGTTTTGTCCTGTTCGACCCCCGACGAACCTCGGCGCTCGCTGGTGCTTACAACATTTGAAGATTGCCAATCGCTAACCCCATCCTTTCTCTAGGCATTGCTTCCGCCGGGCCGTTTCTCGGCTTCAATTGTCCTCAGTCGTTGCCACTTCATCAAATATCACTTCTCGTGCAGTGTTGCGCTCAACATGTCCCACTTCGATGCTCGCCGCTTCGCGTATCGCCTATCCATCAATCACCCAGGCACGATGGAACTCCACCGAAGACGGTGAACAAAAGGCTCCAGTCCGATACGTTGAATCCGTCACACCAGAGGGATTGCGCCTGGAGAAGCAGGAGCGCCGACGCCAATATGTGAGCGAAGGCCCCGTGCCTAAGACCACTCTGTACGTCGGTAATCTCTTCTTCGACGTTACCGCCGAGGACCTGCGCAAGCAGTTTGAGAAATTCGGCGCCGTGGAGAATGCACTGATCGTGCACGATGCTCGCGGACTGAGCAAAGGGTAAGTTCCAATCCGGAAACTCTACATAGCAACATGGAGATCCATCGACTAATCAATCTCCTCACAGTTTCGGCTACATTACATTCAGCACCGTCGAGGAAGCCACAAGCGCCATCACGCAGCAGCACGGCGGCATCCTCGAAGGCCGCGAGGTGGTCGTCCAGTTCGCCAACACCACATACAAGTCCCAGGCCGACCGCAAGCCCAGCAAGACCCTCTTCATCGGCAACATCCCCTACGAGTTGACAGACCAGGATCTGCAGGAGCTGTTTGAGGACATCCCCGATGTTACCGATATCCGTATTCCCGTCGACCGTCGCACGGGCTTGCCCCGTGGATTCGGACACGTCGATTTCGCCAACCAGAACAGCGCTACCCACGCTAAGGAGGTCCTCGCCCGCAAGGCGCCTTACGGCCGCAAGTTGAATGTCAGCTTTGCTAAGCGCAAGGTGCTCTCGCCTGAGGACCACGAGCGCCACCAGCAGAAGAAGCTGGCTAAGAAGCACCAGGTCCAGCAACAGCGCAACAGTGAGGCGGGTTCGGGCGTCAGGGAGGTCAGGGAGGTGAGAGAGGTTGGGGAGATTTCCCAAAAGGAGTAGAGAGTGGTGTGAATAGTTGTAAATAATTATATGTGTACGATAGTCCCACAAACCTGGCAATTTGATGTAGTATATGTTCATACTTGATTAAGAGTCAACCTACGCGTGTAAATGCCATGTCGATCAGTAGACATATTTGGCTGAACATGTTTTAGGGGTTGCGCCTTTCTCAATTGGCGTTCACTGCTTTCCAGGGTTATGAGGGTGCCCAGGGTTCTACTTGGTATTTCACAACATCCATACATGTACTCAGTACCTAGATATGATTAGAGGATGCTAAGTGATATTGTCTCGAATGCTGGCATGAAGACCGCATCGGCACATACGGTAATCTAAGAGTCCAACCCGCGGCATAAACAAGCATAATACCGATATTTTTCCCACTTCTCCTTGGTGCCCATCAATTCCACAGGCTACCTGCTGTCTCCCCACGTAGATCAGGGCAACGACCCAGGGGCTTATAGCCTCCCAAACATGTCATTGGGTCATGGGTTCCCCACGTGCGGATAGGCCATCAGTTGCTGACTGATCGCTTCATGTCTAGTGTTATCACGATCTACATGTTCCCTGACAGAAATGGTTTAATCATTTTGTTTTCCTTTCCCGAGAGAGTGGTAATCCACTTGTTCCTGTGTCCAGTGAATATCATCCTTCATGCCGGGCGATCCGTGAACTCGTATTGTCCGCATCATCTTGTCAAATCGAGGTATACCGAGAACGCCTAACATCCTAAATCAAGATACGAGGATCCCTTGCTTTGCGATTCGCCAAAGAGCTCGTCAGCCTTGGATGTAGGCTTGGGAATATCATTGTCACTTGCGTTTTGGACTATGCTGTCATTCGGGCTATGCACCCGTAAGCCACCGTGAACGGTACGATAACACTTGATGAAGCGAGGCATGTGATGATTCCGAACAATACCAGCACCATATTTGTCAAAACGGAGTCATTGAGCTCGAAAGATCTAAACCTTCTGCATAAACTATAAAACGAGTGGAGGGATGTAGAGTGTGTTGCCCGGTTGCCCGAGGCTGAATCGAAGGGTAGCTACGGAATAGATAATATTAGAACACCGCGACAGATGCACTAACAATGATCTATAAATCCGATCAAGTTCACCATTTCTTTTCCTATTCACCCTCATCCCACAAGTTCAATACTGCGAGCTCTTGAAAACACAAGGTTCGTCTCCCGCGAAAAGACCATCGAAGCAATCTAAGAATCCAGCAGTCATTTGATCCAGATCTCAGCCCCAGAGATGTTTTTCAAACTCTTTCGGTCCAGAGAGAGTAGGCGAAGACGACAACAGGAAGAACAAGCAGCTCAGCAAGCTATACCCGCAGCATCCAAGCCAGCCTACGTTCCATGGGATGCCGCCTCGTCTAGCTATGCGCCATCTAGTACCGCTGAAACCCTGAAAGGCAAAGAAGGAGACAATACAGCTGGCCTGGGACAGCCAGAAGAGCCAAGGATTCAGCCAGCTGCGCTCAAGCCGCTTTCTGTTCCAGCGAACATCGCTCCGGCTAGGCAGGCACCGTCCACTACCCGTGCTAGAACCAATTACTACGCCGGGTCTGGCAGTAGGCACCGAAGTTCCGGGGGTGGTGGCAGCTCCTCGGGCGGTGGTTATTCTGGCGGTTTTAGTAGCAGTGATTCTGGTGGTGGAAGTTCTGGAAGCTGCGGAGATGGAGGTGGCGGAGGTGGTGGTGGAGGAGACGGAGGTGGTGGATGCTAGGTGGTTAATAGAACCGGGTGCATTTCTTCCTGTGGATAGATAGTGGGCTGTTCAGTGGACTTTTGGCGTGGGGGATGCTATGGTGGATTGAGTTCAGTTTTATCATTTAATTTTATTTTCATTCTTGTCATTATGATATTCGAGACCTCGTTGTAACCCGTACATATGAGTGGTGTTAGAGAAGTCTTGACTATATAAACTGTCTACCAGATCCCTATGTGTTGGTTTGATCTAAACCATCGTAGTTCAATGATACTGTGTTTCAGAGGGTTTTCGCATCGTTTATCGGAATTGCACGTTCCACGTCGAGGAAAGAAAGAGAGGCGGCAATTGGTCCAACGGAAGAGGCGCAGGCGGCATTCTTGACATTCTCGTCCGTTTTATCGACGAGGCAAACAGCGAGGTGGGCATGGGCTCTGCCGGCTAGTGGAACTGTATCCTGATGAATGTCGAGAAATAGGCTGCGGACAGACAGACATGCGTCATAATCGCTTGATAGGCTATTTACTTTAAGAGTCGACTTGTTGCAGCCAAACCAAAGCCCCAACAAAGTGAGCACCGATGATACTGCTTTTCGATTATTGAAAGTCGTACTAATAAGCGGCAAAAATCACCAGCCTGTAGCGAAGCTGTTTCAGTCTTTGATGGTATCTTCAAGTCGCAAATTATCAAATTAGTCTATGCCCAAGAACATAACTCACATGTTCGCAATTTTTATTGCTGATGGCAGCAAGATCGGCTATACCCATAGTCGGGAGTATCTTTAAGGGTTGCCTGGGCGTCGCGGCAAATGTGAAGATCCTCAGAGTAGGCAGTCTTTCTCTCGGTGATTGTTATGGAAGTGGATCGCAGACGATGAAGTTATTGATGAGGGCACTGCTAGAGGGGAGGCTCTAGGTTTGGGGAAACAGGGCACTTGATAGTCCCTAGAAACCAACAAACTACCTAACAAACAAGATGTCTAGTTTGTCAAACATATTGAAATTACAGGGTTCAGCCATCAGGAGTGTATCATTCTTTTTGTCCAGATATTACTCTCTTTATATGAGATAATACATCGTATGATACTAAAGTAAGGTCAATATAAGACGGGTGCGTATCAGAGCCCCTAGTCACGCTATTACTCTATACTTCGCTTTTTAAAACGGCTGTCGCTATACAAGTCTTAGGTTCATTGAGTTATCTTTCCCTCTCTCTTAGATATCTCATCTGTTTTCACTTCCTATTTTTGATAAGTTAATATATCATCATCTAGTTTTACTCCTCCTTCTGGACGGAGGCTGGTGATGTATACCTATACCAAACTCTTCTAATCCCTTGGTCTTCCTCTTAATCCTCTTTAATCTTCTTTGCCAAAGTTCCAAGAGCATCGGAGGGAAAGCATCGCCTCACAAATATCCAATATCCTAGTTGAGAAATCCTCCCTTGGAGTAACCTAGCATACAATATGACTCTTCGTCATATTGCTGTGCCACATTCTTTCATGAAACCGCATTTCGGTCACACGCCTTTCTGGGATACCGAGAATTTCTCTTCTCTGTGAGTATCTAGCTACACTTAATTAATACCCAGGTATTTCAATTCAATCTTACCCTATAATTAGCAGCCAGATTCTTACAATACCCATATTGACTCATCTAACCACTTCTTCAAGGATATACGGGCTGGAGAACCTCGAATGCGTGGTCAAGAACAGCAGAAAGCTTGAGACGAAAGAACCCACAGAAACAAGGGAAAGTGACTCGGAATCGCTTCATTCTGAGTCTCCCAGATCCAAAACCAAGGCCGGAGCTTGCAGCAAGCACTCTGATTTCTCGATGAGATCTCAGTCAAAGTTGTCATCTTGCTTCAAGCGACATTCCCTCCCGAGAAAACGCGTTTAAGACCATTGGGAATCTCGTCTTCTTTGACCTAGTATCGAAAAATCACTTAGCATGGTGTGGTCGATCGTATTTTACAATACGCAGGGCCAGACAAGGATCATGGATTATCCACCAAGGTGGTATTAAAATAAACACATCTCTTATCATGACTTCCTAAGTGAAACGTAGATTGAGATAGGAGAAGCCTGGGTCGACCAAGTCTACACCTAGGGCTTCGACCTGTGCATCTCCAGCTGCAGCCGCAGCAACCAGAAGTGGTGTAAAGTGCTAAAACGTAAGATAAGTGTTAGATATATTTCAATATATTCTAACAAAAGTTCAACAAAACATACCTCGACAGTTGGATGGGAGCGCTTGAACTCATACAAGTCCTCCAGCTTCAGCAGTGCTTCATTTCTCTCCTTTGCGTCTTTCTTTGTCACTGCTTCTCTCAGACTGGTATCGAAATTTCTCGACTCGGTAAGAACCTTGGCCCGGATAACTTCTCTCTCCTCTTCTGTTGAAGCATCTATAATCTCATCGAGGGACGCGAACGAATGAACAGCCATGCCTGAGCCTATGATGAGATAACCGTCATGCCTAGATATTATTGGTCACAAGTTAGTTGGTGAGCGTTGTACATGAATGATCCAGCCTCAAACGTACCGTAACGACTGTAAGGCCTGACCCAACCGAATCTGGCTCGCGAGATCATACCCATGGAATGTAGAGATTTGGATTACGGGTATATCAAGTGGGTTCTCTTCCGGAAACATGACCTTGAAAGGTACCCAGACACCGTGATCTACTCCTCGCTCCACTCGTTTCGTCTTGAATCCTGCTTTGCGGAGATGCTCCCATAGTTGTACCGCTAGCTCGGGCGCATCCTGATGCGGCCAGTCGTATTCATAGACGAATGGATGAGAGTCGTGTAAATCGCCGACGAAGTCATGCTGGAAGGATGATTAGTGTCATATCCACCATAAGCCCAATCATCAAACAGGATATGGTAATTAGGCTTGCTCACTTGAATGTGTGTTCCTCGTTTGACATTCACTATATACATGTTGGCCTAGCCTTACTGAGACTCATGTGCTTACCTTCAAGTACACCGGGCCCATGGATCTCGCCTGCTTCAAAGTGACCGCTGAAGACAACAATGGCTTTGGGACGCGGCGACAGGGCTAGAATTTCTTCACCAATCTCCCTCAAGTTGGCCTGTGCAATTTTATTTCGAGGTCCCTCCTCAAAAAGGAGACCCACACCGGCATGGCCTATGAAATAGGTGGGAAAGGTTTGGTTAGACCCGAGGGTAGGAGACATGGTGAAGCAAAAGTGTAACGGTGGACGAGAGCAGCTATGGCCTAGTGCATGGGTTGTTTCTTTAAGGGTCCACGGAAAAAAGAGACCAGTGTGAAAATAATCCGCTTATTATATCTGTCCTATGCGCCATAGTACATGCAAGGCTCCGGAGATCGAGACGCTAGTTTAATATTTCTAGGATGGCGTGAATTTAGCTGTGTATGTATCATCCGTATGAAATGTGCCTCATATACATACATGATTCATGTATGTCGAGGAACAGTGCGGAACGGAGTTAAAGTGCGGAATAAGCCCGTCAATGACATTTACCCACAATAGACAGCATATTCAACATCAAAATGCTAGATTTAGACCCCTGAAATTGCGTGAAGATTTCGATATATGGCGTCAACGGGCTTACAGAAAATCTGAAGCGCGGAACAGAAATAAGGAGAAATTTCCCGACATCGAACTTTTGGCTGTATACTGCGTACCCGAGTATCAAGCGCTAGTACAAGAGCCCTGTGATGGCGTGTATCAACTATCTATGGCGTCAACAGAGGAATTTGAGCACGGAAAGGTAGTAGCCAAATAAAATAAACGAAAAATTTGAGCTGCATACGAATACTTTTCGCTTCCCTTGAGGTATATACAGATTATGGGCTATGTAGAAAGATGTGCAGCATGGTTTACAGGCTTGGGCGTTTTTCATCAGACCGAAAGAACAATAGTCCCGTTTCTCGGACAATATGCGAGATAATATTTTTATAATTCCATGCTAGAGTTGAATAGGAAAGGCCAGGTAGGTAGATACTATTATTCCGCTATGGGTTGGTTGCATCTAGTATCATCTCATTGGTAAACAAGAGACACACACATACTCGAAGGACTCAATCAAGACCAGTAAGAATTAGCCTCTACTCAAAACAAGTCACGACATAATTCGATCTACGACGACATCCTAGGTCGAATTATAGACCTATAAAACTTATCGCTATTTCCGTATAGGTTTAATGGTATAGATTGGACCGGACAGTGCTAGTCGGAAACTGATACTGAGTTTAATGATCGCTATAATATATCAGCAATCTGCACTTCTATATTAGGTATGCATGATCCCGGTACAATTGAGATACCAGCCCTCTGACGCATCGTTCTACTCCAGCGTTGCCATCCGGCTTACCTGCGACTCTAACTACATCGACCGTAGCGCGACATAACAGAGATGCAGTCTCATTCTACTGCCGAGGAAAGCCTCGACAATGAAAAAACCAGCATTGATCTAAATGTTCATCAACTCAATAGCGGCACAAATACTCCCTCAATCAACAAATCAGACCTGGAAGAACAAGGCACTCTTTCTCATCCCATCTCTAAAAATGGCCAGCAAATTCTCGTCACCTGGACTCCAGAAGAAGAAGCTGCTATTGTTCGGAAAATTGACTTTCTTTTCCTCCCCATCTTCTCCGTTTGTATCCCTATCAGTATGGTCTCTCCCATGTTACTCCCCTGCTGAAACTCTCCTAGCTACTATTTACCTGGATGGCCATTGATCGAACCAACGTCTCCAGTGTACTCACGTCCACCTTCCTGTCCGATACATCTATAACCCCCGATGAAGCCAATGCAGGCATTTCCATCCTCTGGCTGGGAATCGTCTTGCTCGAGATCCCATCAAATGTATTCATTCAATATCCCTCTAGATTTTCGAAGATCAATCCCCAATTGACTATTTGAATAGATTGTTCTTCACCGCATTGGCCCTCACTACTGGCTTCCCGCCCAAGTCGTCGTCTGGGGCCTGGTAGAGGTACTGCACATGTTCGTCACCAATGCCAGTGGCTGGTACGCCGCACGACTATTCCTCGGACTTACAGAGAGCGGATTCATCCCCGGCGGTCTATACACCTTGTCAAGATGGTACGTGCCAAACGAGCTCGCAAAGCGCACGGCGATATTCTTCCTTGGACCGGCATTGGCTGCGGCTTTTGGGTCGCTGATTTGTGCGGGAGCGTTATCGTTACATCTGGAAGGGGGATTAACTGGATGGCAATGGTTAGTTCAGATATTGCTTTATATCAATCTGAGTGTTGCTAACGTGTGATCAAATTGTATAGGATATTTATCATCTGTGGCGTTTCTACGATAGGTAAGTGATAAACATTCCCTGGCCCGTGTTAACTGCATAGCTAACAAAATGTCCAATACAGCTGCTGGAGTCTTGGCTTTTGCCATCGTGCCAAAATCTCCCTATCATACAGGCTATCTCTTTGGCGGACTCATCCGCGTAAAGGGCTGGCTCAGCGAGCATGAAGCTGATATTCTCATTGCGCGCCAAGCCCGACGAGAAGACTATCAGGTAGCCGGGGATACTCTCAAGATCGGCTGGAAAGACATGTACGTGCTCTCCTTGCTTGACAGGCACCAAAATAGGCACTAATATGTAGCCACTGCAGAACTGATGTCCTTTTCCACTGGGCTACATGGCCATATCTCATCGTGTGCCTGACAGGTCTCCAATCTGTGAACGGGCTAGGCACCTGGGGTGCATCGATTATCACGTCGCTTAACTTCAGCGCCATTCGCGCTAACCTGCTCAATGCACCGGGTAACCTGCTGTGTGCAATCTTTGGCATCGCGCTGTCTGCATACGTGGATAGATATAGCCGATTTGGATATGCGATTATATTTTCGGCCGTGTGGACTCTTGCAGGATTAGTTGCACTTTATGTAAGGCTCATAGACTACTCCGGTGTGCGTTCTTACTGAAATTCTCATGGCAGTGCCTACCCATCACATCTAAAGCTTCGTGGTCTTTCTACGCAGCCTACCTGGTCACCCAATCAGCCCCGTGAGTGATCAGTCAAGTTACCGGTTAGACGATTGAACTAACTCGTTTCAGAAACTGGCAACCAATCAATGTAACCTGGTTATCATTGAACTTCAAGACACCCCAGAAGCGTGCGATTGCATATGCAGTATACAGTAAGAAACGGGTATCCTTGCTGATTTTGAGAATCGATTACTGACACACACCGCAGTTGGATGCTCTCACCTAGGCGGCACGTACGGCAACCAAGTATTCAGAGCAGTATGTCAGCCTTCCTTTCAGTTGAAAATTGTCTAACATCAAACACAGAGTGATGCCCCTCTATATCGCACCGCATGGATTGCGTGTATATCGTTAGGAGCAGTGTGGCTCGCCGGTATCATTGCACAAACATTCGGTTTCCAGTGGGCCAACCGTCGTTTCTCAAGGAAGCTGGCCAACAACCCAGAGCTGGAATCGGAGATCGCGTACATTGACACCAAGGGACGGAAACATCGGTATCATTGGTGAAAGCCGATGGGATAACCATTCCGGGACGTTTATAAAAAAGTAGTTTATCTAATTTTATCGAAAATTTATCCATATGCTTCCGCTTTAACAGGTACGAATAAGGTATTTTAAGCTCAGACTAACCCGCCATCCTTCGTGCTAAGAAGATGCCCAACATGTGACTATCTAACCAAAAGAGGAAAAACGCAACAACAAAGAAAAGAAAAACCAAGTACCTACTTTGGTACATCCATATCTAACATGTTCACGTAAACTAATAAACCCGCTATTCCCAGGACCGAAAAGAAATTCCAAATTCCCACACTCCCAAACATCCCAAAAGCTTCTCTAATACGGGAACTCCCCCTCCACAGCCTCCTCCACGATCCCCTTCTCCTTCTGCAACCGGTCCTGCTCATCAAGATACGGCAACAGGATCTTCTCCCAGTGGGACCTACCCTTGTAGAAAGAAACTGTTTCATCCCAAGCGCGGATCGCCTCCGCTAGACGCCCGGGGATATGAGGTTCCTGCGCGATCTTGGTCACGGGCTCGAAATACGTGCGGATGGTGAAAAGGATTGCGCCGGAGCGGGGCAGGCGACGGAGAGTCTGGCGCTCGGAGCGGAGGTGGATTTCGTCGATGCTAAGACCTCTGCTGTTTGCTGTTGCCCAGGCTGAAAATAAGTTAGTCTTAGATCGAAGAAGGGAAGAGAGGGGGAACTAACAGGCTACTTCTGTTCCTTGTTGGTCGCCCATGCGGTGAGACCAGTGGAGGCCGTCATCGAGTTGGATGAAGAACTGTATGGAATGGTTAGAATTGTTCGGGTATTTGGGGAGAGGGAAACGTACGTTGTTGCGCTCGACTGGCTTGTCGGGGGTGAGTCTTAGCATGAATCTGTTCATGGACTTTTGCAATTTGGCCGCGTAGTGGGGAACGCCGGCTTCGAAGTGAAGTGTATCGAGAGACATGTTGAACTTTTCCTTTAGACGCCAGAAGCCGGGGAGGCAGACTGCGGCCGCGTCGAGGTGGTATTCTCCGTCTGTATCGGGGTTAGCAATGTCAACGGACGAATTCCAGAAAGAAACATACCGTCATTCTTGATCATGAGAACTAGATCATCCTGCACCAGAAGTGCTGACATTGCCATGGCATCGTCCGGTGTTGCTGCATCTGTTAGTCGAATAGATTCGTCGCAGGAATTGGTTCTCAAGCTTACCTGCAGGGTATGTGAAGGCCTCTCCAGTAAGACTGTTGTGCACCTTTCCACCTTCCAATCGGTATGTCTCGGGATACCGATGTGTAAGGTGCCGGACCAATTCCTCATTGAGCTCGAAACAAGCATCTCTGGTAACAGCATTATCGACGTATTTGACATGTTCCTTGAAATTCTTCTTCAATTCCGATGCTTTCATATCGTGGTAACGCAGGAAATAAGAATCCATCTCAATCCAGTTATCCCAGTTGAGTTTGCGGATCCCCATAGTGACGAAGTTAGGTCCATGGCGGAACGGACGGTACAACTTGGGCGATTTGGAATTCGGATCCTCAGGATGAGGATTTGGAAGTGGTTTGACGAAAGGTTCAGGCTCCTTTTCCTGTATTTCGGGGACTTTCAATTGACGCCGCAAGGGCCATTTAACGAATATCCACACGAGAACGGACGCCAGTAGACCCAGGAAGGGCAGGGCGTCGGAGGAAAGCCCGAGATCGGTGAAATCCATTCTGAACTTTTTCTTCGCAGTCCAATATCCAAATTGACTGGCACACTATTATACAATTGCCATTGGGGGAATGAAAATGACTTTAAATAAACTGCGATGCATATCTACTACGTACAACAGCTCATAGCTACACTTGCAAAGGCGCAGATCACCAAGTGTGGCTCTAAGCCCGTTTAGGTAAAATTTTTGGCCAACTTGCACCTTAGATCGTCCGTTTTTGCCCAGACGAAGCCGATAAGAGTCAACATTGGAATTCCCGTTAGAAATGTCTTAGGGCAGGAGTGGACCTGCAGTCGGTGGTGTCTGATTGGCTGTCTGTTCCCCGGAACGTGGTCCTCGGGTCCTCTCGTATCTCCCCGGCCTTCCTAATCCGATCAATCGGCGGAGAATGGCGTAATCCTCGATGGGTTTGGCCCTGGTGCCTGTCCGTACCCATCGGGGCTTTCCAGGCTTTTGCGGGGGGCAGTGTCCAGGTGGATCCGGCGGTGTGCTCGCGAAAATTGGCCCTTGCTGTCCCACGCTGCTACACACCGAGAATGGGTCCAGATTTAGGATGATTCAATCACTAAAAAAAATATAATATATTGAATGATACTAGGTTGTATATCAGATAAAAGCAAATAAAGACACGCTATCAAAAATTCAAATTCCCAAGTTGCGAAGCCTCCCGAGGATCAACTTCTAACTTCTTCTACAGGCCCTTTGTAATCTGGCGTCCAAGTTAGTAATTTGCCTTCATGCTGAGGGCGAAGAGATTGCTTACGTTTACGCCCATAGGCTATATACCATGCCAAACTTAAAGAAACACACCCCACAAACACCACCGATGCGTAGGTCATCGTTTCACTGGTGATGGGCAGCGTCACAGGCATGCTGAATAGAACCACTTGGAAAGCGATCCATAAGATTCCAATGATATTGGCTGTAGTCCCAATGATAGGGTTCAATTTCCACCGGGCCTGGCTGATCTCCGTCCGGCGATCGATGAACAAGCTGATCGCGATGGGGATCGCATATGCCACAGCCAAAGCGATCACGCCCACAGACGCGAACGCCGTGAATGCACTGCTGCTGCCGAGGTAGACGAGTCCCAGCAGCATCTCAATACCGGTCACCAAGCACAGTGCGGCTAGTGGGCTGTCTCTGAATGTAGAGGACCAGATGCGGGACATGGGGACTGCGTCGTCGCGGGAGAAGGCCCAGGTGCATCGTCCGGCGGTGGTTGTGATACTGACGGAGCAGAAGAATGCAACGAACAGAATAAGAACCATGAGGACGATTGATGCGGCGGGTGAACCTGTCACCACGTGAATGATATATGGCAACGCCTGGCCATATGGAGCATTGATGATGTCCTGTAGCGGTGGGAGTGTGAAGCAAATCGGTACCACGAAAACTAGAGCTGCAATACCGGCAACTACGGGTACCAGACTCATTGCCATGGGAATCTGGATCTCTGGGTCTGTGCATTCCTCGGCCATAGAAGTCACCATACCGAGTGCGGAGAATGCGTATGCGGGTGGCAATAGGCCGATGAAGAAGGTGAAGTTTTCTTCCCAACCCGAGAAGCTGGGATCATAACCCAAAAAGCCCGTGTAGGCATCGTGACGACCGGTCTCTGCGAGGACGAGGAGGGTGACGGCGACTGCGGTGCAAGTCACGACGGTGAGGGCGGCGGAGATGGTGTCGATGAGAGCGAGGAGGTGGTCGAGGAAGAAGCAGACCACGAAGACGAGCAGGCAGATGGCGTAGAAGATGAGAAGCAATTGCCAGGATGAGGCTGTCCAGTCGGGATAGAAGATAGAGACTGTAGCGACAACTAGAGATGCAATACCGAAGTTGACTGAGAGGGATATAGTCCAATTTCCAATCAGCCAGATCCAGCCCGTGACAAATGAGATTAACTTCCTGCTGCCGCTATTCTTCATGAGCTGGAATGACCAGTGATAGATTCCAGATGAGGTAGGGTATCTCGAAGCGAGTTCTGAAAGAGATAAAGCGACACAACCATCCAACACTAACACCACCAAGAGTCCGATAAACAGGGATAATTGGCCGCCGCCATAGACGGCGTTCATGAGGGCGCTACCGACTCCATAGGGAATAGACGCAATCGACAGGGACATGAAGATCATCGTCGACAGCTTGCGCGTGCGGCGCAGCTGAGGTGCGTATCCCAATCGGTACAGCTGTTCATCCTGGTACGTGCCGAGCTGGGTGTTCTCGAGTGAGCCGATGCTGGGTTCTGATTTCTCCATTGTTTGCCCCAATTCGGAATCGTCGAAATAACAGAGCTTGCAGACTCATTTTCGTTGGGTATGCAGCATTGGTCTTTATACGGTTTCCCCCACCGACATACATTGGGCAGCTAGTAAGCTCTGTCCTAGTCCGGCAAGGGAAATCAATTGGGCCATATTTTTGAATTTCGCCATCCAGCTTACTGACCAGGCCGGTCGATGCCGTAGATAGGAGCCACACGTATCTCTGGTCGATTGCTATCTTCACTGGGGGTCTACCCCAGGGATCCACGTGGGAGAGCTATAGTGCATTCGGCAACGGGGTTTTGCGGGGAACCACTATGGAGCCCATCGGAATCGCTGAATGGGTCTTATCAGTGTCATTTGTCGGTGTGTAGGTGGGGTTGATTGGACTCAGTTGGGCTCCTTTGGAGGCGTGCCCAAATATTTGCCTAAAGCAGTTTAACGTGTTTCGGATGTTCTGCGTTGAACGGGCGATTGACAGTCCGTCAGAGCAGAGCGCCGGCTTCACCTCCGACCTCGGCTTTACATTTCTCGGTACTCGTGGGGGCCTTACGAGGTGCCTTGTTATCTATTGATTTTATTTTATTCTAATTCTTTGATTGTGAAAACAATGAAGACAGATAGAATCTATTCATGGTTCAATGATGGCATAATGGTGGTCATAATTATATACAGCGGTTCACACAAAGCGTGCTAGAGCCCAGCCTCTAGTGTTTAGTAGGGGCAGTGAGCCTCAACCTCGATTTCAATGACCATTCCTTCGATGCCAAGCTTTCCAATCTCAACGCAAGTCCAGATGGGGCGGTGGTTAGGGAAACGCTTCTTGAAGTTGCCGGTGACCATTTCGAAGGTCTGATCCACATTGATGTGGTAACTGCGCACGGCGTAAACGTTTTCCCATGAGAGACGCTCGTCAACGCTCTTCAGGGCCTTCTCAACATTCTCGAAGGCTATAGCCACTTGCTTCTCGACATCGGCTTCAACGGTGCCATCCTCGTACCAGCCACCTTGGCCGGAGGTCTTGAGGGTGTTTCCGATGCGGACGGTTTGGGAGTAGTGGAAGGATTCCGAGTTGGCCTCGGTGCCGGGGTAGTTGTAGAACTGCATTTTGGGTTTGTGGATGTGGAGGCTGAGATGATAGGAGCACGGAGTAGAGGAGATCGAGAGGGTTTCGTTGATGAAGGAAGAGGACGGTAATGGCTAATCTATTTAAGCAACCATTCCGAGACACGCGCCCAACGAAGGTACGCAAATATGGGACATGTTGAAATTGGTAATAGTAATGACCCTGCCCTTGGAGTTGCCTAAAAAAGACATGATCTCTGGAATCTTCTCGTTATCATCGGGGAGATTGGAGTGAATAGCCAAGCATTCGACCATCGACTTGAAGCGGGGCATTGCATGGGGGCCAAATCTGCTAGTGTTTCGCCCCAAAGAGTAGGTTTTCTGCCATATGGCATGCAGATGCACTGAAGAAGTAAGTTTTGGGGCCAAGAGATGATCGGAAAGACATCTTCAGCGTCGGAGGCTCTCTGTCGCCTCTCCGTTCAGAAGATTGGTCACGCGCCCATGTATGAAGACCCACTTCCCGATTAGGCAAGAAGATAGGCCATACCCAAATCGCCTGGCCTTGGCTTTCCCCCGCAGAACGTTGCCCTCGGAGAAGGATCCAAAGCTCCACGGAGGGTAAAACATAAAGCTCTCAAGTCTGGACTTGCGCAAACCCCCAGAATCCTCAAAACACATTTCTTCACAATGGCGCAATCTATCCAATTGACGGCTCCTAACGAGACCACCTACCTCCAGCCTATTGGTGAGCAAGAATTACTTCTCAAGCTCAGTTTCAGGAACTAATTGTCTAAAACAGGACTGTTCATTAACAACGAATTCGTTCCTGCTATCTCCGGCGAGACTCTTTCCACTGTCAATCCCTACGACGAATCTCTCATCGCCAGCGTCGCATCTGCTGGCGCCGAGGACATTGACCTCGCCGTTACTGCTGCACGAAACGCTTTCAAGTCTGAGGAATGGCAATCCCTGACCGGCTATGATCGCGGTGTGCTCTTGACTCGCTTGGCCGATATCTGCGACCGCGAGAAGCACGTTCTTGCCACCATTGACGCATGGGATAACGGCAAGCCTTATGAGCAGGCATTGGGCGAGGACCTTGCTGAGGCTATCTCCGTCTTCCGTTACTATGGCGGCTGGGCCGACAAGATCCACGGACAGACTATCCCCACCAGCGAGGCCAAGTTGGCCTACACCAGGAACGAGCCTCTTGGTGTCTGTGGTCAGATTATTCCCTGGAACTATCCTCTTATGGTACGCGACAACAAAATATTTCTCTTCATCTGTTGATGCACTGCTAATACATAGTAGATGGCGGCTTGGAAGCTCGGGCCTGCTCTTGCCTGCGGTAACACCGTTGTCATCAAAGCCGCCGAACAAACCCCCCTCTCCATCCTTTATCTCGCTACTTTGATCAAGGAAGCCGGCTTCCCCGCTGGTGTGGTCAACATTGTTAACGGCCCCGGCGCTGTCGCCGGTGCTGCTATGGCATCCCACTTGGATATTGATAAGATCGCCTTCACCGGCAGCACCAACACCGGCAAGGCTATCATGAAGGCCGCCGCTAGCAACCTGAAGACCATCACCCTCGAGACCGGTGGCAAGAGCCCCCTTCTCGTCTTCGATGACGCCAACCTCGACCAGGCCGTCAAGTGGGCCCACGTCGGTATCATGAGCAACATGGGCCAGATTTGCACCACCACGTCTCGCATCTACGTGCAAGAGAGCATCTACGAGAAGTTCGTTGAGCAGTTCAAGCAGTACACCATTGAGAACTCCATCATTGGAAACCAGTTCGACCCCAAGGTCAACCACGGACCCCAAGTTTCCGCCGCGCAAAAGCAGCGCATTCTCTCATATCTCGAGGCTGGCAAGCGCGAGGGCGCACAGCTTGTTCTTGGTGAGGATCAGCCTTCCGCTGATGCCAAGGGTTACTTCGTCAACCCCATTATCTTTAAGGATACCAACCGTGATATGACTCCCGTCCGCGAGGAGGTCTTCGGTCCCTTCGTTGTCATTGCATCCTTCAAGGATGAGAAGGACGCCATTGAGAAGGCTAACGACACCGAGTACGGACTCGGCGCTGCTCTGTTCTCCGAGAACATTACCCGTGCTCACAAGGTTGCTTCGAAGATTCAAGCTGGTATGGTCTGGGTAAGTAATCTCAACTATCTTATAAGTTGTGCAAAATGCTAACCCTTCCATAGATCAACAGCTCACAAGATTCCCACTTCGCCATTCCATTCGGCGGATACAAGCAGAGTGGTATTGGCCGGGAACTTGGCGAATATGCTCTTTCTGCTTACACTCAGGTCAAGGCAATTCACGGTGAGTACTTATCTTCTCTGCTTCATCGATTTTTCGTTGTGATCGACATGCTGATGATCGTTTAGTCAACCTCGGCACCTGGCTTTAAATGCGCCACAGGGAGATTTGGACCGGCTTGGCGACGACACGACATGTAGGAAAACACATGCTACTAATAACGAAAGAATGATAAACTGGTATACATATAGAAGACCAGAAAATGAACAATTCAATTCTCATAAATCCAACAAATTCCCGTAAAGCAGACATAAAAGCATCCAAAATAGACACCTAAGGGCAATCAAATCAGACGCCTTGATCCAACTCCCACAATCCACACGGAGTACAATTCACACAATAAGTCTAGATATTGTTAATTCTGTCTTGGACTCCAGGACAGTCAGCTTGTGAAATCCAACGCCCGATCGAGCGGATTGGTAAGACTCAAACTGCCGTCGTGGGACCTCGGCTGAGTGCAGGGCGGAAAGATCCTGAACCCCACTCGATGTGATCAGACAGATCCCGGGGAAACACACCATCTACCACTCTTGTCTTGCTTCCTCTTCCTGCTTTGCATTTACAGAGTCTACATTCCCCTACTCACATCTCCACCATGTCATTCCTCGGTGGCGCAGAATGTTCAACCGCGGGGAACCCCCTCACCCAATTCACCAAGCACGTCCAAGATGACAAGTCACTACAGCGCGACCGCCTGGTCGGCCGCGGACCAGGCATGCAAGAAGGCATGCGCTCACACAACATGATGGGCGGACAAGACCAGGTAAGCGGCACAATCGCCATCGAATCCCTCCGCACAGAAATAGCGGGGAGCTAATGGGCACCGTAGATGATGGACGAATTCATGCAACAACCAGGACAACAGCTTAATGGACCCTCACCACAGCCCTTTGCGATGGAGCACATGCGTCGCGAGCTGGATAATTTCCAGACTGCGCCGGCACGCACGGGGTCGCCTGGGTGGGCGGGGGAGTTCGACTCGGGTGAGCAGGCGCGCATGGAGGCCGCCTTCCCTGGCCAGATGAATAATGCCTCCGGTTTTAGCCCTGCGGAGTTTGCTCATTTTCAGCAGCAGAGCCGGATGGGTATGCCGCAGACGTCTAGCCCCGCTGCTGTGACTGCCTCGCCGATGATGTCTGGGTACCAGCGGCCGATGGCGATGGGCGGTGGGTATATGGGTGGTATGGGCGGCATGGGGATGATGAGGCCCATGATGGGTGGGCAGATGGGGATGCAGCAGGGTCCTATGGATGCGCAGACACAGGATAAGGGCAAGGGGCGAATGGTGGAGCTTGACGATGAGAATTGGGAGGCTCAGTTCGCGGAGATGGAGACTGCGACTGTCGGGAACGAGGCCAAGACGGATGCGGAGGCTAATGCGGCCATAGAGGCGGAACTGAATGATTTGGACAGGTCAGTGCCCTCCAATGATGCCTTTGAGTCTGTATGGCAGCGGATTCAGGCTGAGACCACGACGAGCAGGAAACTGGCCGAGGAAGATAACTTCGAGGTCACCGATAATGTGCATGTTGGTGATTTGGGCGACTGGGATGGCTTCGACAGTCTTAATTCGCGCTTCCGGGATCCCCAGCTCGGCGACTACATGTTCGAGGAAGATAACGTCTACCAGGCTGTGGGCAATCCCTTCGAAGAGGGAATGAAGATCATGCGCGAGGGTGGTAACTTGTCGCTAGCAGCACTGGCTTTCGAGGCTGCTGTCCAAAAGGACCCGCAGCACGTACAAGCTTGGACGATGCTGGGTTCTGCGCAGGCGCAGAACGAAAAGGAGCTACCCGCTATCCGTGCATTGGAACAAGCGCTGAAGGTCAGCCCCGGTAACACCGATGCACTAATGGGCCTAGCAGTCTCATACACGAACGAAGGCTATGACTCAACCGCCTACCGCACCCTCGAACGCTGGCTCTCCAACAAATACCCCACAATCATCGACCCGAAGGAAGTATCCGGCGACGCCGATCTCGGCTTCACAGACCGCCAGCTCCTCCACGACCGCGTAACAGAACTCTTCATCCAAGCCGCCCAGCTCTCCCCCTCAGGCGCCCAGATGGACCCAGACGTACAAGTCGGCCTCGGCGTGCTCTTCTACTGCGCCGAGGAATACGAAAAGGCCGTCGACTGCTTCTCCGCAGCCCTCGCATCCACAGAATCCGGCAGCACAAACCAACAAGAACAACTCCACCTCCTCTGGAACCGACTCGGCGCCACCCTCGCCAACTCGGGCCGCTCCGAGGAAGCCATCGAAGCCTACGAACAAGCCCTCACCATCAACCCCAACTTCGTCCGCGCCCGCTACAACCTCGGCGTCTCCTGCATCAATATCGGCTGCTTCCCCGAAGCCGCACAGCACCTGCTCGGTGCTTTATCCATGCACCGCGTCGTGGAGCAGGAGGGTCGCGAGCGTGCACGGGAGATCATCAACGACGGAGCTATCCCGGATGGTCTGGATGACGAGCGTCTCGAGCGTATGCTGCACATCAGCCAGAACCAGAGCACGAATCTGTATGATACGCTGCGTCGTGTATTCAGCCAGATGGGTCGTCGGGACTTGGCTGACCAGGTTGTCGCCGGTATGGATGTGAACATCTTCCGCAAGGAATTCGAATTCTAGTTTTGCGTGAATTGCGTAAATGGTTACGGGGATATCTAGGGGTTTTCTTTCTGGATTCAGGGCTGGCAAGAGCTGGCTATATTGTATCTATCCTTTTGTTTATATATCATTTGATGGCTGCTTAGAGAGGATCTACAGCCGTAAGAGGGAACAAAAGTATTTCCTCATACATATGTTTCATGAACGCATTGTTTCTCTCTAAATCTTCACTAAAATGAATCTGCTGTTTAAGGATGGAAGGGAGTCGGATTCATCAACTCGTCAATTACTTTACCAACAGCCACAGCCTTCTCCTCTCCAAATCGACCACCAACAATCTGCACGCAGATAGGCATTCCATGCACGAGATCGGCATCATCTGATAAAAAGACCAATTAGCATGCGCCAAAACCCTTCTCCCATATGAAAGCCCAGAAACCACTTACATTGCGAATAATTAAAAGCATCCGACTCATTCCTAATCGAATGCCCTTCCCAACCAACATTAACCCCCTCACCGACAAGATCGATTTCCCGATGCGCCCTCGCAACAGGAACAGTAACAGCCGCGTAATCTAGGAGATTCCAGATGGCCGTATACCCCATCCACTGCTTACTCTTGACCCATGTCTTGGGCCTGTAACCGACCCACGGAGAAACGGGCATGATCAGGGCGTCGATTCCGGAGGATACCCATTGTTTGAGGAAGGCGGTTTGGAGGGTGCGTTTCGTTACTTCGAACTGGATTGTGTTAGATTTAGAAATGCATTTAGTGTCGAAGCGGGTTTGCTATTCCAGATTTCTACTCTTTTGACTTACCTCTCCTCGCTCATCGTATGATAGAAGATCCACTTCTTTTCCAACGAGCATGCCCTCGAGTAAAGGCTCGTCGACTATTTCGCACAAGGAGCGGCAGTGGCTTCCGCCGTCGGCAAGGATACCTTTTGTCCAGAGATTGGCTGCGGTGACGTGGAGGCAGGGGTCCCATTCGATGACTTCGGATGGTTAGCATGGCGGTGCTCAAGATAGATAAGGGAAGAAGTTTAAAAAAAAAAAAAAGATATTCAAACCTTCATGTCCAGCAGCTGTCAATGCGTCCACCGTCTCCCGCATTGCTCTCGCAATAGGTGGCTGGGGTTTGACACATCCATCGTCGAATATAACACCTAGTCTCATCTTGCGATCTGTCGAAGGTACTGCAAGCTCTTTGCGCCATGGGATGGGGATGGCATTTGGATCTACGGTCCATGGATGAGACGCAAGAAGGCTCTCCATAAAGTACTCTGTCGTAGCTAGAGATGTGGCCATCGGTCCGGCGACGGGTGGAACGAGGTACCGTTGGTGTAGACTTTCAACACAGTTCAGCATAGAAACACAACTTACTAGGTAGATTTGGAGATTGATGACCTACGAGGAGCAGTCCCATGGTACACGTCCCGTCGTTGGAGAGATCGAGTATAGACCCTGTAGCGTAGAGGGTATTCTGATTGAACCACCAATGTCAGTGCCAATTCCCAACACACTACCTCTGGCGCCGATAAGTGCGCCTTCGCCACCGGAGCTACCGCCTGAGATCAAGGCGCGATTGAAAGCGTTCACGGACTGGCCGAATACATGGTTGTATGAGTCGGCCATCTAGCCAAGATGGTCAGTGAATCGATTCGATCAACAGGGCGAATAAACCCAACAAACTAGACCCCTTACCATCAGAGACTGCGGCACATTCGTCTTGACATACAACACCGCACCCATAGACTCAAGCAACTGAACGATGGAACTATCCGATTTGGCCGGTATATTGGTCAAGCCAACCCAGCCTGCATATCCACATTAGCGCAATCCAACATCACCTTCAAAAGCCGAATCAGAAAATTAAACTCACCAACAGTAGTATCAAACCCCTCAACATCAAATCGATCCTTCACTGAGACTGGAATCCCATGCAAAGGCCCAACAACCTCACCAGTACGCAGTAGATGCTCATCAAGTTCCCTCGCGCGCACAAGAGCCTTGTCAAAGAAAGCCTCCGTCAAGCATTTAGTCAGCTGCTGTGCAATTGAAGCTCGTTTACAGAATGCCGTTGTCAGAGCTTCGCTTGTTACGCGCTGGGTTTTGACCAGCTCGACCAGTTCGCGGATATCCGCCGTCTCGGTCCAGGCAAGCTCGTCCGTAGACAAGATTCCACAGGACCTGATGACATCCACGCTTGATAATGGGGGATCTGCAAGGACTGATTCTGGGAGACGCCAGGGCGGGGGAATCAGGGCTGACTGGGCAGCCCGCTTTTCAAGGACGCGATCTTTCCATGGGGGTCTATTTTGCTCTTGGGGTGGCTTTGGGAATATCTCGTTTGTCATGATGAATATGTATGGTTGGGTGATAGAGGGGAATAACTAGGAGAACTTATGTCTTGAGATAGAAGGAAGCCGAGGATGTTTCTTCATACCCCCTCATCTCGGCAATTGGGCGTGAGGGGGTCAGGGGAATCTGATAACACACTATTAGGGTAACAGCGAGGAACTCCATCTAAGGAAACAACATCCCACATGAGTCGTCTGTGGGGAATCTCGTCCAGGTGTATCTGTTATGCGACATGGGTTGGTTATCTATCAAAGTACTCGAACAGATTCACCCTCAGACTAAACATTAGCTTTCCAGGGTTCTATTGTGAGCGAGCGATGGCTGCGAAAACCGTCGCTTCTATACAAGTTTGAAAATGACTATACAACAAATGATGGGCGCGGTGTTCCCACGATATTAAACGCTCACGATATGCATGTGTGGACCACCGATACCCGAATCCTTCTCGATAGAAAGCTCGATGGTGTTCTCGGGGAAACGGCCGGGGCTCTTCGTTTAAAGCGATATCAATGCTGATACGTAAAGGGCAGGTCCTGGGTATCGGCATATGTTTTCAGACATGATCCAAATTTAGCTGCAGCTAGAAGAAGGCACAAACTAGCCATCTTGCTGTATATCCAAATACCTAAATCTGCTCGCATTGTACCATATTTCATCGTCAAGCTCCTCTCTCTTAGTATGATTATTCAAGTCTATAGATTCCTTACGGACTTTCTAGTGAAAAGAGAGATCAGAGCAGACCCTTGAAAATAGACAGCTTGGAGGATAGCCCAAAACATAGCTCGGAACATACCCCAGATGAATGTTTAGAATAGGCACTACAATATGGTTATCAATCAGCCAAGTCCCATATAGAGAGCCAATCGTCAGTATAATCAGCTCTAGAAAACAAGCTAACAAAACCTCTCGTAAGGGCGGGTTCTATGAACTGGGTATACGCAAGATCAGTCTACACTGGTGATCGCAGGGCCAAAGATCAATGGGCAGTTCTTAGAACGATAAGAAGTTTTCACACAGTGATTTTGCGACTCTACACAATAACGTCACAGGGGGAAATTCCAATTAATATGGGGAATGCCGTCAGGGTAGAGTGGCCTACATGTATCCATCCTGGTCGATAGCCACGATAGCACCACATCGGGTAGCGATCACCCTCGTTTATCATCAAACCCTCACGCCTTCTGAAATCACAACATGCATCTGGAGGCCCATTTCACCAAGATGAATCCAATCCCAGTCAGACCCCCGAAAGTCTACACCAGCGAGGTAGACCAGTGTCCACCCACGAATGACTTTATCATCGGGACTTGGCACGTTACCCACTCCAGTCTCCCCCTGTGGAAGGGCAAGCGCAACGTCAACATCACCTACAAGCTTCTCCCAGCAGATGCAGCTGGGATCCAGAAAATTGACGATCTTGTCCAATACCAAGCCATTGACTCTGAAAAAATCAAATCTGTCCATGGCGTGGACACCCCGGCCCCAGATAATCCCGGCGCCTGGGATTGGCGTGGCAGAGGTTGGCTGATGATCGCAAGCTCACATTGGGAGTGCCTTGGGTTCGGCGATGTGGATGATAACCAGTGGGTTGTTACGTACTTTGCCAAAACACTCTTTACTCCTGCTGGTATTGATGTCTATTCCCGGAATAAGGAGGGGCTTTCCCAGACCACTGTTGACCAGATACTTAATGCCCTTAAGGAGCTTGGTATCAAGGATATTACCGATCTTGTGAATGGGATATTTGAGATCCCACAGAACTAGAATCTGGAATTACGTTGTTTGTTCATGTGTTCGCTATTAGATTGTCTTCTGGAGTTGGGATGCCCATCTCCTTTCAATTTGGGAATTTGTGTCACTCCATCGTGTTTTCCTTGTTTGATATTGATCCTATTGACTACACAATATATCTATCTCTTGCCAGCATCGTTCTAACAGGCATCTATCTTCATCGGTCGGGGGGAGGGAGGGAGAACTCTATCTATTCCTGGCCATCCTCAATATATATACACCCCAATTTGGGACAATCTCGCATTTATCAAGACTGCTTCAACAACCGTCGAGAACTCCTCAATACGCACTTCACATCCTGTTCAAGCCAAGAGGAGATACCATCGAACCCGTGACTATAACTTGGATATATCACAAAGAATCCTGTTACGAATTTGAGGATGATTATCTCCCTCGTTCCCCTGAGTTATAATCGCCTAAAGATTGATGAAAAGGAGCCTACAACATCCGGCACCTCCCTTAATCCTCGGGTAAGTCCACTACACTCCTGATCAGCACATCGGTCCATATCGCCTTCTACATGCTGACCCTTAGCATATAGAACCCCCTCCTTACTCAGCCATGATACGCGGCCTCTCCCAACCTGGTACCTTTGCGCAGGCGATCAAGGAGACACCACGCCGAACGGCTTCAGCTGGATATTACAAACACACAACCCAACATGGCAATAGTGACCAACGATAAAACCCCCCGTCCCGGGACCAATCAATCCACATCGAAAAGCCGCGACATGCTGCTTAACCCGGGAAACGCGTCAGAGGTCAAAGATCCCCCAAAGAAGGGACGCAAAGGTCGGAGACAAGCAGGTTCCAACTCAAGATTGGCGGGAGAGCTAAGATGGGGAGAGAAATGGGGGGAGAGTGGGGTTTAGCTTCTTCGACTACTTTGCATCTCTACTTAAAGTGGAAAGTCCAACGCATTATTTGTCTGGCAACCTGTGGAGTTAATGACTGGGGATTTGTGGGTGACGCGCTTCTCCCTGCATGGATACCGGAGATTTGATATGACTTCCCGGAGATCCTCGAAAAGCTCCCGGCCTCGAGGATTCATGTGGTTATTGTCGCGGTTCAAAAATGCGATTGATACGTGGACTGATAGTGATGGATTACCCTCGCGTTCCACAATCCCGGACGCTGCGAGAGTACATTTGAAGCCAGGATCGCCGAGAGGAGGCGTGCAGGTGATAGGTGGATGGGAGCGAGGTCGGTCCGAATCTCAGTGTACAGCAGGATCTCACGATATGGCGCCATATCGGAGCCAGCAGAAGATCATACATAGAGCTTGATGGCCGTGGGTGATTTGTATGATGGGGACTCAATGAGAGACGTCAATTATTTATTGCGTGCCCGGATCAAAATGTAGAAAATTCCTCCTAGATATAATATGTGAGAGTATCTTGTAGAGGAAGCAATGGACGCAGGGAAGGCCTATAGTTCATATGTAATTGGTACATTGATATCGCTATCTACACAGTCATCAACATGCTGGCGTTCTTGTACCAGCTCAGCAGCGGGTTCTCTCCGTTGCGCGTCTCCGTATCCTCAATGTAAGCCCAGCGGTGGACGAACTCCTCATGGCTCGTGACCTGGGTCAACTTGCCCGTGACAGCACGGTACATATCCTCGATGACATTGAAGTCTGTCGGGAAGAAGATATCAAAGTAGCCTTGGTGGACCTGCGAGACAATTAGCTGGATTCGTAAAGTTGTTGAGCGTTGCACATACAAAAGGAGTTGACACCGGCACCGTGCGTCGTTGGTACCGAGTCTGCACGACAGGTGCGTTGATCCCGGGCACGGCGTCCGGCAAGGAGCTGAAGTCACTGGAGACCAGACGGTGGGCGGGGAAGTACTGGTTCAGGACATCGAAGAACTGCATCAGGCGGGTGGGGATGTACTCTGGCAGTGTGTACTCTTTCTGGAAAGGTGCGGCGGAGCGGAGGCCGCGAAGGAGTGGTGGGCCCAGGGGACTCGGGAAAGGACGGCGGGCAGCCGCTTGGCGGACGCGCAGGAAGCGAGCAGCGACCGGGTCGAGCTGGTTGTTGTAGTACTCGTGGAATTCGCCCTGGGCATCAATCAGAACGCCGCCCTGCTGGGGCATTTCGCTGCCTTGCTTGTAGCGGATGGTGTCGTGAGAGAAGTTATCGAAGACTTCCAGAGCAAGGAAGAAGCAGGGCGAGTGCACGTAGGTATCCCAGTCGAAAATTGACTTGTTCACGATCTCGACGTGGTCCCGGTGGCCCTTAGCCGTGAGCTTGTCGGTCAAATTCTTGAACTGGAGATCCGCGAGCGCGGGCGAAATCTCAATAATCTTGAACTTCGTTCGCTGATATACCTCGTAGTCGGTGTCACGGATGAAATCCAGAATGTTCAACATCATTGTACCGTTTCCTGCACCCATTTCGTAGATGATCAGGTCGTGGTACGGGTATAGGGTCAACTTGTAGTTTGACACCAAATACCGCGCAATTGTCTCGCCATAGTATGGTCGAAAGAGCTCCGTTGGTGTGTGCCACAGCTGCCTTGCGATATCTGGGTTCGTCTCGTCGAGCTTGTCCTCAAACTCCGTGTAGCGTTCACCAAGGAGTTTGTGGAAAGCGGGCCCATCTTCAATGTTGGTGAAGTCGAATGGCTCTCCGGGGCTGAAAATGGTCGCGTGTTTGGAGAAGTATCCGTAGTGTGGGTTGTAGAGACTGTCTAAAAACACAATGTCAGATATTGGTTCCCCATGATTCGGCCGCCGAACTCACCATCGATAAACTCGCGCGTCAACATCTTGACCTGTCGCGGGCGTTCGCGTCGGTTGCGTAGCTCCTTCGCTGTCACGGTTGGATATGTTCTGTACTCTTCATCGATGTTCTTGGGGTTATCCCCTCGTTTTGTCCAGAGCTGGGTATCATCTTGCGGTTTGCGCTTGACGGTGACGGGTGTGCGTCGTGTGAGGAATGTACGAGATTGTGATCGAGCAAGTCCTGAAGGCGACCGCCGTAATGATTGACATGCTGGACGGCGGAAGAGCTGCCTAAACAGCTGGGTCAGGGCTGGCGAGTCCATTGTGATTGAACAGCTAAGCTCGAGGTTGTTCCGGGGAAGAAGAACGGTGCTTCCGCACAACTTTGGTTGCCTCAGGCGGGACAACACGTGCCTCAGGCAAAATCCATACTTTGAATTTCTGTGCTGTGGGGATCGCTCTTTAGGTCCTTGAAGCTCAATTTCACATATCCGATATAAAGCTTAGCCTTTGATTGAGTTTGCATACTAGATATTCCTCTTCATCGAGACATCGCAGGCTGAGCTTCTCATCTTCCATCAAAACGCCGGTGGTCCGAGCTTCATATCTCCCGTCTATGCACATCACCTCTATCTCGAAGACATAAAACTGCTTTGGATAATGCCGGATCATTCAACGGCATACATAGGCACGGCCTTTGTGGCTGGTGTCTTTTTGGCACTTACATATCAAGAACTCACACGTCCTAAGCAAGAGGAGAATGCAACAGAACAACCGCTTTCAAAAAATGCCCTAGTCGCCCGACCCGGTCCACCCACTATTGTGGACGGCATTGAAGGCTGTATTGGAAATACCCCCCTTTTCCGGATCAAATCCCTTTCAGACGAAACAGGATGTGAAATTCTAGGCAAGGCCGAGGTATGTAGCCCGGGGTCCATACCACGTCAGACCAGAGCTAACGATGCCCCGTAGTTTTTGAATGGCGCTGGCCAGAGCTCAAAAGACCGAGTTGCATTAAGCATGATTGAAATAGTACGCCGCCAACGCCAAAAAAATCGAGACCACCGGCTGGACTAGTCCAGCTCACTGACACCCAAACTAGGCAGAGGAACAAGGTATCCTTACGCCCCATTCAGGCGACACCATCTACGAAGGCACCTCCGGATCCACGGGCATCTCACTAGCAACACTAGCCCGGGCAAAGGGCTACCTAGCACACATGTATGCCGTCCCAAATCCCTCAACCAATCGCAAAAGGCCTTAATATTGAAACTAATGCATGCAACCCAGCTGCCTGCCGTCAGACCAGGCAATTGAAAAATCCAATCTCCTGCTGAAACTCGGCGCAATTGTCGACAGAGTGCCTCCAGCACCAATCGTCGAGAAAGACAACTTTGTCAACCGCGCTCGAGCGCTCGCAAAGACGCACACGGCCTCATCGGGTGTCTCGACGGAAGAGAACTCCGATCTCCCCGCGCCAGATGCTCGCATGACCCGTGGCAGAGGCTTTTTCGCCGACCAATTCGAGAACGAGTCTAACTGGCGCGCCCACTACGAAGGTACCGGCCCAGAACTGTACGCCCAATGTGGGGGCCGCATGGATGCCTTCGTGGCGGGTGCGGGAACCGGCGGGACTATCTCTGGTGTGGCGCGATACTTGAAGCCTCTGTTGCCTAAGCTTACGGTGGTTCTGGCTGATCCACAGGGAAGTGGACTTTTTAACCGTGTCGTGTATGGTGTTATGTTTGATGTTAAGGAGAGGGAGGGGACGCGGAGGCGTCGTCAGGTTGATACGATTGTTGAGGGCATCGGGATTAACCGCGTGACGGCCAATTTCGAGGCTGGGAAGGAGATGATTGATGACGCGGTGCGTGTTACCGATGCGCAGGCCCTGGCTATGGCTCGGTGGCTTGTTGAGAAGGATGGGATTTTCATTGGGAGCAGTAGTGCAGTGAATTGTGGGTTTTTATTTATTTTACGTCTGGTCTGGTTTGCTAACGCTGGATTCCAGGTATCGCTGCTGTCAAGACAGCGAGGAAACTTGGCCCCGGTCACCGAATTGTCACCGTACTTTCGGACTCTGGCTCGCGACATTTGTCCCGGTTCTGGGCCAAGGCGGGTGATGTTGGTGGGGCCGTGGACACGAAGCTTGAGGATGTTATGAATGCACGGGATGAGGATTTTGAATAGATTGGTCCTGGAATTGAGGTATGGCATTGATGGATATGGATATGGATGTGGTCATGGATATGGATGCAGATGGATTCATCAATCGTGAATAACTGACGCCCCATTAGTATAAATGTACTCAGTAATCATTTATAAGAATTTATAAAAATGCCCAAAAAATCGTTGGGATTAGATGCCTTACTGTCAGTCCTGGTATTACCCTCTTGAATGCCATGCTCTTCCTGGGTGTCTTTGGGCGAGGATGTGCCATTTTCTTCCTCGTCGACTTCCTCGAATGTGTCAGATTCCGACTCCTCCTTTATACTATCGTCCGACGACTCTTCGTACTCTTTCTCCTCATGCACTTTTGATTCCATAGGTTCTTCTATCTCTACGGCAGTTGTAGAGGAAAAGCCTTCCCCGACGAAAGCACGTAGCAGTTCAAATTCAACCTCATGTCGAGTTCGGCCCTTGAACTCATGTTGTATCTGAGCCCAGGTAAGACCCGATTGGATGCTGAGACGGGACAAAGATGCTAGCTCAGGCTCCGACCAAGCCGCAGAGAGGGGAGGCGGGTTAGCCAGACGGCGGGTCCAGTGATAGTAGAACCAATGCCAAACCCCTTGGTAATCGCGACCCGGTAACATGGGTAGCACATCATTCGCCTTCTTCCCGTCTTTGTGCATCATACACACGATCAATTTCCCCTCATCGGGAGTGATGAGCTGTTTCTTGCTTGGTGTACTTTCTGAGGGTTGTGGGGAATAAGCCTCGATGCTGGCCTTTGGTGTCAAGTTGTTCTGGAACATGGAACCAAGCGGCATATCGTTTGGTGCGTTGACTTCGGGTGTGTCGTCCTTTTCATTGATAGACGCGTCATACTCTTGATAGTTCGTTGTGGCGTTCCCTCCTTCGCAATCGTCATGGTCTTCCTCAACGACGAGGTCTGGCTGTTTCATAAGGCGTTGCTCGTGCGGAGTTGATGGACCATCGTGATCTTTGGTCGGCACCTTGTGCTTTCCCCGGATGATCCTCAGTTTCGATGGCGTCAGTGATGGCTCACAGTCCTGCAACGGGTCGTCTGATTCATTGCCGTCTGGTATCTCCGCAAAAGACCAGTCGCGCGTCAAAGGACTTGAGTTGTAATTACGCTTCGCAGCTAGCCGACGCTTACTCGGCGTGGCCTTGGGTTTGGCCTCTGTCCGAGGTCTGCCAGGTTGGCGGACAGCCCAGACGGAGCCGCTTCCAGGCGGAGACGGAGACCTGGCGGATGGGAGGAATACATTTGTTTTCCGGGTCTCGGCAGTGGGGGTTGAAAAGGATTGTGGTAAATCCGGGACTTCCCAGAGTGGATCTTGTGGTTTGGAAACTGCGATAGGGTTCGTAGGACGGGAGATATGTCCCTCCTTGGTAGTAGGACTGAGTCCAGTAGCTCCAGATGCTTTGAAAGTAAATACAAAGTCCAGAGATGTATCCGCGGTTGTGTTTTGTTCAATTGATGGCGACGATTCATGGAAAGCAGCCGGGGAACGATCACGGGGAGAGGCTGGCAATGAAAAAAATTCCTCTCCCTTCGTGTCGTCGCCGTCAGGGCCATCCATGTCTTCAGAATTGTCGGAGCCAGCCGGCAGGAGCCATGATCGCGGCTCCTTGCCATTGTCATCCTCGGCTCGCAGGCCGAGGAGATGTCCATTGTCTACCACGATATCCCCCGTCGCCAGGTCAATCTCATCACCCACATCGGTGAAGTCGTGACTATATTTCGCGAAAATTCCCTCAAACAAAGATTTGAGCCGCGAGTCATTCTGGGCGCGTGCAGCTGATAAATCAAAGTCGGGAAGAGCTTCTCCCTCATCAGCAGGGGTGTATGATAGACATGGTCTTTTGGCTGGTCGTTCGGTATTATCCTGCATGGACTGGTCCATGCTGCTGTTCACGATTGCGGATAAGGATCGATCGGGCGGGTGCCTTAAAAATGGTTAGATGCCGAGAACATAGTTTGAATATGGCATGATTGAGCTTCGTAGCAAGCAGAGTCTAGAAGTCCACTGCCAGAACGCGCAAGCGCAGACGCGAGCAAATATGCGGATGGCAGAGGCAAAACAAACCAAAATGACGTTCCCGAAGCTCCAGCTCCCCGACTTCCACCACCCCCACACCCCCGACCATAGTCACTAGGCCATGTATTGCCAGAAGTGTCGCACACCGTTGAAGCTGGATGGCTCAATAGAGTCCCTCAACCCAGCTGCCTTTGACTTACTATCTCGTGGGTTTATACTGGGGGTGTTGTTTCGATCCCGCTAATCAAAGCTACGGTCTAGACTCTACTGGCAAGACGCTGTCAGACACTGGAGCTACCTCCTCGTCAGCGCGATCGTCATATCCGCCCGAACACCGCGACAAGTATGACCAGTCTTCCAAGAATGTCACCCCGCCAGTTTACAGAAGGTCTATCCCTGCCCCGCGTGCAGGAGGGCAACCCAACCCGCCGTCAATACCACGGGGCGACAGCGGGAACATGTCATTCGTGATGTTGACCGAGTCTCAAGTCGCGCCACCGGTCGCCGATACTAGTTCAGCTGCTCGGAGCAAGCGAACTCATACACAGGTCCAACCCCGTGGCCAGGAGGACGGATCATTCGTTGATCAGGTGGAGAAGACGACACGGCTGTTTGAGATAGTCTCGGCGCGCTCCGATATTGATCATCCGATTTGTGTGGAATGTACGGAGCTGCTTGTGGAAGGGCTGCAAAAACGCTTAACGGGATCTACGAAGGAGCGAGATGCCTACATATCGTTTCTCCGGAACTTGAGTGAGTCGATCCCGACCGACGAAGAGCTGCAGGCAGCAGAGAGATCATTGAATGCAAGTCTCGAAGCGGAGCGTGCCACATTTGCAGAGCTGCAGTCTCTTGAGAAAGAAAAGGCTACCTTGGATGCAGAAATTGCGGGTCTGGAGATCGACTCGCAACGTCTGGATGAGGACGAAGAGAACTTCTGGCGGTCTCGCAATGCGTTTGCCTTGACGCTAACAGAGTTCCAAAACGAGCGGGATGCGCTCAATATGCGCTATGATCACGACTCACAGCAGCTCGAGCGACTACAAAGGACAAACGTCTACAATGACGCGTTCTGTATTGGTCATGATGGATACTTCGGTACTATCAATGGACTACGCTTGGGCCGGCTAGCCAATCCTTCCGTCGATTGGCCTGAGATCAATGCTGCGTGGGGACAAACAGTGCTGCTCCTCGCCACCATGGCTGAAAAACTCGGATTCCAATTCCAGGGGTACCGTCTCAGGCCGCTGGGGTCGAACTCGCGCATTGAGAAGATTGAATATCCGGTGCAGCCATCCGGTCAGCCTGTCGAGGGCGCTGCACCCAAGGTCAGCCAATACGACTTGTTCTCATCCGGCGATCTCCCTTTGAATCTTCCTTGGCTTCACCGTCGCTTTGACTCGGGTATGGTGGCGTTCCTCGAGTGTCTTCGGCAGCTAGGCAAGTTCGTTGAGAAGACCCCTACCCCCATCGCGAATCCCCGCCGGGGCCAGACCGGCGCCACTGCACCCGGGTTGAAATTGCCCTACGAGATCAAGCGGGACCGCATCGGTGACGCGAGCATCAAGTTGGGCTTCAACCAGAATGATGAGACGTGGACTCGTGCCTGCAAGTACACGCTCACATGCTGCAAGTTCCTCCTTGCGCATGCCAGCAATTTAGCGAGCACGGGGTCTAGCAACTCAGCTGCCGTCGCGGCTGCGGCCATCGCAGCCGCCGACCAAGTCCGACAGACGAGCAGTCCCGCCAAGAACCGACCGTGAAACCGACCAAAGGACTTGGAATGAACATAAAAAAAAAGGTTGAGGCTGCAGTACAGGATCCAAATGCTAGTCATGTGGCAGGAAAATCGCGCAGATCCTTGATGAAATCGAAAGCCTGCACAGCGCATCACTTTCGTACTTTTGCGCTCAGCCCATGAATACACCATCAATACGGAGTACCTTTGAATACCAGTGTGGAGTACGGAGTATTAGGGGCGATTGAGGATGACCATGACGTGCCTAGCATCTGGCTGTTTCAACCAACACACTAAACCCCGTTCTGATTGGCGCATCACAACAATACTGGATCGACAAGACATGCCAACCAATCCGCCCCCTGGCATATGTCGGCTTGGTGCAGCACTGGCGCGTGGGCCGGGAACAGAGCCTTTTGAGAACCAAAGTCCGTTGAATAGACGGACTATCCAGTCTGCGCGCTACATCCTAGTACCTGCATGCGATCCGAGCCGGTGAACGATGGTCCGTGGACCTATGAGCGTTTCGGCGGCAGATTTCTCCGTTCCAGTGGAGGCGCTCCACGCGGGATCTGGCCGTTGCACTGTCCACTTGGGTCTTGGGTTTTTCTTGCCTTTTCTGGGATTGTCTGGGATCGTCTAGGTCTAGGTCTGACTGGCGCGGTTGGGACGGTAATCTGAAAAAAGTACTCCCCGCACTTTTGACAAAAGCCTCACATCATCTCCCTTCGAGGACTAGTTCTGGCCACCAAGACGGGTACCCGATTTAGGGGGGTTGTCCTTTTTCCTCTCTTTTTTTTTTTATTTCGCCTTTGTGTCGTTGTGAATGTCCTTTTTTTTTCGCCCCTTTTTTTTTTTCTCCATGGGTATACACAGGGACGGGTGTACTTCCTGAGCCGCGGATATCAAAGCAAAAATACCCCCTCCCTTCTCGGGGACTAGGAATGCTCCTCCCCGAAAGAAAAACGTAGATCACTGCGTCTCTTCACCCGACAAGTTCTTGAGTTTTGTGCTGGGAGTTCTAGCCCTTGGGATATGGGCCAACCCGTGCAGCTGCGCACCGGGGTCCACCGGGGTATATGAGAGTGGGATCGAGGCGAGTAGATCAAAAATTCAATGATCATAATCCACCCAGGAGACAACCATAATTCTGGAGGTCACAATGAAAGTCCCGTGTTATGTACGGAGTACGGAGTATGGAGTATTCCATACATGGGACTATTTCCGAACGCACATGGGAACAACGGTCAAACCGAAGGAACCAGTACACCAGTACACCAGTACGGAGTAACCAAAGAGGTCCTCGTACCTTGGTACCAGTACTTCATACCAGTACTTCGTACCCGTACGAGGTACCCGTACTATGTACGGCACGAAGGTCCCAGATAGCACGGACCGTGCATGGCACGACTCGAACAAAACAAAAAAAAGATAAGTTTCGGCCGGAGCAGCATACGAAGCGAATACCAAGAATACGGCCTCATAGCTATATAAATACGGAAATACGGAGATTGGAGCTGACAGGGTAACCTTGTCCGGAGCCCAAAGCGCAACCTGCACGCGTGGAGCCCTTGGATCGTGGGGATGACAACGGTTTTGCTCCTACGCTTAATTTTCTTTTTTGTTTCTCCTTGCGTGATGTGGGTTTGACAGTCTCGGGGAGGATGAAAGCTGTAGTATATTCAGATCCGACGTGGCTTGGAACGAGCAAATGAGAAGGAGACAAATTGCACCGGAGCTGTTTAGCCTCGGGGAAGACAAAGGGAAGTTTCGGCCCGCTCCCGGGGTCTGTTTTGCTCGGGTCTGCAGATTAAAGGAGTCTCGAGTGAAGGAAGATATATATATATATATACATATATATATAACAATATGAATCTAATATCCTCCGTCCCAACTCCAGACGGACTCCGTAGAAAAAAAGAAAAGGCAACGGAAAATGCATCCAATTTGCGGCCAGTGCACTGCATGTAATAGTTCGCTTAGGCTGTACAGTAGGGCCAAAAGTACCCTTTTGGGAGCTCCACTCGGGCATGGATACCCAGACAAGGGGAAAAAGCTAGCAGAATGGCGAGAATCTCAGTAGCAATAGCCCCCAACTGAGGCCCCAACGAGAACGCACAACAGCCAACTCCTCCCTCATCCGGAGATATTCTCCTGACAACGGTCGATCATGACAAGTTGGCTGTGGGCAGGAGGATCCCGGCAGCGACGATGATTTGCCCGGGGAAACAGGGGGGGCCTCTCTCCGCGTGCACGTCGCCGCAAAGAGAAGAGATTCCCTTGGCCCTGATCTCTTGCCTGTTGCGCTTTTTTAGGGATTTTTTTCTTTTATTTAGAATACATATGGTTTGCATTCCTCTTTATTACTTTGCATCCCATGAGACCAGTATGATAACTTCCTTTTGACCTTCATCATGGATAATTACTCGGCCTCCCCTTCCAATGTCTTTCGACCCCGCCGATCGGACGACTGGCACGAATATCGAGAAATCATCGAGCAGCTCTACCGCAATGATCAGTTGAAACTGCGTGATGTTAAACGCATCATGGAACGAGATTATAAGTTCTTTGCCTCGTACTACTATCCCCTTTTTCCTTTCTTCTTCTCTGTCGTTATCTGCCCCATCCTCGGTCCCCGTTATAGATCCTCCCCCCCACCTTTCTGGCAATATCCCCTAACGTCGGAATCCAGAGAAAAGCAATACAAAGATCGGCTCGCCGCATGGCATGTGCGAAAGAATATTAAAGCCAAAGAGGTCCACCTGATGCTTCGCAAGCAGCAGAAGCGCGCCGCCCAGGGCAAACAGACGGCCTTCCGCGTAAACGGACAGAACGTCGATCCAAAACGTATCGCCCGCTTCGTGCGTCGCTACGGCACCTCGTGGGATTCCAACCGCGGCAAAGAGCCCGAAGCCGAACCCCAAAGTCCCGAGCCCCGTGAGTCGACATGTTGTCGACTATATAGTCGCCTATCCCATGGATTATATAGTCGATCACCGATATCAAACCAACATCACTAACCACTACCAGAAACCCCGTCCGACATGACCTGCTACACCCCGGAACCCACAGATGAACACAGCACCACGCCAATCTCACCATTGCCCGACATGCAGTCGCCCACTCGCGAAATGCCGCCCTTCCCGCTCGGCTCATACGGTAAATCCACGGTCGTTCCGGTGAGTGTGCGTATACCGAATGATATTGATGGAAGATGTCCCGCTCTAGACCCCAATCATATCGAAAATCTGCCCGACCTGGAACTGGACGAAGGCCCCGGTATGCCGCTGGCCATGCATTCCCAACCTCGCCATCCCCACTCCTACCACCACTCAATAGGGAACCATCTTTCTCATGGCGCCCACAATGCCCACAATGCCCATGGGACTCACGCTGTCGCTCACCCCCACGGTGCCCATAATGCTCACAATGTCCACAATGTCCACAATGCTCACAACGCTCTCAACGCCCACAATGCCCACAATGCTCACACTCACGCTCACGGGCAACCGGGACCAGCACCACGGGATTTGGAGGATGCACCCGGTGAAGACGACACCCACCCATCTGATTGGAACACGGTGGAATCGTTCCAGACCCGACTCCAGGATCTGGATTATACGCTTACGCAGTCGATGTCGAAGTGGGCTAGTCAGCAGGATCCGAACTCGGAGATTCAAGGTAACCATGAAGGACTGGGGATGTGAATTGTGACAATTCCAGATATTTTGCTCTTCTGATTCTTGCTCTTGACTTCTTTTTCTTCCATTTTTTTTTTTTTTTTTCATTCAATTATGTCTCTATTCCCCACACATTCCCATCAACCAGCGCGCGAGCCTTTCATCTTTTCTTCTCTATGTACATGGTTTCCCCCCCCCCCCCTTTTTTCAACCCCATCCCCCAATCCCCAAATAGCCCGCCCGGGGAGGAAAACTCATAGCAAGGGCGTTTTTCTTCATCCGCGTTCTAGATTGCTCACGCATTATGCCATCTGAATCTTCTGTACATCGTGCTCTATCAAGTATGGGTCGCACGAGGATATCTCGAGGTATACACATCTTTCGTCTCTCTCTCCGCTCGACCGACAATCCCAGCATCGAATCCCCGTTCCAGCCCATGTCCCACCAGAGCGAACCCGAACCCAGCAATACTCCATTGCAACCGTCCGATCTCAGCATGACGTTTCTTTTTGCAAATGTGCCACCCAACACAGCCCTATCATCGACTCCCACGTTCGCACGCGAGGGTCTTTTGCACCCCGCTCCCTGGATGCGCTGGCATCACCCCCACGCTTGTGTTGCTCTGGGTTTCTGCGCGACATTCACCGCGACAGCAGGGAGCGGGGATGGTCCTTGGATCCCGTCGAGGGTCATTTTTACTGCGTTTGCGCGATCCCGGTAGACGCGGTCTGGTGGGATAGCAAGACTGTCTTCTTCTGCTACTGCGGATATAGCCTTATTATACCCGGTAATCCTATATGGATGTAATGAGGCGTGATACTATCCAGATAGGGGACAGAGGTGGCGTAGAGTATGTAATGATATATTCATTGCCATGCACGTCCACACTGAAATACATATAGAGGTATCAGAGACAAAGATTGGGTACTCGGTACTTCTCTTGACTAGATTGTATCTACTTAGGTACTTATGACAGTCAATCCTTCTGTTAGTACCGAGTATATTAGCAAGTTACTTAGACTTGAATCAATGTTTGCTAGTGGGCTATATGGAATGCAGTCCTTATCTGAATAGACATCTATCAGTAAATCAACGCAACTATATCTAATGCTATTCTATCCAATACGCACATAGCCATCAACGAAGAATCCAACACCGAATTAGCCAATTGGTTGAATATCATACGTTCATAGCTCCAGTATCGAAGGGAGCATATATATCAAAATCGTCGATATCATAGTACTTCAAGGAAATGGATCTATAAGACGCAATGACTATTCAGGGAAGAATATAACTTTGCTTGTTACCGCAATAGCAATAGTATCAGCGGGTAGGTTTATGCTTGACCTTTGATTCTCATATAGCATAGTGAGCGTTCTAAGTGGGTTGAAGTAAGATCTATAGGGTTGGATGTAGGGTCAGTGAATGATTATCTATTTGTCCGGTAGTCCCAAAGTTGTCAGAATAATGGTCAAGGTATTGTCTGTGCTTATACGTCAAGAACGCTACTTGTTCTTTTCCTATTTCGTGCACAATATCGCGTGAGCCGGCTCGTTCTATCTCCTTGGCCACTTGGATCAAGTCAACCTCACTTACTATATGTCAACTAGATCTGCAGTGTTTAGTAAAGAGATCAGAGCGCTGGCGATGATCCTCTAGGGACTAGCCATACCAGGTCAACACTGGAGTCGAAGGAACTAATGAACAAGACCTAGGCATTCAGAAATCCGAGAAAGGAAATAGGAAAGTAAAGATGCATCCACGAGTGAAGCCCGGACACGCGCATAATCCAAATTCGACTCCAGTTGACTTCCAACTCCATACCTGCGAACCTTGAAATTCTCGTTATTCATAAATATAGCCCATCCACCACCCACCAGTCTCACCTCGTGACTAAGAACCCATTACCCATCCCCTCCATCCACATGATCAGACCAAGAGTTACGTACAGGAATGACTCGAGCCCGCAGTCTAGAATCAAAGATGTCCGAGCCTTCGCCTCGAACATACACCATCCAGCAAGAGCAAATACCAAAAGAACCAGCGCAGACGAGGCTAATCATGTAGAACAAGGTTGACGAAGGCGCATCCACGAAAACCAACGCAACGCCACCAACGAATCTACATCCCAAAACCGGATTCCTCGAAACCAACCTCGAAAAACAACATCCCCGTCGGAGTATAGTGCCTTCCCGGCACACCATCCAAGCAAAAAAGCCCCGCTGCCAATACCAATTCCACCGTCCTGCGAACTGCAAACTGCGTACTTCGTACTTCGTCCTCCACCAAGTCCTAACTCCTACCTATCTCGGCAAACCCCCACCAAATCCACATTCCAGCCCAACAAGCCCCGTACCTCCAGAATACTGCATACGGAGTGCAGAAACAGAACCCCGTAAGCAAAAAGACCCCCGCCAAAACGCCAAAACGCCATTCGGATGCACAGCGCACACTCCGAGACAGGTGTGGACCAATCTGCACGCAGCCGGATTGAGGCTTGCAAGGGTAAGCGAGTTGAGGGCCGGATATATGCAGCACATGACATTTTGTCTTTTTTTGTGGAGTTTGCCGATGGATACATGTACGGAGGAGTCCGGACATGCAGAGTGTTTATGTACAAGGTGGATATAAATAGAAAGATAAAAGATGAGAGGCGAGTTGATGTTCGATGGAGTGGGGAGGCGGGAGCGGATGGGATCCACTGTGGGCCAGCACGAGGGTTCCGGGTTTGGAGGTGGGATTGGGAGTACTTTTTATGACTTGGTGATTGGTGATTTGGGGGGGGATAGGAGGGGAAAGAAGGTGGGTTTAGAGGTTCGGACGGATTGCACTAATAAGTACTAAATACATAAGCCAAATGGGATCGGAGGGACTCGCTAAAATGAACTCCAATCCAACGGGACCAATAGAAAGGAAAGCCGAGATGAAATGAGATGGAGGGAAACATGAGGGAGATGGAGAAGGACGGTGGGAGAATACACGGTCATGATAATGGTATGAACCCGGGGTAGAGGGGGAAAAACCAGGGCAACAGGCTATGCTGTCGCCTAAATAGAGGGTCAAAGGTCGCAAAAGAAAGAAGCCAGGGAGCTCCAACGGCACGCTTGTGGGGATATAGAAAAAGAAGCACAAAGTGCTTTTGGCCAGCCAACATCAACTATCACGGAAAATCACACACTCCAACCCGTCTAGGAACCGCAAGGAGAAAGGCAAAGAGAAGCCTAAAGAGAGCGGGGAAAGTCTATATCTCATGGCTCTTGGCTCATGAGTAGAAAGTGCTCTTCTGGAAGCTTTCGGGCGAGATATCGCCCATCTTGCTTGTGAGCTCGGGCTTGGTAAGAGATGACAGGCTCTGCGTGCGGCCTTCGGCCACAGGATCACCCTTCATTGTGACGGTGCGAGTGGCGGGCTCGCTGCCGGCTGTGATGGCCTGCTGAGCGGGCCGGCGCTGGATAGTCTCCAGATAAGGACCCGGGGAGATATCCCACACGGCCATCACGGGCACGGCAGCGCCACCACTCGGAGGCATTGCCCATAGGGTCAGACTTGCTAAGGACAGCGACAATGTCGCCCTTCTTCACGGCAAGATCAATGCCGTTGCTCTCCTGTGTCTCAGGGGTATAGTCGTACATCAGACGGCAGAAGTCCAGCTTAGTCGGGTCGAGCGATGCTGAGCCAGGCTCACCGTTGGGCCCGAGGAGCTGCTGGCGACGCTTGGCCTCTTCCTCCTGGGACCGGGCCATTGTCTTAATGAGCTTGCCCATGAGATATGGAAGACCAAAGAGCGCAATCAGGAACATGAAGAAGGGCTTCTTGGATGGCTTGGCGGGAGCTGGCGAGCCATCGGGAAGTGTGGCTCCTACCGAGCGCTTGCCCATGAACGCCGCAAATGCAGCCGGGGTCAACGAAGTCGCATCAGCTGGCGGTGGACGTCCTGTGAGTTTCGCCAGCAATGTGCGGAACCATCTAATCAGGGTGAAAATTCCCAGAGCCGAGCCGAGGGTATTGCGCAGATTACCGAATTGTTCTGCGACCGAGACCATTGCTATCAAAACGAGTCAGCGGGCACTCATGTATTCCAAAATAAAACCAGATACTTACCAAAGAATGAACTGTGCGTGGCCATGTATGTGCTCTCGAGCATCTGAGCAAAGCCTCCAAATGCACCGACGATACTCTCAATCATGTGAAAGGTGGCCTGGGTGCTCTGTCCAAACGAGTTGGTCAGGCTGTTAGGATCATTGGGATCTTGGCCGGGCATGCCACCGTACATCCCTCCCATGCCCCCCATACCGCCCATTCCTCCGTACATGCCACCTCCGTAGCCTCCATATCCGCCGCCATACATGGAGCCCATACCGCCCATGCCGCCGAAGCGCGAGTACGGTGATGAGTAGCTGCCCATGCCGCCCATACCACCATAGGTGGAGCCGTAAGCGTTTGTTCCAAGGCGCGAGGCACCGTAGGGTGAGTAATTTGAGGCAGTACTGTTGACCACGGAGTTGAGGGCACTGGGACGGGAGGGAAGATCGGGGGCAGTGGATGCCGTTGAGGCTGCGGGGTTGGCCACTGTGGTAGTCATCGCGGTAGAGGCAGCGGGACTACCGGCCATAGGAGCTGTTGATAATGCGTTTCCTGTAGGGAAGAAAGACGAAGAGAATTAGTCTAAGATGATAAACTGGGGGTCGCGCTGGTGAATGTGGCGCTAGAATATCGGTAATCGGAAGAAAACACCCACCTGCGCCTGCTCTCTCCCACGGTTTTGGTGGCGAAGGCGTCGCCATGGAGTTAGATATTAGCGAACTGGCATCGAGATATTTAGATAGTGTTTAGTCGTTCAGGGCGTTGAAGCGTAAAAGGGCGTTGACGAAGAGAGAAGAGGAGAAACAGAAAAGGTCGCATGTGGCCGGCAGTGGAGATACCGAGGTCGGGGTTTGCCGGGCAAAATACGGGGTACTTATATTGTGCACCGAACTATACGGACCTAGGTCGATCGGACCTGTCTTTTAAATTAAAGATCTAAAGATCAGATGAGTCCTATTGATCATGTTGTTCTTTTCCTGTCCAATCTGCTCTCCTGTTGGCCCTATCCGACCTGTTCGGCAAAATCTCCTCGGTGGCAAATGCATGTACCTCTGGGCCAACCGAGGTAAATTTCAGGTTAAGATGAGCAAAGTAGATCTGAAGTATAGTGGAGTGTTCATAAATACAACATATGTTAAGCATGCCCAAGCGTATGTAGGTCTATATCTAGCTCAGTGTACCTGAGGTCTGTGGCCCTGATGTGCCACTCGGACCGCATCTTCTCTTGTACAACAAGTCGGCATTATAGAAAATGCTTGGCGATATACGTCAAGAAACATTCGTATGATAGTCAAATCCAATTTGAACATGCGAGAAGAGGATATATTAACCAGAATACTTCGAATCAAAAACACCGAAAATAACCCAGACCAGATCTATCAACGCCATAACACAGAGCCATATATGTACAGAGGCTAATGCAAGATATAGGTAAACTCATAACTCGTCATGAGAGCGCTGAGCATTAGGCTGGGTATGTGGGCGCGGCGTGGGCACCTTCAACTTCCACATACGTGGAGGCACCGGCAGCCCGAGCCAGTAGTTGTACAATCGGACAGATTCCGAGGCGCCAATTTGGTACCTGAAAGAGTCAGTGTCAGCGATGAATCTGGAGAAAAATACAAAGACCAGGTATCCGGTGTTTGAACTTACAGTGTGCGCGGGATATCCATCCAGGCTCGCAAGATAAACCCGACCATACCCCAAACCATCTCCCATTCGGATTTGAAATCATCGATGAAGTTGTCGTCTGGGTTACGCAGTTTACGCTCCCAGGGGTAGCGTTCTGGCGCTTCACCTTGGCCGTAGACATACCCATCATCCTCTCCTTCACCTTCGTAGTAGAAGTTGTTGTTGCCGTCTCTGAACACCCGCTTGTTGTTGCCGAGGGCATTGGCGTGGTGGGAAGAAGGCACAGCGCCGTGGACCGGGAACATGTGAGTCGTCCCAGTGAGCAGGGCTCGCTGCATACTACGCGAAGCAGCTAAGCTGTGCGAAATACGGCCGAGGGTGTTGATGAGAGCGACCAGCTCAGTGCGACGCAAGGGTGGGTTCTCGCCGTTCTTGGTTTCGTCGTACTCGAACAACACCTTGAGGGCTGTTCCGTAGCCGTTCACCTGGAGCTTACCCCAAAGGCGACACTTATCACAGCCCACGCAGTCCATCAGTCGGCTGACATTGCGGAAGCGGTTGCGGAAATCCTCCTTCAAGCTGATGCCGTTGGCATCTTGGAACATGATCTTCTCATCGAAGATTTTGGGCAGTGTTGTTAGAGTCTCGGTCAACTTGTTGACGCGCTCTTTAGTCTCGCGGTCTTGCACCGGATCACTGGTGCAGAAAGTGTATCCGTCCAGATGCTTGCGGAGCTTGGCCACGGCGCGTGAAACCAATGCGTAGTTGAAGTACATATTCGAGATGCGTTCGGGGTGGTCAAGGAGGCGTTCCTTGAAGCACTGCACGTTGGGGTGCCACAGGCCGGTCGTCTGGTTGAGGTAGTCCCAGCAAAGATGTGTGGAAATGGATGCGTGCATGCCACTGAGGAGCCGGTGGAACACTCGCTTCTCCAAACACTCATTATCCAAAGGCAGACCTTCTACTCGCTTTGCCTCTTTCTGGAGCACATTGCGGAAGTCAGAGGCTGCCTGCAGACCGCCCATGGGGACGTTCTGCGATTGCTCCTCAAGCTCATGAGCCACAGTTTTCATGAAACAGTTCTCGCTGTAGATTGCGTTCCAGACTTGGTTCGCGCCGGATCCAGTGTATCCGGTGAATCGCTCTGGGTTATCCACTAAGCTCACATAGTCTCCCTTCCCAGCGGAACCCTCATCCTCGGGGATACAGTAGTCTCGTTCGTCACATTCGTCATCGTATTCCATAACACAACTCTCGCCAACGTCGTCACCCAGTTCTCCTTGTAGGGGTCGTTCCTTCGGGCGCTCAGCTTGAATTTTGCGTGGTGGGTGGTTCGCCTTGGGGCCCTCGAGCTTGCTCAATTCTTCCGCGCGCCACGTGAGTGGGATATCCTCCTCCGAATCAATGGTGTTAACGGCACAGGCAATGTTCCCGCACATACTGTTGGCATCGGACCAGAAAGGACATTCTTTGTTGAATAGGTTGAGGCGGTAGTAGGAGAAGAAGTCTGTTTCTTGCGTGAGGGAGTTAAGGGTCGTGAAAATCAGGTCGTTTATGCCGTTGATCTCGCCATACGAGACACACGCGTCTGATACCATGGCAGAGGGTTCAAGCTGGAGGCAAATCGCACTGTCAGTCATCTGGATTTCAGGTCCGGGGATCCTTGACAGGACTCACAGCACACTTGGTCGGATCCAGCGAAGGATCTTGTTCGCCGGCATGGCTGAGGCCCGCAAAAGCGAGCGCTGCTGCATAGAACAGCCTCGCTGTAGCTCGCATCTTGCCCTTCAGTTTTCTCTATTGGAGCGAGCAGGGTCACCTAGGTAGATGTTGTACATGCAAGGTGGCGCAAAGACCAAATTCAACTGGGAGGCGCTGTTCCGTAGCGATTGTAGGTTGTGGGGTTTGCGCAAGGATAGTTGAAGAGAATGAAATGTCAACAAGACATAGGCGATAAATAAAGACCAAAAATGTCAGGATCTGAGAAGTAAAGTGGACAAGCTGGCCTCGAAATGCTCGGAAGATCGGCCGATCGCCAAGAAATGACAATGGCCTGATTCAGGACGGCCTCTGATTGGCTGGAGGATCTATTAAACTGCAGCTCCCTCCAACCGTCGAAATAACGAGTGGGGAGATGGGCAGAAGAGGAGAGAAATGGGCTGATATGGTGCCACAGAATAGTGCCATATGGGGTACTGTATGAGGGTATCACAGTATATCTACGCTCCGGTCAAACTCCAGCCTACGGTTCTTGCCACAGAACAAAGCTTATTCGTTGAGGTCTTGCATGAAACAGATAGACCAATTTGGCTGGAAAATGAGCAAAATGATTGACAACGTACCATAGTCTCTGTATCTTATTATAGTTGAAACAGACTGTCTAACTACCTGTATGCTTCACGGGCTGTTATGCGGTTGAACAAAGAATGAACAAAGAGCATGGCCGGAGTAGTTCAACAAACACTTCAGAGTACAAATGCACATGGAAAGGGGTTGAACAGAAGCTTATAATAAGCGAAAGGCAAATAATCATAGAGTTTTAAGCAGTTAGCCTGTTGATGGATGAGATGATAGTGCTTGTCTGCAAAATATATTTCCGGGAGACCATCTCAACCCTGCTGAGACACATGTCTTAGCTACCAGCTAAGACCATATCCTTCCTCCTTCGGTTACTCCTGTCTTTGATCGCTTCGACCTCTCACTCTCTACTCAACCAGTTTAGGACCTACAGTTCTATTTTGGTCTTAGGTAGTAGAAATTGCGCTTTAGCAATCCAATTTGTGCGGTTGATGTCCCTTCTTGCGGGCAGCATTGTCAGTATAGTTCGGGGTCACCCCTATGCATAGTCACTCTCCTCACCACCACACGCATCACCAATCCCAATGCCGAACCTTCTTTTCTCATCCACATTCCACCATCCAAAAGATATCATTAATCCCTCCCACACCCCTTTCTCCCGGAGTTGGGCATCGCTACACCACTCCGACCCCGGTGGAGTGACCCCGGTACTCAAAATCTCCGACCCAGCAAGCAAACTCACCTGGGCAGCGATACTGCACGGGTTTTTAGGTAAGGTTTCCTTCGTGTCGATAGCAAAAAACGTGACAATTGCACACAAAAGCATAATGCCCAGGAGCGCTTCGAGGATCCGTGTAGAGACTTCGCTTTGCACAAGGCGGATGCGGTTCGGGTCGCGCAGTGTTCCGGCCACTGGTGGTTGCGGTGATTTCTGCCGGTACTGGAAATTGGCACGTTGTGCCTCCATGATACCATAGACTCGTTGCACGCTGTCTTGGAGGCGGGGGATGTTGTGCAGGTCGAGGAGCTCGGGGGGCAGGATACCGTCTACTCCGTGCACGACGGCGCTGAAGATCCCGTCGTAGTTTGTTGGGTATGGGTAGTCGCGGATGTGGATTTCCGGCATGAAATTCTTCCACAAGGAGCCGTCAAACTCGATGGACAATTTTGCCTCTTTGTGGACCCGTGAAGACTTTTCATCGATCCTGGGGGGATTTCTGCGGTCAGTTGCAAGGTTGGGAAGCTCGAAGGTAGCTTCTACATCCACGGTCTCGAAGTAGGGGTTACACAGCAGTATAGTCGCGGTGGTATTCATCTCCTCGTCAGCAAACCCCGTGGTGGCAATGTATGTACCGCAGTTGTCGATGTCGACCGACCATTGAAGATCAAGCATGTAATCCATGCGGCCAAAATAGGAGTACGGGAAGTCGAAGGAGAACAACTCCTGTCGGTTCAGGCTGTTTTTGGAATATAGACAATGCTCTGGGAGTGAGATATCGAGTTTCACTCCCTCTTCGTAAGAAGATTCACTGAACCTGTGTTGATACCCCTCGAGAGCCGTGCAATTTGTCTGTGTTCGGGCCGCAGGTATCTTCAAAGTGACCGTGTAAGAGATGCTTTTGTTCTGCTGCTCACCACTCCCACTACCATTTGGGAGCTTTATAGCGCTCAGCGCCAAATCTTCGTAGGTCCACTGCGGGGATGACATGTTGGAATGCAGGATAAGAGAGGGCCTCGAAAGAGGGTCACCCAACCCACCCAGAACACTGAAGTTGAAAGAGTCCACCTGATAAGCAGTGATGGGTGTCAGGTGTGTGGTCGCCTGCGCGGTATACAGACCACTGACAGCGATTGGGAGCAAGACACCGGCAACCACGGCAATGCTAGTGGCTGCGGTGGCAGCTTGGCCCTGCCTTACGGACTCGTACAGGCTGGACAAGCTTAACTTTCCGAGCTGCTGGTTCAGAATGCCCACGGATGCTGGCACCGCTTGTCGCCGCAGTAAGCTGTACGGTTGGAAGACCCGTGCTCCGAAGTCCATCATGCCGTACATCACATTCACGCCAAACATAGTGAAGGCTGGCACGTATGTCCATGCATAGTGTATAAGGACTGACACTGATGTCTGCGATACCCTGGGAAGCTTTGGAATGCTGAAGAAGAACCTCAAGGGCGACAATCATCCCAGCTGGAAGAAGGAACCAGATCACCTGAGCCGGAATAGTCACGGAAAACGGTCTCCACCATTCTTGCACTCCAGTTTCCGTCTTGTCATGATCGCCCGCCTTGAGTAGTGGCTCCTCATCGCTGCCACAAATGCTGAACTGCGCATCCCCAGATGGGCCAGGGACAACTTCTGTACGATATAGTCTCGAAGCGGTGGCGCGATCAATGCTGTCATTGTCCCACGACCCGGTATCCTCAAATGAAGCTTGCAGTCCCTTGCTTGTCGCGACTACTGTTGCCAATCCACCGATGGAGCTTGGATCTCTTGAACAAACCGCTCGGGGCGCAGTGAAGAACAGCCCAACACTAGCAGCGAGCAGGAGCCCCAGAATTCCCACCATGAGCCCAAACGACAAGGACTGCATAACCAGCCGATTTTCAGAGCTTATACTCGTTCCGGTCAACGGGTCATGAGATGGCTTCAAGAGATAATTTCTGGCCACCTGGGCAGAAATGGAATTGAAAGCATCCTCAGCGCTCGTCTTGACCACCTCACCACCCAGCATGGCTGAAGAAAATGGCTCAGAGCTGGAGACATTCATCAAGTTAAAAAACATGCTGTTCTGCGAAACAAATCCAGTTTTTGGAACTTCTTCTTGTGGCATCTCGTGTGTTGCCTTCCGGACACTCGTGAGAATGTCCGAATTGGATATACCCGCGAGCTTCCTTTTAGTGCGCTCGGGGGACTGTGGAACATCCAAATGTACCACCGGATCCAATTGATTTTGAATTGTCAAGTTACTGCGGTAGATGCCGTAGTCCACAGCACAGTGGACAATTGTAAGCACTCTACTTCTGGAATTCCGGTGTCGAAAAACCTTGCTGGTCTGCAGAAATAGCTCTTGCGTATTCTTCACTGAAAGATCTCCGTCCGAGGTGAAGTTGATGAGTGTCTCGCTGTCACAGTCAGGTAATAAAGTCCTCCATGAATCCTCTCTAAGGACCGCTGATATTTGGCAGCCACGACGATCAATGTGTAGATCGACTCCATCATGCGCTGCACTGATTGTGACCCGGGTGGAAGAGTCTACTTGGAATGTGTGGTTAGACTGGGTCTCAAGAGGCATCGTGACGTTATCAAGCAAAACATTGCAGGAAAGACCGCCGTGAAATACATCCACCTCGCCAGTCAGTGACACGTTCGACGAGACTTCAGAATGCGAGGAGTTGAAAGTCTGATACGCATAATGCGCTGTTGTGCCCAAGGGATACTCCGCGCCGTAGGCCTTGATCGCATAATCCATGGTCGTCGGTCGAGAGTCAATACTCGCATTCTGAAATCCCTGTCCGTCAAAACTATCCAGTGTGATCAAAGAAGCCGCCTTGTCTTGGAGCACCATGGGCTGTAGAGCGAAAAGGCCCGTTGATACAACAATAAGGAGCTTCAGGAGCAATGATCCCGCCACTGCTATTGAGACTGGAAAATTCCTCTGCCGTAGCGAGGACCACAACACCGTTACATTCCAGGGCGACAGATAATCCAGACAAATAGTATTCTGTGCGGTGGCCGGCCCATCTAGCATCACTTTCCACGGTGCCAGCTGCTTCGTTCGGAACTCAACCAGACTCCAAAACGCCGCCAAGATTGTAAGAACTGTCCATGTCAATTATTTCACTTATAACTTCCAGCGTGCAATATCCTACTGGCAGTTGGTCCATATGTCCACAAATAATGTAAACTTTCCCGAGTGGCTGTGAGACCTTGATGCTGGCTAGACCATACATATAAGACCACCAAGACGACAATAAATGTGGCAAATGTAGCCCCAAAAGCCACAAAGCATGATTTGGTCAAGATCCGGGACGTCCACATTTGCCTATCCTCGACATTTTCTTCTTGTGCGATGGCATCCGGACCGTCTGACTCGCCAGTTGCCGAGTCAACCGACTCGTATCTGGCACTATGCTCACTTCCTGGCTGAAGAGATCGCATCTTGGTACCTCCACACCCCAGTCTGGCTGGGGTTTACCGCGCACTTAATATTTGCCATGAATGTTCACTCGCGGTGCCCAGTGCACAAGGCTACGCTCATTGTTCAGGGGCTCAAGTGGGGGCCGTGTATTAAGGTAATTTATTCAAGTGTGCGTATCCAGCCTGTCAGGAATCAATAGGCTCCTGTGTGATTGGCCATGATACAGCAGACCCTCCAAGGGTCCTGGATCGACTGGTGAAAGATGTCTGTGTGTGGCTGTGGAGAGTGGGAACTGGCTAAGCCTCTCGGTACAGAGTAGTGGATTACAGCATAATATTAGGCCACTCAATACGTCAGAATGGCTGTTTTGAGAACAATAGAAATAGTAAAACGTTACGGACGCGGATCTGAACGATCAAGGGTGTTTGTTTGTGGTTGTTATAGATGGGCATATCCAAGATTCACGGGTTGGAAACCGTGAGTTTCGTAGGAAGCACCAGCTATGAATAGCGTAAGTGTTGATATACTCCGTACCCAGCCTCTGAACTACACGAAAAAGGCAGAATTGGCAAGAGAAGGTGCTGTCGTATGTGCCTGGGATGTGTCCCTGGTGTGTATTTTGTACGCATAGATTTTGAGGTGATTGGAGGGAAACGTGTTCAGTCAATGTAAATCACGACGATCCTTATCCAACTAGTAATTTAGTGTGTTTTGCACAATTAAGTAGAATAAACCACTGACTAAGAGTGGTCGAATATTGTTCATGCCTCGCTGAGAGGAGTGTAAAATGCAACATATCCATATTGAATTCTTATAGAAGGTCTTTGAGTGGGCTTCAAAACACCTACTGAATCGCACATTATCAAAGTACTGAATTTATTACAGCGTATAATCGATAATTAGCTTAGCGTCGGCAGGTCCACATTGATAGAAAACTTTTCAAGGTCGGCCTAAAATAAGGACAATACAGTTTGATGTGGACTTCAATATGGATACAAAGATCATTGACCTCAGTTACACACTCGGCTTACCTTCTATAATTCCATCCCACTCTATACACCATATACTATATGCCGAGAAAATACCGCTATACATAGCAGAAGAGGCCTACATGTATCTTGCTCTCAGGGTGGGTTTGCTGCTTAATATCGCATCTCTCTAGGTTCTAGGGATAGACCGTGGTGAAAATTGCAGGCTATCACAAACCATTCAACCTCCTACATGTGAAGATTTAGATCAGAAAGCGAGTCAAAATTTGATTTATTAGAAAAGTAAGTTCAGTAAAATCTAGCAAGTAGGTAGCAAAGAAGCAAGTATGAATTAAAAATTATAAAGAGCATGGCGCGCAGAAGCCTATAAATCTCAAGTCAGTATAAGAAATAACCAAAGCCCACAAGGACTATCGCGAACCAAATTAGTCGTTAACGCCAAGCCATAAGTAATAGAAAACCAATACGAAAGCGAGAAAAAACTGAGATATCGGATAGGCATCATTCGACTAGTTCTTCTTTCACTGTTGATCCCGAGCGGCGGCAGTCAGATTTAGGGGATGAGGGTGGTTTCATCAGTTGCCAGGGTCGAGCTCCATGTAAAGTCTCTCCAATGTTTGAATTCAAGATTGAAATGCAGGTTGATGGTGCCGGTGGTTCGAAACAGTGTTGTATGTTCAGTCCAACTGGAGGTGGCGCCGAAGTGCTCGGTGCACTGGGGAGGATATGTCCACTGGGGAGAGTGAGTGGGGTAAAGAGTGATTGAGTACCGGGTAAGGTGGGAGTTGGCAATGGAAATTTATGGCTACTATCCAAAATAGGTGGAAGTAGGACGTCATCTTCTAAAGTCGGCGGCAATGGTCTTCTCTTGACCTTTTTGCCGCGATGATCTCTTCCAGGGTATGGAGAAGCCGGGCGATGGCGTTTCCCTCTTGCTTGTCCCCAAAGAGTGTTGGTTACAGTGGGAAGAACAAAGTGGACACGTGCATCGGAGCCGAGTGGTCCCGTAGGACTTCTTGTCTCGGTGGCCTTTCTTGGAAAGTCGGGTGTATCTGTATCTGGTGAATTGGAAGGTGACGATGGCAGTGCTGGTAAGGACTGTGGAGGAACCCTAATGTGAGGGCTTTGAGGAAAGGCTCTCATCTCAGTCAAGAGCCAAGTCATGGACACATCCTCAAGTAGATCGGCAACGCGAGTGGGACTTCTGTAGTTGAGGAGATCCTCTGTGGCATAGCCCAAATGAGACTGGGTGAACCAACAGGCATATCCAAATTCTGTGCCAAAGTAATTTTGATGCTGTTGAGCGCGATTAGTGAAGAAACCGGGAGGTGCGTGGCAGACGATCTGGCTAGGCGGATGGCTCACTCCCATCAACTCCCCAGCTTGGCGATAGCTGGCGAGGCGTACAGAAAGATGGCCGATCCGTCCGATGATGAGATCACGATCCGCTGGGTAGTTGTTTCTGAGATCATGAATAATCCCTTCGAGGAGAGCCCAGAAGTTAGCACGCTCTGTCTCGAACTCCTCGGATGGGCTACGTCTCGACATGGTTATTCTGTGGATGGAAAGGTCTAGGGATATTGATAGATGATGATGTGCTGAGTGCAGTCGTGGGTCCAATTTGATGGGTGTAGTTGATCAATAATAAATGACAATTAACAAACCTCGATTGTCTATCTGATGAACGGCAATGAGAAAATTCTTAAGAGAATAAATTGAGCTGTTTTTAGTCTCGAGATTGATATATGTCTCTGGGGTCCAATCTAATGGTCGAAGTAAACAAGGGACTATATTTACTCACAAAGGGCACAATAAAGAAACTTGTCAATGGACAAAGAAGGTTATTGTTTTCATGGACTTTCTTTATTACTCGAACTAAGCAATAGAATCCGGCTGTTGGATAATACCAATAATGCAACAAAGAGTGTTACAAAGACTTTGACCATCAATGCAACTGATGATGTAGGGTTAATTTTGGACCCATAAAGTGAGTGAGCCGGTGATTTATCTATAAGGCCAGTGTGCTAAGGTAGTAAGGCTGGAATATTCAGCGAAAATGACAGTGTTACGGTGCCAAATTTCAGTACCGAGAGTCGAGATGCACTGCATCAGCCCCGTGAAGGCCAGGCCGAGCCTCGTCATAGTAAAACGAGCTACTTGAAACTGCATGGCTCATTATTATCCTGCTTAAAGTACTAACTTTGCGAGATAAATAGTGAACATCCCGACGCCTGACCCAGAAAAGCATGAATTTTGAAGCTTATGCATACATAGCTACTTTTATAGCGAAAGACCTTGCTTGACGGGCAGATGATACTAATTGAAACAGTCTGATCCATTAGCCTCGACTACCAGCGACGTGAGATCGTACAAAGAAGCCAAACTAGCGCCTACTCCACCTTATATATCAGATTGGCTGATCATAGCATGACTCCCACTAACCCGAGATAACAGACGCCCAAGTACTTCCTTAACCTCGATATTTATGTGGATCCTTGGAGTGATTCCATTTCCCCTCGCTTTCGGGTTAACAAAGGGTTGGAGTTTATAATACCATGCCATCGTCTAGACTGAGACAGGATCAAAATACTGGACTTACCCATGCTTATTCTAGAATTGTTCGGGCCGATTAAAGAAGGGATCTTTACATACTCGAGGAAACGCAGTCTATGGAGTTTAGTGCTAACAGTCCGGGAATATTATGCCAGTTGTATAAGACAGATTAGGCCCTAAAGTTGTCATGCATTGCATGGAGAGAGACATACTGGCTTTACAACTGCGGAGGATTTGAATTTCTTCGAGTTCTATGGCTAGCTCAGTTGACAAAAGAAGCCTTTACTATATGACATGAATATTTCAAGCTAACGCATAGAGGAAAGTTTGCTTGAGTTGCTAGCCATAAGCCTCGCTGGGAGCGAGTTACAATAATAAAAGAAAATAATGACGAGGGAACAAAGGGAACAAAGCGCGATGAAACAAAGTCCTTGATTGATCCTATTACGGCACATTTTCTTCTTTATGCTGCTTCCGCCTTCCCTCGCCAGGGACTTTCACTGTCAGAAAGCCCGATGATGTTTGTTACGAGGTGTTAACATGGCCAGCAACGCCCCAATGCTCTGCAGTGATGAATTGCTCGTACAAATTGTCAAAATTCCACACCGAGCCCCAGAAATCAGCCCATTCGACTATGTTGATCCAAGATTCACAAGCAGGACTATCTCGAACTGCATGCAAAAGCACATAGAAGGCATGGCGGCAGCGCACCGGCTCATCAATAGGATAGACATGCTGCGTCTCCATCAAATGCTGCCGCCATTCGCCGACGGAGTCTCCTGGCTTAATCCCGGGGTTATACTTGCAGCATTGCCACTTAGAAACCTTATTGACAACGCCCATGGTGGGCGTAGCGGAAGGCGATATTTCATATTTGCTCCGCAGGGAATCATAAACTTGCATGGAGGTTTTGGTCATTGTAATATGATCAGAGATATTGGAATCGATGGTGACAATCATGCTCATCAAGACTGTCGTTTCCTTTTCATCCCACTCCTACCACTCCGCTTGCAATTTCACCCGAGTGAGAATCGCAGTCGCAGATGGTCTATCAGTCAAGCCAGTTGTTGGGGACACGGAGAGAGCAGTCGCGGGATAGCCCATTTTATCAGTGAGATCGGAGAGGCCGAGTGGACGCGGCTCGATGCCGGTCATGATACCCCAGAGGGAAGGTTCATTTGCCCGCAAAGCTACCTGCACGGGTCGCTTCTACAGGTCTCAGGTCGAGTAGCATAGAGAATGGGGCCAATGTCCCGAAGTGTCGGTTCCGAGAAGGGACTGAGGGGATCAGCCATCGCGAGGGATGGAGAGGGCTTTGGTGAGAAGCACGAACTGGGAGTGAAACCAAGAGATCGAGTGAAGTAGGACAATGAGGATGGAAAGATAAAGATGAAAGGGTGATGATATGTCAATCGCAGTTACCATCTGGGAAATGAAGACTGCCTTAGAGGTAGGTTGGTGGAGAATGTCGAAGTGTGTAGATAGCTAAGCGTTGATGAAAGGGAAGAGCGACCTCTGCATAAATTATAATAGCAATATCCCTGAAGCATTCAGCTTCAGACCATAGGAGCTAGTCCAGAAAATCAATACAGCAAGAGTAGATTCCTCATTGCAGATCGAGGAGACAAGATGTTGACCTTCCCCGTTTCTGATTGTGAATGCGCCTTTCTCAGTCCAAACCGGTGGGCCCTTTGCCTCTATGTTACTCACTAGTGGGTTATAAAATCATTAGGCATTCGGGGCATCTGAATTCTTGTTCCTAATGCATACTCCTCGTAGTCGAGTGACGCAAAGGAAAGCAAATGAGTCAGTTCCAGCTCAATAGACGATGACTATATGGCGTGCGTCTTCACATGTTAGAAATGAATTCGAACTCAGCCTGCAGTCCGTAGGTGGTCAGTCTGTGTTATAGTCGCACTGAATCCCGAATCCAAAGAAAAATGGTATGAAAATCTCCTATTGGCGGGTGATGATTCGTATTTTTCGCGAGGTGGATCTGAGTGGTCGGCGATGAAGATCGGTCCCCGCGTTGTCCATGAGCCTGCTCTGCAGGTCCTCGAGGTCTGTCTGCCTGAAGGGTAAGGCACAAACTGGCAGTGCAAACAAGACAAAAGAAAGATGTACGTCCTCAAAGGTGCAAAGTAGTCTCCCCTTTCTTCCACGCTGGAGGGCTTTACCGGCCTCTTATTTAACCTGCAAAGTACAAGATCTGTGGAGCAGCAAAACTTCGACTATCGAGCCTAGACCTTATTACCTGACTCCTTCGCATGAACTTTTTCCCTTAACAAGATTCTCATTCCTACTCAAAGAGTGAAACTATAGCTGGCTGGCCATCAATAACACGAGGTTCCTGCCAATCATTCTCATCCCTGAAACCCTTCGATTTCGAGAACCTGTCACACCCTGCCAGTTCAAGCAGAGCTCCTCGGCCCAGAGGGTATTTAATACCTAGGCTTGTTCTTTGCGTCAAGTCTCGCCAGAAGCTGTGGTATACTAGTTAGTCATAATTCGAATGCCGGTTTAATTGTATAGTAACGTACCCAGGTGTTCAGATCGGCGTCGTTAGTCCTGAGATTCTCAAACTGCGCGTCCAAGTGCTCTTCATGGAAATGTCAGCAAGAAAACTTCCCTGTAATTTGATGGGATTTGATAACCTACCTGCAGTGACAAAGAGCGGCACAGGAACGAGAGGGTGTTGTTGCCAGCTCTCCAAGAATCCAGTCGCCTCAGGAGCATTGCCAATCTGGCTCAGATCGTACCGGATAGCTATACAAGATCAGTCCCGAGTAGTAGAGTAAGACACGGAGTCACCTACCTTGAGGTCCGTAGCCATTCGAAGCTAGATACTTCATAGATTCCTCAATGACATTGGCAAAAGTATCTTTATCCTCCTCATTGGGGCACCCATCGGTAATCGTCAAAATGAGAAGTGGTCGTCTCAACTCAAACCCGCGGTCAACAGGATCATAAAGGAACTCCTGGACGATCTTGGACTTCAGATTCGTTCCCAGTCTGGTCGATCCATCGGGGGTAAAGTTCATTTTGTCTGGGAGGTCACTGGGTCGGAGATTGTTGGCCTGGCCATCAGTCTTGTTAATAAAGCGAAGATGCACCCGGCCGTTGGGGGCGGCTTTGGTTATAAGATCGGCCATGCGTTGCACCATGATGGATTGCCTGTTCATCCGATCATCTGTCTTCATGGACCCGCTATCATCTATGGAAAATTGATGTTAGGCTGAGAATTCCTTGATTGGATTTGAAATTGCACCCACCGCAATAAAAGATTGGCTGGTAGAGAGCCTGCCGCGACATGATAGTGACGTTCTCGGGTGTCGCGCCTGGGACAGTGCCATCCCGAAGAATCTCGGCTGCCCTTTCTGCTACCTGAGGTATGTAATCATTGCCCTTGGGGAAGAAATCCTCCAGCCCATTGCCTGAGACATAGTTTCCAAGATTGTGCTCAAAGTCCTCTGCTGTGCGGGGGCTATCAACATCCTACTCGCGTGTCAGATGAACGGTCTATCAGGAGAATCGTCAAAGACCGATGGAAATGGAAATACCTTCTGGGGGTACTTAGAAAGAGCAGAAATCCGATCAATGGCATTTTTGCCCACATCGGACCAATTGCTGAAATATGCAAGAGCAAAGAGTCCCGAGCTGACAAGCCAATTCTCCAACTCAGGCTTCCAATCTGGTCGTTGGTCCTTGGGAGAGATAGCCTTGTGGATGGCAGAGTTAGTAGACTTATTTGCGAGGCTACGGGGTGTTTCCCCAATGCGATTGGGCTTCGTCAAAGACGCCCCCGCGTCGAGGAGTGCACTGATAGCCTCTGGACTGGTTCCTTGTCGGACTGCCGCGATCAGGGGGTATCCCCCGATAGCGCGACCGGCTCGTCAACTTTGGCTCCGTACTCCAGTAAAAGTTCGACGATACGTCCGCTGTTGGCAGGTGCTTGAGTGGCCAGGTAGAGGGGCGTCTTTCCATCCTCGGTCGTTCTGTTCGCGTCTGCTCCTCTTTGAAGGAGGAGCTTTACAGCTCCCACATGTCCGCCTCGGATGGCCAGGAATAGTGCGGTGTCGCCGTAATCATCCGTGTCGTCGATCAGCTGTGAGACGAGATGCTCATCCAAGCTGGACCGTGCAAGGGTTCCGTTCTTTGCATTGCTGTGCAGGTTGTCCATTATCAAAGCTGCGTTATCTGGAGGTTTTTGAGTGTTCGGATGTGCAAGCTCAGTGTTGATAATCTGGAGAGAAAGATGAATCAATGATTCCTCCGGTCTTCTTATAGCACGGGCGATGGATCAAACCTCGCCAGTGACATCCACTGAGCACATGTAATGCATTGACGTCAACGCGACATACTTTGATCAATCATATTGATCACCAGACTCTTGCGTTGACTCGGAAGGATCTGCATGATGGAGCGGATATGAGGAGCGAATGCGCGACCATGCTGTCGATAACAATGGCTTCCGTACGGGGTTCCAGTAGTTACTCATCATGGCGTGGTAGTGGCGGCCTGAAGTTGCAGAAATTGCAAACTCGACGAGGGCGCGATGTTTCACGACAGCTGCGCCATGGAATCCCTCGCTGGTTGTGATCGCTAGTTCCTGCACAGCTTACGCATCTGCAGTTCGTCGGCCATCAAACCCTGAAGCCTCTGATTGGCTGGTGGCTCTGGGGTTCGTGGAGAGAGGCGTTTGGGCGTTCTCATTGGCTATTGGGTGTGCTGAACTGCACGTCTGGCTCGAGTCCAAGATGCAGAATGTCCTCACAAATCTCTGCCGCTGCATGTCAAGCGGTAGCTTTGGATGCATACGCTTGCAGCTGGCAGTAAGCTGAAATTCGCTCACATAGTTGAAGAAAATCATTGTCTTCGCACAAGTAAGACTCCATAGATGTACTTGATTCGGAGCTGAATTGGGCTCACTGTCCCTGGTTCTTTCCCACCGATACAGCATTGGAGCGCAATCTACTTTGTTGTTCACTGCTATTGACAAGATGAATTACACATAAGCAAGATTATGTGAGCGATATGGTTTAAGAAAATGACTTTCGACGTGCAGCTAACTTCTCGCACAAGTGGAACATAGCAATCCCCCGGATACAGCAAAAATCAATCTCATGCAAACCCAAGTATTACCAACCCGATACAACAGATCCATCAGAGACGAGAAAGATTGGAGAATTCTCCCGGGGCATGATAGGTAGGAACCTTCATATCAAGCGCAGCGCCGGAATAACCCAGATCCTCCGCCACAAGCATGGCACACTTTTCGCCAATAAGAAGAGCGGTCTATACGTTGCATTAGCATCAGGGTCACCCCCACAAAGACAGAAAAACAGGCAATACTTACGCTGAACGTGTTACAGCCCACATTGTCAGGACAAATCGACAGATCACAAACCTTAAGGCCCTTCACGCCGTGAACATTCAGCCGCTCATCGACAACACCTCCGTGTGGAGCAATGGAGTTGCCTTCTCGTGGAGCCATGCTGCAGGTTCCAAGGCAGTGCCATGTTGTCTCGACGTGACGTTGAACTGCACGATGGTCGTTAGTGACAATACTATCAATGAGTGCGATATTGGACTCTTACTCCATTTCTCAATGTGCTTGATATCCTCATCACTGTACTCCAGGGGTGGACGAGTTTCGTGTCTGTTGGAGCTGAGAGTCGATGTCGAAGGCTGCTTGCCTGCCTCCAACGGCTGTGTCCAGGATCCTATGCCATGGTGTTAGTCCTTGTCAGCCGTGATGTGGGGCGTTTAAGTCCTACCGTGCTGGATGCCCGCAGAAATATGGTTGCGACCGGCGTATGCCTTCGTAGTTGCAAGATCCATGTCGCTTGCGCGAGCGGATGAGTTGAACGCGAATTGAGGGTGCATTGAGGTCACTTCGCCGGCGTACGCGCCCATGCGTCGAGCTGTCTCGCGGGATTTGATGTATCCCCACACCATGGGAGCCATGTCGCGCTTATCGTTCATGAAGCCTGCGTCAAAGTCGGGAACCTCATATGGATCGGCTGAGTTGATGTGGGTGAAGCCACGAGAGAAGGGGTATTCCTATTATTCATTTAGTAACGATGGGTATTGACTGACGAAAAGGGTGTCATACTAAGAAGTGGAACATGGTGAAGAACTTGCCGGGCGGCATATGCATGTGGTCGCCAAAGAAACTATCGATCAGTTAGCGATCTGATACATTCATTAAGAGGTGGATGGGAAACCGTGCTTACCCTGAGATGATCGAATAGTGCATAACAGGCTTATCGGGCTTGTTCTTGAAATACGACTCATATCCCTCAACAAAGTCTGGCGTCGGCCACTTCTTCATCTCTCCCAATTCCTCCGGTGTGGGACGAATCTTGACACCAGCATCGATGCCATTAGTCGCCAATGGACCAGTGCCCTTCTTGTCCCACTCTTGGAAAATCTTCTTTTGAATCTTCGGATCGCCACGTAGGAAGTCATCAAATGACTCGACCTCAGGCTTCGCACGATAGACCGAGAAGGTAAGATAGTGATCTTGGAAGTTTCGACCCACTCCAGGCAGATTGACAAGAGGCTTGACGCCCGCCCGGCGCAGCTTCTCAGGGTCACCGAAGCCCGACCGCTGGAGAATGAGTGGTGAGCTCATTGTGCCAGAGCTGATGATGATCTGCTTGCGGGCTTTGAAGATTCTGCGCACTGGCTCGCCGCCGTTGAGGGGCTTGGTGGGGACCGTGACGACTCCGACGGCACGGCCATTCTCAACGATCACCTTTTCGACTTTGGTGTTGCATTGGAGGTGGAGGTTGGTGTGTTTGGCTCGGGTGCTGTGGACGTAGGCGTGGGCGGCATCGCTTCGTCGTCCTGGTAGGATGACTGTTAGTCATTGCCAATGCAGATAGAGGGACTGTGGTATATACCTGTGTCGCGGTTGATCCATTTCAGCCAGTGTTCCGCGCCATGACTGATACATATTATTGTTAGCCAGGTGCAAAGAAGCCTTCCATTCGGAGCTCTTACCCAGTCTTCAAGTCCTGCAAATCATCTGTGAATGGGATTCCTTGGGACTCCGCAGCGCGAAGGAAGTCATCCTTGATTGGGTAGGTATAATTGCCGAAGGAGACTTTGATGGGACCGTCAGACCCATGCAGTTCAGGGTTGTTGCTAGCGCGCTGATATGTCTCATGCTTTCTCATCAATGGCAAAAGCTCTTTGGTTGTCCAGCCCTTTGCCTGGAAGTCATCGTAGTCCGAGGCCGAGGCTCTGGTATACATCTGTATTACGCGTCAGCAAGGAGGCCGAAGAGTGATCAACATGGAAGATACTTACCATGAAGTTGATTGAACTACCCCCTCCGAGAATATTGGCACATGGAACAATAGCCTGGCGTCCATCCAGATGCTCGGAAGGTCTGGAATGATAGAAGGACGCGGTCTTGGAGTCGAGTTTCATGTTATTAGGGTAGATACCAGGGCGATACACCCTAAATTGTAGTCAGAACCAAGTTCATAAGGCTGATCAGCATGGCTCTTACCATGGATTGTTTAGATTGTCTTCACCTGCCTCGATCAACAACACTGAGAGGTTGTGATCGAGATTGGCGAGACGACCAGCAGGAACACATCCTGAACTGCCGCCACCACAAATGATGATATCGACTTCCTCAGGAATAGTCATAGTTATTGATTGTGCAAGGCCAGAATTTGGAATATTTTCAATGAATTGCCCTGGTAAAAGACTAGAGACACGAGACAGGGTTTCCGGAACTCTTTATATAGCCTCGCCTTTCGGCCCACCGGCTATAGTATCAAAACAGCAATCCACAATATCTCCACGATATCCCCATTGAACCCCGTGTTTCAACCCCTCATGCGGAGACAGAGTTCAAGCCGTTGGGTGTACCATCGAAATATATCAATGATTCTGATGTATGGGGAGTACCTCCATCACCCATGTTCAGGCGACTTATGCGCTTTTCTCATTCACTCAATGTCTCTTATGGATTCGATGAGGCACAGAAGTAGAAATTTATTATCTAGCTATATATGAGCAATTCAGAGTCCCTGTATTCAATAATGGGAGTCATGATGTCAGATGCTGGACAAAAAGACGATACACATTCCTGATGGCTCTGATCAAGAATTCTGGGGAATTCCCCGCATTTGGCGCATAGCTATCACCATCTAGCTAGGCATCTGGCCTGGTCTACTGCAAGCTCTACGCAAGTCAGCTCCTGCCAAGCGTACTCGGTCGCTTGGATGCCGTCGGGGTTGATTATCAATGGTTAGACATCTGTAAGTCCTCGGAAGGAAGATGTAATGTCCTGAGGTCATCAATCAATCATTAGGAATGAATTTAAAGGCATTTTGTTCTATACATGTGATACTGGTGACCTGGTAGAATTGGACAACGGGCACAGAGGGTATGTCGAAGGTCTGAAGTCGCATTTTTGATCTCCAAATATAGCATCTGTATTTCCCCGCTTCAATGCAGACTATGAGCACGGTATGTATACAGCTAGACAACCCGTTCGAATCCTTCGAATCACAGCTGTGCCCAGGTGCTAGAATATCCATAAAAGCCGGCTTACGCCCTGATTCAGCGTAGTTCGGATAGAGCGGGGACCATGAATCAACCTGCCAACACTGTGGCGCTTTGCTAGCGCCTCAGTGCCCTGCGCTGAACCTCACTGCCCCCGCACTATCCAGGCTCTAGCTGAAGGCTTTGCGGGGTACAAGTATTGGCATGGGATACTCCGCCTGTTAACGCCAGTGGTGATGATCCTGAGTATTGTTGCTTCAAGCCTATTGGAGGAAAATATATCAATGGATCACGGAGAACGAAATCTGCATTCCATGGGACCTGTACATTAGATCCTCCTTGTAAGTCAGTGCATTTTGCTTATGTCGAGGTTCTCATAGAGCTATTCAAATATGTATCGGATGGCAAATATTTACCTTGGAGGCTCATTGAAACAATGGCGAATTTGAAAGGTGGTTAGCTGTTTTAGGTCGGACGGAAATGGGGTTTACGGGGAGGTTCGCGTGCTGAGATACCAGGCTCATAATTCCCTTCTAGTGTTTCAGTCTTTGGCTTGTTAATGCGACGGTTTTCTATCTACAGCTGGCGAATAATAGGAGCGGCATCAAAAGCATATGTGCTTTCGAAATAGAGCCATGTGAGCCGAGCACTGTGGCTGCCAATTACTATAAAATGTTGACGTGAAAGGAAATTATGCATCCTAGTACCAGAATCTAGTGATGTGTCCAAGCGAGTACTAAGAGTGGTCGTAATGTCTGTATCTACAGAGCGACCTTCATGGCGATTTTGGATGGAACCAATGTATTGATCAACCCACGTCAAATCATAAGGAATGGCTTCAACTAAATATCTAGGTTGACCCGCAGCTGAAGTTAAGACTCGATGATTTCCTGCAGCTCCCAGTTAGAGCCTTGATTTGCAGCTTTCAGGAGGTCTTCTCGATCAACACCTTGGTCCAAGAGCATCTGCACCGAAGCCTTTTTCCCTCCACCGGATACAATCTGGACCACATCAGAGTTGGCACCATGGTCTAACAGTGTTTGTACCAGCGTTTCGCTGGCTCCGCGTAGCAATGCTGCCTGAAGTGCATTACCATAAACTCCGCCTTCGGCATTGACATCGGCGCCACTGTCTAGCAGAGTCTGCACTAGAGGCTCGCCACCCCGGGCTGATGTGGCAGCTTGGAGCGAATTGCCGTAGAAGCCTCCCTGGGCGTTGACATCGGCACCTTTATCTAGCAGCATCTGCACGATACATGGATCTTCACTACGCACAGCAGCCTGGAGGGCATTTCCGTACTCCCCTCGCTGGGCGTTGACATCGGCCCCCTTATCTAGTAGCATCTGCACGATAGATGTATTATCTTCGGTGAGTGCAGCAGCCTGGAGGGCATTTCCGAAGTACCCTCCCTGGGCGTTGACATCGGCCCCCTTATCTAACAGCATCTGCACGATAGATGTATTATCTTTGGTGAATGCAGCAGCCTGGAGGGCATTTCCGAAGTCCCCTCCCTGGGCGTTGATATCGGCCCCCTTATCTAGTAGCATCTGCACGATAGATGTATTATCTTTGGTGAATGCAACAGCCTGGAGGGCATTTCCGAAGTCCCCTCCCTGGGCGTTAACATCGACACCTTTATCCAGCAGCATCTGCACGATAGATGTATTACCTTCGATGCTCGCAGCAGCCTGGAGGGCACTTCCGGATGGCCCTCCCTGGGCGTTGATATCGGCACCCTTATCTAGTAGCATCTGCATGATAGATGTATTATCTTTGTTCCTCGCAGCAGCCTGGAGCGCATCTCCGAAGAGCCCTCCCTGGGCGTTGACATCGGCACCTTTATCTAGCAGCATCTGCACGATAGATGTATTATCTTTGACGCGCGCAGCACTCTGGAGGGCATCTCCGAAGCGCCCTCCCTGGGCGTTGACATTGGCACCTTTATCTAGCAGCATCTGCACGAGACATGGATCTTCACTACGCACAGCAGCCCCGAGAGCATTTCCGAAGCGCCCTCCCTGGACATTGACATTAGCACCTTTATCTAGCAGCATCTGCACGATAGATGTATTATCTTTGATGCTCGCAGCGGCCTGGAGGGCAGTTCCGTACTCCCCTCCCTGGGCATTGACATCGGCACCTTTATCTAGCAGCATCTGCACGATAGATGTATTTTGTTTGAAGCGCACAACATCCTGGAGGGTAGTTCCGTACTCCCCTCCCTGGGCATTGACATCGGCACCTTTATCCAGCAGCATCTGCACGATAGATGTATTACCTTCGATGCTCGCAGCAGCCTGGAGGGCACTTCCGGATGGCCCTCCCTGGGCGTTGACATCGGCACCTTTATCTAGCAGCATCTGCACGATAGATGTATTATCTTCGATGCTCGCAGCAGCCTGGAGGGCACTTCCGGATGGCCCTCCCTGGGCGTTAACATCGGCACCTTTATCTAGCAGCATCTGCACGATAGATGTATTATCTTTGATCCTCGCAGCAGCCTGGAGGGCAGTTCCGTACTTCCCTCCCTGGACGTTGACATCGGCACCTTTATCTAGCAGCATCTGCACGATAGATGTATTATCTTTGATCCTCGCAGCAGCCTGGAGGGCAGTTCCGGACCGCCTTCGCCGGGCGTTGATTGCCTTTGACAAAGACGCGCCGTGATAGCTGCCTGTGAGTAACCGCCCGAGTATTGACTGTAGCCCCATCACTGTTGCGTAATATATAGGGGAGGCTAAATCCTGCTTCCTCACATTAAATACCATAAATCCTTCAAATGCTTGATCCGGATCATGTAACCTCACCCACGTCACCAGAGCATCGCTTTGATCTTCGAGAAGCCTTAAAACGAGTTCTTCCACAATCTGCTGTTCATCAGAACGTAAAAAGTGATGAGCCCAATTTTGCGCAGCGAATTGAGCAAGTGGAAATTTTTTGACTTTCGCTATATCAAGGTCCCCTGTGACAAGACTTGGTTCCAGCAAGTAGCAAAGGCAGATCCTGGCGGCTTCTGTGTGTGCCGGCCCACTTAGAATAGCGAATGCTTTGCATGTTTCTTTCAAGATACGATCCGATTGAAGGTACTCTTGAACAGAGAAATGTGCTATGCGTGCAATGGAGTTGGTTCTACCAGCAATATCTTTCCCGGTCGCGATTTCAACAAGACCAAGGCAGATGTCAATAAGGCCTTCTTGGTCGTATGAACGGCCATCACGGTCAAGACGCGGTGGATCGGTAAGATCAACAGCATGAGCATCAATCAGCTCTTCGACTGCCAGTGGTCGGGTGGAGACCGAAAGGATAGTCAAAATCCGCCGCACGTCTTCGACATAGTCTTCATCGATATTGCATAGGATGCGCGCGTACGTTTGATCCAAGTCACGGGGCAATGACTGGAGGCATTTATCAAGCTGGTTTCCAGTGTGCACTTTCCTGAGAGCATTGAACTGACACTCAACATATCGGAACCTAGAGAAACAGTTAGACAAAGAAGCATGTGCTCCGATGATTGCTCACTTACACTCCTTGCGCGTTCTGAGTCAACTTCTGTTGAATTTCTTTCCTACGGCGTTCCCACTTATGGCGTTTGGGGTCATTGTCGAGTTGGTAAGAGATGAAGTTTTCTATGTCTTCGTCAAGTTCGGGATTTCTCATCAAGAGATCTTCGTCACGAGAGGGCTCTAGAGATTGACGGATATGGAATTCATCACGACTGGTTATCAGGAGATGAACGCTTGGCAAGGCCCAATCCCGTATCGTCTGGATCGTGCTCAAAACACTTTCCCTCTTGCTGTCCCGTGGGCTTTCATCCAATGCATCGACTAAAATATAGCAATCACGCAGTTGACCAAGAAATTTGTAAAGTGAGTTGAGAAGCACGTTCACTGGGGGGCTACTGGACTTGTGCAGCTGGTATAGTTGCTCCAGATGCTGCTCGCCATCTTGGACTTGCGCTGACAGTTGCAATAGCAATGTGCGTAACATGCCACTATCATCTTGCTTCGCCTCATCGGTGAAGGAAAAGTAGAAATACCCGATTCCTACCCCCTGGCTATGCTTCATCCTCTTGAATGTATATTCGATTGCAGTTGAGCACAGGACAGACTTGCCACATCCAGCAAAGCCGTTCAGCCAAAGGAAGGAATTTTGTCCCACTAGCCAGTCAGCGAACCGAGGGCCATTGACGAGCCAGAGTCCAGTATCTGCACGACGTTTGGCAGAAGCAGCGTTATGATTGAGAGATGCGTCCGGTGCTGCCAGCCATGCGCGAACCATGAACGACACCTGGCTAGCGGTTGTGCGCTCGAGCAGGGACTTAAGATCCGATATACCATCTTGAATTTCATTCTGGCCCTTCAGCTGTAGGACATCGAGTGCAATCGACAAATCCTCGCGTATCTCGGCAATGGCTTCCTCAAGCTTTTCCAGAGTGCTTTTTCGAAATGGGTAAGCTGCACGACGACCGGCAATTTGAATTCGACCTTTGAGGTTGGCATTTGGATCTTTGACAAATTTCTGACAGTCAGTTTTGAGCTCCAAGATGATTTCCTCGCATCTCTGTATGGCCTCATCGACTTGTTTCTCGAGCTCCTCGGGGTGCGCGCGAGACAGGCGAGTCGTCAAGGCAGCCTTCAGGGATTGAAAGACTGTCTGAAGGGTCTCCAAATTCTTTGTAGTCCTCGCCAGATTGGCATCCTGATCCTTGTAGGCGGAGTAAAAGTCGATCAGACCTTGGGTGGTTTGAATGCCAAGGGAGATTATCCCCGCAGCCCCGGACAAAATCGAGAACGGGTCACCCATCGTGATTAAATACTGGGAATTTGGTCAGAATATTCTCTGTACGTGAGCTCGATATTGATCAAGTTTTCGTTATGAGATTGATGAAGTTCGATCCATCTCAACCAACCTTGGAAGCGGGGAAAGCTGATCGATTCCCAAGCCTCTAGAGCCGCCCACGTGTACAGGGCCGGATTGAACCAATAAGAATACAAGTTCTTAACGCTGGAGAGAAGCCACACCGAGTTGTACACCATATCACCTAGGGATCCAGGGATTCTTCGTCTTTCGGGCCTCCAGTAAGTGGTGTTGGCAGGATCTGCGAAGAGAGGCTCATCGTCTCGTCTTACACCGATGGAGCCGTGGTCAATTCCTTGGCCTTCTTTAGGCCCTAGATGTTTATACTTTGCGTGAATCTCTAGGTCCTAATGTTGTTCCGGCTGATTGCTTATCAATTGCTTGTCAATTGTACTCTTTTCCCCGCTGTAGAAATGTTGATCATGTACGTATCCGTTTGAGTGATATGTTCGGTGCTAGTTTATTGGAGGTTTAGGGCTTTCAGGCTGTAGGTGTTCGCACTAAAGACTATCTTATACATTAAGGCTATAGAAGTTGTAGAGTATGGGTGTGGATATTTTACTTACGCCATATTTTCTATAGACATTCCTAGGATTTTCAGATCTTAAACTTGGCTACGGAGTAGTCTGGGTGTCAGATATCAGATCTCTCCCTCCTTCCATAGCTCAGCTAGTCTTCTACTTCAATCAACCATCTTCATGATGCATCTCGACGTCTCTCTCAGTAGACTCTGACACTGGGATAACATCTGTAGGCCCTAGATCACCTGAAGTAATAATTGTTTCACAATCTCACAATTCCATATATAGTTGTCAAGTTCTCATCTCTTGCACGCCGAGTGTGGGGTGCGTATTAAACGATTGCCAGGCCACAGCAGCTGAAGCATCCTCTATTCGGCCAATATCAATTTACCCTTCCATAGATGCGGTGGGGGAGGGAGTGGCTCTTCTCCTAAACCCTGTCCACTTTGGTAGTGCGGCGGCGGGGGCTGTTCTATTGGGAACTGTGGCTCTGATGGATGCCTCGACGGTGACTGCAGCGATGGCGATGACGATGGCGAGTGCAAAACCAAGACCGTAAGCCAGTGCTTCGAGTACTATACCGTCACGACTAATGAAGTTGCCATCAACACCATCTCCTGTACATCCACTACTTGTATCCCCACCGCTGGCTGTAATACCACCGCTAGCACCGAGGCTATCACCTCGACCTCCGACCCTGAACCATATCCCACGTTCATCACCGTCCCCTCATCTACTATCAGTCTGGACCCTTACGGGGGCTGCGAGCCGTGCTAATTGGCGGCTATCTCCGTTGAACCCGTAGAGCCCACTTATGCTGGTATGCGGATGCGGAAGCGTGATGACCCACCAGCAGTCACAATCATAGAGGCGAAAATTGGGTGCTGCAACTTCAAGACGGAACTTACGCTAGAGTGGAATGGCGGACCTAAGTACCTCTCTTCGGCACTGGTAAGCAACTTGCGACAGAACCAGCAGGAAATGAAACGATAGTTCTCCAAGGCAACGGACGGGTGCGTCCCAATTGCCACGACAGTTCACAACAGCAAGCTAAAAGAGAACTGGGACGCGTTTAAGGCGTAGCAGGCCGCGGATCGCAAGAGCTATGGGGCGCTCCAAGCGACGTTGCAAAAGCCGACTATCGACCATGCGTAGGAGCGCAGCTGGTTCTTCGACTTCTAGATGGACTATATGCAGAAGAAGGGTTGGACTGGCGAGAAATTCAACAAGCAGATGAATCCAAATCCCTGCTCCACGCCAATTCTCCAGCAGTTGTTCAACAAGGTTGCCAACAATAAGGAGTGGGATTTCGTCGGTATGACGGGGGAAATTAACGACCAGTACAAGGGCCTCCTCGCCGATAGCAAAGAAGACTTCCTCAAGCAGGCACAGAACAACCGAGCGCCGGTGAAGGGCACACTTCCTTAGAAGACTATCAAGCCCAAAGTCCAGATGAGATTGACTTTCCTGGGCAAGATCGCGCTGGGTTGTCAGCTCAACACCATAGATGAGGTGACGAAGCCGTTAATCAATACGAGTAACAAGATCTACAAACGCTGCAGAAGACAGACAGCTACTCCAAGGAGAACAATGAGCTTGATGACACTGATTATGCCGCATCGTTTAAGATGTACAAAGAGAGGCGCCTCACGGATATGATGGAAACCACCGAGACTTAGGCGAGGCTGTACCTCACCCGCATTGAAGCGAACCTGGATACCGCGCCTGAGGGGACCCCATTGAGGGAATTGAGGCTCCAAGGGCATGCGAAAGGCTTTCTATGATCTGGGAGACAAATACCTGGGGGATAACAATTATTGCGCTAAGCGTATCACCCTGACCTGGGACTTGAACACAGTCAGCAAGCGTGGTGTGAAGCGCGACATCGACGACGCCTGCACCCTCCCTGGAGACGGTGGTGATGATGGCGGCGATGGCGGCGGAGATGGCGGTAGTGATGGAGGCAGCCCCGACCCTACGCACCGCGTCATCCTCGTGCTCGAACACGAGGCCGGCTCATTCAGCCCCAACCGTTGGGGTGTCTTTAACTCCGGCATGAAAGACGAGTAGAATCTTTGCAAGGACGAAGTCGGCGGTATACCGACCGACGATGACATTGTTGCTTAACCCGCCGTTCCCTGATGGAAAACTCGAGTTCCCCTGGCCAGTTTCGGATATGGATGACTGTTACTACCAAGGCACCTCAGGCTCTGCAGGCCAACTGCACTGTCCTGATCTAGACGATGCGGTGGCTTGTGAAGAGTATGACTGGGATGGGCTCCGAAGGAGTGTTTCTATCAGACTTTTGTAGCTACCTTCCGGCCAAAAGTGGTGTGTTATTGGCGATATGTATGAGACCCTTGTCTTGATGTGGATTTATATCCTTATATTGGGTCTTTTCTTTTGTGCTTCTGGACTGTCCCTTTCTGATCTATGCTTATATATTTGCCTTTTTTGTTGATGACCACTCTCATTCAAGCTATCGTCTTCCTTTGCGCATGAACTGGTCTAATAAATTATCTGCCAGTCTATATTGTGGAAGTCGCCCTTCATGCGAACGGAATAGGGACTGTATGTCAGTGCCTCATCGAGCACTCCTCTCTGTTATGGGCTTCCTTTTAGAATTATAATTATGTTGCAGTGTTGAAACATCAACCATGTGCTGTCTTGCCTACTATCGTTTCACCTGCCGAGCTACTATCGCTTTCTTTCATGGATACCTGAAACCATGGTTTGTGCCACCCACCACAAAGTCTTTCGCTTAGACTCGTTGTGTATTGTTCACCTCTACTACCATACAATGCCTCGGCCTACAAGTAGCTGCAGCGGGCATCGATATATATCAGCAAGATCTTAGGTTACAAATTTATTAAAATGGTCAAATTGGAGTTATATATATTCCGATACAGCCATCGTTTGGTGCGACATAATGCGTTGAGCTCATACTCGTAGTCCAAGCGAGCGACAACAAGTAGGACCAGCTCATATGGGAGAACTAATGGAACTGGAGACACAAAGTCTTCTACCCTTTTGGGTGACATGCTCTAGTTGCCGCTATATGTACAAGTTTACGCCAGTTGCCCAGGCAATGTAGAACACTCAAAGTCTGATCATCCCCCCACTCCTAACATCAACCCTTATTGAATCCCCCTGGCCATATATCATCCCATTTCCACTTCCCCCATTTACCGGGACAATATGCTCCTGGCTATCGGAGCTCCCCACAATTCTCCCCTCAGATCCATCGTCGGGGCGATACTCATCAACTGTCGTTGTAACCTCCAAGGACTTGAGGATCCCCTCGCCCTTTCTCCAGGTGTGCCGATTGTTCTTGCTGGGGTAATTCGCCGATGCGGACCCACCGCTTGCACCAATATCCTGCAGCTCGTACCGGCGCGAGGACCCGTATTGCTCCTGGCTGCTGAAGATAGACTTTATCTTGAAGAGCTGCCGGATTGAGCCGAGCGAGCCCGCGAGAAGCCCAAAGTTGAATTCGATTTCCATCCAGATTAGCGACATTGCTGCTGAGTCTTATTTCATTGAAAAAAAGTTTTTTTGTCAGCCTAGGTATACGAACAGGTGGTGGTAGCGAGGGAAATAGGAGGGAAAGGAGGACGGGGGGAATATACAAGTCATATCGGTCGCATCCTTGGTATACACCAGGGTTGTGAAGCGCACCAGCGCGGCAGCACAGGCGATGAAGCCAAAACTAAACAAGAAAAATATCAGAAGCCGCTTCTTCAAGGCCATGTGCAGGCGCCAGATTGCCGGCATGGGGAGCACAATGATGACAACGTCGCAGATGAACATGAGCACGCCTTGATACATTGTGATTGCGAAGAGTGTATCGTTCGTGAAGCATTCCGCTGTGAGGATTGTCTTGTCCCAGAAGGCGTGTACGGGCTTGCACTGAAAGGCCAGTAAAAGTTCGCCGGAGAGCGTGAAGGCGACTATGAAGGCGATGATGCCGTAGCCTATGCGCTGGACGTAGCGCTGGGGGAAGACGCGCATTATGAAAGCTATGAGGCTGAGCTTTACGGCTGCCGCTACGACGAGGTAGCTGCAGAGGGCGGCATAGTATATCTGTGATGTTAGCGGTCATTGATTAGCGGGGAATTTTGAGGACAAGAGGGAGACAGGTACCTTGAGCCATACGACCAGGTCTCCCCTTGCTATAACGTTGCGTTGGTGGTCGCCCAGGCCATAGTAGGTGATTGTGTATGCGAGGGCAGAGAAGCCGTTGACCAGGATCTGTATTGTCAGAGCTTTGTGCGCAGGGTGGTCTGAGGAGGTAGATATACCAAAGAGAGAATCACGAGGTAGTCATCAAGGCCAAATGACTTCACCACAAACCGTCGGATATATAACTGCACCTTTCAGCAAAATTCCTTCCCTACAAGAGATAGATCCACTGACCCGAATACAACAGACCGTTGTGCACAAGATAGCCACACAGAGGGTGATACCGCGAACGGCATCAACCATGGGAGTTGCGCCCATAGCATGTAGGTGTTCAACTACAGTTCTACCTTGGCGGAAGTGAACGAGTGAAAAATAATGGAAGACGAGAAGCGCATTGAGTTTCCGTGACAGTCCTAGGGCTCAGGTAAGTGCGCCGTTCATTCTTATTGACTCCTGGCGGCCCCCAACTTCAGATGACATGCCTCAATACTCCGTACGGAGTACAGAAGGAAGCACGACCGGGGGGAAGCGGGCTACTGCCGCACTATCGCCCGGAGTGGATCTAACGGGCCGTCTCGTGGCCCAGTAACCTGCCACTGCGTTCCGAACAGCGCAAAATGGCCCCCGGGGAAGTAATTTAACTTCAGCCGTTGACTCGTTAGGAAAAGCACCATGCCACTTCGGCAATGTCAGGGGTTTAGCGCGTTCTTCAGCGGATTTCACGCTGAGGGGCACTTAAGAAGCCTCGGATGGCCACATTTGCGTCTCCTACTGATTTTGATGCAAACAAGTTCAGTTGATTTGTTCGCGATCTGAAGCGCATCGTAAATCGTGCCACAATGTCCCACCTCAGCAATGTCCCGTCCCTTCTGGACTTCCTGCCGGTGGCACCCTCGATCCGGGCCGAGGCCGAGGCTCTCCTGACGAACTTTACTGCGCTGCCCGAGGATGACAAAAGCTCAGCTCGGGCCGCCCTCCTTGCGGCGATCTTTCCTCTCGTGTTTGGGGATAATGCCCTGGTCGAGGGATCTCCTACCTACGAAGAGAGCCGGTCACAAGCTTGGTAATCCTACTACACCTCTTCTCACTTCAATTTACTCGAGCAAAGAAAGGCTAATATGGTGTAGGTCCACCAACTGCTGGCTTTCCCCCAAAGTAATTGTCACTCCATCAAATGCCGCCGAAGTCTCGCAGATCTTAGCTCTTATCCGTTTTGTCGGCGCAACCTTTTCCATCCGCAGCGGTGGCCATCTTCAGAACCCCGGTTTCACAAGCAATGACGGTGGTGTAGTGATCTCCCTCAACAGGTTCACGCAGCTGGATCTGTCGGACGACAAGAAGACCGTCAAGGTCGGGCCCGGTCACCGCTGGCTGGATGTCTATAAGGGATTAGATGTGCATGGGGTCACCGTTGCCGGCGGCCGGGTTCCACATGTCGGTGTCCCGGGCCTCTTGCTTGGCGGTGGACTTTCATTTCAGAATAGTGAGCATGCGCTGGGATGTATGAATATTGTTGACTACGAGGTACGCTCATGGTGACAGTCGTTGATAATATGCCAGTTGACTGATGTGCTATACAGGTCGTCCTTGCAGACTCATCAATAGTCCATGCCAACGCAACCGAGAACAAGGACCTCTTCTGGGCCCTCAAGGGCGGCGGCACTAACTACGGTACCTTCTTTTCCTGCCACATCATTGCCTAATATGTATATCCATCTAACGATCAACTAGGAATTGTCACCACACTGACCATGAACACCCTCCCCAACAACATCTGGGCTGAGGCTCGCGTGTATCCAGCGACCGCAAGCACGCAGCTCCACGAAGCCTTGATGGTCTACCACGAGCTCATCGAGACCGACAACAAAGCAACCCTAATCTGGCACACAATCAACCAGACCACACTGGTAATCTTCTTCTACTGCGCGCCCATTGAGAAGCCCGACGTGTTCGCCCCGTTCTATGACATCCCCTTCCTCATGAACATTGTCCCGCCTGCAAAGCGCACAGTCTTTGAGATGGTGGAAGCTGTTAGTAATGTCCTTTCTGCGGAGCAGTTGAAGTATGTCTTCCCTTCCGTCTTTCCTCTGCTGTTTTCTTGCTGTTTTTGCCATAGTGAATAAAATGACCTGACGCAGAAATAGCCACGACATGCGCACAACCACCACTCTCCCGTCACTCACCGTCTACGAAGCCGCCGAAAAGGCGCGTCTGGAAGAAATGGCCGCGCTCTCCGACCTCGAGCGAGCAGATCTAACGATGGTCATCCAGCCCATGTCCTCGCTCGCCATCAAGGTCGGCGAAGAAAAGGGCGGAAATCCACTAGGCCTCAAGAGCGTAGGCCACCAGTGGTTCCTCGTCATGGCGGACTACTTGAACATCGCAGACGAGGAGCGCGTGCGTGCATCCGTCAAGAAGATCGTCGATGTTGTCGAGGAGACGGCAAAGAAGGAGAACGCGTGGTTGCCGTTCAAATACTCGAACTATTCGTCCCGCGATCAGGATCCGCTGGCGAGTTATGGGGAGGAGAATTTGGCGGCGTTGCGTGAGATAGCGGCTAAGTATGACCCGGAGGAAGTCTTCCAGGTGCTGCAGAATGGGGGGTGGTTGCTTTCACGGGCGGGAAAGAACTAGATCCTAGTAGGTGAGGGTGCCATTATTCGCTATTGAATGTGGGAATTGGATATAGATGTCTCAAAGGAGTGCTATAATGATGTATCTTACTATATAGTCTTGACAGCCATATGCATAAACAAGGAGGTCTACTTTAGCCTCTCGATATGCTTACATTTCCCCAATATATTGGTCAGCCTAATCAAGCTTGAGTATGCATTAGACCATCTAAAGGTAGATCGCGTCCCGGTACTTCTAAACGATCAGGGTGTCCGTGCCCCGCCAGTTCTGACCTAAGGTTATTAACATATTCCAAGTATAGAACCCGCACTATTGAACTGCGCTGAAGCTCCCATTATATCGTTCGAGTGGCTTTGCGGATTAAGGCAATTTGCGGCGACTCTGAAGCCCTCGATTGTTGCGAGCGCTTGGACAACTTACCACTTGAAGCATACAGTGGGTTGGAGTACACTACCTTGAGCCCATTCCAGCCTTGGAATGATGCTATCCCGTTTGGCCTGTTAACCCTCTTTTGAGACCTCCGATCGCCTCCCTTGTAGATGATGTGTTCAGTACACGTGAAGACGTCACTTTTTTCCGACAGTTGCCACTTTTTTGTGGGGAAGAGTTAAGGTTATTCAGACGCGTCTCCAGCTTTGCCATTCGCTCGCTATCTCCGGTTGTTCCTCTCAATACCTTTGCTGGACTTGCACATTCCAGACCTCTCATTGGCCCCCTTCCCGGTGGCAAGCATGTGAAGACGCGACTATTTCGCGACGGTGCTCTTTGTAGTTTTCTCGTTTTTGGCGGGTCCAGGGCCATTCAAGGTTTCCGGTACGCGTCCTTCACATATGAGGTCGCTCCCTCTAGTTGGTTCTCTTAGAGAGCTCTGATGAACTTCCATCGTTCGCTTATTTCGTGACTTGTAGGCCCAGGAATGTGAATACGCGACCATCTGTTGACAGTTCATACCTTGTTCGCAGGGACTAGGGGATTTCGGCGTTTTTGAGACGTGTCTTTCACATCTTGAGAAGCTGTGCGGTAATAACTTTTCGTATGTGACATCACGCTATTTATGTTCATTCGTAGGAAGAGGGAGGAAAAGGTACAGTATCAAGGAAGTTTATTCGTACATATGATATGTAAACGTCCGTTCGCGGGTACGAGGAAGTACTCCGTACTTTGTGCGCGGTTACCACAGCTCTTACTGTCGATCACTCCTTTAAAGTAATTGCGTTAAGTAATCTTTATGCAGCGAGGAACATAAATCAACTAGATCCATGTAATCACTGGGAAGGGTGATCTACCAGGTGGCAAATCTCCGACGCCGGCTGGTCGGCAGAGTATCCGCCGAGGCCCGCCATCCGGTTTCCTTACGCAGGGTAGTGGTTTGAAGAATGCCAATAGGTAGGTGACATGCGTACAAGGGATAGCTCCGGGGTAGAAATGAGGATTGTAGTCCGTATGTTGTATAGACTCGCTCCGATGGTCGCTCTTCATGCCCAGCTCAAATGGTTTGGACGGACGGCCGCTCACCGTGTTCTGTATTTCCTTTTCTCATACGGAGTACACACAGCGGCAGAGCCCGAGGTCCCCCTTTACCCGGGACAGATATCATCTCGGATTGCCTCTTTGGGACATTTTGGAACCCGGCAGTGAGCTCAGGAACTAGACTCGTCACTAATAATAACGGCCCCAATGAATCCTTCTCTGCGGAGTACTCCGTACTGCCCTGTCGACTTGTGACAGCCCCGAGTGTGGAGGAGATTTTCACCCGGTGATCCATACTAAGAAAAGATCGTTGTTTGCCTTCGGGAAGATAGACCGGCGCCACCAGACATTAGCCCCTGCACTAGCTCCACCCAATATCTGCCAACCAGCTCTGAAGCCTGAGATGGATCTAGGCCGCTGTCAGAAACAAGGATTGTGGGGGCCCCGGCTCATTGACCGCGCTCTACTCCATACTCCGAGGTCCGTATTTCATGGATCGTTACGGAGTACTCCGTACAGACCGCCCTGTCAACCGACATTCGCGAGTCATTCCCCGAGCCTGCACGTCTAAAGGTACTTTTTCTCTAGGGTTAGCTGTGGTGTCTTCAATACTCACACCCCCTATTCGTATATGCATCCACGCAGATCGAAAGAATCACAATAGACACAATCCATTTGTTCCCGTGTGCCGTCCGAGTATGGTTCTGAGCCTAAGCACCTTAGACAGGTAAATACTGAAGATCTCTGCCCTAAAACAGCCCTCATCGCCAACGGTCCCCCTTGGCTTTGGAAATAAGGGTATATATGGAATAAGTCACCCGAATTGCCACATTCCGCATCCTCAAATCCGTGGACTTGTGGCATTTCTCTCCTTCATTTTCATCCATCACAAGACCACCAGAATGCCCAGCACCATTGCTACGGGTGACTTTGGCCCAGCGCCGCCTGGCATGAATCTGTCCAAAAATCAGACTGGCAGTTTGCTGGGATCGGTGATTCCTGTGGCGGTCCTCGGGACCATTGCAGTTATACTCCGGTTGGTTGCGCGAATGAAGACGAAAGAGATCGGAAAGCTAGCTATGGACGACTACCTAATCATTGCAGCTCTTTTATTCTCATGGGGCACAGCCATAGCGTGTTTCATAAGTGAGTCGCGAGCGAGTCGCGACATGTTCAATGCATGGACATAACACTGACACCCGGCTCCTCCAGGTATTCCATATGGAAACGGCTACCATTTACAATCGTTGACTAAGGGCGAGTTTATTATTGTTTGGAAGGTAACGGAAATACCGGGACGGGTTGTCTGGGTCAACACTGACAATACAATCAGATCCTGTTTGCATATGTCATGATTTATGCTACAGCCGTCACTTGCACCAAATCCTCCATCGTCCTCTTCTACAGCCGTATCTTCAACTTTCAGTGGTCCATCAGCATCTGCGTCTCCATGTTCCTGGTCATCGGATACTGGATCACCATTATCGTCACAGTTGCCGTGGCCTGTCGTCCACTGCCGTATTTCTGGCTAGTTTATACAGATCCAACAGCCACCGGTGTATGCATTGATGTGCCCACATTCTTTTTCGGAAACGGCATCGGTGCCATGTTGATCGATGTGATAATCCTGTGTATGCCAATCCCAGTCATCTACAAGTTGCAGATGCCATTGTCACAGAAGGTGGCGGTGGTGTGCATTTTGCTATTGGGAAGTTTGTATGTTTTACTCCCCTCTCGGATCGATCATGGCTAATTGCCCTCAGCGTTTGCGTGGCGAGTATCTGCCGGATCATCGCGCTTCAAGACAATACCCAGGGAACAGACGCTTCATGGACCATGGCACCTGTGTTTATCTGGTCGTCGGTGGAACCTTTCGTTGGGATTATCTGCGCGTGCCTCCCTACATTTGGGCCATTCTTTCGTCGGTGGTGGGCGAAAGTTCGGATGGGAATCTCCTCGGGTTCGGGTGGCCAAGCCAATTCAAGCTCCGGTCACGGCACGAATTCACGCAATGATCGTTCACCTGCTGCTGCCGCCTGGCCTCGCAAACCCCGAGCGAGAAGACCAGTGGATGCCTCATTATTCAGTATCAATGACTTCGGCTGTGTGGATGAAGTTCAACTAATGAACGACATCAGTGCTCCTCGATCAGTAAGGGAAGAGGCAGTGAGTGACGACCCTGATGTGGAACGAGGTGACTCTCTGGGTGCTATCACCGTCAAGCAAGATGTAGATGTCACGTGGGGCAAGCCTGCCAAGGGCAGGGACTACTGATGTGGTCTTCAGCTATCACAAAGGCTTTCAGGAGATGAATACTCTACTGGGCTTTTGTTTCTTGCAGGTGTCTCACAGATTACATTTATAGATATAATTTCTTTTGTGTATAATATAGAGCAAAAATATGTCCTCGCGACATGGGGCGTCAATTTGGAATAGAGATGATCGCGTATCGATTTTATGGAAAGAAACAAATACAGAAGCACCCCTTAGGTTGCATGCATTTTATTGTACGGAGTACGGAGTACGACGTAGTAAAATGGGGCAATGAACCTATTGGTGGCCGTCACTTCGCCTGGTCTGACCTGGATGCACGGCGGGTCACTGTGATGGAGACGGGGAGACGGGGCATCGGGCCCTCTTTTCAACGATCCGGAGCATTCAACGCCTCGGATCTCATCGATGTGCATATGATGAGTCTCATGCATTGACTGGACATGAGGGGTCAATTGTTGGATTGAGATAACAAGGTCAACTCGCAACCGAGAATGTGAGGCTTCGTATTATTGCTGATCCCTTTGTTTTGACAATTTGGAATTACAAACGGTCACATTCCTTCCGAGGAGGCTTGACTGTTGCTTTCTTATTTTCGACGGTAAAAGCCCCCTGGCCAACACTAGTGGAGCATCGTTAGCTTTGGGCTGATTTTAGCGGTTTCAGTAGCGACTAGGTACGTTGGGGGCGGGTTATTGTTCCACAGTCTACTCCGTACTCCGTCCTCCCTACGGAGTACGTGGCTGTAAGAAGCATCGTACATCCCAGGGGATGGATAGATCTAAGCCTCTTAATCCAATGCGCTGCGTATACGACATCTCTTATCGTTGTTTGGATTCCATTTACATTACGCAAGATGAGTTCCGATGAGGCTTGCGCCCAAGTTCTTGGCTATTCCGTGCGTGCGTTTGGGGTTTCACTTCGCCCCAAGACCCTGGCTTGATCAACGGGACTCCATTTGCCGTTGTGACTAGCATGGTTTACAATTATGCAGAACGTCGCTATGCCGTGATACTCGAGTCGCTCCCGCGTTCCCCGCCCCGTATCAGTGCGGAGATGACTTGCCCAAGAGAGTTTGTGGCCACCTTCTTTTCGACTATCGGACGCTATTGATGACGGTGATCTCTTTCCCAGCCAACAGGAGTATATTCTCGTCGCAAGAAGGGCCACTATCACTTGGCTGCGATCATCCCCCGTTTTGCGGACGCCGCAGGTTCGCCTTTTTATGCCCCGCATTATCGCCGTCTGAGACATACATACACGTGGGCTAAGCTAGTCTTCTGCTGTGTGCAGAGGTCGCATGTTACGCAGAACTGCTGAGCTTAATGAGCACGAACAGTGTTACAACCCAGTGCTGGTCTCAGCCGATTGCATTCCCCAAAAGGAATATGGAACAAAAGGCAAACGATCCACGCCAAATGGATGCCATTTTACCTTTCAAGAATTGGGGTTAGAGTTCTCCATGCTCCGTACGGAGTACGAATAGCCCCTTCCGAGCCCTGGGATCTGCAACGGCTAAAAATTGCCGGTCTTGCCTAGAGGGCACTCAGGAAGTGGAGAAACTGACTTTGCTTCTACGCGGTGGTCTGAGAATAACCGTCTCCGCGGCACGGAGCTATCCCAGTATTATAAGAAGGCTTCAATCCCGATGGACAACCCGAGGCTCAAACTTTCTGACAAACTCCCCTCACTATGTACAAGTGGTTTACTACACCGGCGACAAGCGGTTCGAATGGCACAAATGGCACAAATGGAACTAATGGGTCGCACAACGGCTCTGCCCATCTCCCAACGCCTGCTACCCGTGTTGCGAACGGCGAAACCCCTCCCAACTGGATCCCCTGTGCCGACCAACCTGTCTATGAGCGACGAAAGCTTAAGATAATTTGTATTGGCGCAGGATACTCGGGTTTGACCCTGGCGCATAAGATCGAGCATGAGCTCAAGCTTGGCGATTTTGTGGAATTGAAGATCTACGAGAAGAATCCTAAGGTCGGCGGAACGTGGTTTGAGAACACCTATCCTGGCGTCGCCTGGTGAGTAGTCTTATGTATCTGTCTGGCGTAGACAAGTGACATCATTTGCTGACTTTCCTATCAGTGATATTCCTGCCCGTACGGTCCTTCCATCTCTCTTTGAAAAACGTGAATTGACATGCACTTAGACTCTTATACATTTTTATTCGAACCCAACCCAAACTGGTCTCACTTCTACGCCCCCGGTCCCGAGATTGAGGAGTATATCCAAAAAACGACGAGGAAATGGAATCTCGACAAGGACGTTCAGTTTAACACGAAGGTTGCTGGGACTACGTGGGATGAGGAATTGGGAAGGTGGAAGGTGGAGGTGGTAGATCAAGAAGGCACCATCACTCATGATGAGGCTGACATTCTGGTCAATGCAGCCGGTTTCCTGAAGTGAGATTACCGAAGATAAATTATCCCCAACATTCTCTTTTACTAACGGTCGTTCGTTCACTAGCAAGATCAGCTGGCCTGCGATTGATGGCCTGTCGAGTTTCAAAGGCAAATTGCTTCACACTGCGGCTTGGTGAGCCAGTGCCATTATCTACAAACTCTCCGCCATGATTGTTAATGGGGATAACTTAGGGATAACGACTATGACTGGTCGAACAAACGCGTTGCAGTGATTGGCAATGGCTCCTCGGGAATTCAATGTGTGGCTGCAATGCAGCCGAAAGTCACCAAACTTGTTAACTTTGTGCGTAACCCAACCTGGGTTTCCGTCAACTTCTGTGCGGAAAAGACACAAGACGGTAAGAATTTTGCCTACACAGAAGAACAGAAAGCGCAGTTCGCGAATGATCCCAAGGCTCATTTCAGCTACCGCAGAGAGCTAGAGGCCAGGCAAGTTCACACACCCTCTCCCCTACTAACAGCTCGCTGAAACTAACTCAACTGCGAGTAAAGTGTCAATGCCTTCTTCTACGGCATGTATCGAGACCATCCGATGCAACGGGGCTTGACGCAGGCCTGTGAGCAGCAGATGCAGGAGCGAATGAAGGATATCCCTGACCCAGAGCTTGTATCGAAATTGCTCTCTCACGACTTCCAGCCAGGCTGTCGTCGTTTGACACCCGGGGATGGGTATCTGGAGGCGTTTGCTGAACCCAATGCCACTCTTACTTTCGATCCCATTGAGCGTATCACAGAACAGGGCATCAAAACAATCACGGGCGACGAGCAAGAATTTGATCTGATCGTCTGCGCCACAGGGTTCGACACGTCCTTTATTCCATCGTGGAAAATGGTCGGTCGCCACGGGACCACACTGGAAGAGCGATGGAAGGTTAACCCTGAGGCTTTCTTTGCGGTCCAAGTGGAGGGAATGCCGAACTACTTTGTCTTCAACGGGCCTAATTGCCCTATCTCCCACGGCTCGCTTCTGACACAGGTCTCTTGGACTTGCGATTACATTCTTCGCTGGGCCAAGAAGATCGCTGGAGAAGATATCAAGTAAATCATTACAGTCCTCACTAGTCCTTTCAACATTTAACTAATCCGTCTGAAACAGATCAATCGATGTCAAGAAAGAAGCGATGGATGACTACAATGTTTACTGCCAAGAATTCCTCAAGCGCATGGTCTGGTCAGACAAATGCCGAAGCTGGTACAAGAATGGAAAACGCGAAGGTCACGTCACCGGTGTGTATCCCGGCTCGGTTCTGCACTTCAAGGAATGTCTTGAAAACATCGGTGGGGAGCACTTCAATATTGACTACCGCTCGAAGAACCGTTTCCGATTCCTGGGTAACGGCGAAAGCGCTCATGATCAGCATGGTGCAGGTGATTTGGCGTGGTACATGGATGATATGGAAGCTTCGATCGCGCCAATTTAGGTGGGCTGCTCATCTTCTCCTATGGGCGGAATAATTTGTTTATATTTTACTGTTTTCTTCTTTCTGAGTTTGGCTAGGCAAATATAATATCTCGAACATTATTCACTGATGACCTGTAACCAAGGAAGAGCCATATCATCAGAGGCATCATAACCGGTATGGATCTCGTTGATCGCCAGAAGTAATCCGCGTGGTCGCTATTGGCATGCACGGGTGCGGAACTTTGGCTAACATATCGGCAATATCACCTGGCTGATGCTCTGTTCTTGGCCGTATATATCCTTCGCAACTATCTGTCCCGAAAATGGCGTTGGCTTAACCTCGAGTTCTGGATTTATCTTTTGTCTCCCCTCAGAGCCTCAAAAGGCACTTGCATTACCATCTACAAGCTGTACTTACATGGACAAGGCTGCTGCAGTGTAGAGGCTAAATGGTCCACTCCAATACTACCTAGCTCAAATCCCTCACAAGAGACATATCCCTTGAAAATGACGGTGTCATTCAGTCTGATAAGACAGAGCTCTTGTATTGTCTAGAAGTCCACATATCTAACTTAGCATCACTGATCTCGCTATCCTGTTCCCTACAGCAATAATAATGAAATCAACTAGCAACAATACAAGCAGGGCAAAGCCCAGCGAATACTTAGCTTACATGCAGTCTGAAATCCCCGAACAGCAAAATACAAATCCTTGAGTGGTTATAGAGAAGAAATACATCACTACCTAGTACATATCCACAGAACCTCAAATCTGCGCACTGGGCTTCAACAGCGAAGCGCCCCCATTCCAAATCCCAGACTTACCAGGAGAAAGCACTCCATTCGGATCGAGCACATCCTTCAGAAGTGTAGTAAACTTGTTAAACGCAAAGTCATTGAAGTCCAGCTTGCCCGCAATCTGGTCCATATAACGCACATGAGTACGGTACTCCATATACCCAAGCTTCGCACCATCATGCAGGAGGTTCTTGCAAAGCTCGTTGACACGAGCCTCCTCCCGAATCGTATAGATAATCAACTCAATACCGACCACGTAGCGGGGGTAGACATGGAAATCAGCGAAGAAGTCGAACTTGGCATCGATCGTACGCTGCTTGGCGGTGAGGTACCACTCGTACAGCTCGCGTCCGGAGGGGGGATGATGGGTGAGAAATCGACGTGTGCGCCGCCCTTCTCGGATCGGCTGTCGATGATGCCCAGCGGGGCGAGAGTGGGGATGCCACTGTGTGGGATTTCCTCTTCTTTGATTTCGGCGGTGGTGATGCTGCGGCCTGGGACGCCGGGGAACTCGCGCCATTCGACCTTCGCGCCTGGGATGCTGGAGAAGGCGCGCTGGACGGTTTTGAGGAGCGCCGGGAGCATCTCCACTGAGCCGTAGAGGGAGAAGTAGGCTCGCCAGAATCCCCAGTCTTGTTCGGCGCGGATCTTCTCGAGGATGTTGTAGGGGACGTAGGAGTTGGGTTTCATGTATTCGGCGAGGACGGCGTGTACTTCGGGGACTTTGGAGGTGAGCGCGATGCGGAAGATGTTGGCGATGGAGGGGGAGTTGAGGATGATGGAGCGGCGCATGAGGTCTGAGAGGGCGCCGATGAGGGGGACGAGGTCTGCTTCTTTGGGGACGCTGACTTCGACGGTGGCGTAGGCTTCCGGGGCGGGAGTGATGTGCATGCCGATTTTGGTGACGATACCTGGTTTTGTTAGTGATTGGATTGGGTGATATGGCAGGGGATTTCAATCTTACCCAGGTTGGATTGGTAGAATAGACCGTCAAGGGTAGGTCCAAAGCCTCTGTTAGATGGTCAGTCAAGGTCCCATGTGAAAAGGAATATTCGCGACTCTGAGAGTAGTGAACCTACCCCTTGTATAGCGCCCAAGTCTTGTTATCCTTCATAGCTCCCATACCAGTGCGAAGTACTTCGCCATTGGGAAGAACAACTTCCATGCCGCACTGAGACTGCGAGTGCTCTCCGTTGGGTGTGTATCCAAATCCGCGGTCCATGGTATTTCCCAACACAGATCCCCATCCGATGGCCGGCACCGATGGCCAGAGGTTCAGGCCGCGGCGTTGGATTTCCTCATAGAGGTCGAAGAAGGACACACCGGGCTCGACTATTGCGTATCCGTATTCCTCATTGACCTCGACAATCTTGTTCATTCGGTGCAGGTCAAGAACCACGCATCCTTTGACGACGGAGCTAGATCCACCGTATCTGTGACTGTTAGCAACATGGAAATGGCGACGGAATGAAAGATGGAATTCCCAACCTACCCCAGGTTTTTTCCGCGCGACACAGTCCACAACGAGACCTTGTGCTTGTTTGCAAGCTTCACGACCTCCTGGACCTCTTCGACGGTCCCTGGTCGAACGGCACCGCTGGGAGTATGAGTACCAGCCGTTGAGAACGGATCGCCATATGCGGTCCGACCCTGGGGATCTTCAAGCGCACCAGCCTGAGGAGTACGCGAGACGTTGGCTTCTCCGATGACTTGAGCGACATCGTTGAAGAAGCTGCCCAGTGCCTGCGGATTGGGAGCTGGAGACCTCTGAGGCGACATTGTGTTATTGGTACAAATTGAAGATTATGCTATGTCTACAATGGCGCTACAGAGATATTTATTGTATGCACCTCCTTTACCGCTCGCCATGGTGATCACTTCAACAGCTCTTTTCCGGGGAAAGGTTGCCACCGGGGATACCGGGGAAAGCCCATTGCAAGTCAGCTCCCCCACATTTCCACCGAATCCACTCGCGCTCCGCCCCTTTGCCATGGCCAGAGCAACCATCGCCGACTCCTTTTTGGGTCTCTGCCATCGGGGATACCGGGGAAAGACTGAGACTGAGACTCCGGGGAATGGAGTAAAAAGCGGGGAAGATCCAGATCAACGTCATATACGGAATATTGAGCATAGTGCTGCCTTGGCTGCGAATGTGTATAGCGGGCTCCTTTGAACAAATTAGTTATTTACAATGCACTGAGTAAAGCTGTAGCAAAGGTGGTCTAGAATCAGGCATGATGCGGGTATTTTGATCAAGCAATGCATCTTTCAATTGAAACTGAACAGAGGCCGCTATATATCATCGCATAACCGAACATCTTCGGAACCACTCCGGACCGCAGGGCTCTTTTTTGTGTGACTAAACACAAAGGGATGACAGGACAGCTGTAAAGAGCAATGAAAGGCAAGAGAGTAGGTATCCCTGGTGGAGGGAAAATAAATAACGAAAAATGACAGCGGCCGGGAACGACGAACAGACCTTCGAATCGCAAAAAAGGATGCGTTACCCTTTGCCGTCAATCTACCAGGTAGACTGACGCCAAAGGGCAACGAGAAATTAGATTCAATTCTTATATTTAAGGGATCAAATGTGAAATCTCAGACAAAAAGATCCGATATTGCGAACACTGATGCCCTATGATTTACGCCATAGCACACATGGCTATCAGCATTCACGTTTCCATAACCTCTTACACATCCTACTACCTTTCGTCACAGTGATGGAGGTCCTACAGGTGATTGACTCATCCACACAAAAAATCAGAAATACGAATTTGAAGCCAGTAAGTATTCAATCGACGTCACTTAGTATGATAACTATAATTTCTCAGATTATACTAATAGAATATGATAGGTCCATGTTGCATCCCAAGTTATCCCTTATACTTTAGCCTCCAGCTCATCGGCATCAACCCAGTTACCATGCAAACCATGTCTCAACCGAAGCGGCAACAGAATAACAGCCTTGGCCTTTGTGAACTCCTTAGTATCCAGCAAGTGCACCTCACTGCACATGGAAACATAGTTATTCACCAACGCCATGACATATCCATCGCCCTCAACGGTAGATCCGCGTCGGGGAATGAAAATCGGTTCTTGCACCATATGCGTCTTTCCAGGGAGATATGTCTCTGTCACACCAGTTTCAATGTTCAAGTGTGCGAGAGAGTTGTACAGCGGGTGGCCGCCGCCCAGCTGGGGCATAATGGTGGGGAAGTCAGTTCCCAGGGCCGGATTCATTAGATCGAAGAAGCAGTGCTTGTATGACTGGGTGGCGAAGCGGTCGTCAATGCGGTAGAATTCTGAGTTGTCGCTTTGGAGGACCTCCAAGTTCTTCAGGTCTAGGTCATCGGACTTGGGGTCGATTGTGAATCGGGTGAGCTGCGAGCTGATGGAGCTGGGCTCGGGGGAGTTGCCTTGCGCATCGGGCCACCAGAAGAACACGTTCTTCTCGCTCAGGGCGAGGTCGAGAAGGATATTACCGGAGTCGTCTTCATACGCATTGGATACGTGACCGGGGAAGGAGTTTTGGTAGCGGAACCACTGTATGAGGTGAGGAATCATTAGATGCTGGAAGATGGATGATAGAGGGATAAGGTACATACCTTGATATCAAATGGTTTTGCGCCGCGTCTTGGAAGGACTCCAATGTAGAATGGAGTTTCGGGGCTCCATTGCCAGTGTTCACCACCCTGCTTCATTCTTTCAATATCACAGAGTTGGGGAATGATAGGAAAGAGGACCTAAAATAGGAAGAGAGAAGAATGTCAGACAGGTTCTGTTGGCAACACAATACACAGCAACTTACCCAGTTCTCTGTCACAGCGAAATCGTGAATCATAGCTACAACAGGAGCAGACAACCAAACAGTCTCCAGGAACTTTCCATCCGCACCAATGCGGTAGTAGCAGACATCAGGAGTTCCATCGCCCTTGGCTTCATATCCGAAGCAAAGCATCTCTCCGGTCTTGGGATCAAACTTGGGGTGTGCGGTGAATGTCAAACTGGGCAGCTGGCCATCGAAGTCGTACAGACCGCTTGTCTCGAGGGTGTGAGGATCCAATGCATATGGGGGGGCATCTTCCTTGAGAGCCAACAATTTGCCGTTGAAGTGAACGACGTTTGTGTTAGCTGTGGTGCGGATCTTGAAATCCACGGCATCAGTGAACTTGTTGCGATATTTGCCTATCGGATAAACATAGTCAGTTGATGCACTCTGGACTTCTGAACAAACGAAACAGCCTACCAAGCAATGCCCGTTGAGCCTCTCGCTCTCGGACAAACTTCTCCGTTCGGACATAGCGCTGCTTGAAGGAGACTTGGCCGTTCTTGATCTTGAAGGCGCTGATGCTGCCATCGCCATTGAACCACTGTTGCTACATCAGCTATCTTGTCATCTCCAAGTGTATTCTCCGCATCCGCCGTCTTACCGGGTCATCTTCGATGAAAGGTGAGAATTGGGGATCCGGCATCACGCGGTAGAATGTGCCATCAATGTCCTTTGGGATGTCGCCATAGACCTCCAGGTTCAAAACTTCGCCCTCTACTCGGCATGGCTTCATGAACCCCGAGAATTGAGGGCGGTTGGGGAAGTCCTTCCGGGGCTCCTGAGATAGAACAGACATTGTGATTGTTCGGAGTGAGAAAGCACCGTGTTCAGCGAAGAGGATTCTCAAACAAGTTAGGCGACGATAGTCCAGGCAAGACCCAACTTTTTATTTGATCGTCGCCGGCCTCAAATATGGTGAGGGGAGCTGCTCCATCCCTGTGGGTCCATATCTTGTTCCTCGGCGACACGACGGGGAAGCAACTTGTCTACCCCCGGTATCCCCGGCGAAGACACCAACTCTTCGGAATATCCACTCGCTCAACTTCCGCTTACGTTTCACTTGGTGGAATCTGTCCAGAGAAACCCTTGGAACGCTGGCGATCATTTCGCTTGGGTATAACTCATTTCCCAAGGTTCGATCGTGCCGGGTAGCTTAACCCCGGGTTTCCGGGGCTTAGTGCTGGTGGATACGAGGCAAATAAATGAAAGCTTTGCCTATATGACAAGAAATCTACTGAGATACGGGGTAGGATAAGAATTTATCAACCCATTCCAGTCTATCACTATGTCCTATCTGGCGTATGGAGCCATTGTAGTGCTGTTGTGGCTCGTTGGAAGTACCGTGTACAATGTATTCTTCCACCCTCTGAAGGCCATCCCAGGCCCTTTTATGGCCAAGATAACTCGATGGTGGATTTTTACACTCGAGATGAGAGGAAATCCTCATGTCGAAATACTTGACTTGCACCGAAAATACGGTAAGTCCTTACAACTGAAATACTACTACCGAGTATCTATTAACACAGAATAGGACCGTTCTTAAGGATCTCACCCAACGAAGTCTCATTCAACGACGTGGAAGCCTCCAGCATTGTTTATGCACAAACATCGAAATTTGAAAAGTCCTATTACTTCTATCGCGCGTTCGAAGATCAGGCTCCCAATCTCTTCACTATCCGCGACCGTCAAGAGCACGCCCAGGACAAGAGTCTCATTTCCCATGCATTCTCCAGGGCGAATATTATTCAACATGAAGGGTCAATCTACGAGAAGGGTTATTTGTTGATGGATCGGTTTACAAAAAGTGCAAAGAACGGACAAATCATTCCACTTTTCCCAGCATTCCGTTGCATGACCTTGGATACTATCTCCGAGTTCGCATTTGGAAAGTCTACTGGAGCACTCAATTTGGATAATTATAAGTCTGCCATATTTGAAGCCATCGATAAGGCGACTCACTCCGTGCCATTCGTGAGTATCGTCTTCCCATCTATCAAGCAACAAGAGACACTAACAAACCCAGTTTCAACATTTCCCCTTTCTCCGAGAGCTACTCCGATGGGCGAGCTACTACAACCTCAGCGCTGTCCCGAATGGATTTCTAGAGCTAGGACAGAGAGCCGAGTCCGGGTTCCAGCATATGCATACCAGCGACACTTGGACGATGTTCAAGAACATGATGTCATCCGCCGAAAAGAAGTCCCGGGAATTGACTAAAGAGCACTTGATCTCTGAAGCTATTGTGATGTTTGTGGCCGGAACGGACACAACTGCAGCAGCGCTCGCAGTTACTTTGCACCATCTCCTTCAAGACCCGAAGACATACCAGAGACTTCAGGACGAAGTACGGACTGTCATGCCTACACTTGATTCTCGACCGACCGTGCCCGAACTGGATGCCTTGCCGTTCCTCAATGCGTGCGTCAAAGAAGGTCTCCGGGTATCCTGTCCCAGCCGAACCCGACTTCCTCGGACGGTCCCTGCCAATGGATGGAGCTTCAAAGGACATTATTTCCCAGCCGGAGTAAGTTTGATCCATGTATTCTGCTTCGCTAATGACCGGGACTGTGACTGACGATTTGCAGACAATCGTGAGCACTACGCCTTTATATGCCCTCCACGATGAGGTCATGTTCCCTTCTCCCAGCACCTTCAACCCAGCACGATGGTTGGTAGACGAGGATCAGAAGCGAGAGATGTCGACCTATTTCCATCCTTTCTCGAGAGGAACACGACAATGTGTTGGACAAAAGTAGGGATCCCTTCCACCATGGTGAAATCCTGGTACTGATAATATACAGTTTATCACTCATTGAGCAGAAAATCGTGCTATCGATGTTTGTTCGCCGCTTCAACCCCCGAGAAGTTATGAGGAAGACGATCAATGTACAGGAAGGCATTACTATAGCACTTGACGATAATGTTGATGTTCGACTTGGCTTGGCGACTGAATGATCGGACATTAATCTACGTGGGGGGCAGATAGGCGCACACACCTAAAACATATGTACGGGGTACCCCATATATAATCGGAAGGCTCCGAACACCGAACACCAAATCAAATCAGTTTATTTGTAAAAGCCCCCTCGAGCTAGCTTTTTCCTCCAAAAAGACCTAAAACACCAGCAATGAAAAGACAGGGAAAAGGGGCAAATGTCCGCTTCACGAGACTCTCCAATTCCCCAGTTTTCACAGCCGAGAGCCTCCGCTGATTGGTCGACGTGGATCCCCCGGGTCTTTCACTAGCGCAACTCCCGAAGTCGCATATTACTCTGGGGCTCCCTCCATTCTCACAGTTCGTCCGACAATAATCTCATGGATCAATCTCCGAACCCCTTATTGGACGATTCCGATCGCGTCCGATCCAAGCAACAGGGTCGGAAGCGGAAGAGAGTATCAGTGGCATGTCGGTCATGTCGCGTCCGCAAGTCTCGTGTATGTGATATTATTGTGATCTGCTAGAGTTGATGTCTAAGTGTTCCGGTATCACAGTGCGACGGTGCGATACCGTGCTCATCATGTGAAGATATGGAGACGGAGTGTCGATATGAACAGCCGTACAGTCAGCCTGTGGCAATCACTAACCCCAGCAGCTCTGAGCGGTGGGTGGAATCTGCTGAACATGTGAACACTATCTAATGTTATTGGAATAGACAAGATGAGAGTCAGCTTGAGCAGCGATTGCAGGCAATAGAAAAAAGACTGCGGCTATCCGGGCTGGACAAGGCCTTCGATAGCCCGGAAACGAACATGGCGGCCTCTCCCGCTATGCCGGAGAGCCAGGACCCGCAGCACAGTCCTGGGATGAAGGGCCCATTGGATCAAGACGATGAAGTCGATGGCATGGGCTCTGTGGCACTCAAAGATGGAGCCGATGAAGACGAATATTTCGGTACAGTTCAATTTATCGCTGCAAACCATTTGATAGCACGGGATCTAATCATTGATAGGCGCTTCGTCCAATGTGGCCTTCCTGCGCTTTATTATTCATGCTGTCGGTGCCAACTCGGCAGAAAACTTACCTCCCTCAACCATAGATTCTTCCAGTGGGCTTCGGCCGCCGAGTGATGACCATTTCGATGCGTTCTTGAGAAGACCATCGGGTGTCAGCAGTGAAATTGAGGGTCAGGGCAGAACTCGCGTGAATGCGTTTGGGCTTCCCGCTGAAATGGAATCCGACGCCTTATTGCATTTGTTTTTCACCACAGTCAATCTAATGATCCCCTGCATTCACGAGTGCTCATTTCGAGACACGTACAGGAAGTTGCACACTGATGGGATCCGGAGTGTGCGGAGATCCTGGCTCGCGACCTTGAATGTCGTGTTTGCTCTCGCCACAAATGTCATGACGGCAACTTCGCCGAATATTGAACGAGCCACGAGGGCCAGTATGTATTTTGAGCGGGCCATGGAATTGGTCAAATCGGATATTCTAGGGCGTCTTTCATTGGAAATGGGTATGGCATATTCGTGATAGTTTGCGTTCCAACATTACTGACATGCTTAGTGCAATTGTTTCTTTTGATGGAGGCATACCTCGAAGGAACTACCTCTTCTTCACTTGCCTGGACACTACATGGCCTGGCTGTCAAAGGGCATACCAACTTGGACTCCATGTTATGGACTCGAAGAGCCTCTCGCCAACCGATCGAGAAGTCCGAAGGAGATCATGGTATTGGTGCGTTATGAATGATCGGTATGTGTCCATTACTTCCTAAATCCGAACCCCTACTAATAGACTCAGATTTCTGAGCGTGACTTACGGTCGCCCTCCCTTAATCCCTTTATCCCATGTGAGATTCGAGCCCAGCTCGTTTCTAGCATTCAGCAATGTCCCAAGTGGTATCACCATATCCAGCCTGGCATATTTCGATTCCTTGATGTGAGATGCTCTCAGTATAAACTATAACATTACCTAACTTCAATCTAGATCCGTCACTCACATCATGGGCGATGCCCTAGAACGCCTCTATGACCAAAACCTCGGTCTCCGCACCCGTCTCCCCATGAGCGAAAGCCTCAACCAGATCTCCAAACTTCGCTGGGAACTAGCCCAATGGCAGGATCGTCTCCCATCCTGTTTACGAATCATAACCTCCCAGGACACGCTGGACGATGTCCCACTGACAGTCGGAACCACCAGACTCCGCGTCCTCCTTTCTCTCCGCTTCCTCGGAGCAAGAATCCTCATTCTCCGACCGGTTCTCAGTCAATTCCTGGATTTGCCAGGCATGACAACCTCAAACGAATATCAATCTGAATGGCTCCGGAATTCCGGCGCCGTCTTACTAGCAGATCTAGTCCGCACTTGCGGCGATGTCCTGCAAATCAGTAAGAATATCCTAGCTGGTTCTAGGAACGATCAGAACTTGCTCGGTGCTTGGTGGTTCTCTTGTTATTATAGTAAGCAACTCCCGTCTTATTCATTGCTTGTGATTGAGACTAACAAAGGTCGCAGCGTTCAACTCCTCGCTCGCAGTCCTAGGAATCCTCCTGATAAAACGAATCCCAGCTTATTCAGGCCAACTATCCACATTCTCCATCGCCGAGCTACGCGGCCTCCTCGAAACAGCAATGGAAATTCTCCGCGGACTAAACAAAGGCAGTGAAACCGTCATGCGGTGTCGGGATACTCTAACAAGACTTATCACTGCATTTGATTTCGACGGTAAGCGATTATCCAACCCTTACACCAATCTCAAATCACTGATCGATTCGCAACGAATATAGCAGGATTCGCACCAGCATCGTTCTCTCTGTCTCCATCTAGTGCTTGGGCATGGCAACTTGTGAATCCGGGGTTGTTTAGCTCGGAGGCATCGTTAAGTCTTGCTCCGGGGACTGTCGATGTTACGCCGAACTCTCAGTTGCCGATATCGACGGATCTGGAGGTGCGTGCGGAGCATGAGATGTTCCATTTTTCTGGATGATTTGGCTTGTTTTTATCATCTAAATGTATAGTCGGACATGGCAGGCGAGATTCGTTTAGGGCGCGGATGATAGAACTCGGGTGTATCGGTTTTACATACTTCATGGGTCATCGAGTGAGCCCACTCTTGCTGGGACTGAGTAGACAGAGTCTTCGACCATTTCCCTTTACTGGGATGTCCATAACATGGATCTACCTTATAAGTGCGTGGCATATGGTATGGGAAACCATTTCCCGGGGTGTTGGAGTTTCAAGCGAGTCTAAGACGATTTGAGGGGTCTCTTTTATGACCAACCGCTGAATTTAATCTTGGAATGCCTTTGCGTTTGAACCCTGGACATGTCCGCTAGTCCATAACCTTCGCTCAGTACACGCACTGGGTTGTACAATTGCGGCGTTTGATGGGAAGAAAGATAGTTAGAATACACTTTGCCACATACGATGTATCCCTCTTGGAGAAACACCAGGCGGTTTGTTTCCTCTCTGTCCGAGATTTCCGAGACCATGCATTAATTCAGTCCTTTTTATTAAATCAATTGCATCCATATATAGTAGTCAGACAGTTATCGTAAAAGAAAGATATAGGGGAGACTTCTCTGAAAACTCTGGGATGATAGGTGAAATCCAGACGATAGGTGGTATCTATAAAAGCCATTTGATATCGATGCATGGAATCCACGATTAAAATGATAACTTGGGGAACAGTGATCACAATTAACAGATGTATAACAGTCCGTTCACGACGAAGGTCAACCTGTCTGCATTTCAATGCATTTCCACGATGGAAACGGTGTTGACCCAGCACAATAAACATATGCCGCATATCAAGAGCAACACAAAGGATCCATACCTCCTGGTCCTTCCCTAGAATGTGATCATGTTCTATCCACTTCAAGCCACCTAGCTCAAGAGAATGCCCGCCCTCTCCCGAAAACGCCACTCGGCTCAGGAATTCGCTGGCTTCGGAAATCATTGTTTGTCTTTGATAGTGGAAACAAACGGCGAAGGTCCAGGCGTATCAAACAGCAACGGCTTGCCGCCAGCGATCTTGACTGTGGTCTAGTTATTGATAGATAAGTCAACGACCAACCGAAAGCAGATAGATCTAGGGCTATATTTTACCGGATTCGCACGCGAAATACCCTTCATGTAAGCGCTAATGCAATCGAGAAGATAAGAAGGATCGGAAACGACAAGAACCTGAGGTGGCTCGGCAAAGCCCATTGACAGATAATGATGAAGTGCCCCAAGAGACTGCACTGCATTGATCTGTTCATTGCCCAGGACTGCTGTATCCATCAAGTAGATAATTACTCCGAGCGAGCTTCTATTTGCTTCTGTAAACTTCCGGATTGTGACTGCAGTCTGGTGCCTATTGTGAACATCCAGTCGAGTAGGAGTTAGCAGCAGAGCATTGCGCTTCAGGAGATGGGTGTGATTGTGGGTGTCGAAGGCCTGTAGCATCTGCCTCTCATAAACAAGTTCGATGCTGAAATCAGCATTCCAGGCATCCCACGGGGCTTGAAGCTGGGTTAGGGTTTGAGTGCTTTGTTACGGATTCAAGAGGACTAACAATTGAAGTTTGTTTTTTGTGAATGTTGGGGCACCGCTAGGCGATAAAGTAAGCTCCAGATTTGGATGAATAAATGGGAGATATGTACCTCCTTTGAAGGAGCCTAGGGTGGTGAGAGTGGGAGCTAGTCTAGCCCATTCATCGCGCTTCCGAAGCTCCGGGTTGTATTCCACCCGAAGGCCGAGCAGTGGCGGCATCATTGCTTCGCTGGGTGTGGATTTGAATGACGGCGATGGAGTGATGGCAGTACCATGAGGGGAAAGGGTGGATATCGAGGGGAAGAGAACCGAGGTGTCAAGTGGGCTCCTGAGGGAGCGAGCCGTGGGAGACGACTTATCAGAAGGTTGAGACGTGGTCGACATAGTAAAGAGAGTGACAGGACAACCCAGCTTCAGAAAAGATGGAATGGCAACATAAAGGTAAGAAGCTGATGACGTTGAAAGGAAGATGAATGTCGGGAGAGGATGAAGATTGGGTGGTTCTATGGATGTGTGTATATGTACATTTCAGGGAAGGAGCGGAGATGGTATCTACAAATATCCAAACAAATGGATCTCCCCTCAAAGCCCCTGCTCTCGAAAACAGAACTCCTTGTCTTTCCAATGAGTATCGGGGTATCTTGACTGAACAAAATAAAAGCAAATGCACTCCCAACCTTCTATAATAGGATATCTCTGGCTTTAATGGAACCAATCAGATAGCGCTCACGAGCTTTTTGACGCATGCAACGAAAGCTTGTTCACTGGGGCAGCAGACCCATCCGACTTTGGGTTTGCTTTTTCTGCTGCGGGCTGGGTACTAGCCGTAGGCTCAGATGAGGTCTCGGCACTTTGACCAAATGAGATGTACGAGGAAATGCGGGAGAGCCATCCCTGTGCAACTTCTTCGGTATCCAACTCTGGGGCCTGTTCATAGATCTCACGGGAAAGAATCCTCTGCGAGGGCAACTTGGGCAAGTCGCCGTGCTTCGCTCTTAACTGAAGGACCTCTTTCTCCAGGGCAACTAGAGCAACCCGTGCTGCCAGTTCTGACTGTTCCAACTCCGCAAGTCTTCCCTCCACGCCTTCCCGACGCGTGCTTTCCTTGTTTCGTGACCGCCAGGATTCGAAGAGGATCAGGCTGCCGGCAACGAGGAAAAGAAAGGACTCAGAGATAAAGTTGGCGCCTGACTCGATGGCCTTGGATTCGGATAGAGGACGGATACGGATGTGATGAGGCTTGGCTGCTTCTTCTGCGGCCGCCTTGGCCTTAGCTTCTGCTTCTTCGGCAGCTCTTGTGTCAGCGGCGGTTAGAACGGTAGGCATTGATGGTTTATGTTTCCGGACTTCGGCTTCGGCTGCAGCTTGTCGTTGGGAGGCGGCAGTGTCGCGAAGAGATCCTAACCGGAGACGCATATCGAATCGGTGAAGGGCCTGGGCCATGGAGACACAGATCCTGCGAAACCGCTCATGTTCACGAGCCTGGGCTTTAATTTGAGACTGTCCAGGTCAGCTTACGTGTTGGGCAGAATCGCGCTTGGGGCGAGATCTTACGGCAATGGGCTTGGACAGAGTCCTGATTGCCAGAGAAGAGAGCTTTAGTGTTAGCGACATGGTTGAGGACCGAAGCGAGTATGCACAAAGCTAGAGTCACTTTCTTACCTCCGCGGATGTGATATCGGGCGGTGAAGCCCGGGCCCATGTTAGATGACTCAGCACCATCGGCGACCTCGGCCCGGGTGGGTCTGGCGAAAGCTTGAAACACCCTTCGTAACAACCTTAAATTCTCGAGTCCATACAAAGACCATATAAAATGTCGCGGGATAAGCGCAGATTTACATGCCTCCGGGCCTCAAACGAATCCAGCCGGAAGGGAGTCGACGGGAACGCAGCCAGCGAGAAGTCTCGAGGGTGAAACCTCATCAGGCTCTTAAGAAAACTAACTAGAGCTCACGATTGAAGCCATGTGAAAGACGCGTCTCAACAACCACAAACGCTCGGGAACCGACAAAAAACGACAAAACTGTCGCGAAATAGCCACGTCCTCACATGCTTCGATTAAAACGGAGCCAATGAGAGGTCTCCAAGGTGGGAAGTCCATCAGAGCTCCTGAAGAAAACCAATGATAGGGGGTGATTCAAGTCATACGGAAGACGCGTCTCGAACCTCTTAAATTGACTCCAGAACAAGAAGCCTATACACTATCACGAGACAATGACATCTCCACAAGCTTCAACATAGAAGCTATGTACCCAGCAGGGAGGGAGCCTATCAGGCACCATAATTGATACAATGGAAATGACATTTCTCCATTGAGGAAACTGCCCACAGCCAATATGCAATATTATCCCCCGTATTGCACTCAGATAAGCTCTGTCGCTCTCTCTTTGTTGGACTAGATGCATCAAAATACGCAATTGGGTTACTCATGTCGTATACGCTTACGGTGTATATCTTGAAGTTGATCCGTCCATGTTCACTATCATAATCTCGACAAGGAGAGACTTATATAGTGACGACCTCTTTCAACCAATGGCGAATTGCTATATATACATGGCTGAAAGATTACATGGCGGCCGATCAGCTTGGTGTGTCAAAGCCAAGAAAGCGACCGGGCACTTCGGAGATCTCCGAGTGCTCGTGCATATTCAAGGTTGCACATGATGTTATCTTCAATATGAATTTGTGATATTGCTTTTACGATGTACTTCCATCCCTAGCAACCGTGAGCCAATCACCTCGTGTTATTATTTACCCCTCGGCCCCTAACATCAGGCGTTGATTCCTCCATATAATCTCTGGTCTTAACCCAATTAAGCAAAAATAGCCTTTCCTCATCGGCCACTCAAATGGTGTGATCAATCTGCTTACTTCCTCGGCGCCCCAATGCCCTTTTCTTCTCTCTTTCTTGGCTTGAAAAGCTTTTGATCCTACAGCGCCATGGCAGGGATACTTGAGGACCAAGAACGCTCGACTAAAACGGGAGGTCGGTACATCATACAAGATGTGGAGGATGTAGAAGATCAGCATCACATCCCACATTCGGGTCCCTCCAACGCCGTGATCCCCGACGATGGACACATCGTTACCCAGTATGAACGCGAAAGCTTGATCCGAGGCCTGGGACAACGTCATATCCAGATGATTGCCATCGCGGGCGCAATTGTATGTCACTCGCCGCGGAAACAACGACCTCTCATTAAACTATCATAGGGCACAGGTCTTTTCCTCGGTTTAGGTGGCTCAATAGCCGCAGGTGGTCCGCTCGGTGCATTACTAGGTTACATGTTCATCGGCCTGGTCGTCTGTAGCATTCAATTTGCACTTGGGGAAGTCTCAGCCCTACTTCCAGTCACCGGATCTTTCGTGCGACATACAGAAATTCTGATCGATCCCGCCCTTGCATTTGCAGTCGGCTGGAATGTTGTCTATGGATGCTTTATCAGCGTTCCCAGTGAGATCTCCGCTAGTGTTGTTCTGATTCAATACTGGACCGATATCAGTGCCGCATTATGGGTGACTCTTCTAATCGTGTTGTCCGTGGTTGTCGCAATATCCTTCATTCGCGTCTATGGTGAAATCGAATTCATCTTCGCCATTCTCAAGATTCTGTTGGTCGTTTTCGTGGTCATTTTGGGCCTCGTCATTGATCTTGGAGGTGTGCCGGGTGTACCACGACGGGGCTTCGATTACTGGAAAGATCCCGGTCCGTTTGTCGAATACATTGCGACTGGGTCTCTCGGTCGATTTCTCGGCTTCTGGGCTGTGATGACCAATGCAGTCTACTCATTTGCCGGTGTCGAATCTTTGGCCATGGCCGCTGCTGAAACAAGGAACCCGCGGCAAAATATCCCAAAGGCCTGTAAGAGAGTGTTTGCGCGTGTTTCTATCTTCTATCTTGCCGCAGTTTTGGTGGTTGGCATGTTGGTTTCTAGCAGTGATAAACGTCTCGGTACGGATTCTGGCACAGCCGCTACAAGTCCTTTTGTTATCGCTGCTGGCGATGCGGGAATCAAAGCTATCCCTTCTGTTGTGAATGCTGTTTGCTTGACCTCTGCATGGTCTGCGTCAAACCAGAGCATCTTGGCAGGAACAAGAACATTATATGGTCTTGCGATCAAGGGCCATGCCCCGAAGGTTTTCTTGCGGACCACCAAATGGGGAGTGCCGTATATGTGCGTGCTATTGCAGGTTTCCTTCTCTCTCCTAGCATACATGTGCGTTTCCAATAATGCCATGAATGTCTTTTGGTGGTTCGTTGATTTGACTGCGGCTGGCACCTTGGTCTCTTGGATTATCATCGCACTGAACCATATTCGTCTATTGCAAGCTCTGGATAATCAGGGCATCTCACCTACGGAGCTGCCATGGCATAACCGTATCACCAGTATGTGCCACAGTCTTATGCTTATAGAAAATGACCTTGATGCTAAACTCACGCAGGATGTACCAGCTGGTTTGCTTTGGTTTCCTGTGTCGTCATACTCCTCACTGGAGGCTTTACGGTTTTCACAACTGGAAACTGGGATCCCGCCAAGTTTGTCTCATCATATCTGTAAGTGATCATCTATGACGCGGCTTCAAGATTTGCCTACTGACCGTCGTCTAAGGGATATCCCACTCGTTCTCTTTGCATATGGAGGCTACAAGTTGATCCGCCGGACAAGGATTCTTCCTCTAGTCATGGTACCGGTTCAGCAGGCAATAGAAGAAGCTAATAATGATCCAGATAACGTGCCGATCAAGAAGGATACCTTCTGGGCGAAGATGAACATCCTTTGGGGCTGAAATGTGACCTCCTTGGCTTCGAAAGGGTATAATATACTTCGTTATCCACGCCGCCTGGATTCATGAGAACGCTGTGGATTATAATATTCCCAGCAATGCAGATGTCTTAGATCTCAACCCTGCGCTAGGGCATACAATCTCCTATGCAGCCGTTAACGTGCTCTTTTCAGCCGAATAGGGAAGAACAAATTTAATAAACATTCCACCTTGCAATATATTGGGTGAAAATATACTATTCCCGAGTCCCCCATGTTCCATAAGGTATATAATTTGGTTTTTCTAGCTTCATTATAGCATCATATGGGCATACGTAGGCCCTACACCACAGCGCCAAGTAACGGTAAATCGCGGGCCGAGAATTGCTTGGCTAGCTTCAAGGCCGGTTTTGCCATCAAATTATATCCATTCAGGTATACATGGATGTTTTTCTTGAGATGGAATAAGAGCAAATCCTAAAATTGGGTTTGGCGCCGGGCGCGAACCTTGCTTGTCAAGCCCTAATTTCCGTGAATTCCGTCATAGGATCCCAGTCAACCTTAGCCCCTCACCAGATTGGCGTAAGCAGAGTGTTAAATAACTTGAAAGAACCAGATCTTACAGCCATAATTTCCTTTTTTCCTTCCAGAAACCCCTCGTCGTCGTACGGCATAGAGATCTAACAAAAGAAAAATGTCACACACAATCAAGAATGTTGCCATTGCCGGGGTAAGGGTCAAAGAAAATCATTCCATTGTCTAGGTTAACAAGCATCCAGGCTAGTGGAAATGTCGGATCTCGAGTCCTTGATGCATTGCTCGATCTCAAATTCAATGTAACGGTGCTGAGTCGGAGTGCCAAACCCTTCCCGGCCGGTGCCCGTGTGAAGGTTGTTGACTTCACTTCGGTGAAAGCGTTGACTGCTGCTGTTGCTGGACATGATGCAGTCATTGATGCTACATCCTCGCTCGAGTTTGAAACACCCCTCCGACTGATTGACGCAGCGGCCAAGGCTGGGGTTTATCGCTTGTCAGTTAACCCATCAATGATATCACAATCCATCATTGGCTAACACTCTTTTTCCACCCACTACTAGTATCACCAGCGATTTCGGACTCGATCCCGAAATACCAGCTATCCACAATATGCCTTGCTTTGAACGAAAGAAGGTTTCGTATGAAGCCGTGAAGAAAGAAGCGGCTAATAACCGCTTGACCTATACCCTGATAGCCTGCGGTGGCTTCTTCGACTGGGCTCTATCTTCCGGTTTTCTCGGTTTCAATTTCCAAGAAAAGAGCGCTTTCATCTGCGGTGATGGAAACAACGTTGTTCCCTGGACCACGTTAGCGGATGTCGGTAAAGCAACTGCGAATGTTCTTTTGCATCCACAGGAAACTCTAAACCGCCCGGTTTATGTTCACTCTGTGTACATAACCCAGAACCAACTCTTTGATATCGCAAAAGAGATCCTGGGGTATGACGGCTGGTCGGCCACGTATAATGATATGGAACCCCATTTGCAAAAGGCGTTCGAGGATATCAAGACCGGCAACGTCACTTATTCGACTATTACAACTCAAATCCAGTATTGTATGGCTGTCAAGGAGCTGACGCATCCCTGGAAACAAGATGATAATTCTCTGGCTGGATTGGAGGAATGGAGTGTGGAGAAGGTGAAAGAGCTGATTCGGACGACCGCTGCCGAAGCAGTGTGAAGTTGAAGTTGGGTTGTTTTCCACAAATTCTTTTGCCAAATCGTGAATCGTTAGTCGTATTTCGACAATGGGTATCTATAGAAATTAAGTATTAAGAGTTCCACCGAATTGCAGTTGGCTGAATGCCGAGTTACTCTACAATAACTCAAGATATATCTTTGTGCTACAGGCATGGGCTCTCACTATATTATTTGCAAAAGGCGCTAAGTACCATTGAAAAGAATAATATTGATTCGCAACGGAGCTGGCATAGGTATCTGCAAGGTAATTCCGTGACCTGGAAGCATCAAATGTAGTACGTACATGGCTTTCGTGCGGCTTCAAGACGTGGTGGGATGAGATTCAGGTAGGATCTGCATTGGATGGAAACGTTTCTAGAAATCACCGCACAACAAATTGAAAACTGTATAGACAACCGGAAAAACAAGATTTGTTCGAAATTCGGATTCATCACTCATTACATGTATTGGGCAGAGGGAGTTCATGGTTTGGGCCAGCCATCTATATTTCCAAACCAGCGCGACCGGTAGATCTCATCGCCGATGTTGATCTTACGTCGCTTGCCATTCACCACCAAACTCGTGTGAAATCCACGGAACTTAGTCCATAGAGATTGCACGTAGATGAAACTGCCGTCGGGCGCAAGATTGAAACTCTTTAGGTCCGATTGTGGCAGCTCCTCCCACTCCCCGTCACCATTGTACCCGTGGCGATCATTCGTCGTCACCTCAAATCCTTTCATATATTTTTCAGTGACATTTTCATAATGCTCGGTGAATTCTCCCTTTTCAATATCGAACGCGTGAAGACCACGATCTTCTGAGACCAAAAATTTCCGCTCGCCAGGGACAGGTACCAAATCGTGTAACCCAGCCCACCAGGGGTATCCCTTGCCCCATTCGGACTCGATAGTGTACGCCTCGGGCAGTTTATAGATATATCGATCATCTTTTCTCAGTAGACCTGTCTCCCTATCCCAGGGATACCCGATGATAGTCCCAAATGCAGGAACCGGGTCGGAGCCGTCCGCTGCAGCGTCCGTGCCGGCACCCCACAGCATCTGCCCCTGTTCATCCCAGATCAAGGCGTGGATAGCGCGCAAGCCCGTGATATTTTGGAGAATTGGAGGGTTTGCCATAAGAGAGTTTGCGGCGCTAGCATTGTAGACGAGAATACCATCCCAGGGTCGCTGCCCAGTAGTGCCCACTGCGAGGAGATCGCCCGGCAAGGGTTCCAGCGTATGCGCGTTCCACAGTACCTCGTTCCTCCTGCAGAGTGCAAACGTGATAAACTTATCGGTGGTGGGGTTTTTGGGTGTATGGTTAACGACCAGCACGAGGTCACTATAGACGGCGCCGACGCTGGTGCCGTTGTTCATATACTTGAGCTCGGTGGTATCATCGGCCTTGGCATAGAGACACTTGCGCACATCGGCGGGGAGAGATTGCGTGACGTCTTCGCGTACGAAGCTCCAACTGACATCTCCATTACGATCGTGGATTTTGATGAGGGGCGGCTCGTGATATAAACCGGTGATAATTTGGTGCCATGGTCTATTTTGGGCCTGGAGACGCTCCTGGGGTTGGATTGGAGGGATATAATACTCGGCGAAGTCGAAAAGGAGGGGAATCCATCCAAAGAACCGACCTAACATGGTGTGTAGACCGACTGGGAGTACTCCGGAGTCGTGAAGGCTTTATTTCCCCTAAGGCTCTCACTTGGGTGATGTTAAGGACATTGGGATGGAGAGGGCCAAAACCTCTGGCCCCAATTTTCACATGGCCACGCACTTTCAATTTCCAGGCTTAGAAGGTTAGCAGGTTGATCCATGTGCGGTTACTCCACACGCAGCACTGCTGTAATTGCATAGTCGGTGGGAGTTGATCAGGTTGCAAATATCTAACACATCCAATTACTTGAAGCCGTGTCAATACATCACAACGCAACTTGAACAGTATCCTGCATTTACCCTCCAGATCCAATAAGAACAGTGACTACATAAGGCACTCCAAGAATAATCAAAAATAAAAATAAAATACAAAAAGGTACCCAGTACGTCGATGGGTCCCCACGTGACCTCACGGGCCGACGGCGGTGTTTATCGATTACCGTTTTGAGCAAACTGTTATGGCCCAACTCTTTCGGCTCTCCATCCACCTCCAACCCTCGATTGAGGCGCCGTCGTTTGCGTTCTGGGCCCTGTACAGTTGTGTTTCTTTAGCGATTTGCATTTGGGTAAGCACTCCTTCTGATTTACTGTGTTCCGTTCTCGACTGAGACAGCGTCGGGTACCCGACAGTGGAGCGAATGCTGATGGCCCTTGCAGGGATACCAATCTCGTCGGAACTTATACCCTTTTACACCACCAGTTCATTGCTGTTTTTGATGAATTTTACGCCCGATACCCCTCCGCTAGATGCCCACCAATCACTGCCATTATCATAACCCGAGCTTTGACAGGACCAGTCACCAAGGATGGAGGCCCTCTCTCCGCGTTCAACGAACCAGATGATCAAACCGAAGCTGGCGATGGATCGGAAAGCTTATGAAAAGAATCTTGCCCCTCCAAGCAATCAGCAGCAAAAGCTCGCAACCTCAAAAAGCTATGCCGACCCACCGCCACCAGTAGTAACAGAGCCGGAAGATGGCGGGGAGCGATATTCAATAGGCGCATTCTTAGGGAAGGGCGGTTTTGCTGTCTGTTACGAGGGCTCATTGGCTCGCAATGGTCGCGTATATGCAATGAAGGTCGTCAAATCCCAGATGCCCCAAAGGAAGATGGAGGAGAAGGTATGTCGAGCTTTCAGATCCTACTCTTCTTACAATGCCTGATTTTTGTCGCAGTTCCGAACCGAACTCCAAATCCACTCAAAAATGCGCCATCCTTTTATCGTACAGTTCCACCGCGCGTTCGCTTTCGAATCCAGCACATACGTCGTCTTAGAGTTATGTCCGAATGGTTCGGTGATGGACATGTTTCGGAAACGGCGGTGTTTGAGCTTGCCAGAAGTGCGCCGGTTCATGATTCAACTTTGCGCGGCAGTAAAATACCTGCACAAACGCTTTGTGGCACATCGAGACTTGAAAATGGGAAACCTGTTCCTCGATCACAACATGAACATCAAGGTCGGAGATTTTGGATTGGCGGCTATGATTATGTCGGACAAGGATGCCAAGCGACGAAATACGCTTTGCGGAACGCCCAATTACATTGCCCCGGAAGTTCTGGACAAAAGCAAAGGTGGTCATACACAAAAGGTTGACATTTGGTCCCTAGGTGTGATATGGTATGAAGGCCGCGCCATCAACTTGTCTGGAGATCTTGAACTAATATTATCATCTTAGCTTTGCCATGCTCGCTGGATATTTACCTTTTCAGTCAAAAACGCAGGAGGAGGTATACAGGAAAGTGCGAAATTTGAATTATGTATGGCCCAAGGATTCGGAAAGCACCAACTACATCCCCGAGGAAGCGAAGGACCTCGTCAGTCGTTGCCTAAATCTTGTCGATGAAGAACGACCGGACCCAGACGACATTGTGGAACATCCATTTTTCAATATGTATGACGGTTGCATTCCTCGTCAGCTGGATCCTGCGTGCCGATTCAACAAGCCGCTATGGCTCAAAGACGCTGCGCCTCAAGGAGATTGTGTGGTTGGTGGCTACGGGTTGGACTCGGACGAGAAGCTTCGCGCCTATGTATATCAGGTTGATGACCCAGCTCAGCGATATCACTCATGCAAAGCGGCCTTCTACTCACTCTGCGGCGTAGGACGCAAGCCTGATGGGACTGCTCGGAAGTCGGTTGGAAGGAACTGCTCGAAGTCGGCCTTTTCTGAATGTGATGTTGAGGATTCCAGAGGTCTACGGCCAGTAATCCCCTTGTCGCCAGATTATGTTTATCGATGGCCCCATGAGATTGACGGAGACTGGTGTCTTCATGAAACGTCCCGCAAGGTAATCCGCAGTGATGAATCTATGCTTAACAGCAGCACTATGTCCCAGCGCAGTGTATCTGTTCGTCCGAACCCGATGGTAGCCTCACGCACCAATGCCGCACTTGCGGCTGCTCAACAACGCCGAATGGAGAGTCAAAATCATGCGGCGACCTTGCGTCAACAGGCCCGAGTACCTACTATCTCTCCAAGAAAAGTTACTGGAATCAACGATGCTCCTGCCTTATCCTCCAGGCCATACCGCGACATTCCACAAGCTGAGCCCAAGGGTCCTTTCCTTGCGGATGCGCCAGCTGGCGGCCTGGCAGAGCGTCCTATCCGGACACGAAGAATGGCATCTGCGTCCCAAGCAACTTCATTGCGTGCCAAGGACAGGGAAATCACGCCACAGCTAGCCAAGTCAATAAGCATGCCATCTGGCTTGACTGTAGGCAAAACACGCTCTCAGACTCGCAGATTAGCAGCCGCTGACCAGCAGTTGCCACAGTCCTCTATCCCAACTAGGGAACGGCAGCCAGCTACCAGGACCGAGGACCAGGATGTACTCGCCCGTCAAACAACTCTGCGCTCTTCATCTAGAGCAGATTTCAATGCTAGTGTCGCTCGAGTTGAGCGACGGAGAGACAACCCCATCGAGGAAATCGCTCGGTCTTCGACTCAGTCAAAGTTCGCTGAATCCAACGGACTTACCCGGTCGAACTCTAGTGGAGTTGCTCGGACTAACAGCAAGAGCTCTAGCAAGCCACGCTCTAGCTTGGGGCTGAGCCCTCTCTTCCATACAGAGGATGCCTGCAAGCTTCTCTCCAGGACTTCGTTGACTGAGGTGAATACTGACTTGCGTCTCATGTTGTCAAACCTGGCCAACCATGCACCAAGTCGGCGCAGAGGAGCTACACGAAAGCAGCCGCATGCCTATGTCATCAAATGGGTTGACTACACTAACCGTTATGGTATTGGGTACGTCCTGGATGATGGTAGCGTCGGATGTGTGTTCAAAGGAGAAAACGGGCAGCCGGCGACGAGCGTCGTGGTGCGCGATGGCGAGAGGCACATCCGCCGCAAAGCCCGTAGTGTCGAGGATGGCAAACAGGAACCAATCTACTACTCCGAGGCCGACCAGCTCGTCCCTCGTACTGGGCAACCGGTTGAGTTCTATGAAAACCGTGATGATGAGTTGCTAGGATGTCGCGGAATTCGACGAGCAATGATATCACCCTCCCTCTTCGATGTCAAAAACCCGAAAGCGATCAAAATTCGGAGTGTCTCCGGAACAGATCTTGAACGAGCCGATGCAGAGAAAATCAAGCGCATGAAGCTTGTGGATCAATTTGGCAAGTATATGATAGGAGCCCTTGGTCGCCATGGCGACGAGGGTATCTTGGATCAAGATTTGCCTCAACATAACAGTGCCCAGTTTGTCAAGTTCTATCAACGCCTGGGTAACGTCGGGATCTGGGGTTTCGGAGACGGAGCCTTCCAGTTCAACTTTCCCGACCACACGAAGCTGGTGATCTCGCCCGGTCGCACTCGCAGCTCGTCTCCTTGGATTGACTTTTACCATCTCTCCGCCTCCGCCGCTAGGTTCTTTGCTGCCAGAGGAAAGATGCACCCTGCAGGCTTCGACACTCGAGCTGTCGCATCCGATGAGGCTGCCACGTTCCTCAGCATTGCAAATGGAGACTCTGTGAATTCGACTGAAGACCGTATTCGGGAAATCCTAGACGCGAACTCTTTCATCCAGAAAATCGCATTCATCAAGGATACCCTCCGAGTTTGGATCAAGTTCGGAAAACTCGGCGGTCGTCCACCCTCCATCGACTCCTCTGAACAGTCCATGCCCGACGAGTCATATTGGCAAGGAACACAAGAGCGTTCTCAGCCTGGTAGCCCTGGAACGAAGTTTGTCTGGGTGACAGTCGGAGCACCGGATGGCGACGGACACTATCGATCTGTCATGCTCAAAGACAGCGACCGAGGGGATGGACTCAAAAGCGCTGGGATGGATTATGACAAAGAAATGGGTTTACTCAAAGACCGTCTCCGGGCCATGGGCCGTTGATTCTGCTATCTCCCTGTTATTGATCACGTTTACGATGTCACGACTATTTGCTTTTTGTGTTCGGTGTTTTGTTTTTCCCCGTGGGGGTATACGGGAAACTTCGGTGTTGATAATTCTGGTCAATGCGGCTCTGCGTTTTTTTTTTCGGACACTTGCAGCAATTTACATGCCATGCGCTATCCTGCATCGCTGTTCTCTTGTTCATGCGGGGATGATTCCCTCGCCTCGATTCCTGTAATGTTTGCGCGTAAACGTCTATTCACGAGCCCACGACTCCACGGGTTCAGAGATAGTATGTGCTTCCTTCGCTATGCATCGGTCGAGTACCGACGTTCTAATTTCCCCAACAATACCCGTGTGATGATTCTGGGGAGATATAAAGCCAGTCTTCATACCGAAAGAGCTTCTGATCCAGCATCCAGACATTTATGTTCTTCGCATGCATTTAGACGCATATCTCTTAGGATGTGTAAAATAGATGATATTCTGACTATCGGGACTAGCTACTAGAAGGGGGGAAGGTTGAGTACTCAGGCACCTATGGATGTCCTAACACACCCCTCAGGCTGGACTTAACTCCATGTAGTCTCCAAAGTCGTCAGCTCTGTTGTCCCCGCTGTACTCGGCATAGTGGATAATGTCGGGGCAGCACTGATAAAAGACTTGTACTGTGGTTATATACGAAGCGTTGGGTTTATCCTGGAGCTTGTTGCGCAGGGTTGGAGGACAAAGAAGAAGGAGGGGGGGGATTAGTATTAGCGGCAAGTTCGATCTACGAGAGAAACCGTATACAAGAACAAACAAAGCAAACATGGGGAAAGGAGAGAGAGAAGGGCAGATGAGGGAAAGTTTTTATCCTCTGCCCTACCTGCATACCAATCAAATTTGCACATCACAACTACGCTTAGCTATATTGAAACAAAGGAGTTATCAAACAAACTACCTAACTAGGTAGTAATCTAGAAGAGTGGCAAACAATCTGGGAAAGGGAAGGTGCAAACAAGACAGAGAAGACATGGCAGGTGACAGCTGATCGATAAGGCTGATATCGCAGATCGCCATAATTAGGACCGTCGTTCGAGGAGTTGAGTTTCATTTCTTCTCGTTGAAAACTTCTGAATGGGTTTCATGTGGATGGTTTCTTCTTTATGAATGTGTGACTGTTTCGCGACTGTTTACGTGCTTTATGTATATCGTTAATTTAAGGTTGTCGTCCCGCGTCTTCCACCTAACTTTAATTACACCCTTTCATTGGGTTCCTTCAGGAGCTATGATACCTGACTTTCCACCTTTGAGGCCTCTCATTGGCTCCCTTACTGGTCGAAGCATGTGAAGACGTGTCAATTTCGCGACGATTTTTCTCGTAGTTTACTCATTTTTGTGGGTCTTCAAGAATCAAGGTTGTCGATATCGAAATCTCTGATTGGTCTTCTTAAGACCGTTGATGGACTTTTCCCCTTTCGAGACCTCTCATTGGCCACCTTCCTAATCGAAGCATGTGAGGACGTGTCTACAAGGTACGGAGTATTCCGCGACGGTTCCGTTGTAGTTTTCTCGTTTTTTGTGGGTCCAGGGGCATTTAAGGTTTCTTCTGCGACGCGTCTTTGATATTGATTCATTCGCATTAGCTCATTGGTTTTGCTCAATACCTCTGCTGAATTTTAAATACTCTATATTAATTCCCTAGCCAGGAAAACTCAACCAAAAATTCAGTCTAAGTGAATGGAGATCACAATTATCATTATCTGTTAACATCATTAGTTTATACATCTTGGAACACTCTCTACCACGCCCAGGGCTGGGATTCCGTGACCCTTCTCCGGTCCGAATGCATCTCCAGATCCTTCTCGCTTCGAAGCGTCTCGTCATCATCCCGCAGGCCCTGCTCTGTCTCCATCGCACGGTCAAGATCATAATGTTGAGTGAATAAGCTAATCACCAGTGCCACACCCGAGACTCCACAGCAGACTATCCACACTGTGCGTAGACTGTCTGTGTATGCTTCCTTCAGATTCGCCTTTTCAGCACCATCCGCCATAGCCTTGATGATTTGAACCAAGCCCGCGGCATCCTTGCTGTACGCGTCGGCCATAGGAGCCAGCGCAGGATACTTCATGAGGTTGGTAAACATGCGGTTCTGGAAGACAACACCACCGACCGCAACACCGATGGCTTGGCCGAGAGCACGGAAGAAACTGAACATCGCGACTGCGATAGCGAGATTCTCGGGTTCCGCCGAGGCCTGCACTGCATAGCCGATAGAAGGGAATAGAATGCCCAGGCCAAGGCCGGGGACGACGTTGAGGAAGATCCATCCAACGACGCTGGTATGCACTTTGATCAGAATCATCAACCCCAGTCCGACTGTCGAAATAGTCCATCCAAGCCAAATAGCCCATCTATATCGGCCTGTCACTGTGATCAGGATGCCTGCCACCATCCCACTCGGTGCCACTGTGAACGTCTCAGGGAAGAGAGCGACACCCGAGAGGATGGGACTGTACTCCTTCACTGCCTCGTAGTATAGAGGTAGATAATACAGGGCGCACCAGAGGATCAGACCTTGCAGAACACTTCCAATGAAAGAAGCAATCGCCGTGCGGTTCTGGAACACCTTTGGCGGGATAATCGGATCAGATGCAATATAGTACTCATAGAACGCGAAAATGATGAGACCACCGGATCCAACGCAGAGCGGAACAAGTGTGCGCCACGAGTTCCAGGCGTATGACACACCACCCCAACTGAGAGGAATCAAGAAAGAAGACATGCTTCCGACGAAGAGGACAGTTCCGAAATAATCAATTCGACGGATCTTCTCGGCAAACGAGCTATGAACGAGCTTGAGGTTCAAGAATAGGATGACGAGGATGCCGCCGACTCCTATGAATGGGAAGTTGATATAGAAAATCCACCTCTGGTTACGGTCAGCATGAAAAATTCGGGATTTCCGAGAGACTCCACTTACCCAGGACACATTTTCGGAGAATCCACCTCCGAGGATAGGGCCTGTAACTGATCCAATACTCCACATTGCACTAAGGAAGCCGAAGTATTGACCTCGCCATCTTAGGGGAACGAGATCGGTGATAATGACTTCGCTGAGCGAAATGAGACCTCCTCCACCAACACCTTGAATTGATCGGCCGACCAACATGTAGGTAAAGTCATTCGCAATTGCGCAGATGACGGCGCCAACACAGAAGAACAGAAGGGCCACCATAATCATAGGTCGACGACCAAATACATTCGAAAAGGATGCAAAGCTTGGTTGGAATACTGCGAACGTATTAGATATACTCATATAGCTGGGATAGCATCACTTACCTGTTGAACATAGTAAGAACGAAGTTCCACTCCAAAATGCTTCAATGGCCGTTCCTTTTAGGGCTTGTGCAATTTCCTGTACCGTTAGCTTCGGGCTTTCACGAATAAATCCGTTTGCTACAACACTCACAGGCAAGGCAACGGACAGCGACGTCCCATCTAACGCAGCCATCAAGGTGAGGATAGATAATGTAAAGAATACCAGAATTCCCCTTCTCCCCAATGCAAACTTCTCATCGTCGACTTTCCTGTTCCGTTTCACGTCTGACGACGGTCTGCTCGCACTATCATCATATTCGGACCTCCCGGGTCTATAGAATGGAAAGTCCGGGTCCGCCATGGCGAATATCAACAACGGCGATAGTTATTCGAGACAGTCAAAAGACAAGCAGATTTCTAGGTGGTAATATCACTTGTTCTAGTATTAATCAAAGAAAAAGAAATTGCATTAGAGACCCGCAATCGTAGGAAGATATAGAACATTGAACCCAACACATGTCCAGTCCACGCGGAGTTAACAATATCGCGAGCGAGATTTCGAATACGACGAAAGTTGTGTTCGGTCGCGATTGAGAAACACCGACTCCGCTGGCTATGACTGTAATCTTGACGTTGGACACGAGCAGATGAGATTCAAGGGTCTCGATGACAGCCCTGGTTGGTGTTTCAATGTGGCTGAGGCCAATTGGCAAAGCCGCGTGCCAAGAGTCGGCTGAACTCGACGCCGTGGGCTCACCATCAGTCGACGCCCGGGGGGACTTTTAGCTTTTTTCTTATGGATGTCATCTTTCATGATTTGTGAACTTCCTTTCGCTGAGTGTCTCGGATATCTCGCTGGTCGGCATTTCGATGGCCCGGACCGATTTGGTTGAATCTGAGTCGCGGTTGCCTGTCCATCGGTTGGCTTCGGATTTCACGCTCGTATACGTTGGTTTGACCTTACTGGCCTGGTATGAGGCTCGCTTCTCTGAGCTTTAGGCTTATGAATTAATTCCACGGCTTACATGCGGACTACGCCAGCGCGTCATAATGCTCGCACGTCGCAAGGGTTGAAACATGTCTCGCTTCTGAGGATCTAGCATCTAGTCCGGTTTGAATACTCACGGTCGATATCGCAATAGCTGTGCCTCGCACTAAATCCCCAATTTCTTGCTGATCGGGAATATAAGACCCAGCAACAGACCTCTGGGTAACTCCGTCCTGCGCCGCTCCACATCACAGCCACCGAAGGTTAACCAAAGCCTAGGACCGGACAAAGTCATGTCACAACCCTACCCACGTCAGACCTTATGAAGCATCTTGCAGGCGCTGCGCCTCGCTACGAAGAATTTCAGGTAGTTCATTCACCAGACTGGGCCGCGAGGGAGCCCAGCCCAAGATCTTGCGTGCACGCTGCGAGCGACCACGAGAGTTCAATCCCCAGCTCACAGACTCGAATCCCGCATATGCCTTGGCACTTTCCAAATCCAAAGACTAGGTTCTGGCCTCGGGTAAGTACCCCGGTTTCACGGCTTCCTCTGCTGTGGCCTGAGCTAGCTCCCCCCAGCAATGTTCCCCATTCTCGGTAAGGCAGTAGGCCCTGGGACCCCAAAGCCCGTCATCAGTTCGAGCTGCACTTGCCGCATCTACCAGTAGAGCATAGACATCGCTTAGATCATGAACGTGGATGTGGTTCCAAATTGCTTGACCAGCGCCGGTGATAGGGGCTTTCTGGGGACGCAGCGTCACGTTCGCCAGTTCGTAGACCTGGCGTCTGCGCCGGGAAACTGGTCCGCGTCCTTTGTCTTTTGAAGAATGAGTAAACATTTTTTCTTATATTCCTATAATCACGTACCATAGATTGTAGGCGGACACACAAGTGCCGTCTTGAGCACATCGGCGTGTTTAGTCCCAGCTTCGAGGACGAGCTGGTCGACATTCCGATGGAAGGCACGGTCGGGTAGATTGAGTAGTTCGCCCACGCCATCCCAGTCACTGTACACATGCTCGCTTCTATTTCCGTATTCGTTCTTGTCGCTGTCCTCCCATGTCAGGATGCCTGTTCCCCCTGTGTGGAGCCAGCCTGGGTTTTCCTTGCTATGACCGGCTACCAAACCGGCTATGATGGCTTTTGAAGCTCCCACATGATCGGATAAATCTGTAGTGTCTATTAATTGGGTTAGTAAAGCTATCTGAGTGTTCTAATTGGAGTATTAGGGTGGAAGGCTTACGCCGCACGATATCTGCGGCGGCACTCTCTTGCTCTATAAGTTTTGAATCATCCAACCTTCCAATTACAACACAGATTAACGGATACTGAGCTTTCACTTGTTCGATTCTGTCGGTACTGCGAATAAGGGTGGAATAAGAAATCTTGGGGTGGCTGGCAACGAGTGTGGCTAATGCATCGCCGCCGATAAAGCCCGTGGCGCCGGTGCTGGGGAATGATTAGAACTTCCGTGTTTTTCAAACGAATTGCACAAATTCACATAAATACTTTGCTCTTTTTGCGTATCTTCCAGGATGCCAAGTCCAGGTATCAATCTTGGAAAGATGGGGCTAACGTCACGTCACAGCTCACGATGTCAAAAGCTTGGAATCCTCAGATAGTAGGCATATGAATCATGTTCCACGATGGTTGTGAACTTTTCTGATATTGCTTCTCGGAAGCAAAAGGAATCAAGTTATAGTTGGACCCTCATTCTGTCCCGTTCTAACCCCGCAATCCTAGTATGGACCATGCCAATGTCAGATGTATAAGCAGTTCCTAGGAGCGTCATGGTTGACGCAATGAATGAACAGATAACAACCTGAGGATAATTCCAATGTTTGAGATACATTGTTTCTTCTTTGTTTGCTCCGATGGGTCATATGAAGGGTTGACGCACTGCATTGTAAGACGTGAGATATTTTTCGAAACCAAATAAAGACAAGACCGGTATCCTACTAGTCCAATTCGTTTGCCCCCATAGGAGGTCAGCAGAAGAGAACCTACCTAGTAACCTGAGTTTACATAGAAGCAACATAGTTGTCACATCTCCAAACGCGACTGACAGTCACTTAAAGGCGCGCGTACAAGAAGCCCTAACTGGTGCAGGACCCACAAAAACGAGAAAACTACGAGAAAACCGTCGCGAAATAGATACCTAATTTCAGGTTCACATGTTCATACCTGGAAGAGAACCAATCAGAGATTTCGATAGTGACAGCCTTAATTATTGACCCACAAAAAACGAGAAAACTACGAGAACATCGTCGCGAGAGTGACACATCTTCACATGCTGCGACCTGGAAGGCGGCCAATGAGATGTCTCGAAGGTGGAAGCCAATCAGGCATGAAGATTAAAGCTATATCAAAGACGCGTTTCAACAATTTCAACAATCTCAAATTGACACTATGTGAACAGCTTGTAAACTGCCGTGAAATAGTCACGTATTCACATGCTTCAACAGAAACCACCCAGCATCAAAAGAGAGATCTCGAAGTGCAGTTAACGGCCACTCGATGTGTTTCCTCGCTGAGTCGGGTCCGATTTATCCCACTTCCAGCAACGACGTGTCCGGGATAATATGCTCCATCGTTGAGTATTTTCGCACATGCTTCCCGTTGCTTCTTCAATCGTCGAAGACACCTCAGCGCATCTTCATTGAAGACGATTGCAGGGAATTCATATGAAAGGTAGTGGGAACATGACTGTTCTTTGCCTTGAGCTTGATTCGCAAAACCGTCGATGGCATCCCAATTTCAACACTGTTGTCGTATGTACCCATCACGTTGAAGATAAATGCTCCCAGTATCGTTAAATACCAAGAAAGGCTTTGTCAAATTCGGCTCGCCCCCACAATGAAGAGGCAATCAGATCCTGATGTGAAGCTGGCTTTCATTAGTCTCCCAGTCCATGATTGGCATGGATTTCACGTACTTGGTCAATTTGGTAGATAGTGAAATCATCAATGATCCCGATGTAGACAGTAGAATGCACCATTTCTTGAGTCTCTTCGTGGGAAGAGCCAAAGGCCCTAGGCGATAACACAAAATCAGTTCATATGAGATTTACCTCGATTCGTTTGGCTGTGTCCTTTGGTTGCACATGGTTCAAAGGTATTATTAGCGTGAGGAGGTGTGATGAATAACCTCCAGATGAATGGTTGGGAATATACCTCACATCATCTCATATTATTGTTGGGCGCCGATTCATCCTTACAAGGGTCCTGTTCTACCCTTCTGTCCCCAACAAGTTAAGCTGGGGCGTCCCCAAGGTGGCATGGAGCCAACCCTGTCGCTCTCATAGAATTCAGTAGGATCCTGCAGGCCCACCAGTGATGTTCGACATTGAGTTTCAAAAAAAGGCTCGCAGATGTTGGATCATTTCTGCGGATAGGAACGCGAAGAGAATACATAAGACTGGACTAAACGTCAGTTTTAGATAGGGAACTCCGGACAGTGATCATGAAAATGGAGAAGAGAATGGGAGGCCTGGACTGCGAGGAAAGGAGTGGTGTCCAGATAGGGTTTGCGGGTCATCTGATGGCCGAGGTTGTGATTACAGAAGGAAGGAGAGATGAATACCTACATAGCTACCTACCTAGATAGCTGACAACTTGCAGGAATACAGGGGCCTGGGTAATTACATCTAGGCACCGTGAGACTGTAATTATTCCGCAGCGTGTTAGGTACATGTACTTCACCTCGTGTCACGCCCTATCTACAGGTCGAGGAATCTCACGCTCGCTTCCAGGCCAGGTGGGTTTTGACTTTTTTTCCACTTTGTTAGACTAGCCTTTCCTACGCTCTATACCGTTGAAATGGGGCCGATCTACGTTTTGTACATATAGTCTTAGTGCTATGGGATCTTTCTGGGAGATATAGATGGATATTTTGTTAGGCAATTTGCTGGGCAGCTGTGAAATCCGGTAGATATTGAACAGATTCGACGAGTAAAGTGCGATTCAGAATCAACGAAATATTACATACTTCTAGCGACGCTTTTCAGGGTTTGGTAGGCGCGCGTATCATTGCCGTTTGCACGTAATCAGGATACGGCGAAAAGATATCAACACCGCGGAATCCGTACTTCTCATACAAAGGTTTGCCCGCTGGAGATGCCGACAGGTAAGTCTCCACACCCTGAGCATCAGCACGCTCAATACCCCACTTCAGAAGCCTCGTTCCCAATCCTTTGCCATTGTAGGCAGGGTGAACACCGAGCATATCCAGATCTTTGCGCAAGTCAGCGATAAACTGTTACCTTCGCAGTCGATTGCCAAGCAACATAATATGCATATGAAAACCACGGGATAATGCAATGCCAAGATCGAAGGTGGGGAAAGGGGAATCAAACTTACAATAATGAGGCCTCTCGCCCATCAATTCGTGATGCTGTTCCTCCATGCCATACACAAAGTGATCGCAAAGCTTCTTATCGCTACTCACGGGCCACACCATTGGCTCTTTTTTCTCGTGCTGATCGCGATCTGCAGACACGGGACGCTTCCATTTCGCGAACGCGACAATCTTGCCGTCTTTTGACCCTTCTGTCACTTTGAAGAATATCTCGGGGATCTCGCCGGCGAGTGACCGCGTAATGTCTCTATGGAAATGATATTCCCACCATTCCGTCACGTCCGGTGTTCGTGGGAACATGGTTTCGTTCACGGGGCCAACGAAGGTGGCGTAGAACAATTGCGTAAGTTCGGACGCGTCGGAAGGGGACGCGGGGTGGACATCCAAAGACATTCTGGTTGGTTTGGTTGTGTTTTTATATATTAATGTAGGGTGTATGTGTTCAGGGCGGTAGTTGTGTGCGGAGAATTGGGATATGTGGTCTCTTGGGGGCTCTAATCAATTGCGCGATGCTCCATGTGGCAAGGTGGAGTACACCACACAGTAGACGCAAAACCTCCCGGGTTGAGAAAATCCAAAAGTGTTCGCATCATTGAAATCTTGGACAATAATAGAAGATACATACACATTGAAAACCATTATCATTAGCTTGGATCCATGGACAGCCATGTTCTCCTTATCATTAAGCCAAAATGGCGAGAGCGAAGCCCGTCAACGGCGCAAAGCCAGAGCATCATCAGTGATTAGGTTGTCATGTATGATGAGTCGCAGCTTTACCGTTTCTCCATTTCGAGTGCAGACTCAGGAACGGTCATAGGACTGAGCGGTTGCTCAGCATGTTGCCTTGCACTCAGTGGCTGAGAATGCGGCATTGTATCGGCACGCGCATCCCCGGCAGGTCCTTTGTACCCCCCATCATGCGAGGGAGGAAATACCGAACGACGATTGCGCATATCATCAGGCTGGTTTGTGTTTCCTTCGTTGCCTTTCGACTCCATTTCCGATTTGACCCTCCGGTACATGCTTTCCACCATGAACACCTCTTCTTCTACATCGAGATCGCAGCTCACAAGACAGAACTCGCGTTCCCGCTGCTCAATGTACTCGCGGATGTTCTTCCATTTGTTCTGGCATGTCTTCAGGCAGTCTGGGAGCCCCGAACCACGGAGGTAGGCCAGGACACCGGCCATTATTGTATTGATTGCACCGAACGCTGTGATGGCAGAGTGTGGACCGCTGGCTGCGCCGACAGCAGTAACTGCGGCGGCGACCACCACCTGCACGCCAAGACATATATTGATCAAGAAATTGAAGATTTTGTATGCTCGCTGCGCCTTGGCTTCGCTCTTAATAACACGGGTGTAGATGCCGATGTTGGGAGCGCTGCGGAGAAGATGTCCTGCCTCTGTGAGGGCAGGGACACTATCGATACCGGTCAAGGCCCGGAATACGAGCAGTTTGTCGTTGATTGGGATGAGAGACTCCATTCGTGTAGTTTCTACTCGCTTGGGACCAGCCGGCCGCAGGTCATGTCCATATACGCCATTCTCGACACCTTGAGCTGCTGTTGCGGCGTGTGCTGCCATCGGCGGGTATCCTTGCTCCTCGCGATCCAGCGCGCCCCCAGTTATCCGGTTGAGGAGCGTTCTGTTTGGCTTCTGCTGGGACATGATGATGTACTCCGTATAGGCTTATGAGATGGAGGGGTAGAGAGGAGGCAAGCACGCCCAACACGGATGCGTGAAGACCTTTTTATTTGTAGCAAAGGCACAAGAGCGACTGAAAATTCGTGTGACCATGTTTTTGCTATCCCCACCGCACAGGTGACGCAAATTGTTAAATCATAGTGTCCCCCGATGGGTATGGAAGAGCTATGGTTTCTTTCGGTCAACAGCCTACCTCATCGCGAGATATGCATTTTAATCTTCCCGATGAGGAAAGGCTAAGTAGTAAAACCTGCAGAGTTCAGCGACTATCGGGTTCTACGGACCCGATCTAGATTATGACAGGTTGAAGAGCAGCAGGTGGTGACCCGCTTGCATGGTGCAAGGGTGGAGCATCGACCGCGATAGTCTCGCCAGAGTTGCGTTCGACGTGTCTCTCGGCTTGTTCTGGCTTTCGTTCGGTAAAGTTCTGCACGGGGCGCTCGCAGGAAGTAGTCAAGAACGGTGGGGTTGGCCTTCGGATTGAAACCATACTTATCTCGATCTGAGCCCGTGGAAAGCGCTGATCTTTCGCATTGCCCCTGTGACTTGCCCTGTGCAGCAGGCAAAATTCCCCGAGCAGCGCTAAGAATGGGCTACCAATGGAGCCTGTGCACCCTCCGGAACTATGAGTTTGACCGAAGCCCCGCGGCGATTTGCCAATTGTACATAACAGGCGCAGCATCTTGAGTGCAGTGAGAAAGTCGAGGTTGGCACTCTGCCGATCCGATATCCATTTAGGCTTGGTGGACCCTACTGCACGGGATGGAACTCCACAGGCACAGTGTACCTAAGAATGTCAATTGTCCGAATTGCCGATGACCCATCGATCCATACAGATTTTCGTTACAATGTCTAGAAAAAAGACACCATTAGAGCTCCAAAGAGCCTTTTGGTTTACCGAGCCGTGTCAAGTCCGGATGGTGAGGCATCTTAGCACTGGCGAATAAAAGCGTCAAGGTTCCCAACACGACGGATCCACTGAATACTCCGAGATATGCCATAGCTCAATTCATCCCAAGTTTGGTGAGTTGGTCCTTTTGTGGTCGAAAAAAATCCTGCCGACCACGGAGTAGACTGAGGAGCTTCGTGCAGGTCTGCATATGGTTTTGTGTGGGTAACAGACTAGGCCATGATTGGCTTTTCCGTGCTGCATTTTGACTCGCAAATCCCCAGAGCCGAAACATCAGATGAAAATACGGTGAATTGAGATTGATGCCGATCAGCTTGATCGGATATCCCCAGAGGAAATATTGAAATTAGTGTACTCCGTATTGGTCGGAATTTCATGCATCTTGATAATACAGTCCAACCTTCGTAGGTCTGCCACACAAGGAAAAGCCTCACTAGTGCGTGGGATTTCTCTCATTGTTTGCTCTCGGTTTGGTTATCATGTCTTCGAAGATGGTCGGGCAGAGGGTCGCTGGAGCGACATGTTCTAGCGACATGTCATATGCACAAATCAATAATTTAGGTCCATCACCGGAGTCTGCCAGATAATTATTAACAGAAATACTCTGTAACGAGGATTGATATCAGAAGGCATTCCCAGTGAAACAATTCTGTCCTACTACAGACAGAAGATTAGGGCAATGTCAGGTTGCCGCCTTGACCGTCTTGATAAAACGTGATTCCTGCCTGATATATCTGGCAACAAGGCACCCAGGCACGAGGGGTCATGCATCTGCAAACTCGACCCTGAAGACAACCAGCGCTATTTCCGCCATTTTGGTGCTCTTTTGCTTTGAATGAATCAGTCAACAGAGCATACAAGTTAATCATCACACTTCTAATGGCACTGACTCAAGGAACGTGCTATGAGGTCATATGGACCCCAAGTGTCACCATTCCACCCCATTTTGCATAGTCAACTAGATTCGCCAAAATGAGAGCCGATTCCAACCAAGAAACACCTGGGCAGTTATCTAGGACCATCAGCAACACCGTGTTGCACGTCATGATACCAAACCGCCTTAAACCCACTGAGGTGGGGAAACTGGAGACAAATCGTTATCCGCGCGCCCTCCGATTGACAATTTCTCACTTAAACCCTCAGCATCCTTGAGCCCAGCACACACCTTCAAAAGTAGCTCCACATCATCATGGGTGATGCAGGACTGTCGCTAGAGCGGGTGCTCATTGTTTTCTTCCAGAAATTTCCAGCGTCGCTGGAGGAGCATGTCCGACGCAAATTCTCTGATGCCGAGGTCACTATTTATCAATCTCAAGATAATGTCCCTGTGCCAGCTGGTCGGTCAACACCACGCTCTGGTATTTGAAATTATTGAAGCTTAATAGAAATTTGCAGAATTATACCAGAATGCGACCGTTCTCGTCACTTTCACGGATCTTCCTGATCTCAAAGACGCAAAGAAGTAGGGTCCCACTACACCTCGATTTTCTGCGTACTGACCGTTCCATAATAGCCTCAAATTGATCCACACAGTCTCAGCTGGGCTGGATCACCTGTTGTCCCACCCGGTCCTGCGGGATAGTGATATCCTTATTACTACAAGCTCGGGTATTCACGGTCCTCCGATTGCCGAATGGACCGTGATGAACTGGCTGGTTGCGTCCCGTAAATACGTTCAGACGTACGAGGCACAGAAGGCGCACCGATGGGACAATAAGACTGCGTATATGCGAGGTATGCATGACCAGGTGGGAAAGAAGGTTGGTATCCTGGGATACGGAAGTATCGGGCGGCAAAGTACGTTTCACCTTCACTGGATGCCCCCGGACTGAAAGCTTTATAATGAATGAGACTTCAAGCTGAACACCAATAGTCGCCCGCGTCTCGCAGGCATTGGGTATGACCGTCCACGCCCACACGGCCTCCCCACGCCCAACGCCCGAATCCCGCCATGACACCCGCTATATCGTGCCAGGAACTGGCGATCCAGATGGCTCGATCCCAGCTTCTTGGCACCATGGTACAGATCGAGAATCTATCCATGCTTTCTTAGCTCTTGGGCTAGACCATCTAGTAATCTCACTGCCCTTGACACCGCAAACAACTGGTCTCCTCGCCGCTGAGGAATTCGCCATCTTGTCTGAGAACTGCCACCATCATGCGAGCAAGCCTTACGTGACCAATATTGCGCGTGGAAAGGTCATCGATCAGGAGGCGTTGGTCGATGCCCTCAAGTCTGGACTTTTGGGTGGAGCTGCCCTCGATGTCGCTGATCCCGAACCTCTTCCTGCGGATGATCCCCTCTGGGATGCGCCGAATGTCCAGATCAGCCCCCATGTCAGCGCTCTTGGAGTGGAGTATCTGCCACGGTCTTTTGATATCCTTAGGGAAAACCTAGGGCGCCTTGCTAGAGATGAGCCGTTGATCAATGCTTACAGGCGGAGTAAGGGATACTAAATTTTGCATATATAGTTACAGCTACCATTTAGATCACGACGTCGGACAAGCATTGAATATCTTTCATTCATCTTTTACTAGAAGGTTATGAAATAATCTTACTACTAGAGTGCCCCTAACCAAGGGTGTCTCAGAAGATCCTCGGCCGAAATCCGATCAGTGGGATTAATCTTCATCATCGCGTGTAAAAACGAGGCGAATTCATCTCTGACACTTTGATCCAGACCTGGCATGAATGCTTCTGATGCCAGCTCCGGCCGATCCATCGGCAGCGAGTCCTTGATCATACCATCCTCGTCGAAGAGGTCCCGAATAAGCTTCTCGTCCCCTCTCTCCAAGAGATCCTTGGGGAAAGGCCCAAAGAGATTCACAATCTCCGCCAAATGTTGCCTGACCTCGTAATGACCGTCTGGTGGGACCAATCCGCTGAACATGCGAACTGCTCGGAAGAGTTCGAGAAGAATGCATCCGAGGTTCCACCAGTCCGTGCTCGCGTCCCACGGCGCCTTGATCAAGACTTCGGGAGATCGTAGTGCGACGGGCTGGATGTTTTCACTGAGATGGCGGTCTATCCAGCTCGAGACGCCCCAGTCTCCAAGGGTGATGTCAAATTCAGCAACGCGTCTACTATCGGCCTCCTTGAAGTAATAGCGACGCAAGGGTGTTGAGATAATGACTTTGTACTGTTCCTCCGATCTGTCTTGTTGCGGTATACCAACATCCTTCAGATAGCCGGACTCTATGAGGGAAAAATCCCTGAACTTGACGAAAATGTTGTCTGGCTTAATATCTGATAGTAAATAAGAAACATATTAGCACAAGCTACCTATGAATTGCCCCAAAGCATAGAAGAGTATATCACACCTGTATGGACCACATTATGGTCGTGAGCATAATCAAGCGCCAATAAGAGTTGAATAGTAAATTTTCTTATCACGGGGTTTGGCAGTCTACTTTCGATGAACCAAGCGCCAAAGCTTCGTAATGTCTCACCCATCAGCTCAAAGACAAAGCAGACGTGGGTTCCGTTAGGTCCACAATGCTCAAAATCATCCAGCAGATGGCAAATTTGGTCGTAGCCCAATTGATCCCGATCCCCTTCCCGGAGATGAGTCAAGATCTCTCGCTCGAAGATGGGGGTCTGTGATCCATCATAGCATTCGGCGCTGAGCACTTTCAGAGCTCGAAATTCATTCTCGCTGCCAGGCCTGCTGGGATCAGTTATCTCGACCCAGATATTTTGACAAGTTCTTATATCTGTTCACTCACTGTGTCGGCTGCAGGTCTCGTACAAGCCATACTGTCGAATAGACTCCATATCCAATCTTGTTGAGAACTTGGTACCGTTCTTTGAACACATCACCGATATAAACAGGGTGAAACCCTCCCGGTCGATACACTTCCGGGCCTTCTTCGATATTGCTCCTGGTCTCATTAGACATCTTAGAGGATTGGCCGTCGTAACTCAATCGATGTTTTGCAATAGTCGTAGTTATGGAGAGAGAACAAGTCACAACCCGACAGAAATTCAATCCCAGTCGCCAGATAGAGCAACGTAAATAGGAAAGTAGACAAAGGTTCCAGCACTTGTATGCCTTCTCAAGGGGGAATTGTTATTGGAATTGGATTCGGTTCATCCAAATGAGGCTAGCGTGTGTTTTCGGGCAGGCGGTCAAGTCGGCGATCTGATCACAGTTGAGAAGTACCCAGTACCCATGTACGGAGTACATATACGGAGTATGTATGAACTAACGAAGTAAGTACAGTAGGGTTAGGCGGTTGGAGGTCCCTACCTAGGTGATAGGTGCTCCATATTTTCAAACCTTAAAACACGAGAGAGAAAAAATAAAATCAAACAAGTCGGCGGATAAGGATATAGAGGGCTTTCCTATGGTCCTGACTCCTGGGGAAATACTTGCCTAGCTACATACAAGCACTTCATATGTCTCTCTGATATCTATGGATGGATAGAATACAACCTTAGAAGGTTCACATATTCCATGTTGCTCATTCGATATGTATTGAGCGTGTCCCACTTACGACCAAACATCCATGGATGCCGCTAGTATCGTGGACCAATTACGAATCACCTCGTACATGTAGGTAATTGGATTCGTTCATTGGTCCTCTCAGCCTAACGAAATGAGGACACTTATCTAGCGTTAACAGGCATGCTCTGTGCGGGGTACATCAATTCAAAATAATTCTTAGTCTTTTATTAGTGGGCCAGAGTCTGCCCAGAGGGTTGCAGAACGGCTGCCTACATGAAATATCAAGTATGTACTATCAAAGTGAGGCGCTGCATACGTAGAGTGAGACATACATACGGAGTACTCTATCTGCTTAAATCCCCATGTACATAGGAGGGTAGTTTCAGACACCACTAGCGCTGGCTGACGTTTGCCTATAGCGAGGATCAAGCCCAGAGCCTCATATTTCCCGAGTACCTCTTCCAAATATTGAAACGAATAAGGATAAAGATAACCCCAGTCAAATGTTTGCTTAATCCCTGCCTACCCCACTCTTTCATTTCAGAGTACGGAGTATCCTTTCCTGAGTTATTTTCAGTCGACCCCTCGTTGCCTATTTTAGGCAACTTGTATCTCCTAGCCGAATCAAAGGCTGATAAATGATGGTAATCTTTGATAACACAAAATCCGACCCCCATGGTACAGCTCAGATATAGACGTTTTCCTTCATTCTCTCCTTGGGCGTTAAATGTGCAAATAGTCAAGATCTTTCTTAATTATCCGCCCTTCCAGCGATCAACCCTATGCCTACCTGGGAGCCCACGCATCCCGTGTTGAATTTTAGCGCCCAGTACGATATACTGCATTCCATATACCCCGTATAGCATTCAATTTCTGATAGCGTAACTTTGCCCGTATGACTGCATGTTGCCAACTCATCATATTACATGGGGATAGATAGAATTGCGGCTCTTGCCTCTAGAAGGCATAAATGAGGGGTAAGACATCATATAAATATGAGTTCGATTCCTCGAAGCTAGACCGATCAAACGACTTTCCCAATTCAAGTTATCCGCTCTGCAAATTTGATCCGGAATATCTGGTTCGATCCGGTAACACTACACTCTCATCCATACACACTATCCTAGTGCTTCAGACAAGTCTCTCAATACTTTTGGAGATAGGCTGTTTGATATTCAATCTTTCCTACTTTTTGAGATATTTGAATATCTTTCTGAACTATGGCCATCTCAAAGGCTACCGATATCATCTATCCAGTATCGCTTCAACGAACCCCTTCAGCAGATCAAGCAGTGATGGATTACACCACGACGGACAGCCGGGATATTGCCTTCGCAGAGATGAGAGCAGCTCCAAGTCCTGCGTATGTGAATCTCCATTAGTTCCATTTCTTCCTCTTTTTAACTTGCAGCTAACAATCGAAAAGAGGACTGACGACTTGGCATAAGGGTGGTACTGACCCCAACGCACCGGATCATCTCACGGTCGATCTGAAGGGTCCCAACGGAAATCATATCACGACTAAGCACATCAATAGAGATGGGAAGGCATGTTAATTCATGACAAATTTCGTATCAAGGAGTTGGCCAGTCTGGGATCAAACTCGGAAGCTATCTTTTTTGTTAAGAGATTCTCGGGTCCAGGGTAACCCCGAAAGACCATCGACCAAACTTGATTACATCAATACCATTACATATTGCTTTTGTACGTGCTAAGATCTTATCTTTATTGAACGAATTCCCAAAGCTTGGGAGGTAGAGAGATTCTAGGAAGAGAAGGAGTGGATAGTACTACAGTATAGATTAGCTAACTGCTATTAGATATTGGATGGATAGGGAAAGGAGGAAGGAAAGATGCAGTGCTGGATACAGTGGAAGCCATGGTCATCTCATCTCCCAACAGAATTTCATGCGGGTAGATGAAACCAGTGGAAGAGATATACACTGGAAAGGCAGATCAAGGAAAACACACTCTCTGGATGATGAGCTATGGAAGAAGGAGGAAGACTAGAAGGAGATCAGGGAGACAAACAGAGGATGGTCATATGACCATCCAAACAACCAGCTCCTCGCAAATTTCAAAGAAAGTTCATGTACATTATGATTACGAGAGAAGACGTAATTTTCGCGAATATTGTTATATCGTCAAGGTTATACACAAAGCCACTGTGGTCCCAACCTCCAACCTTGGAGTAGTGGGATTATATCTCGGTAGCTATGATTGTGTCGAGATGCCTCCCCAGTGCCTGTTTCGCTAGGACTCTCTTTGTGCAGACTATGCCCTTTGGTACTTGTTTGCTAGCTTGAAGGCTATAAAGCCCCTAGCTGTCCCAGAGATAGAAGAGTAAGAACTTTCTCCTTCTTCTTCTCTCTCTTCCCTAGTAGCCTCAACATATTGATTTATCGTTTTTATTGAACATAAATTTGAATCAGTCTCTAAGAAGTCTCTTTATTCAGACGATTATCTTAATGCATTTTCTCTAAATTTTTAATACCAAATCGATCAGATAATCTTGCCCTATCTACACCCATGGATGAACATACCATTTCCGTGTAATGATACGACGGCCTTGGGAAACGATATGTTCTCAAGTACAGGACTGGTTGGTCTCTCGCTGCTCTGAGGAGTTCTTACTTCTTCTTTGGCGGTGCAACATTGAACTGGAAGTGAATAATGTCGCCATCTTGGACAACATAAGTCTTGCCCTCCTGCTTGTACTTACCAGCAGACTTGATTGGCGCCATCGACTTCTCGCCGTTGCAGAGATCATGGAAGTCCTGGTACGCCACAACTTCGGCCTTGATGAAACCGCGCTCAAAGTCGCCGTGAATGACACCAGCTGCTTGTGGAGCGAGGGTACCCCGCTTGATCGGCCAGCAGCGGATCTCCTTCTCGCCGGCAGTAAAGTAGTACTGCAATCCCAGCTTAGTGAAGCCTGCCATGACTGTTAGTGTGTGTTACGTGGGGCGACTATTGGGGACATATACCTTCGGTGGTGATCTTTCCCAAGCGGCTCGGGACCTTGATATCGGCCATGAAGGCCTCAAGCGCTGGCTTGTCATCCCTCAGGGACCACAGCTTCTCCTCAAACTCGACGGAGAAGGGAATGATATCAGTGCCTTGGCCACCGTGAGCCTTTACCCACTCCGCGATCTTGGGCAGGTATTTGCACTTTTGGCGGAGGTAATCCTTCATTGTGAGGTTGATGAGGTAAATCACCGGCTTAGTAGTGATGAGACGCAACTTGATATTGTCAGCCTTATGTCTTCAGTATCATAATAGCCTAGACAAACCTTCTCGTTAATCAACTCAATTTCCGGAGTTGTCCATTCTCCATCTCTCACAGGCTTATCCTGCTCTAGGAGCTATGAGGGAGTCAGCAAACTACACATGTCTTCAAAGAGAGATTGCGAGATATGGCATACCGCCTGGATTTTAGCAGTCGTCTCGTCGAACAACGGCAACATCTTGAATTTGCCTCCAGCCTTGCGCACAATTGCCTCTTCGGCAACCTTGGCTTTGGCAAGAATATCCAAATCCTTCTTACACAACTCGCTCTGAATTGTATCTTCACCGCAGCACCATCAGCATCTATTCTTCCTGTGTCATGCGGGGGGTTGTTTACCTAAGTCACGGACAGGATCAACAGAGTCATCCACGTGAAGAACCTCATCGTTATCAAACGCCCTGTGCAATAGTAAGTCGCTGCTTCGTTTACATTTCCGCAATTAACGTACCGGACAACGTGGTACATGCCATCCACAGCCTGGATATGACTCAAGAAGGCATTTCCCAATCCGGCTCCCTCACTTGCTCCCTTGATCAATCCCGCAATATCCGTGACCTGCAGATAGGCCGGGTATTTACTCGGCGGGTTCCAGACTTTGCACAGGAAGTCCTATCTCGGATAAGCTAGGGTCAGATCCATCACGTGGGAATTACCGCCCCAGAAATGGTAAAAAGGGGAAGAACATACATATCGTGGATCAGGAACAACGCAGCGCGCTTCATTTGGCTCGATGGTGCAGAATGGGTAATTTTCTGCCGCAGCGCTCTGTTCCGTCATGAGGTTAAACAACGAACTCTTGCCCACGTTTGGCAGGCCAACACAACCCATCTTAAGGTTGGCCTTGACGCGCCCAAAGGCAACGACATTGTTCGTCGGCGCTTCTGGTGCTTTCTTTGGTGCCATAGTGGAGTATGTATAGCTATTTGATTTTCAAATACTGATGTGCTTGCTTCAAGTTTTTTTAGGCTTTTTTTTTCTTTCTTTTTTTTTAATGAAGGATTTTATTGCCTGATAGTGGGGTAGGGAGCCATAAGCCAATTACACCCCTGTGCGGTGGTTTCATTCTATCTGGTCGGTTTTTACTCGCTTCTCCGCTTTAGAATTATAGCTACTGTCGTTGGAGGAAGGTTGTCTTGGAAGTTATACTCAAATGGCGTTAAGGGTTGGCCATGTGCGGCACCTGATCTACCGCCAATTAGCGTTATGATATAGTATACATTCATATCCTACATTGAGAGACAAACTATCAGTCCCTATCATGACTATTTCCATCAGACCTTTCTCAAGGCATCTCTGAAAGTCGCAGTTCATCGGCGTCGCAGTGCACCTTTAAAGCGCTGATCAAAAGCTGGTTCGATCCATTTCTACTGATTGAAGGATGGTATCTTGACCCGTACATGGCCTGGTTGCACATCGAAATAGAAAGGATTTGAGCTTAGTTAGTTAGATTTGCAGGTCATCTGTTCATCTCAGCACTCAAATATTAGATATTCCATATTATCCATGCCACTTCAGTTTGCATCAATATGATAGATACTACATGCCTGGCTTATAAACACCTACCTATCAAGGTTTTGTCCAAACGGAATGATCATATGAGACATGAAAATGCCAATAGTAGTGGAAAAATTCGTTGGGAGAAAAAACCACATTATTTCTTTGTTTTTTGCTATTGAAAAAGAAAATGGAAGTGAAGAAAAAAAAAAAGGACAAAAAAGAAAAGCCCACTCCCGGGATTGAACCAGGGACCTCATCATGATCTTTGTAATAGTATACAAGTGATGCGCGACTACCACTGCGCCAAGCGGGCTGATTTGATGACAGATCATTCAATCTGAACATCATAAGCGGAGAAACAAAATACAGACAGTCGAGTAAAAGATACATAATTTAAACATTTTAATTGTGGTATGCTCAGGTTCTTATTTTTCAACCTGAAAATGGGTTGGGATTAGGTAAATGTCCAAGAAAGACAGTTATATTTCCACAGTTCTCCTACATATCATAAGCACCTCGAAATCCTTCCTCAATCGCCACAGCAATAAACCCACACCCGGCAACCGCCATTACCCATGGATTTAACAAGTCTCGTAGCTGAGGCCAGAAACTGTTCTTTTCTTTCTGCCATTGTCGCAGTTGCGCATACTTATGTGGGTCCTCGGACTTGTAGCGCTCTTCTTGGCTAGCTTCAGTCTGCTTGTCGCCCCCTACAACCCGCAGGAATAGATAGTTCGCCAGAGGACCCAGTAGCACAGCGGGATTAAATAAGCCAGCGATGTTGAGCAAAGCAAAGGAGCAGTGGACAAGGGTGTCTCCGAGATAACTGGAGGTTCGTTAGCCGATACCGCATAATATAGACCGAGATATATATCTCTCCACAAAACTTACTTCGGATGGCGCACCAATCCCCAAATCCCATGCCTACACAAATCCGTCCGTTCCTGCCGATGCAATCCAAGCTGCGTATCAGCCATGACCTCCATCGCAAAGCCGGCCCCAAAAACTGCAACGCCAAGCGCCCGCACCAGATCCACCGCTTCATCATCCATCCGGAGAGCAGTTCCACCCACAGTAAATGGAACCGTAAACGGCAAAGAGATAACACTCAAAATAAGAGCTTCAGGCAAAAAGATCTTCAAAGCTGCAGTTGTCCAAAAACCAGGCTCCTTTTTCACTGCGTCGTATCGCGAATCGTCTTGGCCGCGGGATAGAGACCGCGCTGCGATCCGCGCGAACAGTCGTGTACCCCATATAGTTACGCAGCTGAGAAGGACTCGTTCTGTCCATGGGAGAGCATCCCAGGCGGTTCCGAGTGAGATGTTGTCTTTGCACATTGGTTGGCCGATGGCGCTCCACCAGGCATTGAGAACTTGTGCGGATGGCCAAAGCCAGTCTTTCAGTTCGACTCGGTCGGTTGCTTCGGCTGCAACGTATGTTGCCAGTGAGAGCGTCGAATAGAGTCCGAATGAGGGCAAAAGGGTTGATTTGAAGATTCCTACGTCACTGGGTGTCATTTTGTTTTGGAGGGGTGGGGAGTGAAGAGAGCTAGTAGACTGACTTTCCAGGGTTGATGGAGGAATGAGAAATGCCATATTAGGACATTATTTGGGTTATTGAGGATCTAACCTAGGATAACGATAAATTGTGACCTTTCTGCTGTTTTATAGCTTGCTGATGCTGTTGATGTCAAGATTAGGTAACGGTAAGTGGGCATCCCGAGGTGCCGAGCAGGTTTTGGGTCTGGTTAATGGACATCATTCCGATTTGTAAAAGAATAATAATGGAATGGAATGTAAGTAGTTGTGCTATAATATATAGGATGGGTATAATATGCGACCAAATATTGATGTAGGCAATAGAATATTGGGAATGAATGAGAACAATTGTGACAGAATCTGGCTGCTAGTTTTCATTTGCATCGAGATCCTTCAAATGCCGAGAGATATTGGCCTCAAGATCGATACTAATGCTCATTGGCTTCGATATTTCATGGCTTTTATAATGCTGTTCCATGATAAGCATCAACCGTTCATTCCAGAACGGCAAACATGTTTTGACATTAGATGTGGAGAAGGCCGTAACTTGATTATCGCTTGTGACAGGTAGATCACCTGGAATATCCAGCTTGAAAAGGTCGGAATTGGACGCTAAGTCAACCGAGCAGGTTATAGCAAGGTCATGCAACTTAGAGCCATCGGGTATACGTTCGAACGGGAGCCGGTGAGTGGGAGGTTTCCGAGCCTTTTCGCCAATCGCTGAAGATTCGCCGACAGAATGATCCCTTGTCTGGCCAATGAGATAGGCACGTGGATCATGGGAGGAGAGAGCTGTGGTGGAAGTTGGCTCTCTAATCGAAGTTTGCGACGAAGTCAATGCAGCCTTTGCGGCAAGATAGCGACTTCGATGAGGTGAATGCGAGACTGAACTAGGCTGTGGTCCAGATGGTTTTTCGTGGTTCTTGAATCGTATGCGATGGTTTTGTATGGCCTCTTTCTTCCGTCTTTCAAAGTCTAATGCTCTCTCCAGATCAGACGGTTCTTCATGATCACCGTCTTCATGAAGTTGAGCTGCCCATCTTTCAAGAACTGGGAATCCTCGACCACTATCCATTGATCGTGGAATATAACCTTCTTGCTCGTCGGATATCGGGAGATTATCGGAGGATTGTAGAGGGACATCATCCTGTGATACTCTGTCTGAACAGCCATCATTTTGTCTGTCGATATGCGCATTGGCCGATGAACTCTTTGCAGACGACCCAAAACGTTTCTGAGCAAGAACAGATAGAGACGACTCATTCAAATCTTGAGTGGCTGCCCCCTCAACGGGGATTTGCTGCAGCGAGACTTGTGTGGTTCTCTGAAACCAAGTGTCAAGAGCTCCGTTACCATATCGATCGCGATCACGTTCTCTCTCGGCACGTCGGGCACTCGAGATTCGATTACTCTCAGGGGAGGACTCGGCTGATGTTCTCGGCTGCTGTCGCCGGTTCCTGACTGGTGAACCAGACGCAAGTCGGGAAGTAGGAGGACTTGTCAAATCTGAGATATTGGGGGAATGCTGGAGGCTTCTTGATTCACTCTCCCTTCGAATCAGGCCCTGTAGACTGCCACTAGATAGAGCTGTCGGGCTTGTTGCATTAACCGAATTTCTTTTGCGCTGCGGAGTTTGAAACGAGGCATTGGTTTTGGAGATCGACCACGGATTGGCGAAGCTGGAACGCTTGGTTCTGGCGGTAGATGATTCATCGGGACTTTCGAGATCATTTCCGGAATGATCCACAGGTAAAAACAAAGATTTACCCTGAAGCGGTCTGTGTGAAAGTGGTGTGTAGGGTGTAGCGTCCTTGAAAGGATTTTCAGAATCCTGAGGGTCTGTGGCAAGTCTCACAGTTGATTTATCAGCCATCAAAAGTTCAAACCCAGGTACAGCTTTCTTCGATTTGAAGGTATTCTCTTGAACTCCTTTGGGACCACTCCTCTCCGTTTTCTCTTGTGCTCCGTAGTGGTCGCGAAGCAAATTCTCCACCAAGGCCAAGACTAGCCCCCGATCTTCAAATAGGAGGTCATCTTTGGCTGGTTCGATATTGACATCGTACGTCCCTTGGGGACACCGAATTTGTAAGCATAGAAAAGGATCATTGACTGATCTAGATGATTCACCTTTAGATGCGGCGCCACGGATATATGTTTTGAAAACTTTGATGATATCGTGTCCAATCCCTCGGTTGCTTGAGAGAGGGCGGCCATCCACACTGATATATTGACCGGCATTGATGATCTTGGAGACATCTAATAAAGTTAGCAACAAGATTCACCAGACGTTCATACACAGTTAGATCAGCTCACCGAATTCTGTTCTCGGAAGGAACGCGATTGCTTGATACTCTTTCTGGTCAGATGAGTCTTGTAAATTTCCAGCGTTATCTATTTTCTGTGGCAAGGATTGCTTCAAGATACATGAAGAAGATGTCTCTGCGCCAGCTACCTTGAGAGCTGCATCCGATAGCGATGGATTTGAGCTTGGTGCATAGGTCCAATTGCTGTTTTCATTTTTTGCCTTCAGTACTTTGAGCGAGAGCCTCTTGGATGGTTGAGCTATAGCATAGGCCTGAAGAAGCTTTTTAATTCTCGTGAGAGTTCTCGTAGCACCCTTCAAGGCAGTCTGCCTCCGAACAGGAATGTGTTTGAGAAAGTCCGTAATGCGGACAGTTGTTCCCACCGGGTGGGACGTCCGTTGTGTTCTGGGGTATTATCTTAGCGTAGACATAACGATCAACCACTGTGGCAGACATACCCAGTAAGCTCTCCATTTCTTCCGTACTTCAAACATACCCCAGCGATCTCGGACTCTACCCGGGTGGTAACAGCAAGAATCCGCGACATTTCAGCCACACTAGCCAGAGCTTCACCACGAAATCCCAGAGTTGATCCACCAACATTTTTGAGATCGTCTAAAGTTTGAATTTTGCTGGTAAAGGCACGTTTGCAAACATGCTGCTGGTCCTCTGGGGAGATACCGTGACCGTTGTCTTTGAGCTGTATGACATCTACAGTATTCTGGGATATTTCAATCTGCAAAGACGTGGCTGATGCATCGAGGGCGTTGTCCACGAGTTCCTTGACCACCGAGTAGGGATCGGAGATGGCCGATGTGGAGCCAATAGCCCGGCTTGTGCTCTCAGGAAGGGCCTCAATCGGCATCCTGCACCCCTGTCGTTAGGTGCTCACTGCCCAAAGCACCACAAATCAATCGCTGCATTCAATTGAATGAATCCCATAAATTACGTGAACAATCCCAATGCCTCGTATTCGGTGAATGTTCGAATCTGCAGATGTTGAAGGAGATGAAGTTGGACTTGGAAAAGTTGTGTTCGCCGGTTAATTATTCCTGTTTGGGTTTCGCGCCTCAATCCCCAATTCCCCGACTCCAGAGACCGGCCCGCGCTGCTTGTCCTCCCCCACCCTCTGTTTTTGTTCTTCCTCTCTCTTTTGTACTCATCGTTGCATCCCTGCGAATTTTCTCGTTCAAACAAGTTCTAAAACCATCACAAATCATTTGAAGCGATATTATCACGTGGATACCGCCCACGCACCTCCAGGTGTATAGCCTCGGAGGCAGCGTCTGGTATTAGTATCTGTCACTTAAGCCCTCGAATGAACCCTTTCGAAGGTGGCTTTGAGCTTTCTGTCACCTAGAGCCTCATATGTTGTCAATTCCCCAATTTCTCTAGTTTGAGCTCTTCGACATTACTACATATCATCATGGCTTGGGCATCTGATCCACACCATCTGCAGCGGACCCAGTCCCCTCCGTTGTGGGTTCGAGGTCCCACTGTAAGTTCCACCATTCCTTCAGCTTCTTTAGCTCGAGAGGATGATGTACTGGAGAAAGAACAATCTCTGCACTCGTCATCCCAAAATAAGCCACCTGCTGCGGTGGGTGCATCATTTAGTATGGTCGAATTACCCACAACTGCTTCCGCTGCCCCAGGCAGACGCTCGACAGTGGAGCATGATCAATCATTCCTAGCCAGAAGTACCAAATGGCAACTTTTGAGCGCATGCGTCATGAACTTTGGCAACGGCATGAACGACAGCGCGCCTGGAGCCTTGATCCCATATCTCGAACGCGACTATGACATTGGGTATGCGATTGTATCCATGATTGTCATCTCAAATGCACTAGGGTTCATTTTCGCTGCACCATTTACACACGCCATTGAATTAAAGATCGGGCGCTGGAAAAGTTATGCGCTCTCTATGACCCTTTTGATCGCTGGGTATACAACAATCATTTGTTATCCGCCATTTCCAATCGTCGCAATTGCTTTCTTCTTCCTCGGGTTCGCTATGGCTCTGACGCTCACACTGAATAATGTTTTCTGTGCAAACCTCCCGATTTCGACTACAGCTCTCGGCACGTTTGGGGGGGCGTACGGGATTGGAGGTGTCGTTTCACCCCTCATAGCGACCGCAATGATATCGTGGGGAGCTCGATGGTGCGATTTCTATGCTATCCCACTAGGAATGGCTGTGGTGAATCTTGTATTCTCGGCATGGGCCTTCTTCAATTTCGATGGAAATTTGTATGTGGACTCTAGATTGATACCAGAAGAGCCGAGTTCTTCCACGAATAATGATGGGCCTCCAAGTCGTATAGACCTCCTCACCAGCCCGCAAAGCCCAAAGCCCAACCCGCCCCAACCCGCCCCAACCCGCAAATGGGCTGGGCTTTAGGCCCGGTTCCTGGGCCCATCGGTGGCTATAGGCCTAGGGTAGAAGCCCGCTAGGCTTTTATAGGGGCCCAATGGGCTTTAAGTAATATAAACATACTAATGCTTAGTAGATACATAAGTAATGCAGATTTTTCTAGTATTTCTAGGTATTTAGATTACCCCCTAAATTGACTATATATGCCTAAATTAACTAAATTAACTAAATTGACTGTAGATAAGATTAATAAAGTTAAGATTGATGAAATTTAAGAAGAATGTAAATCAATAGAAAGATATACTGACTTCTCTCTATATAAAATATATATATTTACTGTTAAGGTAACTGTTTGTTAAGGTTGTTGAAGATACAGAGGTATGATACAGCATGTAGGGTTCAACAATGGGTTCAAATGATACTAGGAATAGGATCTCTCATGGAAGTATGGAATTGTCTGAAGATCTAGATAATATCTGCCTTTTCCTGCTATTTATGCCCCTTTATGTGCCGAGGATAGGAGTCCTTAATTTAGCCCCTAAAGGTGAGCTTTTCGGCAGAAAAGACAAAAGAGGCGTAGCGTTGCTAATCCTACGGATGAGAGAATCCTGCCTTAGGCATGGTTCTTAATAAAGGTAGTACTTGTTAACTAGGTGAATAATAATACGAGAGGGATATGTTATTAGAACGAAGGGTATTCGATTCTATATTAGTTATAAGACTGAATCTTACTTTCTGTTACGGTATTTCTTTGTTATATCATTTTGCCTTAGGCCCCCTTTCTCTTAGACGGAGGAGACTCTTCCGAATACCCTACGATGACGGGGGGGAACTAAGATAATCCGGTTCCGAGAAGCGGGGAAACTAAATTATAAAAGGAAGGCACCTATAGGTAGACCTAGCAGTGACCCGCGGGTAACCCTCATAACCCTCGGACCGCCCCGCCACTAAGGCGGTTCGAGGGTCTAACCTCCCGACCCTAAGGGTAGTCCACCTAGGGATTAGACCCTCGGAGGGTGACCCTTAGGGTCACCCGCGGGTCTATAAATAGGATAAATAGGTAAATCTCGTAATATATATAATTTATATAGATTTACCTTATATTTTTAAGTATCTTAATTATAGTGACTAAACTTCTTTAGGGAATATTTTATAATTATATAATGTTCTAAGGGTATAGAAGTTTTTAAAGTATATTCTTAATTCTATTTTCTATCTACTATATATCTATTAAGCCTTCTTAATACCTTTCGAACTCTTCTAGATAATCGAGGAAGAGGAAGTCTACTATCTTTATCGATATTATTCTCTAGTTTAGATTATATCTTATTACCTTTACTTAGTAAGCTACTTCTTTATCTCCTTCTAAGAATAGTATATAGGGATAGTTATAAAATAGGTAGTAATTAGGTTTATTTAACTATATCGCGTATAAAATTAAATAGCCGCTTTATATCTATACTAATAACTAGAATAGATATAATATTATAGATAATATTTATAAGAATAAGTTATTTATATTAGCTATCTTTCTAAAAAGTATAAAGTAATAAATACTATAGTACTAAATTTATATAAAAATTAGTTAAATATAATAAATTAAGATAGATATTAAGACTAACTAATATTAAAATATTAAGTTAGCTTATTTTTATTTAAAGTATTAAATTATAGAGAGTTATTTAACTCTAATATAGACTTAAGCTTAGATATTCTAACTCTTAATAATAAACTATTTAATAATAACTAACTCTATCTAATATTAAGCTATTTCTTATAATATTTAATTTAGGTTTTAAGACTATCTTTATAAATATCTTTCTAAAAAGTCTTAATAGGATCTTCGGATTCCTATTCTTTTATAGAAAAGAATTAGAGCTTTTAAGCTAAAGATAAAATTATACTAATAATATAAAGATACCTATTAATACTATCTATATCTTTATAGTATTTTAAAAACTTTTCTAATATAGCTTTAAATATAGATTATATAAGTTATTTTTAAAGAACTTTCTTCTATCTTAATATAGTAATTATACGCTTAAGATAATTAAAAAGATAATTATATATTATAAAAATAAGATAAATACTTAAGTCTTTAATTTATAATATAAGACTAATAAATCTAAAGAATAGCTCTAAAATAAAAAGTAGATATATAATCTACCTTTATTCGTCTAAGCTTAATATAAAATAAGGTTATTTATACTATAAATAGAAGATATTAAAGACTAATTATAGCCTTTTTATCTATTAAAGTATTAGAAATATTAAGTTCTATTATATTCTTATATCCTAGATTAGAATAAGTTTAGGCTTTTAATCTTAAAAAGTATAGAATATATCTTAATACTATAGACTTATATTAATATAAATAGTAAGATTATAAATCTAGATAGACTATTAATATATAAAAATAATATTAAAAAATTAGCTTACTTTATTAAGAGTATCTATAATTTTATACTTTTTTTTAATATATATATAGCGCTCTTATATAGTTATTAGATTAATTTAGTTTAGTAGTATTATTACTTAGAGATATTTTTATCTTCCTAAGTAAATCTATAAGACTAATTTAGATAATATAAGTAATATATAGTATATAAATAATAATAGAATTAATATTTAATTAAATTATTCTTACTAAATTATTTATAGCTTAAAGTAGTATTATATTATTTAAAATATTATTAATAGTAATTATAAGTATTTAATTAAAAATATTATACTTTTATAATATTTAAATAATAATCTTATTAAAATTTATACTAAAATAGATACTAAAGAGTAACTTAAAGCTAAAAAGAACTTTTTAATATTTTTACTTTTTATCTAAAAAGTAGTCTATAACTATTATAAATACTTACTAAAATAGTAATATCTAATAGTCTAATATAAAAGAGAGCTTTACCTTTAATAATAGACTTTAAAGTAGTCTCTTTTAATATTTATTAATAAATCCTTTTACCCGCTTATAGATAATATATTATAAAGGAATAGCGGGTATAGTGAGAGTAAGATATATATATTTAATAATATTAATAAACTCCTAATATTTAAAAAATAAAAATAAAAGATATAATATAGTAATAAAATTTAATAGCTTCTACTTTTAAATATCTTATAAGAATATAAGAGTTAATATATTTAATATCTATATATTAGTTAATAAAAAAGATAATATTAGAAAAAATAATATATAACTATCTTAAATAAAGTCTTAATATTTAGTCTTCTTAATATAAATTTTATATAATTAACTCCTTTCCGGTACTTATTTTGTTAAGGTAACTATTTATCAAGGCAGTACTTATTAACTAGGTAAATAATAATACGAGAGGGATACGTAGTTAGAACGAAGGGTATTCGATTCTATATTGGTTATAAGACTGAATCTTACCTTCCCTATCCCTATAGGTGTCTTCCTTTTATGATTTAGGTTCCCCGCTTCTCGGGACCGGATTATATTAGTTCTATCCCGATATCGTAGAGTATTCGGAGGGGTCTCCTCTATCTAAGAGAAAGGGAGCCTAAGGTAAAATAGTATAATAAAGAAATACCGTAATAACTATCCCCTTTCTCTATAAAACCCGTCTTAGGGTTTTAGGTTTAAATAAAGGGAAGTATAAGTTATAAGGTAAGAAGGGTTCCTATCGAGTTTATCCCTTTCTCTATTATTTAGAGCCTCGTTAGTATAGCTATAGTAGTAGCTAATAGGCGGGATACTAGCGATCTAGTACCGGAACTAGAACTAGTCTAGTACCTAGGCTACTTATATTCTAACTTAAAGTCTTTTAATATTACCGAAGGGGAGGTTTTCTCTATTTTCTATTAGTATAATATAATCGTATCTATCTTTTATAAGTGATATTATATAGATAAAAAGACTTATAATATAATACGTTTTTAGGTCTTTATTATAATAGATTTATACTTATCTTATATAAATACCTATTAGTATAATAAGGGATATTTAGGATTTTTTTATTATTCTAAAATTTTTAAAGATTCTTCTAGATAATAAAATAGAGTTATTAGAGTAGATCTATATAGAAATCGCTAAAAGTTTATATAATTTAGTCTAAACGTTTAACGTAGCGGTTATTAGTTATTATTTATATTAGAATTTAGTAAATATAAAGAAAATATAAGCTATAAATATTTTATAGCTATTTTATTAACGATTTATCTTCTAATAATAGTCTAGCTATTTTAGGCGAATTATAATAAATTTATAAATAGTTATTAGATAGATATATAGACTATACTTAATAGTCGTAGTTTAACTCTATTAGATTAAAATAGACTTTTAAGTCTACTCCTTAGGGATATAGGATATATTTATTAGACTATTATAAAATAGAAGTATTTAGAGTCTATTTCTAATACTTTTATAGCTATATTCGGAGAAGCTATAGAAATAATCCTACTTAATACTTTCGAGATTAATAAGTATAGGAGGTTTATAACTTATTCTCCTTAATAAAAGAGAAGGTACTATATATATAGTTCCTTCCTTATAATAAAGGTAGCCTAGAATAAAAAAGGAATTTATTTTAATTTTCTAACTATAATCTTTCTTTCTTTACGTTATTTTATTATTATTTATATATAGTTCTTTATATATTTTATAAATAATCCTCTTATATCTTATTATCTTATCTTTTATAAGTCCTATTTATTTCTATAGGAACCTTCCTTTATTATAGCGCGAGGTTATAGTCGCGGTTATAGTTATAGTCGTAGTTAGGGTTATAGTATAAATCTTATTAATAACCCGCCTATAGACTAGTCTATACTCTTTTCTTCTTTAGCTACTTCTAAGGTAATATCTAAGGTTTATAACTATTTCGACGTAGATCTACTATTAACTCCTTCTTATATAGGTCCTATTAGAACTACTTATTATACTCGAAACTCTAGTTCTTCTACGCGCCTAAAATAAAATTATCCTATCTAATATCGCCTAAATTAGTACGTTATCTATTTATATATAGCTAAGAAGAAGTAGGTTACCGACGAAC